TTGTACGAGAATATGTCAGATAGAGCTACAAAATCGCCGAACTTGACAGAAAAAGAGAAGAAAAAAAGGTGTACGCCGAATTGCCTTTGTCTGTGCGCTTGCATCGACATCTGGGCATCCAGGACCGTCATTGGCAAAAACCCTCAACATCGGTTCTGAGGACGCGCCATTGATGCAAATCGCAGCCAGTGATAACCGCTTGTCGCTGCATGTTATGATGAACGGAGTATTCACGGGCCCTTTGGAACTAGCAATTCTGAAAGTCTGTATGGGCTATTTCCATAATATAAACTTCCCATAGTCTGGCCCATCGCTGAACTTCCTCCCCGCGGAGGCTTGATCGGTAGCGCCAGTACGATGCGGGACCCCGGCTCCTCTCTCACGGGCCTCTTTTGACGTTTGTCATATTCGATGATCATTGGACAGTCTCTTCTATGCACTGCTTGGACGTCGCCAGCACTCACATCCACAGGGGCAATTAACTCCCTCTCTTCATCCTTGCTGATAACGACGGAGACCGGTTTTGACATCCCCCCGATGCAAGATGCGAGACACAAGGATTGCAAGGTTGCAATTGACTATCTTATCAGACGTTTGGGGATCTACCAATTGGTGCGCCTGGCCGCCTATCGTGATGGACACTGTGAAACGGCTCATAGGGTGTTTCCTGCATCGCCCCCGAGTTTCCAGTTTCGGGGATGAACCCCTCTATGGGGAGATTGGACCCATCCCTGTCAAGAGATTAGCAAAAATATGCGATGTTGTGACGTTCCAATTTGGAGAACCATTATGAGACTAGTTGAGCATGTAAAATGGTCCAGTAATGAGCAATCTACTACCACCGTCATTGCACGTGATACAACCCAAACAGGATTAGCTGGCAGAACCCCTCCGCCCCCGCCATATGTTGATTCTATCAGAGAACAAGTCTAGACCAATTACCAATTACCATATTTACATACACATCATGGCTGAAGTAGAAGCAGCCCCCGTTCAGGCAAGACATGTTGTCTACTGTGGAGGTGAGGACCCTCGTGCAATTTGAGAATATACCACTGACGAAATCATAGTCTGCACATTACCCCCCGAGGTATGACCTTTGAGTTCCCCCCAGCTCTCAGTCCCCCCCAGAAGTGAAGGCTCAGCCTCCTTTCCCCCGCTCTTGCCCCTGCTTCTTTAGCTCTTATCATCGAGGGCCCCGGCTTTATGCGTGGCATAGCTCCTAGCCACTGAAAAGCGCCCACAGAGCCTGCATAAATTGCTATTTGGATAAACCTTTGCAGATCTATGTTTCTGACATGGGTTTTTGTCTAGTACTGCGAGTTTGGAGGTACCGCTAAGAAATGTGAAGAGTGGCTCAAGGAAAACCAGTCGGATCTGTGGGACAGACTATATTCTGAAGGTACAAATCTCCCATGCTACTTCGCTGGCCATTACCTACATTGGCCAATCCGAAATGTGCAAGCCAGGAAATGAAACCGATCTTCTAACACTCATTTTTCTATCAGATGCCCTGAGCGCCAACCTCTCCACTCTCTCCGTCTCAGCGCAAGAACGTGCTGCCAAAGACGCCGCCAAGAAGGAGGCCAAAGCCGCCGCCAACGAGGCACGCGATAGCGAGCGTAAGGCCGCCTCCAAGATTCAAATCAAGCGTGTCGAACGTAACAAGCGCAAGTACGTGACAGTCGTGATTGGACTGGAGGTCTTCGGACTGGAGAACAAGAAGATCGCAAAGGATTTGGGCAAGAAGTTTGCTACAGGTTCTTCAGTGACCCGCTCACCTGCCGGTATTGAGGAGATCACCGTCCAGGGAGATGTCAGTGATGACCTGCGTGAATGGCTCCTCGAGCTCCATGGCAAGAAGATCCCCGCGTCTAATATCGAATTGATTGAAGACAAGAAGAAGAAGAAGAGTGAGGGCCCGATGGTATAACGACGAACACGAATCCTTTGCGGACTGGGTATCATGACATAAATCTAAAATAAAAGTACAAATTGAAGACAAATTCAAGCAGAAAACAGAAACCAGAAACCCGGTTGGATCCGAGATAAGGTCTAGGTCCAGGGTCCGGAGCACAAGAAAACAACATTTCATGATTCATCCAGCACGGTCAAAGGATCAAGCTCCGGAGGTGATGCATCATGTTCTGACCGGACCGTCGAAGTCGGACCGGCCTTGGTCAGGCTCTCGCGGCGATCTGTAAGGTTGGACGGATATCGAGAAGGCCCCGAATTAGACCCTGATGCTCTTTCCCCGAGACCAAGAACCTTATCCCATACCTCGGACTGAGGTGGTACAGCGGGTGAAGAGTGGTCCGACATTGTCAAACGTGACGTCTCAGCGCGGGGAGACCAGAATAGTGGCCAGTTCTGGATGACCAGAGCGAGTACAAGCACCAACAGCGCACTTGTGACAATGCCCCAGAAGATGCGTAGTCGACGACTGGTCCGGGTTTGCCATTCTGTTTCCCGCTGCTCCCAGCTATCGATCTCGTGTCGTACGGTCTCGAGTCGTCTACCTAGTTCTTCGACACGCTGTCGGCCAGCTTTCATGCGTTGCTCTAACGCGTCAGCCTTTTGGACCTGTGGCTGGAACCCTTTCAGGTCATTTAGCTGTTTCCGGATATCCTGGTCTAACCCGACTGTCTCACGTTCAAAGTCGTTGAGAAGTGTCGACGCCGAGTCGGAGAGTTCCTGGAACAACGAGATAGTCGAGTTGAGCGCCGTGATTTTCTCAAGAAGGTTGTAATAGGTGTAATCCAGTCGACGGGTGACGTCTGTCGCTAACGTTCCAATTGAAGTCAATGCAGATCGTAGATACCTTGGAACAACTATTAGTCAATTCCTTGCGCGCAAAGAAGCCACCCCTCTCCGAAAAAAGACATACTCCTCGCCTAGCTTCCTCCGCTTCTTAACCTTCTCTAGGTCATCCATAGAAAGAATCTCATTCCGGCGGATAGGCGCCAATCGCTCATGCTGCTCAGGTGTATCAAGCAGACTACCCTCCCGGCCATCCGATAGACCAGTAGTCGACTCAGAACCCCAGCGACTCCGGGTTGTCTCCCTCGTAACTGGCCTCAACAACCCGTCATCGGCCTCGCGGTCCTTATCCTTCCCGCCCGACCACGTAGGGAGCAATCCCCTTGCGCTCGCCGAGGAAGCCAGGTGACTCATAGGATTAGGGAAGCGCAGATCTCGCGACTTGTTATACTTGTGGCGGTGGGACTTTGTGCCATCAAAGGTGGATGGATCTAGCGGGCGAGGGGATGGCGATGGGCGAGTTCGATGTCGGGAGGCGGGCTCTCCTTTCGGGGAGGTTGGGCGGTCATCGGAGCCCAGGCGATGCGAACGACGGGTCTTTCTTCGGTCTGGTTGGGGGCTTTCTTGGCTGCCAAATCTGGAGAGGTCCTCGGAGTTGGACTGGAGGTCGCTGGCTTGCTGGCTTTGGTTCTGGCTCCGGGAGGGAGTTTGGGTGGATGGAAATGTAGCAGGGGCCCCTCGGGATGCTGAGAAAGACGCGTATTTATATGGAGGTTCCATGGTGGTACATCCTGCGAAGAAAAGTTTGGGGAAGCTTGGAGGCTTGGTGCGGTTGGAGTGTGGAGTTGGGGGGGGATCGATGACGCCAAGGCTGAAGACCGAAGACCGATCAGCGACTCAGTAGCTGACGGTAACATATCTAGTCGTCCCTCCCTTCAATACGATTACGCTAAACATTTTATTGCGATTATAGAAAAACATTTGTCTTGCTCGCTAGTAGTGACCTATGACCTAACCTCAACAAAAAAAAACGCCTGTAATCGAACAGCCCACGCCGGAATGAGTGCCCAGTCTTTCCCGCCAGGGACAAGGAAGGAGGAAGAAGTCTCGATAAGCCGATGTATATACACAGAATGCAGTCTTGGGATGAAATGGAGAGATGGTATGGCGGAGATATAGAGAAAGACCGTTGACAACTTCAGGAGCTGAGCAGCTTGTTGCGCTTCTCTCTGCGCTTGAGACGGTCGAGTCTCTTGTGGTGCATCTTCTCGGCCATCTTTTCATAACGTAGCTTCTCCTCCTTGGCTTCTCGGCGGTCCTTGATGCGCTGAATACGGGCCTGGAAATGGTTCGTCGGTCAGTGATACCATCTTGGGAAGCGATGTGTTGTCGGAGCATTATTATGGAGACAGGGCTGACCAGAGATAACAACCAGAGAAAGACACAAAAGGAGGGTAGTGAGACAAATTAAGAGAGTAAAAGGAATAAGATCGACATACCTTCCGTTCAGCCTCAGCCTCTTCCTTCATCTCACGTTCAAGTTCCTTGACAGCGTCGCTGTGCTTCTTGAGCTCTTGACGCTTAGCATATGAGGTCAAACCTGCAGTAGGGCGGAAAGCCTTCTTGGTGCCATGCCAGTTTTTACCTGAAGGTCCGATGGGGTTAGCCGGGGCGACGAGGAACAGTAGGGAAGTGGGGAGTGGATATTATATTTTTTTTCTCACTTACCATTTTTCCGTACGCCGGTAGTCGGAGGCACGACTGGTGTAGCCGTTGAGGTAGACATGATAGAATATGTGACTTGGAGAAAAAGGTAATTCCAAGTGGACGATTTAAGAAGGTGGGATGGAAGGAAACGTGAAGCAAAAGAGAGAAGCAAAGAAAAAAACGGAGACCGAGTTTTTCATTGATTATCTCGATCTGATAAAATGTCTTGGCGCCCGCTAGCAGAGAAAATGCTTCGGCTCAAATTTCCTGACTCCACCTTTTTTCCACTCTTGACTCACTTCCCGACTGTTTTTACATTACTTAACCCGCATATTCTTTCTGGTTTTGGGCTGCCATCACTTCCATCATCCTCTTAGCTTTCTGCACGGTGGCTTGGCACACCCTGTAGGCCCATCAAATCCCTCGTTACACCGCCCCTCCCCCCACCAGTCCACTACTTATACCTCCGGTTTCCCATCTTACCATGATCCCGCGATAACACTCTTTTTTCCCTTTCTTACCGATCTTACTTGATGGCGACAGAGCATGCGATTATCAGTGAACCGATGGAGCTACCATCGCTCCCGCCCAACCAGGGCCTTGAGGCGATAAAAGATATCATATTTGGATCGGTAAGGACGTCCTTGGCACATGCAGGAGATTTCAACTGACAGTCTCCAAAGTCGGCAGGAATGGCAGGCAAACTCTTTGAGTACCCTTTTGACACAGTCAAGGTCCGACTACAGTCACAGCCCGAACACCTCCCTCTCCGATATGCAGGACCAGTGGATTGTTTCCGTCAGTCTTTTCAAGCCGATGGTATCCGGGGACTATACAGAGGCATTAGTGCCCCCATGACCGGTGCTGCGGTGGAAACCAGCTGTCTCTTCTTCAGTTATCGTCTCATTCAGGATACGCTGCGCGCAACGGTCTACCCAGGCGTTGAGCACCTACCATTCTTCGCTCTCATCGCTTGTGGAGCTCTATCCGGCTCGGTGACATCACTGGTACTTACACCTATTGAACTGGTGAAGTGCAGGATGCAGGTGCCCGCCGAGACCTCAGCCCTCAAGCCCAGTGGCCCCATGGCCATCATTGCAGGCATTTTCCGACATGAAGGGCTGGCAGGGTTCTGGCGTGGCCAGATGGGAACCTTGATCCGCGAAACCGGCGGAAGTGCAGCGTGGTTCGGCGGATACGAGGGCGTATCGTCGCTTTTCCGCAACTATAACAACAAGTCGAAGCCGCAATTGACCTCCGACTCGCTCCCCATCCACCAACAAATGATCGCAGGAGCAACGGCTGGAATCAGCTACAACTTCTTGTTCTACCCGGCCGATACAATCAAGTCCCGCATGCAGACTGTAGACGTCTCACGACTGCCGATCCATGCCCAGCAACAGACCTTCTGGGGCGTGAGCAAAGCTCTATGGAAACAGCAAGGGCTCAAGGGCATGTACCGCGGGTGCGGGATCACCTGCGTACGCTCGGCACCCAGCTCAGCCTTCATTTTCACTGTTTATGAAGGATTACGGCAATATTTCGGATAAAAAAAAGAGAGAGACCGCTACAATTTCCCTGCATATAGAAATTTGTCTTCATTTTCCTTTTGGATTTTTTCATACCCGACTCTTTGGATTTTGGCATCGTGCGCTATACCCCGAATACATTCAAACACGATTCTTGACTCTTCCACATCTCTTTCATTTTTACCTCTCCTTACTCGATCTTCAATGCCTAACCCATCAGTAGTCCATTTCGGCTGGAAAATCAAGCGCCATTTTACGCTTTCCAGCCTTACCTACTCGGGTTGTGAGTGACCCGCGTATCCAATCATCCGACATAGGGCTGCTAAGCTGGCATGATGTATGACCAAGCATTGCCAGTCCAGGCGATAATATCCCATGGCCCTGTGTCGGGGATCCTTCACCCGTTCAGGATGAAGGCATTTGAATTTGGCGAACGGTGTTTCAACATGACCTTTCTTCTGTCTTGACTTTATTTTTCTTTGTATAGAATATAATATTGCAAATAACACTTCATTCCAATGTTAACACTCCCTATCTGACTCGATTCTCTCATAAATCCCGAAGGACCTAACCAATGCCAGCCAAAGCTTACGTAATACGCTAACCTCCCCGTATCTACACATCTCTTGACTGTATTTCCACGTATCCTGTGAACATGTCGGATGTCGAACACAACATCCCAGCTTCATCATCTAAACTCGAATTAAATAAATGCAGCTAATTGCGATGCAATCAAAGAAAAGTGCGGTGTGATAAAGCATATCCCTGCAGCGCATGTGTGAAAGCCGACGTGGAGTGCGCCTTTCCAGACCCACAAAGAGCACGGCGGACATCGAATAGGTCATCAGTTAGTGAGTTACTCGCTCGTTTAAAGCATCTTGAAGATGTCGAGCAGCTTCGCTCAACGCACGATACCGACCATACACCCGAGTTGAATGATCGTCTGAATCTGGAGACAGTCAAATAGACAGAATTGCTGGTTCTCAAAGATGGAAAGAGTCGGTACGTCGGTGACGAGGTTTCTGCTGTACTAGGAAACAAGGTCAGATAAGGGATACTGCTGGTACTGTATAGGCGTCAACTAATTTGCAATACAGATCTCTGAACTCCGCGAGATTACAGAAGAGTCATATTCGCCCGATGCGAAGTATAGTCCCATTATCCTGCCAGAGGGTGGACTTGTTGGAAATCACGAGTCCGACTGGTCTCTCGACTCCTTTCACCTCCATTATTGCCAACCAGCAAGGATAGATACATTATGGAGAACATATCAAGATAATGTGGCACCGTTGATTGTCATACTTCATCAAGCCATTATGGCGAGGATTGCCCAAGATGCCTGTACTGGCATCGAATTGACCCTTCAGATGAGGCATTACTGTTCTCTGTGTGTTATGCTGCCGTGGCTAGTGTGAAAACGCATAGCTGCCCTTGGATACTTGACACCGACCACGATACAGCCATCCAAGACTGCAAAAAGGCAGTGAGCCAGGGACTTCGCCGAGCCAACTTCGACACACAGTTTCTAACTAATGTTGACAATGATGGTATTGGCTTGCATTTGACTGATCAGCCATCACCGAACACCGGATTCACAAATACCATCATCTGCATCATGAACTGTCAGGTCATGAGCGATATGCTCTGGCCGCATCAGGGTGGATACCCGGATATGTCTACACAGGACCGCGAGAATCTTGTCACAGCTCTAGGAAAGCTTATTCACGAACAGTACATCGATCATTTTGACCTAGCTATCCCAATCCATTGGGTGATCGCAACTATCGTACGACTCCAACTCTCCAAGGCATGGCTGGCGACTCATTTCCAATCTGGAGATTTGGACGTGAAGCCCTTCCGCCATGACGATCGTGTCTTCGAGATCGCTGTCGAGCTTGTGCAGTTCTCCTACCTCCTGCGAACTAACAAAGGCACCTCGTAATGGCATGTGGTCGCTTTCATACTTTCCGAGCTGTGTTTGGGTCCACTTAGTCCCGAAACTGATCATGCTTGGGATGTCGTGACCAAAATGTATGGGCTTTGGCAGCAGGATATGCATACTGATGCTCTGCTTCAGAAGTCCTTAGATCGGCTCATGGCACGCACAGCCTCATCACGGGCTGCTAGACAAGGGCAGAATGTCCAGACATCATTCAGTGGAGCGGCTCTGTCCGATGTGTCTTTTAGATTGGATGACAGCGATTCTAATTTGCTTGAAGTACCGGAACTTTTTTCTGGGCTGGACTGGCTTGCTGGGTCCATCTTTTCGGCCATGTTATTCTTTCTATCTGGGTAAGTATTTCTCTATCCACACATCTCGTAATAACTAGATCTCTATATATTCAACTATCCCGTGTCTCGAACTGGCTATCCTCCTTCAACCAATCTCCAAAAGTCTTTAACCTAGGGTTTAGCCGTTTCAAAGCCGGAATATCCGCACCATATCCCTCATCATGAAACCATTTGAACATCACTCCCAGCTCCTTAACACTAGTCAACATCAGCCAAACCGGAATTTTATAAGTAGTCGGTATATCTTTGCCAGTTAAGGTCTTGAAGATTTCCGACATGCGATCAAAGGTCAATTCATCTCCAGCAAGCGAGAAAGCATGATTCTTCGACGCCTCGGGGTTCATAAATGCCGCCGCCGCAAAGAACCCAATATCACTGGTTGTGACCAGCTGCAACGGCTTGCCATTCAGAGACATCTGCCATGCAGTTGTGAACACCTTTCCGAAGTAATCCGGGGTGAAGTTCTCAAAAAGGCCACGGGACGGGGAATTGTCCATTCCATCTCGGTCCCTTTTGCTTTTTCTTTGAGATGCTTCTCAAACTCGTGTTTGAAATTGAAATGCAGGATTGGGGTTGGATTTTGGTCTGATTTCTCGCCGCCGCGGTCGATGGAGCTGTACACGAAGTACTTGACGCCTTGTTTGATGGACTCGTCTATCAGAGCGATTCCTTGACATCTTTCGTCGTCTTTTTTTTTGGGATTGGCGGTCTATTTCAGATCGGTCTGGGTATATGTTTGTAAGGTATCGTTTTCGGGCACACTTACCTGGACGCTGAAAACGCCCCAAACTGGGGTTGAGGTTTGACGCTTTACATTCTCGAATACGGCAGCTGGGACTTTAAGATTGCCTTGGATTAATGTGATATTTGAAGACTTTTGGGCGAGTTTCTCGCTGCAGTGGAGTTGGCATCACGAGTCACGGCGAGGATCTTGAAAGGGGCAGTTTTCTCCAGAAGGGTCTTCACCACGGACCCTCCTTGTTTGCCTGTGGCTCCGATGATGAGAACTGTGGTCATTGTAGTCTGGTATAGATGGATAAATAGTCCAAATGCCCTTCAACATATGATTTATAAGAGTCGCAGGGATTCGGGATAATTCTCAACCCCGGATTTGTGATGAATGACGTCACCCATCAATGATACTATCATGAGTATACATCGAAACATATAAATAACATATAGAAAGGATATAAAAGATATAAATATACAGGTCAATTATTCACCGCAATAATACTCATCCCCCTATGAACTTCCTTGTCGGCAGCATGTAAAAACTCCCTCACCGTCATATCCAACCCTTGTTCTCCTAACAAGTCCCCTTCCAATTCACCTCGCAATAAGGGTCCATTCATCCCCCCATTCAATTCCCAAACCTTCCCATCTTTCTTAACAAAAGCGATAAAATGAAACCCACATTCCTCCTGTGGCAAAGGCACAATTGAACACCCCTCGGATGCCGCATCCATATGCGCTTCTTCCAAAAACCTCGAATCATATAAGAGCCGTGCCCTCTCCACCGGCCCCAGCTCAACTGCGAGCTTCACAATCTTCTCCAGCTCCGATCCAGCCGTGATATATTTCCCATTCTCCAAATTGACAACCACATGCAGTAATGCCATTAGCCCACACGCATGTCCGATCGTCTGCTTCATCCACAGCACGGGCTCGTCGGCCCCGCTACCGAGATATTCGGGTATGCTATGTTCGACACCAGAACGCGCGGCGAGGTAGATGGGTTTATCGCAGAGGAGGATGAGGGCGTTTACAGGTCGTGGGATCCAGGAGAGCATTTCTGGGGTGGTGGAGAGGATATCGTGGAAGGTCAGGCTCGGGGATACTCCGAGGTTCTTACATAGATGCGTGTGGACTTCTGGGTTGTTTTCTGTTATAGTGAGCTTGTGTGGTCTATATCTGGGGAGGGGGGGAATGTACTTACCTAGGGGTATAAAGGTCTTTTGGCCGTTGATGACCTGAACGCCTAGGTTAAACATGTTTGAAGATGATAGAGACCTTTTAGATCGTATGTTCAATAGAAGAGGGGGGGAAAACATGGCTTAGTCATCATCTATTCGAAGGTTATCCCACACCAATGTAAGGTATAAGAGTCTCAGTGGAATATCTATAGAACAACTGTTTAATGTTGATAGATGTATCTAGAATGCTAGATGCGACATTGGTGGATCTACAAATATACTAGTAGTGATACTCCTAACTATAACTACATTGTATGTAACTATATGTCCCGGATTTTCCCGTGTGGGGGCTCTTTCCTATTTGATCTCTGCTGCCGCTTTTCTGAGCTCCGGCTGAGATGTCAGCACGCACAGATGCGTAGTCACGTGCAGAATGACTAATGATGAGTGTTAACTAACGTATTTCACCACCGAGTGGATCACACCACCGAGTGGATCAGCGACACGAAAACACGTCCATGAATTACCACTTAACCACTTCAACCACCCACTATGCCACCAATTCGCTCCCGATCCTCTAGTAATTCAGCAGAGCAAGAGGGTAGGCTTTTATTAGCTATCCAGGCTATTAAAAACCAGCAAATTACCTCTATACGCGAAGCATCGCGTCGTTTTGAAGTGCCATTCTCCTCTTTACGGAACCGCCTTAATGGTCTCATAAATCGCTCCGAAACCCGCGCAAATTGCCGGAAATTAACAGATATTGAAGAGGATTCTCTTCAAAAATGGATTCTCTCTATGGATTCTCGTGGATCAGCCCCCCGGCCTTCTATGATACGAGAAATGGCGAATCTTCTCCTCGAAAAGCGCGGAACTACCCCGGTTCTTTCGGTCGGCGAAAATTAGGTTATAAAATATATTAAACGACGTCCTCTACTCTCCTCCCGATTCTCGAAACGGTATAATTACGAACGTGCGAAATGCGAAGACCCGAAAACTATTCGAGAGTGGTTCGATCTTGTTCAAAAAATAATCCTTTAATTCGGAATCGACCCCGATGACGTTTATAACTTCGATGAGACTGGTTTCGCGATGGGATTAATCGCTACAGCTAAGGTAGTTACGAGGAGCGATTTCTACGGTCGGCGCCCGGTTTTATAACCTGGAAATCGTGAATGGGTGACTACTATTGAATGTACGAATGCTTCGGGGTGGGCCCTGCCTCCGTGTGTGATTTTTAAAGGCAAAGTCTTCCTCGAATCTTGGTTCGATAGCCTTCCGGATAACTGGCGATTTGAAGTTAGTCTAAACGGTTAGACCTCTGATGAAATTGGAGTTCGCTGGCTCGAAAAGCTCTTTATTCCGACGACTTCTTCACGTACGAAGGGGGGTATCGACTTTTAATACTCGACGGACATGGAAGCCATTTAACCCCGAAATTCGATGAGATCTGTGAGCAAAATAAGGTGGTACCGATCTGTATGCCACCTCACTCCTCTCACCTTTTACAGCCTCTCGATATCGGCTGTTTTGCGGTGTTAAAACGATCGTATGGTCGGCTGGCTGAAATGAAAATGCGGACTCGGATCAACCATATCGATAAACTTGACTTCCTCGAAATATACCCCCTCGCACGAATCGAAGCTTTTAAATCGGAGACGATTAAGAATAGCTTTAAAGCAGCTGGTTTAGTACCTTTTGCACCTGATTAAGTGATCTCGAAGCTAGATATTTAACTTCGAACTCCTACCCCCCCTCCGAGTAGGAGGAGCGATTGGGACCCTAAAACGCCCTCGAACTACGTGCAATTATAAAAGCAAGCTTCGTCAATTAAAGCTTTACTTCGTACTAGATCGAGGAGCCCTCCGAGCCCGCTAAATTGCGCGATAAATCAGGTTTTAAAAGCCTGTTAAATCACTATGCAGTCTGCTGCTTTTCTCGAGAAAGAAGTCAGCGATTTACGCGCTGCTAACGAGAAGCAGAAGCAAAAGCGGGCTAGATCTCGAAGGCATATACCCTCCGAAGAAGGACTCTCAGTCGAAGAAGCCTCTGCATTAATTATGCAGCAACAGGAAGCAGGTGAAGCACCTCCCCCGGATCCCAGTGTACCTAGAGAATCGGCTATTCAGCCACGTACGCGGCCCCCCGGGGGTGTGGAATATGCAGATTGCCAGGGCATAGAAGAGAAACATGTCCAGATAGACCAGTTAATTAGTTGAATTAATTTAATGGCGTTTTGGTTGAGATAAATGGAATTAAATTCATAGGGTTGGGTTTGCTGATCCACTCGGTGGTGTGATCCACTCGGTGGTGTGATCCACTCGGTGGTGTGATCCACTCGGTGGTGAAATACGTTAGTTAGTTAACTATCTCATTGACGCTTGGTAACGTGCTTTTAATCGATAACATGAAAACAATGCTTCGAGAGCGACAATGATTTGACCTTATGATTCACTTTGATGGAACGTTTGAAGCTATGCATATAAAGACAATAGACAAAGAAACAGAAAAAGAAAGAGAGAAAAAAATACGCTACATAATCTACTTCTCATCAAATCCTTCCCCAAACGCCAAATCACCATTACCAAGTACAGTATAAATGGTGTGCTTTGTTTCTCTTATCACTGCCGGAGCAGTCTGGGGAATAGGACCTGGCCACCTGCGGCCCGCCGCAGGTACATGGCCAACAGAGGGTTCATCCCAGCCTTTGCAGCAGAATCGATCCATTCGTCCACTGAGAGGACCCCGAACGATTCACCAGTGCCCATCTCCATCAGATCCTGCACCTCCTCCATACCAATTTCAATCTCTCCAGACTCATATAGGTAGCGAGGGCTATCCGTCATCTCCTTCGCGCCGGAAATTGCGCCGGCAATGATCGTCCTGGCCACCGACTGCACAGAGATGAAGTCGAAGTGGCCCGACCAGGCGCTCGAGTCAGGGATGGCCTTGATCTCGCGCGAGTACTTCATCATGTTGCTCATCAAGTCCGACTCTGGGGCGTCGTCGCCAGTGATGCTGCTGGGGCGGTGTATGGCCACAGGCAGACCGAGCTGCTTGTTGATGCGCTCCAGGTAGACTTCGCTAACCCACTTGGCAGAAGTGTAGCCATCAGCGTTCTCGCTGTTGGGAGGATACTTCTCAACAGAAACCTGACCAAAAGCATCGAGACCCGACAGGCGGGCGACACTGGCAGAGGAGACAAAGTGGAAAGGAACACGGCGGGGAATGCTGAGGCGGACAAGCTCCTTAGTAGAAGCAACATTAATGAGCTTAAGACTCTGGTAGGTCTTCATGAAGGACACATCAGCGCCGACATGGATCACGGTATCAGTCTCGTCGAACACTGCCTTCGCTTCCTTCTTAGAAAGGCCAAGCTGCTTAGCACCGAGGTCGCCTCCGTAGACGATGACCTTGTGGTGGTCGAAGATCTTGGAAAGCTGCTCTTTAGGCTTGCGGACGGCCAAGCAGTAGATCTTTGTAATGTTCTTATTGTTGGTCAGTTGACGGAGAATCTCCTTGCCCAGGAAACCAGTGGATCCGGTAATAACGACAATGCTTGGAGTAGTAGATGGCTGGACCGGATTAGGAGACTTGGGTGCGTTGGCGAGGTCAGATGGAACCTCGACCTCTTTCTCCCAGTCGACATAGGTAGCCTGCTTGCCTGAGCCCCGGTCCTGGAGCATCACCGCCATCTCGCCTAGGGTGATAGCCTGGAAGAGCTCCGAGAGAGGGACAGCAATGTTGAGACGCTCGCGGATCTGAGTCTGCAGGGACACTAGAGACAGAGAATTACCGCCAACATGGAAGAAGTCGGAGACCTTGTTCAAGTTATGGCTGCGGAGGACTTCCTGAGGAAGGACCTGCTGCCAGAGACCACGGAGAGTATTCTCAAACTCGCCGAGATCAGCCGTGTTATCTTTGGTACGGGGTTGAGTGCTCTCAGGGAGTTCCATAGAGTTGATCGCCGATCGGTCAATCTTGTTAGAGCTAGTCTTGGGGATGGTATCTAGAGCAACGATAGCCGAAGGACGCATGTATTGGGGCAGAGGAAGCTTCTGAGGAAGCTCTGCCAGGAACGTACTCTGATCAGTTTCGTTGTCAGAAAGCTCAACAAAGGCAACCAGATACTTGTTATCAGAGTTCTGAATCTGCCTAGCGGAGACCACAGCTTGGCTAATGTGAGGAGCAGCATAATTGACGATGGTGCTCTCAATATCCTCAAGGTCCATGCGAATACCTCCAATCTTGACCTGAGTGCTGCCCTCAATTCTACCCTGTAGGACTAGGCGTCCATCAGCGGTGAAGCGGCCGCGATCACCAGAAGCGTGGACGGTATTCCACCCTTGCTCCTTGAAGAAGGAGGTAGCCTGCTTGCCGGGGAGGAAGGCGACGGATGTGGCCTTCTCTTGGTTGAGGTATCCTCCGGCAACACCAGCACCGCCAATGACAATTTCACCGGGAACGCCGGCGGGCACAGGGTTCATATTCTCGTCAACAATATAGATGTTGTAGTTAGGGCTTGGAACAACAGCAAAGGACAGGTCCTCGACATCTACGACGGAGACCTCGCTATCCGCACATGCACAGGTGGTTTCGGCAGGACCGTAACTGTTAATGAGCTTCAGGTCGGGCTTCTCCAGGGAGCGGAAAGCACGGACAAGAGACTTAGTCATGGCCTCACCACCGCTCATGGCACCACGCCATTGGGAGGTTCGCAGCAACTCCTGGCCACCATGCTGGATCCAGGCCATATACTCAGTAGGGGTGCCCAGGGTGAAGGTAACACCCTGAGAGACCAGCATGTTGCAAACAGCGGCGGGATCATGGCGAAGAGCTTTGTCAGGAATAACAAGAGTTCCACCAAACCCAAGGCCGACGATGATCTGACCCATGGACATGTCAAATGCATAAGAAGATTGCTGCAGCACAGTCTCTTCACCCTCTTTGATTCCCCATCGGGGAACGGCAAATTCCAGAAAGTTCTTGTATCCGGAGTGCTTCAAGACCACACCCTTAGGTACACCGGTAGTTCCACTAGTGTAGGCAATGACGGCAGTGTCAGAGGGCTTGGCCTGGCTAGGAACAAACTTGTCTTCCTGAGATACAGGAACAGTGGACACATTGATGACATCGGCTCCAGTGTCACGCAAGAACTTAGTCTCGCTCTCAGTGATGCCGTCAACGAAAATGACCTGGGGGTTGCAGTCCTTGACTACAAGAAGAAGGCGGTCTAGGCCTACACGGGAGTCAAGCGGGACGTAGGCAGCTCCAGTTCGCAGAATAGCGAGCATAGAGCAAACCCATTCTGGTCCAGGGCTCTGGAAGACACCCACGCAAGAACCGCTGCCCACTCCACGGTCCAGGAGTAGAGCTGCAAGCTCGCTCGCGCGGCTCGCCATCTGCTTGTAAGTGACGCTGTTTCCCAAGCCATCAGCCAGAGCGGTTCTCTCACTGTACGCCTTAGACATGTCGTCAATGCGGTCGACAATAGTAGACGGCCATTGAGTAGTTTTTTCGTCACCTAAAAGCGCAAGCAAGTTAGTACCCAGATATGTTATGAGTCAAGAGGGATGGTACTTACCGCGACCGAACTCTAGTGCGCTCTTCACATCGTCTTCAAGATGGAGAGCGGGCCAGATAATGCGAATAGCAGGGTTTCTCGCAAATCCCTGGAGAAGGCTGAGGTAGCTCTTCTTAAGCAGATTGGCATCGTCTTTAGAGTAGAGATCCTTGTTCACAGCGAAGACCACAAGATTATCACCGCTACTGACATCAACAACGTCCACACTAATGTCGTAGGCGTTCTGGCCGCCAGCAATCAGCTCACCATCAGAAGAACAGCCGCAGAAGCTGCGTGCTTCGACGATGTTTTGACGGTAGTTAAGGAATGACTGGAAGAGCGGGCTGTAAGAAGGAGACCGGGGCACCTGGAGCTGGTCCAGTAGAAGGTCGAAAGGAACACGAGAGTTGGCAAAGGCGCCATCGCTGATGCTCTTGACATCCTTCAGGATATCCGCGAAGGTTTGTTTGGTGTCCTGGCGGAAGCGCAGTGGAAGCAGGTTCAAGAAGAGACCAAGACTCTGCAGCACGTCGGCATCCTTTCGGTTGCCGTCGGCAACACCAATGCACATATCCTCAATCCCGTTGGTGAAGCGAAAGAGGAGGATGCGGAATACAGCCAGGTAGAAGTGGAATGGGGTCACCTTGAAGCGGCGGCAGCATTGCTCAATCTGGCTCTTCAGCGCCTGGTCCATACGGAAGTCAACCAAGTGCGAACCAAAGCTGGAGGAGTTGGGCCTCCATAAACGCTGAGACAGCTTGAACAAGGGTAGAGGAGCGGGCAGGTCAGGGAACTGGCTGTGCCAGTAGCTGAGCTGCTTAGACCATGATCCCTGTTCGTACTCATGGAGCTGACGGAGAGAGAAGTCGGGATACTGCAGCATACCCGCGCCACTCAGATCGAGAGTTCCGTTGTAAGCCTTCTCGAGGTCAGCAAAGAAGATGGGGAAGCCGATGCCATCAACAGCAATGTGGTGGTAGGCGAGGATGATGCAGTGTTGGTCCTCCGAGAGCGAGAGAAGTTGCAAGCGGAGAGAATCGCCCTTGGCAAGATCAAAAACGTGGTCTTGCATTTCTCGGACAGCCTTTTGAATATAATTCTCATTCTTGACATTGGCATGCTGAAGAGTCAAGGTGGACTTGGGCAAGACACCTTGCATGTGCTGTTTGGTGTTCTCGTCCGTATAGAAGACAGTCCGAATGGCCTCGTGGCGCTGTCCCACATCGGTGAGAGCCTTGCCGAACTTCTCAATGTCAAGCTTACCCTTGAGGTGGACAACCGATGTAACATTGAACGCAGTCTTGTTCTCGACAAAGAAGTTCAAGAACCAAAATCGAGACTGAGCAAATGACATAGGAACAACTCGCTCAAATCCTTCCTTACTACGCGACCCAAGCAGTTTCTCCTCCATATCTAAGGAGATGGGAAGAGAAGGAGTAGTATTGGTCGGGGACGCCTGCGACTCCAGCTCTGAAGTAGGAGTAGACTGTCTCTCACTCGAGGAAGAATGGTCGATGGTGGACACGGTGGTAGATGGAATGTCCGTCAGGCTAGGCGTCAGCTTCTGTGGCTTTGCTGCCGGGGTAGCGGCCGGAGGTGCTTCCTTAGCAAGATCGGCACTCTTAAGCTTCGGCTCGCCACCCAAATTGGGGACAATCTCAGCTGACAGCATCTCCTGTGCAGTATACAAGAGATCGCGAACAGAAAGCGCGTTGAGAACCCTAAGGACGGGCATGTCGACACCAAGCTCCTTGCGGAACCAAGACTGAATGTCGACAGCAACAAGCGAGTCCACACCAAGCTCATCGGGGCTCACTTCAAGCATGGGCTTGTCGGGGTCAGCCTGCAGGGCAATCTGGAGCTTAAAGAGGAACCCAGCTATTACAAAGTCAGTAAATCAATTGATATATTGCTATATTGTGGAGCACTTACCCTTCATAATCTCGAACACCTCCTCCTCGCTGGTAGCCTCCAAGAGCTGAGGCTTGATTGCAGCACCAGCCTTGTTCTTGCTCTGGCCAGTGACCAGATGACTACCCTTGCGGACCAAATGCTGGAACATTGGGTTCGATGCCCAGTCACGCTCTTCGTCATCATCGAGCCGGAGACCAGTGGACATTTCATAAGTACCAGAGAAGCCAGGGCGACCAGCAAGAACGCCCTCAGCGAAGATCTCTTGGAAGTCCTGCTCAGACATCCAAGAGTGACCAACCTTGTGGAGGAAGGACTGCTGTCCAAGGGTCAGCTCTCGGGAAACGTAGCCGTTACCCATGATGGCACCGATGTTGATGACGGAGCCGGCAAGGCCACGCTTGCGTCGCTGAGCAGCCTGGCTGGCCATGAAGGCATTGGCAGCAGAGTAGGCACTCTGCCCCGGGTTACCAGTGACGTAGGCCATGGACGAGAAGTAGACAAAGAAGTCTAGGTTGGCTTCACTAAACAACTCGTCAAGGTAAACACTTCCGAGAACCTTGGGCTTCACAACCTTCTCAAAACGCTCCATATCCAGATCAGGGAATAGAGTATCGTGGAGAACCATAGCACCCTGAGCAACGCCGCCGATGGTAGGCATGGTGTCATTGATCTGCTTATAGACCTCGTGGACAGACTGTCGGTTTGTGACATCGTTGGCGAAGACGCGGACAGTGCAGCCCTGGGCGGACATGGTCTGGAGCCAGGCGTCCTGGATCTTGGGGTTACGGCTGGACAGCGCAATGTATCTCGCACCACGCTCAACCATCCACTGGCAAAGGGACAGACCCAGACCACCAGTCAAGCCAACAAGCCAGAAGGTCTTGTCCGAAGCAAAGTTAACTTCCTTGTTGGCGGGCTGCATCTGGATGCGAACAGTAGGCTGACCCTGCCAAGAGACGATAGCCTGCTCCTGGAAAGAAGCAGAGCTGTTCTCAGTGATCTCGTCGAGAGAGATGGTCGGGATGGAGCCAATGTCTGTTGTGGAGAGACTATCTACGCAGTTCAGCCAAGCCATCTGGACATGGTCAGATACCTGTCGGACGCCAAGTGGGCTGAGATCAAGCCGAGCGTAGTCGCTGACCAGACCATTGTGATCAAGCTTGGGGCAGTCTGGAGGCAGGCAGCCCTGCACAAGTTGTGACGTCTCACTCTGAGTGTCCATGTCAATGTACATAGACAGGTTTCTTGGCAGAAGTTTGTGAAGGGACGACGTTGTCGCACGGGGATGCACGTACGCCCAAGGTCTGGTGCAGTTCTTGGCTGCAGTGGTAAGGAGCACCAGCTGGATGCCACGCTCAGCGGCAAGCTTAGCAAGGGCTCCGCCCAGAGCGTATCCAGGGTTGAACACGGCAATGACCTTGCCCTGAATGGCGTTCTCAAGGATGCTGTGGGCCAGGAGCTGCATGTACAGCGACATCAAAGCCTTGAGCGCCTGCTCGTCAGACTGAGGCATAGCAATGGTCCATCCAGTCGGTGCGTGGACGTGCGAATCCAGAGAGCTGGACAACACAATGACACGAGAGCCATTCTGAGAGTCCTCGCCGAGCGAGATGAAAGCCTTGCTTTTTCCAGTGACCCGGATAGCCTTGAGAAGCGAGTGACTGAGCCTAATGCCTCCGATGCGGGACTTATTGGCTTCCTGCTTCTCCCTCACAACGAACTTGGAGTCCCGAGGCATGATGGACAAGCTGGTGTTCTTGACGTTCACATCACGGGTTAGGAGCCTACGCGAAGAGTTGTATCGGTTGTTCCTCGCTGGGCTGAGACGGAAGCGAGGAATCATAACCTGCTGTTTCTCAATGAGAATCTCTGGCTCATTGTACCAGAGGATATCCTTGAGCTGACTATTGTCATCCCAGACACTGTAAGCATCAAGCTGGAGCAGCTTCTTGGCAATAATTTCAAAATTGATCTCAGAAGGCGTAGCAAAGTCCAAGACCTGAGAGTGGACATGAGTCAGCTCCAGGGTGACACTTCGCTGCAAGCCAATGAACATGTTCTTGTAAGGGCTGTCGGCTTGTGCCCCACATGTAACCCAAAGAATGTTCTTGCTCTGGTTAAAGATGTTCTGGAGAGCCTTCAGCTGTGTCAAGGAGATGTCCTCGAACGTAGACTCGTCGAAGAGATCAGCCAAGCAGACAACAGTACCAGAGAAGGGTAATTCAGCGGCAGCGGCCTCATCCAAACTGTTGATATGGCGGATCTCCTTGTAGTGACGAGAAACGCTCTCGTCTAATTTGTCACCAGAGATGTCGCCCTTTCCTCCAATGATAGTCAGACTGTTCACATCCAGTGATTGACTGGTGAATAGAAGCGGCTCGCGAAGGAAAGAAATCTTATCGTCGACGGCCTGGCAAGCAATCACGGCCAGAGGCAGAGGGAAGCTGCTGTTGTGAGGGGTATGAGACGTAATACCAGAGAAGCCGGTCTTCAGCATCATTTCCTCCCAGACATTGGCTTCAACGCAAGGAGATAGCTTGCGACCATCGTTGTAACCAAGCCACCAGCCAGGCAGGCCACCAAAGATGAAACCGAAGCGCATGGGGTCATTATCAGTAAGCTCTACCATGAGAAGATGACCACCGGGCTTCAAGAGCTTGCGGGCATTCTGCATGGTGTCTTCAATGTTTCGGGTAGCGTGGAGAACCAGAGAAGCGATAACAAGATCGTATGAGCCCTCGACATAGCCTTGCTCAGCAGGGCTCTTCTCGATATCACAAACCTTGAAGATCATGCGAGAGCGGTGCTCGGCAAACTTCTCCTCGGCTTTCTCGAAGAAGCCACTAGAAATATCAGTGTATGTATACGAGGAGAAAGCACCATTGAGACGCTGGAGGATCATGCCAGTGGCACCACCGGTTCCAGAGCCTATTCAAATTAGCTAAAAGGCTACTCACGGCCAAAGGAGTCCTAACTTGCCAATTTCAAGAATGTTCATGTGGGGGAAGCGGTGGCTGAACTGGCCGACAATGCGGGCCATATCCTCAAGATATGTGTTCATACCCAGAGCGTAGGCGTAGAAGTCGTTGAGCATGTTGCCATGCATCATTGCCTCCAGAATGTTCATGTCGCCTCTGATAGCAGTGGGCATGTTTTCACCAACCGCCTTCATGATACGCAAGTCAATGCTGTCAGGGTGACTTTGATTTAGGTTAGCATAAGCTATAGGGAATGCAGTAAGTATTTAGGAAATCAACCTGTCAATAATCTTAAGAATCTCCTCCCTCTTGTCATTGATCCACTCCTTCTTTGCATAGGGGTGCGTGCCACTGGCAACGTACTCCAAGCAGTGGTCGACATAGTCAAAGAGGCGGTCATGGTGCCACTCGAATCCTTCTCGCTTACCCTTGGGGAACTCGGCATTAATCTGGCGGAGGTAAAAATACGCAACCCTCTCCATGAGGAACGATAGGTCAAGGTCGTCAGCGTACTCATCACCTTCCCAGGTAACGTTAGTTCCGGTGGGGATCTCGGGTCCCCAAGTCAACTCAGAGAAGATGTTGGCATCATTCTCAGAAGTTGACTTGTCCAAAGGTGTGGCATGGAGGCCTTGCAACTGAATAATGGTGTGGCTAGAATCAACCGAGTAAACCTCAACATCACCAGACAGATCTGCACCGCCATGATCAGCCATGGACGAGTAGAACGGCAGCTGAGCACCGGACTGGAGGGTGGACTCCCGGCAGTAGGCAAGGTTGATACGAAGGCGATCAACCTTCGTTGGCAAATATATAGTACGCAGGCGGCCATCGCCAGGGTAGCTGAAAGCCAGCATGATAGACTGGATAGCACAATCCAGGGTGCCAGGGTGAATGATCAGCGAAGGTGCATCCTTGCCCTCGGCCTCAGGAACACCCAGGGTACCGAGAGCCTCGCCAAGCCTTCGGCTAGTGTTGGAGAGAGCCTGGAAGGGACCGGTGTAGCCGAAGCCCAGCTCGCTGGTGGCCATGTAGAATCGCTCCCACTCGAGATCCAGGTACAGACCCTTACGAACATAGGGAGCGGGGAGTGTGTCCTTGGAGGCAGTGCCTCGGACCACACGAAGCTTACCGGAGGCATTCTTGACCATGGCGCCAGAATCCTTTCCGCTGTCGGAATAGTAGGCAAAAACCAACTGGTCAACACCAGGGCTTTCCTCGACAACCTTTAGGGACAGGATGGTATCAACACCGCCGTTCTCCTGGAGAGTGAGAGCCTGTCCAATGATAAAGTCGATAAAGTCAAGCATCTGGATCGACTCGGCGGGGTAAAGCTTGACTGCCGCTTCGACAACTGCCGAGACGTAGCCAGCAGCAGGGAAGACAATCTGACCCTGAATCTGGTGGTGGACGAGCCAGGGAATCTCACGGGGCGTGAGGTAGTTCTTGAATCGAACCTCGTTGTTAATGCCATCGGGGCACATAGTGCCTAGAAGCTCATGAGGAGCCTGGCTGCGGCCACGGAACGCCTTGGAGTACCGCGACTCGTGCCAGTAGATACGATCGTGGTCCCAGGGATACGTTGGAAGGCCCTTTAACAGCCTAGGCGCCACCTTGCTGCCGTGAACAGCTTTATCGTAGGCCGTGAAGTCCACGGCAGCAGGACCGAGCGACTTCCAGAGAGAACCAAAAGAGTCAGAAATGGCCTCGATTGCGTTTACACCACGTGCCAAGGTTCCAGTATAAGGGATGTCCTGGCCAGAGATTTCCTTGATAGTGGAGGTAGCAGGGCCCTTAAGGGCAGGGTGAGGGCCAATCTCAATTCCCATGTCAAAGGGACCCTCGGCACCGATGGCATACTCCACAGCCTGTGAGAACAGAACAGCTTGGCACATGTTGTCACCCCAGTACTTGCCCTGGAGCTCGCTGAGGTCAACGCTCTCAATGTTCTCGCCGATAACGCTGGAAATCCAGACAGGGAGGTTCGCGTCGTCAGAGCGAGCCAGGACCTTGACGTGGCATGTCTCGAGGGCCGCGACGTAAGGCTCAAAGCAGGGCTTCATGTGGTGCGAGTGGTAAGCCTTATCGACCTTTAGGAGACGGGCAAACTTCTGCTCATCTTCAAGAATTTCCTTGGCCTCTTCAATGGCATCTAGGTCACCGGACAGTGTCAAGCTGCTGGGGGAGTTCCTAGCAGCAATGCAGATGCGGCCCTTAAGAGAGGGCAGCTCGCAAAGCTCTTCGGCATCCTCGTGAGACGTGCCGACGGCCATCATACCACCCTGGGCGTCATCTTCACTACCAGCGAGTTTCAGGAAGAATCCACGGTAGTAGGCAATTCGAATAGAGTCCTCAGCGGAGAGATAACCAGCAGTGTGTGCCGCAGCGATTTCACCAGAAGAGTGACCAACAACTGCTGCCAGGTCAATCTTAGCAGCCTTAAGAAGAGTAACAAGGGCAACTTGTACAGCGGTGCACAGAGGCTGCGAGAGCGCCGCCTGACCGATACGAGAATAATCCTTGTCCTTGAGCAACTCTTCCCGGATGGTCCACTCAGGGATATGCTCGGCGGGAAGAGTGTTAAGAGCGCTCTGCAGCTTATCAATGCACTCCGAGAACAGAGGCGAGCTTCGGAGCAAGTCAGCGCCCATGGTGGCCCACTGGGCACCCTGGCCAGTGAATACACCAAGGAGGCGGGGCTTGCCCTCTGAAGTGGCCTGAGATCCGGAAATGGTCATAAAGCCAGTGGAGTTCTGGCTGACATCTTCGAGCTTCTTGGCCAGGTCTTCGACCGTCAGAGCAGAGATGGAGACCCTCAACGGCAGGGTAGATCGTCGAGTGTTCAGAGTCCAGGAAAGATCTCGAAGGCTGATAGTCGGGTTCTCCTTTATGAACGAGGAGTACGTAGATAGAAGGTTGGCGAGAGACTTCTCTGTACCAGTGGAGAAGTTGAAAGGTGCCATGGAGGGACCGGTGGGCTCTTCGACATTCTTCAGAAGAGCTTGCTTAGGATCTGGGACAAAATTCTCGAGGATGGCGTGGGCATTGGCACCTCCGAAGCCGAAGCTGTTGACACTGGCACGGCGCAGGTCTCCAGTTTGGACCTCGGGCCACTGCTGTGCCTCTTGGGCGATACGAAGGTCAGTATAGAAAGGCTTGACCCGGGGGTTGAGTTCATTAAAGAGCAGATTTGGAGGAATGGTGCTGTTTTGGAGTGCCAGCGAGGCCTTCATGACACCGGCGATACCGGCAGTGCCTTCAGTGTGGCCAACAACAGTCTTGATCGAACCGACATACAGAGGGGCGTCAGTTACGGCCCTCTCAAACCCGACGTTAGGTCCGAAGAAGGCGGTGCTGATGGCCTCGGCCTCCATTGGGTCACCAGCAGGGGTACCAGTTCCGTGGGCCTCAAAATATTGAGGGCGATCCGCCGGCTTAGACAGATCCAGCCCGGCCTTCTGGTAGGTGGCGTTGATGAGCTCTTGCTGAGCCACCGGGTTAGGCATAGTAATGCCCTTTGTGCGTCCGTCTTGGTTAATGCCTGTCTCTCGTATGATGCACTCGATGTTGTCGTGGTCTGCTAGTGCCTGGCTCAGAGTCTTAAGCACTAGGACACCAACACCGTCACCACGGGCATATCCATCGGCATCTTTGTCCCACATTCGGCTTCGGCTGTTAGGGCTAAGCATTTTCAGCTTGCTCTCGGCAACATATTGTTCGGGCCCTAGAAGGAGGTTGGCTCCGCCGACGATGGCGCTGCCGGACTCGCCACTTCGAAGGCTCTGAACCGCCTGGTGGATGGCGTAAAGACTGGAGGAACACGCCGTGTCGATAGTCATCGATGGGCCGTGGAGGTCAAAGAAGTAGGATACTCTGTTAGAGATGATGCTTCGTGCGGTGCCAGAGGCAAAGTAGGTAGGGAAGTTATCAATATCGCGACCGAGAAGGTCAGCGTAATCGCCCGTCATCAGGCCTATGTACACGCCAGTGTTGGAGCCCTGGATTTTCTCCATGGGGATACCCCCGGCTTCCAGAGCTTCATAAACGGTCTCCAGAAGAAGTCGTTGTTGGGGATCGATTGAGTTAGCCTCGACGGGCTTGACTCCAAAAAACTGGGCATCGAAATGACGATGGTCTTGGTTGAGGATGTAGGATTGGCGAACATTGGTAGCACCATGGTGGAGGGCATCCTCGTGGTAGAAACCATCAGTGTTGAACCGGCTTGGCGGAATATCGCTGATGACATCGCGAGGTTGGCGGAGAAGTTCCCACAGCTTTGGTGGAGATGAGGCATCTCCAGGGAATCTACAAGCACTGCCGACAACGGCGATGGGCTCATTGGCATATTTCAGCTGGCGAGCCATGGTGAGAAGAGAAGAAGAGGACACAGCCTAAGACCGGTTTATGATGTATAATTGAGGGTATGATAAAGTAATATAGGCAAGGCATCTCTGGCTTATACGAGATATGTAGCTGAGTAGATTGCTGGTATGCTGATTCGGCTCCGTATGCCGTAACTGTCCCCTAAACAATGAGTATTCAATTTCAGCTTCGGACCTAGCAAGTCCATTTAGGAAAGTGGTATAGGGCTACTCCGATTAGCACACGGGGAATGGCCGCACCAACCAATCGGGGTCGCGCTACAGACCGGACGTCCGTTGCTGCCATAATTCCGCTCAGGTACAGACACTATCTACAATGTAAACAGGAAGAGGAATGGGGGGGCTTCTTGTGCCTATAGAAACCGTTCGACGTTTATTGAACCATTCATGCCCCATCTCATATCCTGGAATTCTGTCTCGATCTTCCTTACATGCTCTTCTGTCGCGACCTCAATTCCTCAATTTACAGAAGGTGTTCGTCGATTTTTCTTAAATAAAGAACCCGAATCTCAAATTCTCGTCATGCATCAATTCTACAAGGGCGAGTTCTTCAATTTTGAAGTTATTCGCATCCTTGGCACAGCCCGCTCTGGAGGCGCCGACGTCGCAGAGGTACTCGACGCTGTAGGCCAGATCAAGGAAAATGACCCGGTAACCTGGCACAAGGCGTGGTCTGTGCAGGGGGAAAAGGTCGAGCAGCTTGCGGACGAAGCTCTGAGCAATGGCCATCGCAATTCCGCGCGCATGGCCTACCTCCGAGCCGCCAACTATCATCGTGCCAGTGCCTACATGATGTGCTCGGACATCCCCACCAAATCAGACCCTCGCGTCATTCCCATCTTGCGCAAGACCGTCGAGCTTTTCCGCAAAGCCATTCCTCTCGCGAACAATCCCATCCATATCTTGGAGATTCCTTACGAGAATGGAGTCAAGCTCCCGGCATACCTCTACCTTCCCCAAGCCTCCTGTCGGATTGCAGGCAAGATTCCCCTCGTGGTCAACCCGGTTGGCGCCGATGGAATGCAAGAGGAGGTTTACCACATGTACCCCGCCGAGGGTCCTGAATTGGGATACGCTGTCCTGACCTTTGAAGGTCCCGGCCAAGGTCTTACTCTCCACGAGCACAATGTCCCGATGCGACCTGACTACGAGATTGTCGACAAGATCGTGTTGGACTACGTCCAAAAATATGCAGAGCAGAAGAACCTCGAGCTTGACTTCAACCGCGTCGCCATTGCCGGAACCTCGCTGAGTGGTTACTTTGCTCTGCGAGCCGCAGTGGACCCCCGATATAAAGCCTGCGTCGCCGTCGATCCTCTCTTCGACTTCTGGGACTTTGCGACCAAGCAGGTCTCGGCGACCTTCCTCAACACGTGGCTCAAGGGCTGGATCCCTGATAGCTTTGTGAACAACATGATCTGGTTCGGAAACAAATTCGACTTCCAGATGCGCTGGAACATTGCCATGTCCGCGCGATTCTTCGGAGTCTCCACTCCGACCCAGATTCTCAGGGCGATGAAGCTGTACACTTTGCGCCAGGAGAAAGGCACCTACCTCGATAAGGTGACGTGTCCAGTATTCGTCACAGGCGCTGGAAAGTCTCTGTGGCTCGAAGTGGACGACCATACCTCCATGGTCTTCAATGCACTGACGAACCAGAAGGAGTCGGACAAGGACCTCTGGGTGGCCACCAAGCCGGGTGAAGGTGGACTTCAAGCCAAGATGGGTGCTATTGCTCTGTGCAATCAGAAGGTATTCCAATGGCTTGACAAGCGCTTCGATATCAAGCGTGAGGGACTGTAGGTTACGAACAATGTAGATTGGGATTTGGTTATCGGCATTATATGCTCCCCTGAATCATGTTCGGAAAAGGCCTATAACATTTCATCTCTTAGAGAGACTAAGAGAGACGAAACCGATTTCTAATAGTATAGTACCCCCTATATTATCAAGAGTAATAGCTAATCTATAGTTCAAATAGCTTGAATTAGTGAAAGCCGGTTTAAAGAAACCTCAGTCCCACAAATTAGATAAAATATGCCGAGAAAATGGGAGATTGATTCTTGACACTAGGGGTTTAGCACTACTATATGCGCAAATAGGATGGTGGTAAAAAGGCAGGATGCTGATTCTAGAAAGTTGAAGCGATTGCAAACTAAGCATGCCAAATACTCGGAAGCCGAGCAGCGAGCTCAAGCAGCTAGAGGTTTAGCTGGAGCCGAGCATGAAGCTTCAATGGCGGCAAGAGATAGTAATAGTACAAATAGATAGTCATGGTGGTTACCTGTAAATAGTATTTTCATAGGTTGATAAATCGCTTGGCACGGTTAGTAGTTAAAAAGAGATGCGCCATGAATTGGCAGGCCAAGTCCCAAACCTATACATCCAGTCCCAAACCTATACATCCAGTCCCGACATACACTCGTAGCCCGGCAGGGACTCCTCCCAGCCAACACAGTGTCGGCAGTTTAGCAGGTTGTCGGGATCAACACTGGCCTTAACCTTGAGGAGCTTTTCGTAATTGTCGCCCCAGAACTCGTAGGCCCAGTTGTCGTCCCAAGGATCCGCCTCATTGGCGTAAGTGCACCCGTCTGGAATTATCCCCCTCCACGTCGCCGTCGCGTTCTTCAGCATGGATACGACCTGCTTACGCTCGTTGATGGAGCTAGCTGCCGTCCACTGCACAGAGCTAGCAACGATCCACACTGACTTGTACCAAGCGGGATGCAGAGAGGTGTTGGGCTCGGGGTTGTTGCGACCGTAAACGAGAGGCATGGTCGTGAGGAACGCGGTGGGAAGACCGGCAGCTTGAGTGTCCATGATGGCGTTGACCATGCGCTCACGAGCCTCGGCGTCCAAGAAATGATCCTCGGGAACGATTCGCGTGGTAGTAGCGATGGCGCCGCTGATGGTCATAGGGGTGGCAAATGTCCCATTCATGTTATCCATGTAGAATTGGTAGAAGTTCTCGTAGGTGCGAACTTCAATGCTACCATTCTGAGCGTGGACGAAATCCAGGGCTGGGGCGAGCGCCTTTTTGGCCTCGTCGATGGAGACTTTGTCATTGACAAGCATGGAGAAGCTGGGGCTGGACGGGCCGCCCCAGCCTTGAAGGGCCCAGCTGTGCATGTTCTCGGCCATGATAGTGGTGAAGGCTCGCTGGCTCTCAGTAGTGCCCTGGAACTGGAGGCTAACCGTCGTGAGAGACTTCTCGGGCTCGGTAGGGTGGGTCGAGTCGATGATAACACCGAAGGCACCACCTCCGGCACCACGGAGGGCCCAGAAGAGGTCTGGGTTGGAGCACTTGTTTGCGATGCGAATCTTGCCGTCGGGTGTGACAATGGTGAACTGTACAACACGGTCGGCGCCTAGTCCGCGGCTGCCGGACATGGCTCCATGGCCACCATTGAGCAGCCAGCCACCGGAAGTGCCAATAGCATTGACGGTACCACAAAAGTGGGTCACGCCGTATCCATGAGCAATAGTATAGGCTTCATCGGAGCTAATACCGGCTCCGAAGGTGATGACTGGGACTGGCTCTGTGTCGGTAGGGCAGCCTTCCGGAATGAATGACTCTTCGAAGGACGAGTGTCTCAGTCCACGAGTCCATATGGCCAGGGAGTCCTGTTGACTGCTTCGGGTGATGTAGTCAACACCGCTGTTCTTGATGGACAGGCGCGCGCCTGACTGGCGGGCGTAGTCAAAAATGGCCTGGGCATCACTGGGACACTTGATCTCGACATAATGAGGCGACAGTATGCCCTGCTCACACGTCTCGCCCTGTGGTTCAAGGGTAACAGGGTCCAGAAGGCATTGGTTGCTCTGGTCGGAGGCGCAAGATTCGCCTTGAATGAAGCGGAAGCCCCCATATTGGCTGGTGCGAGTCCAGCTAGAATTGAGGCCTTCCCTCACCGAGGCACAGGCAGCGCTGTTCGTATCCTCGAAGCATGGTGCAGCCAAGGGGAGGGACTTTTCTAAGCGTCCCTCTAGAGTCACATTTAGCTGCTCAAGCCCCTGGGTTTGGGTGTACAACGCGTTGGCCGTTGGAGCAAGGATGCTAATAAGACTGGCATAGAGCCATCGAGGAACGGCTTGCGGCGCCATGGTTAGCAATTTACTCTAGTAAAAGATAAGGAGACCGTGTAAATCCAACAGTAAAGAAAACCACAACTATACTAAAATATTACATGATTTTATCTTTTTATTTGCTGGGTTGTTTTTTTCAATTGACGATTTGGGGGTGTGGAGGAGACCGGGGTGGCGCGGGCCATCGGAGTCGGAGCCTGAAGGATCACCCTCTCACGTCAGAGATGGATGCCCGGGGCTGCCTTAATATCCGGCGATCTGTAACTAGTCAGGTAGTTGATATCCGGCTCATGGCCTGATTTCTAACGCATTGGCCAAGAGGCTCAGACTGGTAGATGGATGAAACAGTAGTGCGTGTCTGCATAGCAGTTATGAAGCTTGATCATGCTGATTTCCTTTTGGTTTAAACATGTGTTCGAGTTTAAACACAATCCCTTATCTACTAAATAACTACTATGCAACTATGTTATGCGTCCAGTTACAAAGAAGGAATAATGACGATCGTATTGTAGTAACTATTGACGAGAAAACAAAGCAGAGGGGAAGAAGAGAAAGAAGAAGGGGTGTCTTGTCTTGTCTTACTCCCTCTTCACGTGACCATAACGTAGAATCATCTGTCAAATGTCGAGTACAATGACAGGTCAGATAGAGAAAAGCTACCACCCGATCCGGCTTTGGACTACCAATAAACCCTCTTTAACCTGCATTTATTGACTAGGAATTTGTCTATTTGAAGTCGCACGTTTTTCCTGTTTTATTGCTAGTCAGGGGGCTTTATCATACCAAATTTCATCATACAATCAATACAGTCAGATTTCTGTCGAAATCACAAACTGGACGAAATCACATCTATCTTCTAACGAAGGCCTTTACACTCTGAATAAAAGTCACTTAGAATTACTGCCATCAGAAATAGATAGCATGTTAAGCTACAGTAAAACCAGAGTACTCAGGATATCCGGTGATACTAGACAGGTTATGTATAATTATCTTGAGCAATGCATGTTTAAAGATGTCGATTACTCACAGAGTTTGGAGTTTGAAAAGGGTCCGGGCCGAGCCGTGCGGCTCCCACACGGCCATGGTGTGGGGATGGTGAGGGTAGGTACCCGCGGTTACCCGATTCATGTCGGAAGTGACAACAATTAAAAGACAAATTGATTGATAAGCCATAACTATTATGAACATTAAATTTTAAATACGTTCAAAGCTCAGAGGTGGGGGTTAGTATCGAATATCCTTGGTTTAGTCTTTGATGTTACTTGAAAATATATAACATATCTAGCGTGAACGCGATGTGGTGAACACTCTTAACAAAACATATAAACACCATAAGATCATCCTTATGATTGCCCAAACCTATTATTAGTGGTACATGAAGGGGGTGTTACATTTTTTAAATTTATTTTTGATCTCTAATTACTAAGTGGCCACAAAAAAATCAATAACTAGAAATTAGGCTATTCATTCGTGATCTTATGGTCTAATTTTTTCTTTTTATTATTACATTTATAATTGCTTTTCCTACACATCTAATTCACAATCACGGTCGTAACTCAGTTATGCCCCCTGATATTTGAGAACAAAATATTTTTTCTGCGTCCCTCTTTGCTCTCCTCTTAATGGGACCTATGGTTTATTATCTTGCCCATAAAACGTACTTTGAATGGAATGTATTATTTTAGTCTAAGACCTTTGATTTTCTAAAACGTAGGTACATTAATGCAATCGCAAAGCCGTTTCAATACCGACAACGCACGTATTTATTTATGTCAAAATGATCTCATGACCATAATTACTAGCAATTTTCCAAACAAAGGAACTCCCGCATGGCAGTGGTGTTGGTGTGCTTGGCACAGTTATGGCTACTTAGCAGTGTCTGCCTGCAGAGTAACACTGAAAAGAAAGTCTCTCATACTCCGATTGGCTGGACCACCTCCGATCCCGACAACGGCATTTCTTATTAGTCACATGTGCTTCTTCCATAGGGCGGGCACGGGTAGGACAGAGAATTTCAAGCGCCAAGAGGGTCTTAGGCACTTTGGGGACATTCAGCGGTTAACAGCAGTTAGGTGTGGGTTCATTCCATGCCGTGTCGCATGCAACTCGCAATCTACATCCATTTCCACCATTAAGTTGGGGGCAAAGCCACCGCTGGCCGACTTATATCATCTCCGACGGGGACAACTTACCGGGCTTGCATACACGGAGACGTGGGGAACAACACCATAGGGCTCCAGCGGGCGGTTCTTGGCAATGCGGCCGGCCGGGCGATCTACATATAGTTTGCTCTGGGCTAGGCAACCGGAATCTCCAAGGTCCCCACAAAGCCGAGTGCCTTTTTTGACCAACCGGAGTTTGCACCGCCCCATTCAGGCCAAACAGGGCGCTCTTTCTTGCGATGTGAGCCTGCTGACCTTGGCGGGATCCTGCTTCCCCAATGTTGCGTCACGCTAATTTTAGCATCTACTGTTGACTGTCGACTTTCAAAGTTACCGCACTAATAGGAGCAATAACGCGGACGGAGTATGTGTTTGTAGATACAGCCCTGATTTTCCAGGGGTCCCAAGGTTACAGGAGCTGCTTACGTTCAGCAGCTTTGGGGCCTGTGGAATTAAGTGTCATTTTGCAAAATCGGGAAATATAACAATCGGATACAGTATGTGCTTGTAAAGTTCAAGTACAATACGCGATATTGACCCCTTATCTCTCCACAGCATATGCTTCCCCCACGACCCTGAATTCTAGAATCTCATACTGTATCTTGACTTCAAGAACTTGACCCTTTCCGCGCCCTGAATTTGACGCCCTCTCTTTATACTTCATCTTTGAAGATTGCCCGTCTTTGTTTTTTTTAAAAAAAGTCTTCTCTGCATTTTCGCCATGTCTTCCGCAGCTAAGAACTCGAACCAATCTCACCCGAGCGCGAACCAGCTGAAGGATCTGTACTGGCAAGCCAGAAATCCACCGAAGGACCCGCAAACTTCGTACAAGGGAAAGACGGTCTTGGTAACCGGCGCCAACACTGGTATTGGGTATCATGCCGCGGTCAAATTTGCTGCTTTGGGGGCATCACCGCTCGTTATTGCCGTCCGCACACAGGAGAAAGGTGAGGCCACAAAGGCTGCCATTATCCGCGAGACCGGCAATCAGAACATTATTGTCATCCCGGTAGATCTTTCGACGTTTGATGCCGTCAAGGAATTCGCCGCAAAGCTGAACGAACAAGTCCCCAAACTTGATGTCGCACTCCTCAATGCGGGCCTTGCCATGCCTAGATTCACAAAAGGGCCCGGAGAGTACGAGATCGGTTTGCAAGTTAATGTGCTCTCCACGGCGTTAATGGCCTTGCTCATTCTCCCTAAGCTCCGGGAAACGGCCGCCGCTAATGCAATCCCGTCTCACCTCACGTTCACAACGAGCAAGGGCTACCGGGACGTGGAGGAGTCGTGGCTCGAGTCAGACAAGACCTTGATTGACCAACTTAACAACGAGGAGGGATGGTCCGACCAAAGACACTACTTGATGGTCAAGCTGGCCACCATGTTTGCCTTGCAGGGTGTGGCGGACCGACACAACGACAATCAGGTTATCATCAACGCGGCCTGTCCAGGGTTCTGCAAGACGGATCTTGGCCGGAACTTCTCACTGGTTTCCAAGATTTTCATGGGCCCAATCCAGTACTTCGTTGCACGAACTGCCGAACAAGGAAGTCGATCCCTTGTCAGCGCAACTACTCTGGGCCACGAGAGCATCGGGCAACTGTGGCATGACGACAAGGTCCTCGAGTAAGTTTGGAAACTCTAGGGCAAGATGAAAAATGGAAAATGGAGCCCTGCTGACCCTGATGTTCTAGACCAAGTAAGCTGCAGGTCAGCGAGAGGGGTGCCGAATTGTACCGAGAAACATGGGGCCAAATCTTGACCATCCTGCGCAAACACATTCCCTCCAAGGATGTTTGAAGGAGGGGGTGTATGGAAGGCCATATGCAGGTAGATCACTCAGTTATGGAGGGTGGTCGTAGACTGTAAGCCGTGGACTGTAAGCCGAGTCACATATGACATGAATTATTCAAAGACTCAGATTATTATTATTAATATTATATTCCTCAGGCTTTCCAGGACCTAGGGTCGCATGTAACCCCCTAGCTTATGGACTGCAGTATGCACTGCAGTATACACTGCACTATTGAATATGTACATCGGATGACTTTACCACAAATGCACCCGGACAACAGATCAACTCATGGACATATTGTTTTCTTTATTTTCAAGCGCTAACAGCTTTGGAAAGTGGAAAGTGAATGCGCTTACAGCGGCCAGGCATAACCTGCAGTGGACATGGAAATACTCTGCATGTCTCAACAAACACCTCAGCCGCAGCTTGGCCTCGCATACCTCGCAGACTAAGACTTTCCGCCCGTGCCGAAGCTGGGGCCGAGAAGAATGTCGGGGGCCGAGGTGTATACAAGTTTCATCTAAAGTACAGTATTTTACGTAATGCGGTATCTCCCTTCGAAACGTCTCTGATATGCTGAAACGTACAGTACAAAGTAAGGATTCTTGCAAAGACGTATATGATCAAAGATGAATTGTAAACTGTCGAACTTCAAGATGCTTGTATGCCAAGAAGCTTGGTTTCTGATGCAGCTTGACCCATTCTTCGATACAACCTGGATGCAGGTTATATGCAGGAATGGCTGACGAAGCTGTCTAAACTGCATCACACCCACTAATTTCGATCCTGTAGGAGTTCAAGATTCTTGGCATACAATGCCTTGGCGTAAGAAAGAGGTTTAGCGTTGAAGTACCCAAGTTAATTACAAATTTAAGGATTCTTAACAATATCCATTTGATGTATGGTACTTTAGCGAAAGAGGGGAACCTGGTGATCTCTATGAACGATGTTATAGATGTAGGTCACATGATGGCTCTCCAGGACTATGGTGAATCCTTTACAATCTCCCGTAAGCCCTGAGCGACCCTTTTGATTTAGTTTTACAGGAGACGAAACCAGAAGAAGGACAGATTTGTGAGGATGTACGGGCGACAGTCGTCCCGACGCTTCGCATGTGATCGCTGCCGCACTTATAAGCTGCGATGCGAGAGACACCCTATATCAGGCGCGGGAAACGGTTGCGAACGCTGTGTCAAAGCAAGGTTGATATGTAAAACGACAACACCCACTAATAAGACAGCTGCACGTGCACCAGCATCAACCTCTCACCATGGCACAGAGTCGGAGCCTTGGGGCGGGGATCGCAGCCAGACTGCTGGTCCAATTCATACCCCACTACGTCAATCGCTCCCTCGCCCTCCCTCAGCAAACTGCCAGCACACGACCGTTCCACGATCAAACTCCCCAAACACCCTCAGTGACACGTCGACCGAACAAGGGTTCGTCAACCCCATGCACCTGATCTGGCCAACCGTGTCGCCTCCACAGCGAAGCCTCCACCCAGCAGCAGATAAGCAGAACGATGGCGCTGATATGGATCACTGCGACATGCGCGGGCCCGAACTCATGGGGCTGGAGGCCGATCAGGTATGACTCCCGCCCACCAACTTACTGGACCTCTTGAACAGTGACGCTGACCAATTGGCAAGGATAAGGTCAATACAACGGACTTTATGATGGTCGATTTTAGCTGCAATGACAACTCGAGCGGAGCAACGACCAGTCCTGACCAGCAAGACAATATGGCCATGGCGGGCTCTACCGGGAGGACAGATGTTTTCAATCTGTCATCACAGAGCCATGTGTTAGACGACATGCAGAGTCCTCTAAAGGATTCTATGAATTTCTGCGCCGCCCTAATCGAAGAGTACCATTCATTCAAACACGCCCACCGCGATCCTCCACACGACTGTTCGTCCAAATTAATAGAAAGGTCAATTCAAACCGCCCTGGACCACACCTCGCGGCTCTTGAAGATCCTCGAAAACTTAACGGTGGCCGAGGCACCGTCACACCGGCGACAGATCAGCCGCCAGAATACGGACGACGGTAGTTCATCACCCGCATCTGCCTTTGACGGCGGTATTTCCTCGAACCTACCTGCAAGGTCACAACAGAGCCAGGAAACCCTTATGCAGGGATCTATGCCCACCACCCACGCGGCACACGCTGGCTCTGGCTGCAATGACTCGATCTCAAGCATTTCCTCAAAACACGAAAGCTGCGATGTTCTACTCATGACGACTCTCGTCACTTCTTACGTCTACCTGATACGGATATGGCGCTCGGTATTCTCACTACTCCACCGCCACCTCCTCCTCCCTACCACGCCGGGACATACCCGCCTCCTCCTGCTGCCCAGCCTGCAGTTAGGCGGCTTCCGGATTCTCAATAGCCCAAGCATCCAAATTCGGGTATTATTCGAACTGCGAACCGACCTTTTCCAACGAATAGAAGGGATCCTTGGCATCGGCAGTGCAGGGGCATATGGTCGGTACGGTGAGGACAGGGAGCAGAAGGGGCAAGTCCTCTGCGTGAACCCCTTCGCGGGCTTGATTCGGGAGACCCTTTTGCACCAGGAGCAGATGCGGGCAGCGACGGAGGATGGCACCGGAGACCTGTCGCTCAAGGATATTACGACAAAGGTGAAGCGGCTCCTAGATTCACAGGGTTAGGGATGTGCAGTGCTATCTGGCAGGTGGCCTAGGGCCCTCAGGGGTTGTCTGCTTTGTATACCTCCCCCGGCTTGTCATTTAAGAATTAACGATAGCTAGCGAAAGCTTCCACGCTATATTCTAGAGCCAGATCTAGTTCCACTTTTACTAGCCATTTTATTAAATTAAGGGTTCTCGGTTGCTTTTAGCGAACAACCGCGAGTCGTGTCCAACTCTAGAGTTTTCATGGATATGAATTTATATCTTTTTCATCATACAGATCTAATAACTTTATTTCCTATCAATATCTATGGTTTCTAAGCTTAAAATAATTATAGATTAATCTTCTACGTTATTCATATAGGGTAATATAGTGATGTCAATATAGGTGAGTTAATCTAGTAGAAATATTTAACGGTAGTTATTAGTATCTTGGTGAAAGATATTCCATTCATAATTAAAAGTGCTTGCCAGTCATCATATCCCGCATATGAAAATCGCGGTTTTGTCATTCTTAGAGAATTCATTACTGGGATAATACATCACCGTATAGACTAATTTCTGTATGTTCGGTTCAGCCCTAGCTGCATGTAGACAAAACAATAGTTATTCGTTGGATAGACACTACCTAATCTATAGGCAGAAGTGAAAACGTCAAAATTCAAAAAGATTTCCCGGATCCATGCGCTCGAGACTTTATATCTTAGATCTGTATGATAGGTAGCACACAGCTCGGCACAACCTCGCCGGCACCCCGGTGCTGAGTCGAGTATGGTGCATCCAACGTGGCGTTCCTTTAATTTGCCTTAGCGCCTCCGCTCTCGGATCATGATGCGGGCAAAAAGGTCTGGGGCCATAGAGCCGTTCGGCATTGAGTGCCGTTTGGGCTTCTCCGCTCCGGGTGGTAGCTGTATCTCGTACTTGTCGAGGAGGTGTGTCAAGATAATCTTGATGGTGTTGCCTGCGAAGACACGGCCGGGGCAGGCTTGGGTACCGTCTCCCCATCCGGGCGAGTCCTTCCCAAGGCTTGTGAACTGGTGTCGTGAGTCGACGCCGTCCCGCTCGCGGAGCTTGAGGAATCGCATGGGGTCGAAGGTGTCGGGGTCTTCCCACAGCTCTTCGTCGTTGTGGATGTGGTGCGCATCGACACAGAGGATTGAACCTGCGGGGAGTTCCGGCCCGATCGATAGCTTCACGTTGGTAAGCAGCCTTCGAAACAACACCACTGTGCATTATGTTAGCTGGTTTTTGGGTGTAGGTAATTGGTTAGTGATTGTGGAGATTTGAATACGCACAGAGACTGAAAGGGTTCACCCGGCTCGATTCGCGCATCACACTGTCCATCTTGCGGAGCTCGGTCAAGGTCGTTTGCGGCAGAAGGCCATTTGACAGGACCTCATCCACTTCATCTCGAAGCTCGTCAACCAGCTCGGGCCGAGACACGAGCTCGGCCAGAATGAAGAACATGGTTCCGGCTGTGGAGGGAGTAGACTCGAACGTGGCGACGATAAGATCGTGCGTGATTTGGCTCAGGGAGCGCTCTTCGGGCCGGTACCGCGACATGAGCCAGGCAGTGATGGGAAACTTCTTGTCGGGTGTGGCGCGGAGGATTTCCTTCTTTTGCTTCTCATCTGCATTCTCGTATTCTTCCCAATCAGCCTTGGCCATGGGCTTGAGAAGCATCTTAAGATAGATGTAGTAGCCCCAGGCCGGCAAGAAGATGAACGTAGTGACAATAGGGCGCACGAGGCGCGGGACGGCATTCGAGACGTATACGGCGAGCGCGGTTACCATGGGGAAGTGTTGAACGGCTCTCACCCATCGAGGGTCGTTACCGAGCTTGGGACCAACCATTCCACTGGCATTGGTAGCGGCAACAAGTTCCTGCGCAGTCCAATAGAGCGGAACAGATTTCCACTCGGGGCAGGGTCCAATCGCTCTCTCAAAGGCGAGCTGGGTGTCCTCTTGACGAGCTTGCACGCGAACGGGCACTGCACGCATCAGGTCCACGCCGATGGTCTTGAGGAGAGTGCTGGTATCGCTGCCTAGGAAGCGCCATCCATGAAAGAATACATAGGTGAAGAACTCGAGCATGGAGGCCTTTTTGACCGAAACGCGCTTGACTTCATCGAAACTGGACGACGGATAGACGACGTATTCAAATCCCGAGTATGCGATGATGAAAGGAGTATTGGGATACTATGACCACGTTAGTTCGAGGCGCTGTGCGAGGTCGAGAACAAACTTGCCCTCTCTTTTCCCAATCGGAGAATTCTCTTGTAATCCCACCGATCGTCGCCCTTGGGGAATTCGAGCACAGGTAGACCGAGCTTCCGGAGAGAGGTCAATCTTGCAAAAATATTGTCGAGAACGACGATGATACCCAAGGTTACTAAGGCAAAGAGCGAATACTTGACGAAGTTGGGCATGTTGTGGAACAGTTGCCTCAGCGTCAGCATGAAGAGCTGCCACCTTGTGAGCCGTAGCGAAGACATAGCACCACGCAACACACCAAATTGCTCCGTAGCATTTTCGTACGTCTCCAGCAATGATCGGATGGTGAGTACTACCTCGTCATGCCACATCTTCCTCAACATCAGGAGTGCGAGATCGGTCCTGCTGAGACGCAGCGAAGCCATTGCACCTCGCAGGACACTGAACTGCTCCTGCACCATTGCAAGCTGGTTTAGAAATGGGACTCTCATTGGCGATATCTGTTCTCTGCTGCTTGGGAGAGAATCTTCGATGCCGAGCAACAGAGAACAGACTTCGTCAAACTGGCAAGTGCATTTTGAATACCTGTCGAGTAATACTCTTAGACCCTAAGGGCCCCCTTTGGTCCTGTGCCCTTCCGGTTCCGATATGGGACGGAGATCCGACTCCGATCGATTATGGATGTCCGCTGGAAAGGTGTCAGCAGTGCAGTTCATTAAACATAAGACGCTCACTTCCGGGATGTTTATGAATTTCAGTCATTGAAATCGTCAATTCTTGAATTTTTTTGAATTTCTTTTCCAATTTTACGGGCGAGACAATGGCAGCACCTCTAGAGAAGAACACGTCTGACATGACTGGAGTTTGGGTCATGGTGAGCACTGACACAGCTGATGTACGGACGTCGACCCTGACAATCTTTATATAACTTCGAACATTCAGACCCTATTGACCCAACCTTTGCTATCGTGAGTGCTCTCATTCCTCCTTCAAACATCATGGTCTTTCGGTTAACGTTTGCTAATCCATATAATTCTGTAGCAAGGCGTTCCGTGGCTGGTCCGCAAGGTTCTGGCCTATGCCAGCGTCACCCTCACCATGACACACTCCACTGAACCCGCCGAGAACGGTTCGGGCGATATTACCAAGATCCGCGTCAAGCAGACCATCTCCCCCGGCGGCTTCAGCAACGAAGATGACTACATTCTCGACTCCGAGACTCGGGAGGCCACAGTGCCTATCTTTGGCACTATCGCCATGTACGCAAAGTATACCCCGGTTGCCGAGATCGAGGATGCCGAGCTGCGTGCACGTCTGGTGGAGGGCCAGACTGGCGCTGCCGCGATCCAGGAGATTGCGACAAACAAGGGCGTTGGTTGGGACGCTGTTGGTACCTGGGGGTTCGAGATCATTGATGGCCAGCGCTACTTTACCCGCACCACCGTCACCAAGAAGGGTGATGAGAAGGTGTCTGTGAGGCTGGTTTATGACTACCGGGAGGATTAGATTTCGTTTGTGTAGTGCACTTTTGATGCCACACCCTGCTGATTCATCTTATGGTATAACTAGAATCAATTGATTGTACACTTGAGAGCTCGCTGTGAAAAATCAAAACTGAACCAAGCGTGAAATACATCTAGAGGGACAAGAGGTCGTGCACATAATTCTCAATTGATACTACCGCTAAACTAACGGTACAATCAATTTCTTCCCCGACACCTGCTTATTCTTCAACCGATCCAGGCCTGACAGAATCGCATCAAATTTACCGGGGAGAATCTCTTGTGGGCATTCCTTCAATTTCCCCTCATCTACAAGGCTCTGCAAGTCCTTGTAGAACTTTAGCGACCAGGCGCCCAATTCAGGGTCAGGCGGGCTTCCATACGGGTCTGGCAGCACCAGGCCACGGCCAGCGATGGAGGAACCCATGATCAGGAACGGTTTGACCGTGCGACGAGTCGCCAGGGCTTCTTGGTACTGCTCCAGGGCGCAATACTTGCCTCCAGCGCGGCCAACAGCCTCATAGCAAACTGACATGGTCTTGACCTCTCCAAACGGGTCAATGACATATCGAAGGGAATTCTTGGTATACGCTCTGATGTCGGCACCGCATGTGGACGACCTGTAGTTGAAAACCTCCTCGGCACCGTACGACTTGACCAATTCGATGTTCTTCTCCGAGCTTGTAGAAACGACGCGGTGGCCGAGACTAGAATCTCTTGGATCAGTAACTATTCCGTTGATGCATCCCGTGTTTATACTCACAGCTTCAATATCTGGATTGCCATCATCCCGACTGTGCTGCTGCCGCCAAAGACGAGAATCGTCTCGGAGGCTTTGTTCTCGACGGGCGCGCTCAGCTCGCCAGCAATCTTGAGCGAGTATAAGGCCATAGCAATTGTCGCAATACCAGTACCGTACATCGCCGTCGCCTTTGCGTGGTCAATACCAGGCGGTGTCTTGAAAATGTAGTCTGCCTCAGCCTTCAGATATTCGGCGTAGGCTCCAGACTGCGGGTCGCCTTGGTTCGAGCCATGCACGGCGCCAAAGACAGTGTCGCCGATCTTGAATCGCGTAACATCAGAGCCGACCGCCACAACAGTTCCAGAGAAGTCGCATCCGGTCCAGAGGCCTGTTGTGGGAAACCGCAATGGCATCTTGAAGTCGCAAGGGCACAGGCCCACTGCGTGGGTGCGGACGAGGACATGATGGCCCTCGATTTCCGGGATTGGCGAACCAGGTGTGACTTTAAGAATACCACCCTCATGCTGCCTGATGATTGTCTGGCTGGATGGGATATTTGATGCCATGATGGAAAGTAGCTTTACTATGTCTATATCGTCTTTCGGATGCTCAAGCACTAACGTTTTGTGTACATCGGGATCATCGCGGTGTAGGTCACATGTGGGATCGGAGGTCCGGTGCCGACGGTCTCTTCCAGAGGATTTGGACCCTAAGGAAACCCCGTAGCCTACTCCGAACACATTTTCTTACCTTCACGGACACGACCCAATATGTGCTGGGCTAGATTCTTTTATTCTAAACCCCCGTTTTGCGAGGGTCTCGTACTGTAAAAAAAACATCGTCCATTTCATTCACATTAAGTTCTTTGTTGGTTTTTGTCTCTACCTTTGGTTGTCAAGATATTTCCTCATCGCCATGCGCAGCCATTCTCTTACGGTGCTGGCCTTGTTCGGCGCCATAACATGCACTGCTACCAAGTTGAAGGTGCCTCATGGGTGGACCGAGGACTGGAAAAATGAGCCTCTCGTCCAGGTATCAGATGCCTGCACCGTGAGCCATGCGTCACGATATGACATGGCCAAGGGAAATACCCCTGTGTTTTTCTTGAGCACCCCCGAGTACGATTTCGAACAGCCAGCCATTGAACCCATGAACGCCACCGCTGGTGAACAATGGGAGTTTGACGGCATCTCAGACGACGGCCTCGAGGCTTTTGTGTTTGGTTTCTACCGCGATCCCAACTACTCATTCCTGGGAACCGGAAACCTCCGTCTCTCAGCTGAATGGTCCTTTGCTGACGGCTCGCGATATGCAGTCGTTGAGTATGCTGAGGAGTCTACCATTGAGTCTTGTCCCGGACAGGGCACTCGAGGCACTTGGAAGAGCGATGATTGGGTCTACACCTTTGAAATCACCGCCGACCTGTCTCGCACCCGCATCACCATGGACAATCCCGAGGCCAAGGGCACAATTGCCTGGACATCCGTTTCACCGCCGCGATACGCCGATAACAGCGTCTACCCAGAGGAGGCCAAGGGTGCCAGCCTGCTCACTGTGCCCCATTTCTACTGGGTCGAGCCCGTCCCCGTGTCAGACCTCATCCTCGACGTGGAGATTGAGGGCCGCAAGCTTTCCTGGACCGGCATGGGTGGTCATGAGCGCCTTTGGGGCGCCTTCAACTGGTACACTTGCCTGTCGGGCATGATTGCCGTGCGCGTGCGCCCCGGCCCCTTCGCCCTGTCCTTTACCGAGTTTGGCTCCAACCGCATCGACGACCTCTATGTGCCCTCGGTCATGCTGGCGGAGAAGGGCGAGAAGATCTTCAGCAGCCGTAGGTACGAGCCTTCGGAGACGGAAGACTACGTCACGATGCGTAAGATTTACGGCGGAGAGGGTGCAACCACCGTCAACCTGCTGGACAAGGTGACTGGCGTCGAGCTTGAGCTGGTGTCGCCCAGCCGGGATCAGCGGTGGAAGTTTGTCGTGATCCACAAGAACCTGGGATTCGAGTACAACCTGGGTGAGGGTGTGGGCGGCACTGGCTACTCGGGCCTTGTCTCTGGTGGCCTGGTTGGCTCCAAGAAGCACGAGGGCCCTGCCTTCACCGAGTTCATGAAGTTCCCGCAGAAGTCCATGGTCTTGGTGAAAAACTTTGTGGTGTAGCAGAAGAAGGGTGAGAGGAACTTTATTTTAGAGGCGTAGTGCGCCGGAAGGGCTGGCCAGGGTGATATCAGAGAATGGAGGTTTTAGCGGTCCATAACAGAAATTTCAATGTTCAATTACAGATCACAAAATGATGCACCCAACTTCCTTAGTGACTTTGGACTAGAGAAATAAATGAGAAAAAGAAACTGGTATTGTTTCACGCTATCTACTTCAAGGGTCTGCAATATGATACACAAGCTTCTGTCCGGAAACTGCCTTTTGCCTGATCAGGTCCACGCCCTCAATGACATGTTCGAAGGTGGTCCCGCTCAGCTTAGTGGGATGCGGCTTGATCTCACCGGCATCCAACATGCGCTGGACGGTCATAAACCAGACTTTTCCAAAGGTGCGCAATTCCGGATCACCCTCCAGGTTATATGGCTCCTTCCAGCCGACTTTTTTGCCAAATAGTGCCACTCCGAGGATCCAGTCCGGCTTGACTGTCTTGCGAGAGTGTAGCTCTGTATTGTAGTACTCCAGCGTGGTGTAGCGCCCGCCAGCACGTCCTAGCACGCTGTAGCAGAAGCGCATGCTGGTGCTGTCGCAGAAACAGTCCAACGCATAGTACAGCGCGTTCTTAGTATACGCCTTGATCTCCTTTACGCTATCGGCATCGTGATAGTCAAATGCCTTTTCGGCGCCGCGTCGCTCTACGAGCGGGAAGTTCTTCGGCGAGCAGGTGGTGATGGGGATCAGACCCGACCTATTCAAACAGCTGCTGTCAGAGCCTTGCGCGCATGATACTCTATGGGATGTGAAAGGCTTTTCATACCTGCGGATTAGCTGGATGGCAATTGTTCCTGTCGCGGTGCTGCCTCCGTAGACTAGGACGTAGGCTGGCTTCGCCGCTGGCTTGTCGGGGTGGCCTGGAATGTTCAATGACTTGAATAAAGCATAACCGATGGTGGCAGTACTGATTCCCAGAGTCGATGCCTCTTCAAACGTCATGTCATCAGGAATCTTGAGTGTGAAGTCGGCGGTTGCACCGACGTATTGCGCAAATGCGCCAACTCGAGGTAGAAGCGGGTTCATGGACTGGACTGCTACGCAAACACGATCTCCAACGGCGAACCTGCCCTCAGGTACCTCAGAGCCAATGGCAATGACAATGCCAGCACAATCACCGCCCGAAATGGCGCCTTCACTAGCCATTGGACCTGTCATCTTCATATCGCACGGGTTAACCGCGACGACCACGGTCTTGACGATGAGCATGTCTGGCTCCAACTCCGGCAGCTGCACATCTTGCGACACAACGAGATCGCCAGTCGCATTGGCGATGATGGCAGTCTGGCGCTCCGGCCATGATAGTTCTGCTGAAGGCATCTTTCTGAAAATAACACGGCCTTGATAGCGAGGGAAATAATGGTACAATTACGTCCCTCCCACTATCGCATCCCATCTAGCAGCCCGAGTCCCTCTGCTGCACCTTGTCGGAATTAACAGGGACCTCGGGGGTCGATCGTGACCTAATCATTTTCCCGCAGGGTAACTGGTGCTGGAAAAGTTCCGTAGTCCGTCAGCCGGAAAGAGGCACAGTTTGGCCAATCGGAGTCAGCCTTGGCTCCGAGAGCACTCAAGCCCTAAGCAAATTTGATCATGGCCAGAAACGTGGTAGTTTACCCTTCGCATCGGTCTTTAAATTAACGGAGTAAGCGCTGGAGACACTCCGAACAATGATTCCGGCATTGTTGGATGAGCTTCCTTTGCTTAGGTCACATCCGTACCAAGGCCGGCCCCCCGAAGCCTTCGTAATATTGTTTGACCGAGATACATCGCTCAAGGTAATATTTTTTGAATTCATAGACATGGAGGGATTTCTACGAGTTTCTTAAACCTGATTCTTGTGTTTTCGTTCGACGCCAGCTTTGCTCGCTGCATTTTGACGAAGTGCAACCTTGTACCAAAACTAACCTCTGAAGCACCTCAAGATGGGCATTGTGTTGATACTTGCCGTGGCTGTCTTGACAGCATGGCTCATCAAGGCAAAGTCGACCTCGCCACCAAAGCTCAACATGCCGTATCTTAGGTTTGATGGCGATAACTCCCTCATGAGATACCTGTCAGGTACCACCAGTCTCATGGACAAGGGCTATTCCCAAGTATGATATGACCTGCCTAAACCAACCCAATTATATTGGTCTCTAACGTGGACGATAGTATCTCAAAAAAGGAATTCCCTTCGCAATGCGCAATCCGGCTGATCCGAAACGACCCCAAGTTCTTCTGCCTATGAAGTATCTGGCGGAAGTGCGAAATGCGCCCCAGAACCAGCTGAGCTTTCCTCTGTTTTCAGCACAGGTGCGTGGACCATTCCCAATTTGATCAAGTTCGCACCGACTGAACATGACTCGTAGGCTTTCCTTCTGAAACCAATTTATGGCCCAGAGCAGACTGACGAGGCTGCTCACATGGCTCGACTAGACCTCAATCGAGCTCTCAGTCGGTTCTCCCGCCTATTCACTGAAATAGAAATGAATTGCCTTACTGAGATTTTGAATAGACAATCTCCTGGAACCTATGAATGAAGAATGCATTGCCGGAATGAAGAAGGTAGTCCCTCTTTGCGCAGGTAGTGACTTCTCCATATCGCTTTCCCAACGTGGTACATACTGATCATGTCTCAGACTGGACGCCTGCCCCCCCTTACCACTTCATTGTGTACATGGTGGCCCGTATGACTGCTCGCGTCATGGTTGGTGCAGAGCTTAGCGGGGATGATGAATGGGTCGGCCAATCTATCCAAACCACCATGAATGTCATGAATGCATCCCAGAGTGTGCGTGCCAAGTACCACCCCTGGATGCGCTGGCTCGCCCAGTACTTTGATGAGCCCACCAAGGTGGTTATCAAGAACCGCAAGCGTGCTATTGAGCTTCTTCGTCCCGTTCTAAATGCTCGGAAGGCTGCTTTGGATTCGCAGTCCAAGGGCGAGAAGTCCAAGTACAACGACGGTGTGCAATGGCTTCTTGAAGAGTACCGCGGTCTGGGTAAGGATTTAACAGTTGAGAGGCTGGCCCAGGATGAGCTCTTCCTCACCATTGCTTCCACCCACAGCACTAGCGCCACTCTGCTCTCAACCCTCTTCGACCTGATGGACCACCCCGACTCTCTGAAGGAGATCCGAGAGGAGATTTCTCAAATGCAGCTACAGAACCCTACTGTCAATCGACAAGCACTCAACGGGATGCGCGTACTGGATAGCTTTCTGAAGGAGAGCCAACGTATCCATTCTTTGAGTCTAGGTTTGTTCATCATTCGGTCTATCGTTACAACCTGCAACATAATCTGACATCTCATTTAGTAACTATGCAGCGAACTTCCGTCTCCGGATTCACTTTCCGCGATGGGCTTCATATCCCTGCCAACACTCAGCTCTCGTTCCCTAACCAGCATCTGAACTGGGACGACGACGTAAATGAGGACGCCAAGAAGTTCGACGCGAAGCGCTGGGTGCGTAAGCGCGAGGAGATTGACCCCAACAAGTTTCATTTCGGATCCGTCTCAGAGGACTCGATTAACTTCGGCAACGGCTTCCACACCTGCCCCGGCCGCTTTCTGGCGCAACAGGTTCTGAAGCTTGTCTTCATTAACCTCCTCCAGAACTATGAGTTTAAGTGGCAGGATGAGGATGGCAAGCGTCCTCCCAATCTTACGAATGAATTTGCTCTCACTCCCAACCCAACTGTTCCCATCCTGATCAGGGCGCGGAAGCACTAAAGGAACTCTAGGAGAGTTTGGGGGTAGAACTATACGAATAGGGCTACAAATAAGTGGCCTTCAAGTGTACATCTATAGAATAGGAATAGATACTTGAAGAGATCGTGTCCATGTATTTCTACTCAGATTGACTGATAGACTAGTAATCTGACAGAAATCTGACTGTATGACAATGTATGGTATGAACTGAGTATATTGGAACTCTCTGACTAGCAATAAAATATGATAAACGCGCGAGTATAAACAGACAAAATCACTAATCAATCATGTACTTTGATCGGTTGTATGGAACCGACGTTTGTGGAGATCCAAGGTAAAATTACCTTGTATCCGATCTACAAGGGTGGGGCACGGATCCACACTACAGTGACTGGACATACATCGTCTGGACCCACCCTTGATTATATAATATATTGCCGGTCAAAAACTCCCATGAATTCATACTATGAAATCTAGTATGGAGTATACCACCCCTGACTCTTAATAATGGCTTCTAATGCTCACGTATAGCGGGGGTAAGCTCTTTGGACCGCGCCATAGGGTAGAAATTTGAGAGAAATTTGAGAGAGAAGAGAGAGGGGGGGATATAAAGGGGAAAATAATCTGGTTATAGAATGCAGCGCGCGTGCTATTCCAGCGTACTTCTATACTACGCGTTTTAGATAGGCGGTATGGATATATCAGGGCGGTCAGCTGGTGGGTCCACAGGCGATGCAAATACTTATGTCCACTGACTGTAAGTCACCGACTAATAGCCGCAGTCAACAGTCAACTTAAAAGAGGCCGCGTATACAATCGAGAAAATTACCGTAATTACAGATTGCGGCACCACGTGAACGACATCTGCGGAAAGTGTTCGTGGCCCTACCAGATTTTGCAAATACTGTAAGAACCCAGTACTGCTTTCGATAACTCGGAGCAGGCCATTCCCGAAGTGGTGAGACCGGGAGCCGGAACACAAAAGTCATCAGCGCCGCAAAGGTCAGGCCACAGACGGACCGATAGCCATCCGAGCGTACACATAGTTTCCCCAGATCCTTTCTTTTTTTACTCCCCGCTTCACGAAATGCATAGTCTTCTCCTTCTCTCAGCCTCTGCTAGGAACCACAATGTCTGTATCTCCTCCGCTTTTTTCCACCCCCCCCTGGGTGGTTGAATTATACTCTTTTGTGGAATTTGTCGCATACTGACCCTTTTTCTCCTAGGAATTCTACCGTGCTGCCCCCCGGCACCTATTGGGGCCAATATCAGGATATCACCAAATCCAATACCCACCTGAGCGTGGCAGAGAGATTGTGGGTCGCATGGTATGCGTGGGTGCAGAATGATGTCCTGGCCACCGGCATCATGTCCTTCGTCATCCACGAGTTGTTCTACTTCGGCCGCTCTCTTCCGTGGATCTTCATCGATAGCTTGGGTTTCTTCAAGAGATACAAGATTCAAAGTGTAAGTGGCAAGCCTAACACCTGGCATTAGCCGAAATCAACCCAATTCTAGCCGCCATCGAAACTAACATTCTGCTTTAGAGTAAAGTACCTTCATTACGCGAGCAATGGGATTGCGCTAAGTTTGTGCTTCTGAGCCACTTCACCGTCGAACTTCCTCAAATCTGGTATATTCCTGCCCTCGACGGAGGGGTATTCTACCTGACGTCTATCTCTCGGGCCCGATTAAGTAGTAACGGCTCTTCTAGGCTTTTCCACCCAATGGCCCAGTTCTGCGGTCTATCAACATCGATTCCTTTTCCGTTTCCCTGGACTATAACATATCAGATTGCAATCTTTTTCGTGATGGAGGACACTTGGCACTATTTTTTCCACCGAGCTCTTCATTGGGGTCCACTCTATAAGGCTATTCACAAAATTCACCATCAGTATTCCGCACCATTTGGTTTAGCCGCCGAATATGCTTCTCCTATTGAAGTGCTGATTCTCGGCTTCGGGACCGTCAGCTGCCCGATCCTCTGGTGTGCTTTCACCGGTAACCTGCATATTCTCACTATGTATATCTGGATTGTGTTGCGCTTGTTCCAGGCTATCGATGCCCACAGTGGCTACGAATTTCCTTGGAGTCTTCACCATTTCTTGCCTTTCTGGGCTGGTGCTGATCATCACGACCTCCACCATGAGAAATTCATTGGGAACTACTCAAGCAGCTTCCGCTGGTGGGACTATCTCCTTGACACCGAATACACTTCAGATGCCCTGAAGCGCCGAAGAGGGAAAAAGGTGAAGGCAAAGAAGACACAATGATCTGAACGTTAGCAGTGACGGTCTGCCTATTTTCTCTTCAATTTGGGAGTTGGCTCTGTCTGGGGCTATCTACCTGATAGATGATAGCCTTTCTTATGGTACCCAGTCCGTTGCGACCCCATACCCCTTGCGGGTATGGGTCGCCACCATCTAATTGAATTCACCTTGTAATTGAATTTCTGTTCAACGTAGCAAATTTTTTTTTGAATTTTCTCAACAACCACGATCCCAATAATTACACCAAAAAAAAAACCAGAGATACTACCAGAGAATATCTGCAAGTGGATCCAAATTTAACCCGATTGGACCAAGCGTAGGCGTAGGAGTGCCCTCTCTACCCTGGTGTCGAGAACGCTGTTTTTCAATGCGCTTAAGTTCAGTCGCACGCTCTTTCGCTTCACGCACTCGAATCAATTCGCATCATACCGATCAAGGTTTCGATGTTTTCCTCGGATGGTGTGTCAATATGGTCGGCGCAAGGGAAGAAAGTGCTCAGGGCCATTTTCGTCATGCAGGTTTGAAGATAGGGGTCTTGGAAGGGCCAAGCCATGAATAATGATGTGAGGAAAGAGAGCGCATTATGAGGTACTGCATGGGACAAATATTCGCACCACATACCTGAAGTTGAGCAGAAGAGAACCAACAATCGACTAGATCAAAACTCATGGCCTTGTATCTAGAATTCGCCCCTATTCGCTGAGTTGCCGCTCATGGGTCGCAGCGCTGTATCATGACCAAAGCGTCATCAGTATAACACCCCTCGTTTATTGAAAATTTTGACAGAAGCAACCGCCTGTAGCACGCTGATACACAATCGACCGTGGGTTCTCTACGTCTACACCAGATATCGTACAGTACAAACGTTTGGTTTCACATGCGATCGCTAACGTGGAGAGTTGTGCTTGTACAGATCACAGCTCCGCACAATCTGGCGGACGACTGAACCCGGACCCTCACGTATCCGTGGCCGGCGTCGAGCCCACATTGCCGCGCAGACGAATGAGGCGAAGCACATGAGTTGCTCCACTGACTGCGAGCTACACCGTCTCGGCGCGTGTGACACGATCCTTCTGCCAGCGATGCGCTCGACTGTATGTGCGCCACTGACTGTATCGTCCCCTTAATAATCGTGCAGGGGAGGACTGGAAGCCACCTGTGCCTTGCGGGCTTCAGTTCGTTCGACCAGTGTTGCCTGCACCCTACCACAACTGCTTCATGCCCGCGGATTACGATGCGCCTGATGTCTCCGTTTGATTCTTTGCCCTGAGCCCTTGCCATGCATGTCAGCCTCGGTGATAGACGTAGTCCGTAGAGCGCTTTATAGAGCAGCCACCAACACCTCTTACTCTAGTAAAGAGATATAGTTAAAGAGTAATTAAGGTGACCACTTTAAGTAACCTAGGGATAAACGTTTTAATGATCTATCTGCCATAAAGACGAGACCGTTCTTAGGAAATCATGTCTAGTGAAGTTTAGTTTCTCTTTCTTTTGGTTCACTATTATGCCTTCCGCCGTTAGGGCTTTTTTAATCTACTACCTTAAAATTAGAATGGCTGTAAGGATTTAGTCTCAGAGGGAAGTGATGATAGACACACCGATTTTATTTCTTTTCGATTATCTAGGATGATTTTAGTCTTTATAAATTCTTTAAATCCACTAAAGAACCGCTCGGCACACGCCTCTATAGTTTCTTACCGTTGGTCGTCTATTCTCGTTTAGTCGGCCTTAAATAGAACCAATGTACCAGCGGATAAACTCCTTAATCATCTCGTGACTTATGGCTGGATAACCAAACGAGGTCTTATAGTGTTTAAATCCATTCTCTGGGCCTATAGTAAAGCTAAGGATAGGTTAGCGTTACCCGTGAATAAGAAGGAATTAATTGCCACTTTAGATACGCCTTAACTTACTTCAGCTGAAGACTCATGTTTTATCGATGTAAGTTATTGGTCTCGGTAAGCCTTTTGTCTTTCTCCCGAATGGAATCCTCCTATCTGCGAGCTCTAGGAACATAACCGTTTCTTTCCCGTTATAGACGACGTCTCTCCTTTGCGATCTCATCGCGCTCAGTAAAAAAGTCTTTTCTGCCTATGATTAAGTGCGATGCCATAAGGGGGCAGGTATTCAAGGCAAGTGAGCCCGGTTTTGGTTCAACGTATTAAGAAAAGGCGCCGAGAGCGTAGGCGTGTGAATGATTAACATACTAGGGCTGGGACTTAGTTTACTTTTATATTTAAGATTTTAAGCTCGAGCCACAATGTGAATTCAGAAAGAACTAAGAACTCTTGACCGCAGTATCATGAAACAGAGGAAACCCTCCACTTTCTCCTGCGCCCCATGAGCATGACGTATCTCCTTCTTAGTGAGGTGGGCAGGGTTCAGAATATGCGGGTGCGATGCTATCTACGAACTGAGAATCACAGTATAAACGACCCTGTGGGGCTGTTCCATTGAAGGTATGGGGTGGTCTGAGTAATCAGTGAGCCTCCAATGGGCATTTACATAGTATCAGTCATTATGCACGTGACTATTCTGAGCTCCTCACTGATTCTGAGCTCGCTGATATGATTGAGTCTGAGCGCCCTCATTAAAGCGGCGGCAGCCCAACCCCACCCGCCAGGGAAAATCCGGTACATATAGCTACATATATATACAATCCTCCAATAATATCCAATCCAATATATCCCCAATCCAAGTCAAATGGAATATCCCCGGAGTCCGGTATAACATCGCCTATCGCCTATCAGCGGATAAAAACACCTTCCCCTCATCCTCCCCTCATCTTCCTCTTCTTCTCTCTACATCGCTCAGAATGGCTCACACTCTTACAGCCCAGGAACTGACAACCCTCTCCACTAAGGCCATTGACGCCAAAGCCACTGCCTACTGTATGGCCTGAAGTAGTAGATACAGTGCCCACAAAAGAACTGACACCTTCCCAGGCCCATACTCCAAATTCCGTGTCGGAGCATGCATCCTCACGACATCGGGCGAGTTCATCTCCGGCGCTAATGTCGAAAATGCCTCTTATCCAGTCGGAACCTGCGCTGAGCGCGTCGCTATTGGCACTGCCGTTGTATGTTCTTCTCTTTCCCCTGCTCTATTTCGTTGATACATGAGAACTACCTGGTCTCATTGTCGTCTGGACCATGGCTAACTTCCCCACGGGTCGCCGGTCACAAGGATTTCAAGGCTCTAGCCGTCGCGACGGATATTAAGCCTCCTGGCTCGCCTTGTGGGATGTGTAGACAATTGTGGGTTTCCTTTTCTGCTTTCTTTTGTGGTTGGCTCATTGGATCATACAGCATTCGCGAATTCACCACGCCTTCTTTCCCAGTGTACATGTATGACGGGGAGGGAAATTATAAAGTTATGACCATGGAGGAGGTGAGTCTTGTTTTCTTGATACATTGTAGCTCTTCGATTCTCTGCTAATGGATTTAGTTGCTACCCGACTCTTTCGGTCCCGAACAGCTTAAATAGGGATATTTACAAAGAAAAGAGGGGAGCATTGGATATATACATTGCCGTCTGACAGTGGAAATCAATACATTTACTAGGTGTCAAGGAAACATATAAAAAAAAGGTGGATCCTGTCTTGTTCAATGGATATGCACCCACAGCCCCTAGAGCTCTCTATATAAAAGCCAAGGGCCACAACTATAACGTACACAAACCGAAACCAGCAAGAAACAAAGCAAAAAGCTTCATGGACGCTCATAATGTCGCAATCAAACCCCATTATTTGGAAACCACAAAAGAAGGCAGCTATATCAAAATTGAATACTTAAAAAAAAACCCATAACCATCCCCCGAAGTCAAAGTCAAGAAGCCTAAGCGTGCTCTTCCTCATCATCAAAATCATCAGCTCCAAGCAACTCATCTTCATCATCAACAACAGAAGAGTAATCCCCCCTCCTCGCGGCAAACGAGCCACGAGTAGCATATGGTCTCTGTCCTCCTCGTCTTCCAAACAACCCCGACGAGCTCCGCGCCAGACTCTTAATGAGTAGCGGCAGAGACTGTGCAACCGCAACAATACCCGCAATAATCGCCACAGGTACCGCGACCAGCACCGAATCCCTGGATAGCCAGCTCTGCGACGAACCGACGCCGTTCTCGCCCAGCCGGATCTGGCCGAATTTGCCGTCCCAGTGCGTGTACGCGTACCAGCCGACAGCGCCGGCAATGACAATGGGGATCACGATCGCGAAGAATAGACCGACTCCGCTGATGCCGTGTTTCTTTTGATATTCTTCTTCTTTGTTCGGGCAGGGTCTTGAGACATCTTGGTCTAGGAGGAGGCCGCCTACGCAGGTTGTTTGCGGAATTCGGCGGTAGCCGGTTGGTTCCCAGTATTCGACCCTCTCGGGGTCTTGAGCGCATTGTGCGATGTGGTCTTGGGGTTGGAGGCCCGGGACGAGGCCACAGCTGCCGTCGTTTTGGATTTCGTAGTTGTAGTCACTGATTCGTGTTAGTTGATATGTAGATTGGATTTGCGGGTGTAGGGAGAGATTATTGAGCGGGTTTGTGTCTGCTTACCATTCGAAATCAGCACGGGTGCAAGTACAGTTCCGGCCGATGCTGTGGAGGTGTGGCTCACGCCAGGCATTCCAACACTCAGCGGCAGGTCGCTTGCGGTGGTACTCTTCGACATGGCCGAAAAGACAGTTCTCTTCCTGGAAGGGATGAGTGGGGGCCCAGTCATAGTAATCGCTCTCATCGTCGTTACAGTCGCGGCTCCAGATACCGCTGAAGTCAAGCGTGATGGTGACACGATTGCCGCCGTCCATGCCCCAGAGCAGGAAATTCTTTGATGTGTCTGATGGCACGGTCGAGATATCGTCGATAACCAGTTCTTTTTCAGCAAACTGGAATTCGTGCCAGGTCATACCCTCGTCAAGCGTGTAGTGCACGACCTTGGTTGCCTTCTGGTCGCTGACGAGCACGATAACTGAGCCTGCGGCGCCGAATTCCCACATGTACTGTCCCCTTTTGACTTGCGTCCAGGAGATGCCGCCGTCCCTGGTGAGGTATGTGTCGGCTTCGGCTGAGCTGGTGAGATACTCACCGACGTTGCCGAGCGCGAGCATCACGCCGATGGCGGAGCCCGAGTAGAGCGTGTCACGGATATCGCGGCGTTCGGTGTAGCCGTGGAAATGGAGAGCGCATTTGTCGGTGCCCCTACTCTCCGTAACGGAGCAGTCGAAGTTCTTGCCATCGGCATCATGAGTCGGGGGTGCCAGGAGCATCCACTGACCACCGTCGTTGTGGGTGATCATAGTGCGTAGCTTCTTGGCCGTGCCCTTGTTCTGCACTTCTTCCTGATTTGAAACCACATTGGCAATTGCCACGCCCTCGAGGCCGTGCAACTCATCGTAGTCCGTGTAACCGCGGTCATTGATGTTGAGCCCCTTGAGACTCTGGACGAAGTAGGTACCGTTGCTGTTACTCTTGACTAGAGAACCGAAGCTGTTTTCAATCCCCTCGCTCTCCTTCACAAGAAGGAACAATGCGTGCGGGGAGCTAGGTAGGACGTTATATTGAGGGACCTTGATGTTGAAAGGGAAGTGCGCATGAGCGTAAGTACGGCCGTCGACGCTAACGCTGGCATTCAGGTATTCCTTCTGGTCTCCTTCGTACCAGGCGACAACGACATAATCATTCCTGGTAGCGGAACGGGCGATGTTCTCAAACTCAACGTGCATGGTAGAGAAATAGTCATCACTGATAACCAGCTGCCGGTTGTTGCCCTTTTCTTCGTCTTTATACTGCTCGCAAATCACCAGCTTTTCACTGTTGTTGCGGCCCTCGCGATATCCAAAGTTACAACCGCCGACTCCAATGAGCATCGGGTCCCAGCTAGCGCCTCGTTTTTCGGTGACGTACGCCTGCGAGCGACAGTTTCTCCCAGCACTATCACAGTCCTTGTGACCAATCCAGATAAGGGAGTCCTGGAACTTCTCATGGAAAGACAGAGGGGGGATGCCCTCCTTGTTCGGCAAACTGGGAGCCTCGAAGAAGTGGAAAGAATCGCCATGATTGATAGTGTAGTACACCTTCTTGTTGTCGGTGAGGAAGAATGCTGCATCACTGAAGTAAGGATGCTGGACCATTCCCGTAAACTTCTCATCCGCGTGGATTTGCTTCCAGTTCCGGCCATGGTCGCGCGAGATGTGCAGCTCGAGTTTGTCTGTGAGCATCATGATAGTCTCATCAACGCCGTTGTTGCTGGCCTGTCGTTCGAGATAGAAGTATTTAGTCTCCTTGGCAGAGATGGTCTGTGGCTTTTCTGCACGAGGTTTGCCATCGGTGATGGGGGGAGGCCCCGTGGCATTCGAGCAGGAGCGCTCAACTTGACGGTCGAGGTCTTCGCCACCTTCGCGGGTGCATGCATTGCCGGGGATGAGTCGCCATCCCGAGGGGCCACTGAACTTGTCGCTGGGCTCGTTGCACTTGCCCGCCGGCGGTGTCAGCGGGATAGCTGGTAGACACTCCTTGCGGTCCTCACTGCGAATAAAGTTGTAGTCGCATTCAAAGTCTTCGGCGGAACACTTGCAGGGTTTGAATTCAGGGCCGTTGATGGCGAATTCTTTCTTGATGAAGCAATCCGCGTTTGCCTTGCGGCGTTGGAAGAACTGTTTATGACCCATCAGACAATCCGGCTCGCCCTTTTCATTTAAACGGGCAGTCCACTCTTCAATGTCTTCCGGACCACACTTGCGCTCGTGGAGGCCATCGAAGTCAATGAAATACATGAGGTATTTGGTGTCATCGCTGGAAATACCAACGAGCAGGAACTTGAGACTAGTCGAATCCGGAGTCGAGATCAGGTACAGAGGCTTCATCTTCTGTTTCAGATCAATCGACTCCCACTCTTTCCCGTGGTCGATAGAATACTGGACACTGTCCGTCTGGCTGCCATCCAAGGCCGCCACGATGACACCTCCCTGGTCGCCAAACTCGTACCGGTGCGGGCCTTTGAGCGCGCGCCGCCAAGTAAGACCCGCGTTGTCTGAAACATAGAGATCACCCTTGGAGTAGTCTTCGAGGTGGTCTCCAGTGTTACCTACGCCCATGACCAAGCCTGGAGCCGGACTTGAGAACATCTGGTGATCGGGCATGGGCAGCTCACGTAGCGCGACGTAGGTGGTCTGTGAATGGATGTGTAGCTCGTCTTTATCAGCCTTGAGCGATTGGAAGGTTCTCCCGTCGTCAAAACTGATACTACTGATAAGCTTCTTTTTAGTCGAGTCAGACTTCTCCGCTTCCTCCCAGTTCTTGACCGTGTTAACGATCGTGATACCCTGGATACCTGTGACTTTCTCAAAATCGACCATGCCATACAGGTCCTGGTTCGTGTGCTCGATATTCTGCGTAAAGTAGGTGCCATTGGAGTTGGATGAGAAAAGACTACCCATCCGGTTATCATGCAAGGTAGTTTGCACGTCGATCTGGATGCTGTAGTTGGTGCTTTCCAAGATAGTATAGGCATCCTCTTCAATGCGGTGCTTGCCAAATTCTGCGCGGTGCCACACGTTCGAGTCGTCGGTGACATATAAAGCCTGCTCCTGCGTGCCGCGCGATTGAAGGCGCGCCACAATGTACTTGGACACAGGGCGCATTTGAAGACCGATACCGCTCATCGGCTGTCCATGGTCCAATTTCATCTCGGTACCCTCCGTATCACCTTTAAAAAAGGTCTCGGAATATACCAACCGCTCTGTATGAGTATGCTCAAACGGTCCCTTCAACCCAGGAACCACACAGAGGATCCGATCTGCTATGGACTTTGGCAGGTCCATGTCCAATCCGAATTGCGGGCGGCTCGCGGCCCACATACATTGGGCCGTCATCTCACGCAACAGCTGGATATTATCAAAGTCGTCGATGGTATAATACGCTTGGGGCATGCAGCCAATGATGGTGCACTCCAGACCCATGAAGATCACCTTCTTCGGATCCCAGCCATTGAACTCCAGTGGGTCTAAGCGCATTGACACAAACGGCATTGCATCCACTTGGAAGGGTTTCCAGGACTTGGCCTGATCGGTCGTGATCCAGTGCTTGCCCTTTTCGCCGAGGATGTACGCGCGGTTGGCATCATGCGGATGCTCCCAGATCATCGCGACGCTGCCTTCTATGGTTCCGTCCTTGCCTTTGACGGTCTCCCATTTTTCGCCACCATCAAAGGAGACATGTGCAGTGAGGGACTTCTTGTCACGGTAGAGGATGGTGTTGGTGCCGCGGAAGTAGAACAGGTCCGAGGGCGCATCGTTCAGTTCATGGGTCACGACGTTCGGCTCGTTTCCCTTTGCCGCTGCTGGATGTGAAGCCCACACAAGCAGCAGGCTCAGTGTGAGCAGTAGCCACCGTGGGATCATGACTGGTGCTGCGTAGGCATCTGATGGGGTAGGAGAGCTTGAGCGGACCGGTCCGGGAATTCGTGGCCAATCGATGGAGCGAAGGAATGTTAAGCCGCTGAAAAGGAGAGAATTATTGGAGGGTAACAACGAATGAACAACCAGGTAGAAATGTCGTAAGTTAAGATAATGCTGATGACGGAGCTGCGTGGCCTTCTCTTCAGGCTCCCTTGGGATGAAGCTCTTAGTCACGTGCATTCCTTATCGGTATCAGACTTATTGAACCATGGTTGCTGAACAGTCCACTGGTAGTCCAACCATGGATGAGAATACACAATTATGTCTAGTGTCTATAGGTGAAAAGGGCAGAAAGTGATCGTTTGAAATTGACGTAAAGCAGTTGGTATGTACAACACTGCTAAATAGATGCATAAAAAAATCGGGGAGCCCCGTGTGAAAAGTAAACATCGCTCAAAATGCAGGGATTGGTGCTTGAAAAGACATTCAGAATGATATAGAACAAAAATGAGTTCGCATCAAATGAACACAACAGCTTAGTGTTGGGGAATCACAGGAATATTAAAGATAAAAAAAAAATGAAGGTCAATCGGGATATTTAAATCAAACACGGCGTCGGAGCTTGCGCCACATCTTCCTCACCATACCTTGCTCGTCCAAGTCCGAGTCCCAGATCGACTGGCTACGATCCGCAGGGGGAAGTGCGGCCAATCGCAAGGGATCTTCTTTTTCTTTGGAAGGGGTGGGAGAGTCGGTGCGGAGGTCAGGCCGAGTGAGAGTCATTTTGAGAGTCATCTCACGGTTTCCCGGAAGTCGTTGTGGGACTCCCTTGGTCCCCGGCAGCCAGGATTGGCGCTGCAAAAGGGCCGGGGATTCCACGGAGGGTCGAGGCGCGTCCCGGGTGAGCACGGGCGAAGGGATTGGTTCATTTTCCACCGATCCCCCTGGACTCCCCACCATGGTGCCATCGTCATCTTCGAAAAACGTGCCAAAGTCCGAGTTGACCAAGGTTGGCTTTGGTGACGAGGTTGGTGTGGGGGAGACTGGTTTGGGGGAAATTATTTCCGGAGCAATATTCTCCTTTTGATCTAGCGAGGGAAATCCGAATTCAATGGCTTCGTCGAATTTTTGTGGAGATGCCAGGTACACGCGCAATTTCAAACGGGCATCGGGATCTTGATAGTATTGCGCGTAGGGGTCAATGCTCGAAGTGGATGATCTGGGGGCATGTTGGAATCGGCGGGATGATGGGCGCGATTCAGAGGGGTTGGAGAGAGGAGTGAGAGGTTGAGAGCGGCTGACAGGCGGGAGTCCCCGAGGGGAGATCGGTGTAATGTCTAATGTTTTGCGAAGTTGGTGGGAAAAGGATAAGGAGCGGCGGAAAGAGAGACGAGATCTCTTTCTGGTGGCAGCATCTGCCACATGAGCATGGTATTCATCGAGAGATAAGTCGAGATCGCCATCGTCGTCGAGCCACCGGAAACTGTCGTGGAATGTTTGATCCATGTTGGGGTCTTCGTCCGACTCGGAATCCGAATAAAACACGGACGATGGCTGAACCGGCACAGTTGGCTGGGAGAAGGGACTATCAGTGGAAGGGCGACCAGCCTCCGAGACTTGACGGGGATCTCGGTTCGAATCTCGACGGTAAGCTTCGTCGGCAGCGTCGTAGATGAGACTTTGTCGATACGCGTTCCTCAAACGTCGACGTTCCTCGGAGGAGAAGAGCTTTTGTTGAATCTTAGCGGGAAGAGAATGGAAGCATTGGGAGTCCGCCTGGGCGGCCAGGTAGGCCAATTGAAGGGAACCGGGTTTGCGTAATTTCTTGGAAGGGGAACGTTTGAGCCCTCGCTTCCTCGAATTCCGTAGACGTTGATAGTCCCCAAGACGAGAGGTTCGATAGACCCGATTATCCGTCTGATAGTTTGACGTGGAGTAGGTAGGGGTGCCGTGATCGCTCTGAGCTAGCCGAATGCGCAAGCGCTCAACATTCGAGAAGAACTGTTTTTTGGGTCAGCTGGTGGAGATTGAACCGGTGAAGTGGAGTCAACAACATCCCATGCGCTAACATTTGCCAAGATTGGACCAGAATTGGCCAGAATTGGCCAGAATTGGCCGATATCAGCCAATGTTGCGAGACAACGAGGGACGCCACGGACAATAGTGCGGGTGGTCAGCCTCCACCGAGGGGCTCAGGGGTAAATCACAGTCAATCACATAGAGTAAGGGTAGACAAAGAAAATGGGAAAATGGAGAAAATGGGTAACTCAATCTTCATTGGGTTAAGATCCTCTCTGTGGAAGGGGACTATTGGAGGGGAGAAAGAAGTCCGAGCGTGGGTAGTGGAAGGGAGGAAATGAATCTTAGCCCTTACCTTTCTTCGCACTGCTGGAGGCAGTGACTCAAAATCCTCGGACATTGTAGAGAAAATGAATATAGAAAATGAATATAGGAATAGGAATATTGGGATAGGAATCCTATAATAGGAATCCTACAATAGGGATACAGGAATATGACAATATAAGGAATATATAGCAATCACAATCAAGTGTATAAGTATACAGTACATCCAAAATAGAACCAAAAAAAAAGGAAGACAGGAGATCTATATATGCTCGTATCCTCACATCGAATCTTAACCCTCTTTGATCTGTGACAGGATGCTGTACATTAGCGCCGTGTGATAACTTCTATTTCCAGATTCAATACCCCTCAGTATGATCTATCACGAACCCCTCTACAAAATTCTGCGAACATGTCGAACTCTTGATACATCATTATATACATCATTATATACATTATATATACATATGGAATACAGAATATACTACACACTGTGAATTCATCCCAGGTCACCAAGTCAAGTCGCTACGCTGGGAGATGAGCCTCAGCTCTCTTCCAGTCTGAAACACATGCATTTGGAATTAAACGTCGAGGCCTTTGTGCTCTACCCTGTTCCCTGTGCCCCATCCTCTCAATTTTGGGCATCAACGGGTTGCCGCGGGGTTAACGGTCGGGGAATAGAAGAGAATGTGATATATCAAGTATTCGTCCAACAGTGACGACTTGACCTTGACACTAACGTAAGAACGTCGGCTAATTTAATACATAACTGCGTACCTGACAGCTTATACACTCTCATAGCAAACTCAGCTAAATTATTTAGGTTGAGACTGTGATCCGGAGATTATGAGCTCATGATTTTGCTTTTAAAGAGTACAAGAGTACATGTATGCATTGTACAAGGATATACGTCCAGCACTTGCATAAGAATGATCGACAGAAACTGGAATCTAATAGAATTCTGACCTGTAGGGAGTTTAATTCTCCCAGATCGGCTGCAAATAAATCTTCTTTCTCCTTGCATCGGGCTAATGCATATATTTTCAATCACAAACGAGGCCTCTTTTTTTTTCCCGGACTCGTGGCACGTCGAGGCATGCGAACTCAGGGTTGTAGATATGATCTATCATCTGCAAGTGATATTTTCCTATTTTCCGTTTTCGGGAAGCAAACGCGTCTCCGTCGTTCGTGCTGAGGGTGTTCACCGCTGGTAGTGTAGATCTTCTGGTGAGCCTCAAGGATACGAGCTAGTTTATGCAAGTGCCCATGTCCAGATCTGCTTCAGACCCCTGTCAGGGGATAATTCTAATGATAATTGTACGGAACGATAACCACACAGATTTGTATAGCAGAGCTGGACATTTCTTGTTCTAGTCTAGCCTGATCTGGTGAAGAGTCTCCATAATGCTAAATACCAAATGGATTCCCAGTATATTAATTTTGGAGACAGTTGAAGAGTCACATCGGATTTTTCCCTATGAATTTATTCTGTATATGTATCTTTCTAATCTATAATATCGTATCCATACTTCGTACTGTGTATTCAAACCCACCCACCCTTCTCATCATCCCCCCTCTTCCCAGCCTTGACTTTCGTAAGCGTCAGCTTTCTCCCAACGCCTCTCCCAAGCACACCGTCAAGTGGAATGATATCATCTTCAACCGACGTGAGCTTCGAATTTGAATCCTTCTCAAGACTAAGTAACACCTCCACCGCATCCCGGTCCTCAATGACTTTCGGATGCCGTTGCGCAAAGTACCGCGCATACTTGTACAGCGACCAGTAACAACTGACCACGTTGATGAACGTCAGGGCGATCTTGTAGAACGTGTAATAGAGCAACAGGACTTTCCAGTCGATGCGCTCTTTCTTTAGTCGGAGGTGAACCTCGTTGAAGATTATCACGTTGAGGATGTACATCGCGATGGTGACGCCGAGTAACATTCCGCAGAACGAGGGACGGACTATAAAGGAGATTGGGAGGACAAAGGGAGCGAAGAGGTAGATGAGAGTTTCGTAGACCTATTAGGGTTAGGGTTAGCATTATGCTTACCAAATGTCGAAGATGGTGATGGATGTCTTGCTGTACCTCTTGGAAAACACACAACTTGGCACCAAACTCCCACCACCCCAATTTCCAGCTAGTCAAGATGTACTTCAAATCGTAGTATACACCAACTACGAAGAAGAAGTTCCACCGCTTAAACCGCTGCTGGACGACAGTCATCTCGCCGAAGCCACCACGGCTGCCACCGGAACCACTGTAAAATACCGAAGCCGGCGTCTCTGTTTCGACAAAGACCTGCGAACACATAGTAATGCGTCCACCCAGACGCCGACATGCATCGCCAAAGAACCAATCCTCCGACACGGAAAAGCCGGGATGTTCATGGAAGGTCTGTTTTAGAAACTCGATATTCCAGAGCGAGATAGCCCCATGTGGGAATGTAGCGCTTCCGAATTTCCCGAAGAAAGCACGTTGGATCCCGGACATTTTGTACTCGAGGTCCTGGGCTTGTTGGCAGAAGGTACCCTTTGAGGAATCGGGGCCGACGCTTTTGATGGTGTATCCGAGACATTTGACGGTATTTTTGAGTCTGTCGCTGACGATGGGGAAGTTTGGGGGCAGGAGGCAGTCGTCGTCGATCAGGAGGGCGTTTTCGAAATCTCTGGCTGCGTGGCTGCCGACGAACTGCGCCACGATTTTTGAGCCGATGGGTACCCAGAGGTGGTTAATACCGTAGGGCTTGCAGACTTCTTCTGTGTTGTCGGGGGGGTTTTGGAGTTGCCATTTGCTATAACGAAGATGTTTTCTTTGGGGAAGATTTTCAAGGCGGCTTCGAGGGTGGCGCCGATGATTGTTGCTGATTTATAACAGGGGATGAGAAGAGCGGTTGATTGTACCTTGGAGGTGTTGCTTTCCAGGTCTGGAGATTCAGATTCAGAGTCCAGGGTAGGAGGGTCGTCCTCGAAAAGGATCATCAGAGGACAGAAGGCATATCTGGTTTGATTAGGGCAAGACACGTGGGAGGCTCGAAAAGACACTTACAGTGCAGCCAGACCAATGATGATCGCGTATCCTCCTGGGATAACGAACTTGGTCCGGACAACGTAATATAACCACCAGACAGCACCTTTCCAGAGTGGCATCCCGACAAGGACGAAGTAGACGAACAGAACAAGGAATGCATAGATGCTGTATTCAAACAATAGCCGCACCCAATACTTTCGTTGAATGGCAACGCCTCTCAATTTGGCCTTTTCATAGACTTCTTGCAGGCTGCTCTGCTCGCTGCTGATTGCATGAGAGCTGACTTTGCTGTGTGGCTGGGGATTGAGGAATGCGTTCTGAACAGGCGTTATTGGTTCTTTCTCCGGGATTGGAGCGGCGGGCTGGAATGTGGCGGGCTTTGCGACGTAGTCAAATGTGCCTGAAGAATGATATATAATTAGCTTGTTGAGGTTTATAAGATACGAGTATCCATTTGATATAGTCTCTCATTGGATCTCTACAAGTCTCTGCCATAGATGTGGGATATCAATCACATACCCTGGAAAGCAGGAGGATCACTGCGTCCACGAGGCCGGATGATGGACTTTGGTCTTGACACTGCTCGTAGAGCAGAAAGACTCAGAGGACGATTAGAAGAGGTGCGAGGCTCTAGAAGCGATATGCGGTTGTTGTCGGGGAGAGACTCTTCCCATCGAGCCAATTCCCATGGCGAGTTGAATTTGGCAGTGGTGAGTAGTTCTTTGGGGATGAAGACATCTTCGATGGATTTTCTGGGGTTGTCTTCGGCCATTAGGCATGTATATTCAATTCGCAGTCATCAACAAGGGTATATAGTAGTTATAACGAATGGACGGCAACCCAAGATTACCAGTGAAAGAGTGAATATCTCGCTACGACAGGGGATTGAGGGTGTTTCTTGTATTTATTAGAAGAAAATTTCAAATCAAATCTTTGGAGTAAATCTTCTTTGCCTCTGACTGTGGGCCAAGGTCTCCATTTGTGAGACTAGATCTGATGGGGCATACATACTAGTACAGCGCAGCATTTACCAGATCCGAATGTATCCCGTCAGTTTGTACCGGCTATAAGAACGGTGTTGAGGAAGAATAATTGTTAGGGCCCGCAGGCCAATATTGATTAACTGGATGGCTCGAGGGAAGAATAATTCAAGGCTAAGAGGGTTTTACAGACCATCAACCGCCTACTAGATCCGTCACAGGATTCCCATTGTCGATATACCTAGATCGGGAAGTTAACGCCGATCGAGGTTTGGCAGATAAGGTTTATCCTAGATCGAAATTGAATTCCAGCCCGAGTCAGCTTCCATCCCAGATCAGGCTCGCGGTCTTGACTCTTGACTAGTAGGCGCAAGTATTCAAAACGTGAATCCAGATCGAAATCATTATCCGTAAAATAGAAACGTCCCAATCCCGGGAGAAGTCGACAGATACACAACCCGCCCACTCAAGTTTGTAGGCGAAGAAATCTCAATATAAGGCTGTGGGTATAGGTTCACGAGCGTAGAGCAGTGGGAACAAATAAAACCTTGATTCCAGCCTAGATGGGCCATATCTCAGTATAGTTGTTAATAATATCTTGATCTTTGGTTTCGGAAATTATGATTTGTTCGGACAAGTTGCGCAGTGGAGCAAAGTTTGTAATGAACCAGAGACAGTCTAATGATCATCGTAGATTCTTTCCTAGGTAGGTGAGCTAAAGTTAGGCTGTGCGTCCATTGCTAGAGTAAAGGTAATTAGTGTCTATGGACCTACTACACATGGGTAGCACCTTTTCAAGTTGAATATACAAACTACAACCTATATATGGATGTTGTATATAATGTTTTCTATAAAAAGGCACAAAGTTAGATAAAAAGATCAGGAAGATTGACCGTTAGAGTTACGGGCCGTAGATTTGGGTTTCAGCCACAAATCTTGGGTGGTTTTTTTTACACCGGATTACCTTGTTCCTGCAGTGTTTAGAGAAGTACAAACAGGATAAACTGAAACATGGTAAGATTAAAAGAGGTACAGTACCATGGCTCCAGCCAATTATGGGTCCCATTTATACAGGGCTGAACTTGCATACCTGGGAAGGCACTAGTATTTCATGGGTTTCTTATATGTGGATCTATAGACATCTAGATGAAATCCGAGCTGCTCCATAGTATCAAAATAGCATCTAATATACCGTAGTCGAGGAACCTTTTTACCTGTATACTATATAGAGAGAGAGAGAGAGAGAATGAAAAAATTCATGAGATAACTCACAAAGTCATAAGTAGCAAAATAGAAAGAAAGCAAAAAGCACATGGTTGAAGCGACGAACACAAAAACAAGTTATTATTTGACCAAATCTGACCCAACGGCAGTACGGCAGTACGGCAGATCTTCTATCAGTTTGAGGAAATTTTCTAGTGGGGCCCAAACTTCCCGGATAACTCTTTCACTATTTTCTCGGCCAAGCGATGGAAGATGGAGAAGTGAAAGCAGGGAAAGAAGAAGAAGAAGAAGAAGAAGAAGAAGAAGAAGAAGAAGAAGAAGAAGAAGAAGAAGAAGAAGAAGAAGAAGAAGAAGAAGAAGAAGAAGAAGAAGAAGAAGAAGAAGAAGAAAAGCACTCCAAGGACTGTAAGCCTTCCTTGCCCCTCTCAGCACAGAATCATGACCACTAGGGACACACCCGGCAGCTATTTTCTCTGAACTGAGTGACATTCCTCATGGGAGTATCTTTTGGCATTTTCTCTCTGCCGGGTCGAAAATGGGTGTAACTACTCATCGGTATTGTTGATGAGAGAAGACCTTGCTGATTCCCTGCCCCCGGGCTCCATATCCTTTATAACGATGTCCTGAGAAAGAAGCTACCTCGATCTTAACTGCTACCTTTGCCATCCAGGTGCACTTGAACACTATCCATACTTGCAGTGAGATCTTGGGCAACCCTGCTACTACCAGGTAGTTGTGGGGTTCATTCGTTTGGGATTTGGGTTCCAGCGGATATCTTTGCAAACAGCCTGTTCTCCTTCTAGTATTGTAGATAACTCTCGGCGCGCTCCTCGATGAGCCGCGAGTGAAGCCTCATCACCCCCTAATATGGCCAGCCCATGGTTCCCGTCCTGGTAGCCGCGCGGATGAACGACGGAACCTGGCGAGCTGTACCGCACATGTTGAACAGCGGAGCTGTCTCCTTTTTTACATTCTCGACTCTACCCACAAGGAATCATGAGAGTAGCAGGAAGACGCTAAAGACCACAAGTGTTAGTCTAGTCTAGACTCGAAAATATGGGCTCCACATACTCACAACCCAACATGTTCGCGGGATCGAATTGCAACTCGCAATTCTTTGAATAGGCCAAATCACATCCTTGATTGCGATGACCGGCAAAATAATAACCTCAGCCTGCGAGACACATCCTTGTCGCTAAATCGGAGGAAGCATTTATTTCCACCAGACGAAAAGAAATGTAGCTTGTCCACATCCAGTCCCACCGGAGCCCGCCCAGGAGGAAGATAGCTGGTAGTGCTCAAACGGTCCGTTGGCTGCTATGTTCAATCAAATTAGAGCCTTGGTCTACTATATGCATTTTCCAAGGCAAAATCGGGGACATTGTTCACCCCAGGACTGGGAAATTTGCCTCATTTACTGTCCAGTCATCACCCCATGCTGGGCTATTGAGTCATGATTTGTGGCGCCATAGAGAGGTATCACCGACTTAAAGATACTCTGGCTGTGTCATTGATTAGCGGGTTCACAAAATGTAGTCATAGGGGAAGGACACGAACAGCACTAAAGCACCATGTACTCAACCCAGTCATAGTTTTGGTCCACGTTGCAAGGCGATACCCCGGCCAGTTTTGGACAAGGCTATCTTGAGAATCCCTCCAGTCAGAAGCCTCCCAAGCTCCCCATGGGGCTCAGTGGCTCACGGTTGTAGGGAAATGCAACGAAGTCCAAGGGACGAGATGGAATGGGGTATGGCGCGACGAGTGTTCCTGGCACATGAATTGTGCTATAATTATAGCGAGAAAGAACCAAGGATCGAAAGATCAAATGACTTCAAGACCTGAAATTGCGAGAGGAATCTCGAATTATATCAGAGGGATGGGTAGGTCATGATCGGGATTGTGTATCACCTCAGTGATGCCTCGCGCGCTGTCATGCCGGTATGGGGAATTGGCGAACCAAAACAAGGATTTCCTGACATTTGTTTTCTTCAAGTACGGTCAGAAAGAAAACTCTGCATGAATTTGGATAGGAAATGTCATGCCTTTCTACCTGACGCGACATTGTGAGAAGACCTAGCCCTAACCGAGGAAAGGCATCAGGCTCATTTTGTCCCCTCCTGTCAGAGCAAAACGATTAGCAACGATTGATCGCCAAAGAACTGGGAATGAATCGAGGCTTTACACACTTCGAAGATGCTCAGGGATGGTCTTTGCCACTCCCTGTACTTTTGGTGTCTTTCTGTCCAGCCATTGTAGCTTTTTTTTATATAATCTGGCCATGTCCATTTCTTGCTTTACGTTCTTTGGCCACTCGTATGGCCTCAATCCCGCTTGGTTTCGCCTTTTTTTTGTATCTCCTTAATAGAGAAGAGTTGTTAGCAACAATCACTCGGAAAAGGACTGGGACAAATCAAGAGTATACATACTTTGGCAAAGTTCGGAGATGGCCCTTTGACTAAAAAGGTGTTCAACCATGTCGAGCTTGTTCAGCCTGTGGAGCCCTGCTGATGTGAATGATTGTTGGCTAATTGAAGTCGTACCTCGTATCATGACAACAGCCAACTAGCAGTAGGATTTTGCGTTCTGGACTGGTTAATATCAGGATGACATGTCAACACCCGGCTTTTGCGTTACCGGGCGGGACAGGAAAGCCATATCTCTGACGGACTTGTTTCAGCTTAGGCTGTTGTAATAAATGAAATCCCATGCAGATAGCCAGCAGTGGAGTAGGTTGAACCATGCACCGACACCTGCCAGCAACAGGATTGTTACGTCGGGATATGCCAACACCCGGAATGCTAACGCCGGGATTTCGTGTAATGTATATAACTGGCTATGGCAGAGGACTAATAGAAAGAAAGTTGGAGAAGAGGAAAAGGAGAATTTAAGGTCTCTTGGAGGAGGGGGTTATCCGGGGTTTTATACAGGTGCTTCTGGAATGCGCTGCAACACGCGACAGGCCTCTCGGTGCCTGGACAATGCCTACATAAAATCTAGGAAGATCTTGTTTTGAAATCATAGAGGACTAGAAATATAATATAGCAACATTGAAGACAACGAAATACCAATAAATGCATTATCATGACGCCGGTCTATATCCTCCCCCCAGTGGAAACGACTCCTACCAAATCAAAAACAGGGTATAAACATCTCAGAACAAGGTCTGCCCCTCACAATGCATTAAGAACCTGCTGCATAGCAAAAGTATTGGAGTCCTCGCGACGCGAGACATAAGCTCGCACCTCCTGAACACTCAACTTACCCTCCTGTGTAGCATTGCGTCCCGAGCCCCCGGGTCCGCTGGTCGTGCCGCTGGCAGCACCGCCACGGATTCTTTCACGGAGAGCCTCAGACCCAATCACGAACAGGCTGCCGACTTCCAACAGCACGTCCAGCGCGCCGCCGGGCCCTTTAGTCTCTTCATCAATGTCCCAGGATTTGAAGAGGTCTGCATATTGCGTCATGTCTTTGGTTACCATTAGTCCACCGGGTCCACTGACAGAGAACCGTTTGAAGTGTTCGAGGAGAAGGCTGCGTACTCCAAGTGCTATCTCGGTCAGCACTTGGCGCACGTTGGCACCGCTGGATGGGAGGGAGCTACGCGCGATGTTGTGAACACGGGCTAGGAATGAGGTGATTGATGCGCAGGTCTATCTAGATTAGTAAGATTCTTGGATGGGCATTGGGTGGAACGTACTGGAGTCTGTAGCATCTCTAACCATGCCGTGTTATCACTCTCCCTGGGCCGGAAGTCGTTCTTCTTCTGGTTAGATAGCAATCTGCTAACCCAGGCAAAGGTGGTGTCAATAGTTTTCTGCTCGATACTATTGATTTTGTCCTCAATGCGCGAGGTGGTTTGGCTGGTGCGCTTCTCCATATCCCGGCGAGTGGTAATGCTCGCAGCTGATAGGGGGAGAAGGACCGCATGGATGCACATCACCATCAATGTGGTAATGCTGATCGTAGTGCGAGCCGAGAAGAGGTAGGAGAAGTCGGGCTCGGCCTTGGCGGATTCTTGCGACGTAGCCGCTTCCAGAGCGGCGTCTAGACAGACATCCACGTACCCCTCTCCCATGGCGAGGAGAAGCAGATTGAGCAAGGCCGAGACGTCTTTGGGTGTGTCGCTGTTGACACTGAGCTCCAGTCCTCGGCCCACGGCTTCAGCCAGCCATTTCAGCATCCGTTTAGCGTCGCTGAGATTAGGTTGTCCATCTTCTTCTGTAAGCTTGATTTCGGTCAATCGAGCTGTCTCCAGCGTATCGCCTATCTTGGCTACGCTGAGTAGAACTTTTCGCTGGATAGGTGAAATCTCTGGTGAGTCCAACCGGCTGATAAATGCATCGCGCGTAGTCGAAAGGAGTTCTGATCCAGCCCGGGATAACGAGGCCATGAAAGTTGTTGCCGCCTTCTTGCGGCGGGCATGGTAGGAGGTGAACTTGAACAGAACCGCATTGAAGAGTTCTTCTAACGTCCGCTTCTCGCGTTCGATGTAAGACGATCCAATGAAATAAGGAACAAAAAGTTCCTCCAGTTGCTGATCTAGCAGCACGGCTGTCTGCGAAGAAACGGGCTCTGGGTGCTCGGTCAAGCCATGCGACTTCAAATCTTCGATCAAGGCACTGATATAGCCACGGGAGCTTTGTAGACAACGGAGGAATGCTAGTGACGATACACCAGCCGCTTTCTCCAGCACCATTTCCAGCCGTTGCTGGATAGATTGCTGGAAGACTCGCTGTAAAAACTTGCCCAGGACCTGCTCGTAGTAGGGGAAGGCCCGCCGAATAATAGTAGACTCCTCCTGAACCACAACCTTGACTTCATCGATCAACGACTGGAGACTAGATTCAACGCCAGGAAGCTCCGCGTCCGGGTCAGCTAGTTTCTCCCACGACTCCGGATCACCACCGACTTCCTCAGTCACCAGCTGGCTGCGTTCAATAAAGAACTGATGTTGGTTGACGAACAAGGCAATAACACTAGCACCGCCATTGAAATCCTGCAACACAGTGGCGCAATCCTTCATGCCATCGAAGTTGGCCTTGCGGTAGAACTCGTCAAACTGCTTCAGCAAATCCTTCTCCAGTGTCTCGGAGAACTTCTCAATGATCTCCCGCGTGTTCCGCCGCGGGGTGCTACTATCGCTGAGATCCTCAGACGAAGAGCTATTCCCGTACCCAGCATTCGCACCATTCGCACCATTTAAGTGAGCCCGATGTTCTTGCCAGCTCTGTGGATCCAGTCGTTGACTAATGCGCAGCAGTTGGCGCGCAATATGTGCGGAGCGCACCTTGGCCTCTCCCGTGCCAGATCGCCGTAGGCCCTCTAATAGTGAGAGATCGCCCCGGTTGCACACACCGTCCCAACATTGGATGAGGAAATGGGCATCCAGAGCTCGTCGGCGCTGTCGATCTAGCTCCTCCAAGCGTTTTCCTGTCTCGACTGCCATGTTCCCTGTCCCTGCTGGATTCTCGCGGCCGGGCGCGTTTAGAGACGTGTCAAGCTGTTGAAAGTTCTCGATGGTATGGCGAAGCTTCTGGCCAAGGGTGGTGAGATTTTGGCCATGCTGCGCTTCTGCACGTCGGACAGCTGCTGAGAGTTCATTCTCGCGGAGCTCGAGGTCTCCGGAAAGCTCGCTCAGGCGACCTTGGGCGCTTTCGAAGGTGCGGATGAGAGGCTTGGGATCAAAGGGTTGATTGGTGGCGGCGGTACCGGCTAGCGAACGACGATTGGAGATGGCTGTGTCGGAGAGAGCTTCAATAAATTCCTTGACAATGAAGTCCCGGCTGGAGAAGTCCTCGAGGGTGAAACTGGGGCCTTGGGGGAACACGGTGCGGGCGGGGTTGGTTATTATGGATGCATTGTCCATCATGATAGCGGGGCAGGCATTGGCTGCCTGTAGAGCTGGACAATTGTCTCTCTCTCTTGGACTGTGGGAGTAATTGAAAGAGGAATCCGGGGAAAGCTGCGGGAGACGAGACGGTTAATTCGGGGGAGGTTTACTGCCACGCACATATTTCTATAGACATCACTTATATCAACTCTATATAATTCTATTCATATGTATGTACATGTTTACACGATCTATTTGATCTATTTGATTGGATATTGAAACTTATTCTCCATACATTACACCAGAACTCTTCTACTCCTTTTCACATGAAAAAGCCAAGGACCTCTCCTAGGCAGCACAAGATATCTGGCCAGCAAAGCCGAAACCAGAACCTCCAACTCCACTTTCCCTCCTCCACTACCCACAACAATGGTCTCCCAACGAGACCGCGAGATCCTACGCGATGATCTACGTGCCCGCGGTACAAAACTCGGCATAGCAGAACGTGAAGCCCTGCTCAAGAGCTATCTTCCCGACCCCGCCGAGCTCGGCCAGAAACCAACACCCCAGCCGACTGTTAGCGAGCGCAAGACACCGCGCAAAACGCCCATCCGCACATTTCTCAAGTTGCAAACTCACTACCTCACCTATGCCGTGACGCATATCATCTTCGGTATCGTCGTGCGTCTCCTGCAGGCGTACCATGCCGTCGTCGATCGCATTTTCGCAATCGTCTATCACCACCATCGCACCCCGGAGCTGATCCGGAAAGATGTGAAGAATCTCAAGCGTTTGCCGCAGCATCTGAGTACAATTCTTACGTTGCGGAAGGAAGATGATTCTCTTGCGGTGTTGATGGATGAGGTTGCTGAATTAGCTGCCTGGAGTTCGTGCTCGGGAATTCCCCAGCTCAGTATATACGAGAAGTCTGGTATGAATGATCTCTCTGCTATCCACTATCCAGGATATACGGTAATGCTAACTCTCTACTCAGGCGTCTTGAAATCTTGCATCCCAGCCCTCCACCAAATAATCACCACCAAACTTGCCTCCTACTACGGCACCCCCAGTCACCAACCAAACCTCCAACTCTACGCCCCTCACCACCCAGTCCACCGCAGTGCACCTCTCACAACAAACCCAACCCTGACCATCCTCCTCCTCTCCTCAACAGACGGCCGTGAGACCCTCGTCGACCTAACGAAGACCCTAGCGGAGATGAGCCAGAACGGCAAGCTCTCACCGGAAGATATCACGCCGGAACTGGTTGACGCGGAGATCAGTGAGATCACTACGCAGCCACTGTCTATGGATCCCACGCTGCCGGATACGGTGCTTAAGCCCGAGCCAGATCTGTTGCTTGTTTTCGGTCCGTTCCTTAAGCTCGATGGGTATCCGCCGTGGCAGCTGCGGTTGACGGAAATGTATTGTACCGGTGGACGCAGCCATGGACTTAGTGGGGATGGGGAGGCGGTTGAGTACCAGGGATATATGCGTGGTCTTTGGCACTTTGCTGGGGCGCAGATGAGGTTTGGTAGGTAGGGTAGTTGGAGGATTGAGGTCGATCTTGGTGTCGAGAAGGGTTTGATGTGGATGAGCGTAGGTTTTCTATTCTGGCTATACCCTTACCATATTCCTTTTGCGTCCTACGGTCTTCATTTTTAGCATGGGATTCATTTAATGTTCAATATCTCTATTCCGGCCGACAGTGTTACATAGAAATAGTCCAGACAACCTGACAAAGAGCAATCTGCAAGTTGTTATAAACTGTTAACTACATAGATTGCTAGGAAGCTCTCCATATATAATCTTACCACCAGCAAGATAGAGACTTTCTGATTTTGAGCCCATTTTTCGGGCTTTTGTTTTGGTCCAGATAGGAACATCGGGGGTCGAAGTATACAAAGAGGCTTTTGATATCAATATGCTATATGCTAGAATTAAAACACATAGAATAGAATAGAAATAAAGATCAAGAATTCGCCATGCATATTCAATATAAATGACACCAAAACAATATCCGCCTCAATCCAAGCCAGTCCTTCAGTCCAGTCCCAATATCAAACTCCGAAAACAAAAAAGCCACTCCACACCAAGGAGTAGCAAAAACAACCTGAGGTCGTAATGAATGTTGTACTATAGTTTCATGTGTCATTCTGTCGTATCCACCTCGCCCGACAGAGGCGAGTAAATCAACTCCCATATGTAACCCTCAGTCGGTCATATCCTCATGCCGCATATCATCCAAAGCCCAAGCAGATGGAATAGTCGTTGCAGTCCACGAGCCTGCACCGCGAACGCAGTCAAGGCAACGCACGATCTCTGCCCCGGTCTCGGTGACTTCCTCCACAGCACAGCCCGAGCAGATTTTCCTCCTCGGTGCCTCGTTGACATCGTAGCTGGCGTCATCGGTTGGGCTCGTGTGCATGTGCATACCTGGATCTTCTGAGAGACCGAATGTCCCGCCGCATGATGCGCTGTCGCATTGCCGGAGACAGATGAAGCATGCCCGTTCGTGGCAGAGATCGCAGTCTGCGTAGGCGTCCAGGACTTGGCGGGTCGTTGGGCGCCGATGGCAGATGTGGCAGGGGCGGAGGGCAGAGGGAGAGGCCGATTGTTGAGTAGGGTAGTGGAAGGGCACGAGGGTCTTGGGGGAGACCGGGGGTGAGTATGGGTTTTGGTTTGGCGTGCCGTAGACGTTTGGGGAGAGGTGGGTTGGAGATTGTTGATGTTGATGTTGGTGCTGGGATGGAAGTGTAAGATAAGGGCCTTGGATATGTCGGCGCTTGCGGGGGAGGCAGCGTGGTCGGAAGGAGACGTCTGTTCCGTCCGGGTGTCGTGATAGAGGCAATGAGCAACTACCGTCGTATTCGGGCCGATCGACTCGACAAGACGGGACATATGTTGTTCTAGTGGTCGTGTTAGTCTATCTGTCACCTCAACGCCTCACTGAAAGAAACACTGTCAAACTTACGGACATGCTAGAGTCCTTGGCTCTTCATGATCCCGCTTGCGTTTCTTCCATGCCGTTATCGAGTCAGTTTGCTCTGGCGGAAAGCCTGGCATTGATGGTATGCCGTATTCCAAGCCAATTTAAAGATTATAGATGGTCTAAGGAGCGTAAGGAAACAAGATAAATCTTCGAGTGAAGCTGACGGGGAAACCAAACAAACGAAAGCCCGGGCGGTGTGCGATAGGAGATTGTTATCGCATGTCTTGGCGTTTTGAGGGATTATATTGATCGAGAGTATAAGCTGAGATTGTTTTTTATATATATACAAAACTGACGAAACAAGTCAGATAAAGATCACAGTCATACCAAAAGACCTCTATTCCTTTTCCGAAGTCGGAGATGCAACACCATCTAGGCGAGCCTGGATAGTTTTCTCATCAAAACGCCCACTGTCACCTACATAATTGCGTAGAACCTCATAGGTCATAAGCCGCCGAGGTGCTTTGCGACCTGTCATCAACTCGAACTGAGCAATGCCCTGTTCAGTAACATTCTCCAATCCGTCAGACAAGACCCAAGGTCGTCCAGTCTCGCTCCGGACTCGGCGCATTTGTCGTAGAAGTGGAGTATCGAGGGGTTTATAGGCCAACTATATTCTATTAGTACGTGTGACAAGAAGTACACATATCCCGGGGGGAAGGCTCACCTCAAGTATCACACCCCCTGTAGGACTCCCCAGCCACTGCTCCGGCATCTCAAAGTTCGCCGGTGGTTCATCTCGGTCTGGATCAGCCGGCACACAAGACGCAACAAGACTAGGCTGAGCAGCGTCCGCGGGCCAGTCTTCCTGGAGTGACTGCAAGACACAAACCACCTCAGCAGAGCCCACCTGCGACGAGGCCCAGGAGTTGAAATGGCGCGTGACTTCCTCGGCACGCGACTGTGTGCGGTTGTAAATGAAGATCTTCCGGCACCCAAGTCGGAGCATGGCGTAGATGGCGGCCCGCGCCATGCCGCCCGCACCAATGACTAGACCTGTTGTTTTTGCGCTGATCGCATTGCGCGGCGAGAGATGTCGCCTGATGCATGTCATTATCCCGACCCAGTCTGTGTTCTCGCCGTACCAGCCCAGCACCCGTCCGGCTTGGTTGCGTCGGCTGGCTTGTTCTTGGAGTGGGAACATCGTTCCATCTGTGTGTCCGCGGAGCGGCATGATTGTATTGATGGCCCCGATGGCTTCGGCATGTCGACTTTTCGAGGCGAGCTTTTGGTAGACCTGTACGCGCCATGGCTGCACGACGCTGGATCCCCCGAAGTGTGGGTCTCGGCCCAGCCGGTCTAAAACTGCGAGAGAGGGCGATTCTGGGATGCTGTATGTGTGGCCCATGCCGCAGTGGGTGTGTGCGGCATTGTGCATGGCCGGGGATAGACTGTAGGCGACATTCTCTCCGTAGATGTAGAACTTGAGCGGGTCGAGTATGTAACTTTGGAAGAGTGCGCGGACGGCGTCACGAGAGGTTATTTGCGGGTCATTCTTATTCTCCGGGTACTGGGCGATCGCTGGATGTGTTACTGCAGTGAGGATCGAATTGAACACTTGTGAAGTACGACCCAGAGCGCCGATGTTATAAGCAATGAGCGGTGGGTGATCCCCCGGGAGTGACTTGATTTTATTGCAGAACTCAATCACAGCGGAATTATCCTCGCGCTTGGTTGCGACTCGAAGAAGGCGGACAAGCTGACAGCCGAGCTTTTCGGCTTCATTGTAGATGGCCACGCAGCCCGCACTGTCCCAAGTAATGGGGGAAGATGGGTCAAAAACCTGCTGGCCGATGATTTTGGTATTCCCACGACCTCTTATAGTCCCAGCCAACCGAGATCGATCTTGAGTCAGGTCTACAGCAAGATATTCCACACCCAGGCGTAGGCCGTGCTCGAGGATATCAAAGTAAGGTCGAGAAGGAGCGGTGGTTGATTCTGGGGAGCCGATGCCAGTGGAAGAGGTATCAATGGAGAGAATCACAGGCGTCCGCGTATTTCGACGCAGGACAGAGACCTGTTTGCTGACAATGGCTGCCATGTCTGGGCCCCAGCGATCGACACATAACTCGATGGCATCTCCACCAGACTCTAGCTCAGTCAGGTTAACATTGTCGGCAATCAGATCTGAAGATCGCACGAAGATCGCATGGGTAAAAGAGCGCAGTTCTGGCGGTGTTTCTAACAGAACGAACGGCGAGTCATAGCTCGAATAATTCACGTCGAGTCCAGTAATGAACTGCACAAACCGTGTAAAATCCTCCTTCACCTCTTGCAACTTGAAAGAATAATCCGCAGACCGGCGATCCTGGCTCCCATCGTCCGACGCACGCGTCCGATCTTCAAGATTATAGAATTCGAAATTCGAACACATCCGATGCATCGGGTCCCCTTCCCGGAACAACCGCACCGCCTGGTCCTCTAAACCGAGCAATTGCTGAATGCGATCAATATCGCGCAGCAGATGGACTACTGGGTTGGACCGAGAATAGCGACGTAGATGATCCTGCACAGGTCGCGTCAGACTGGCCAGTCCACACTCCATCACGCAGCCCGTGCGGTGGTTATCCAGCATCGACTTCAGGACTTCAATGTCCCGGCGTTGGAACTCCTGGCTGCCATACCGCTTGAGGTATTCCTGTCGCGTGACGCCCGTGAGTTCCCGGAAGTAGTGGTCTTCGGTAATGAAGCGTCGCTTCAGCGCAGTCGCGGCGACGAAGCCTAGCGAGCGCTTGCCGCATCCACGGATGCCGATCAAGACGAGGGAGGCATTGGGAGTAAAAGTGCGAGGGGCGGACTCGGGGCGGGGGGTGGGAGAGGAGGATTCCTTGGTGGTACTTGAGATGTCGGACTTGCCGTCGACCGTGGGAATGGGGGGTTTAGGATCGAGCATGGTGAGAGGATCAATCGGGGGGGGGGTGTCTAGGTCGAGTGGACGAGCGCCATGATCAGATGCACTCAAGGCATAGAATTGCCAGAGGTCGAAGAGATGTTGAGAGATCGGTCATATGGACAAGGAATCTCATGTAGAATATGTGCCCTTGGAAAGTTCCCCGGATGATAAACTAGGAATTGCCGGCCACGGCGGCAAAAGGCTTTTCCATACGTCTCGGTCCGAGCTACCATCTATACTTGAAATAGGAATATTTAGAATCTTTGAATGTTTCTATCTTCAATTGACCATGTGACTTGTCTCCTTCTTTCCCCTGAAGGACTCGAAAGAGATCTGCGATTCAAGTACAGCGATTGAATTATGAATATCCCACACGGGGTTGACGGCAAACCAGAGCGGCTAATCATCTATGTAACGGTCTCAACCCTCTATGCCGATGGAAGAGAGCACTGGAAAACCTTCTACCGTTCTGTTGCAAAGTGTCACGTTTGTCCCCCCCCCCTAGCCTATAGAGCTCGCGATATAGGTCCAGTTAACTACTCTGCAACTCCCAAAAATTGGGATAAGTGGGATAAAGAGACGATCACACGCATGATGCAGAGAGATCCGATCTCAGCACAAATGATTACGACTATCGAGAATTTTCCCTCGCAGATCAAAGTGATGACTAGCCAGCTATCTGTGCGTAACGGCCATTCCCTCTAGCGCATGACTTTCTTCATAGTAACATCGTGGCGGATGAGAGCTTCGGTGTAATAGGAATTATCGACTGGAAAGGAGCATTTACAGTTCCTTGTGAGCTCATTTCGTTCCCTAACTTCCTTACTACCATGCCCTCCTCGTTCGACCTACCTGGGAAATATGGAGATGGGCAGCCGTTGAATGAGAAACCAGGAAAATGGCGCCAGCGAGGACCCAATCCATAACTTATTTGTATGGGGCATATGCTGATTTTGGAAAGCTGGGTTTCTATGATCGAGTTATAGACAGATTAGAAAGAGAGGGTTAAGCTTCAGAAAAGCGAGCATTGCTAGTTAAACTAAGCAGCACCAGTTTTACTAAAAGCCCGTTGCATCTGATACGGGCCTGTTACTGGTCGATAGTGTAGCCTCCAAGTCATCAGCTTGACCAAGATAGTCCTTGACGATAGTTTGTGCTTTGAGCCCCAAACACTGTACTTGATGAACAGGGCAGTGCATATATATATCGCATGCACTAGCCTCGTTTGTTAAAGTGGGACATATATATCGATCTGACTGGATCAGAAAGTACTATGAAGCATTAGTGCCTTTAGTTCCTTGGCATCAGCGCTTAGCTAGAGCCGGCGTTGCAGGTTAGGCTGACATATATCACATCCCTTGAGAGATGCCCATGGTCCCAAATCATCTCGCCATGGGATCTGAAAATGGCTCAAACAGGGACCTCAAGCATCGGACGTTCTTAGGAAGACTTAGGTCTTTTGAAGGAATCCAAGTATGCGCCACCGTGGCTTCTATTGTGCTGGGGCTGAACTTCACCTTGGCAATAATTGCATTTAGCATTGGCTATTCGAAGTCGAGTGAGGGTGGGTTTTTGACTGTCCCGCTGTATGTGGGTAGCTGTTCGACGACAAGGAATTGGTCAATCGGACTGCACTTGTTGATCAATGGACTGGGGACACTTATTCTGTCCACGAGCAACTATTGTGCGCAGTTTCTAGCTGCACCCACGAGAAAGGATATTGATAAAGCGCATGCACGTGGATCCTGGCTCGATATTGGAGTACCTAGTCTCCGAAATATCTTCACCTTAGAAGCAAGAAAACAGATCATATGGGCTCTCTTAATGGTTTCTACGATTCCCATTCATGCCTTGTTCGTTACCGCTTCCCACGAAATAACAATTGTACTTCTAACCTGTGATCTGCTTGCAGCTATAACTCCGTACTTCTAAGTTCCCAAAGCTCGAATGAATACAGCGTCCTTGTCGTGCCATCAGATTACACGAGCAGTCGGCCGCTGAATCTTCCTCATTCCTCCGAATGCTTTCAATCCCGTATGCATCAATCACTAGCCGACTTCAACTTGGATATTGCAGAAGGCAAATTTGATATCCTGTCAAAAGAACAATGCCTGAACACATTCGCTGTGAGCTACCTCCACGGCCACCGGTCCGTGGCTGTCTTGTCAAAGGATCTGACCTGGGACCTCAAAGACCCCGTCAAATTTGCGGCGAATGCAAACTCCCCAGCAGACTATGAATCAGTCGAGGCACGGAGCCCATTTTCTTGGATGTGCCCCTCCCGTGACGACTCTGTGTGCACCTCATCAACAATCCAGAAGCAAATGCCTGATTGGAAGATCCTGGCATCTGTTTTGGAGGAACCAACATGGGCCGTCACTGCACCTTTGGACAATGGCTTGATGACATATACCCAAGAGAACTACACAAGTTGCAGTAACGAGACCTCGTCGTGCTTGAACATGTTCTCTTTGGCTCAGTTCCTCTGGGGAACCACCATCGCCCCGCCCGGTGGAATCCTACCTGTCACAACGCAAGATCTTCAACAATACCTTGGATCCAGTTCTGTGTGGGGGGGCAAGATGACTTGGGCAGAAGAGGTAACCTATCAGCGATCAGGCTCACAGTGCTCCAGATATCAAATCTTGAATTCGCCCAATACCGTTGGTTACTTTGACTATCCCTCAATTGGACTTTACACTGTTGATGGGTGTATAAGTATCAAAGGCGAGGAAAAATGTCAGCTCCTTTTCAGCCCGACATTTTCCCTTGTGGTGCTTGTGTGTACCGCGGTCAAAGTTGCTTGTATTGTGTTTGTCGCTCGCCGAGAGCGAGCTCACCGGCTTTTGACCGTTGGTGATGCAATCTCATCCTTCCTCTCAAACCCGGATCCGTTTACTACCGGGTGCTGCACATCATCAAAATCCGATTGGATCAGACGCTCCCGACTGGATGGGGCAGCTAAACATAGATATAAGGGGGTCGCTCCGCAGAGGTTAAACACTCGTACACGCCGATGGTGGCAAGCTGCTGCTACCAGGCAATGGGCTTTTACGCTCGGTCTGTATGTTATACACCCCTCGGAGTAGACTGGGCTATACTAATATGTAAATGACAGGTCTTTATCATGTCTTGGTGTGGCAGGATTTCTCCTCCATCTTGGTTTGCAAGACACTAGGCTAGGTTCCGTCGGTGGGACGAATTGGTCTTCTCTCTGGAGTCTTGGACTAGGCTCCGCTAGTCCCTACACATTGATATATCGCTTGCACACTACCTTACTTGGCAATGTTCTTCTGGCCAATACCCCACAGCTGCTTCTTTCCGTCTCATACTACTTTTACAATGCTACCTTGACTGCAATGCTCATGGCAAACGAATATGAGAATTATGCGATTAAGGGGATGCGCCACGTTTCCACGGTTGAAACACTACAGATTCAGCCGGCAAAGGGACTTCGCGTGTCGAGTAATCGGAGGGGTGCTCAGCGCTCATTTTATTTCCTCAGTCTTCCATTCCGCTACAGTGTCCCACTCATGTTAACATACACTGTGCTGCACTGGCTTCTGTCTCAGGCCATCTTCTATGTCCAAATCTATATGTATGATGCAGACATGTATCACGAACCAAGCCTTGACGTTGATGCGTGCGCGTGGTCACCGATTGCCCTCATATTCACTATCATCATTGGGTCTTTGATGATCATGGTGCTTTTGGGCTTAGCAATGAGATCTTTTCGCTCGGTTATACCACTTGCTGGGAGTTGCAGTGCTGCAATCAGCGCTGCTTGTCACCCACCGGAAGATGATGTGGATGCGGCACTGAAGCCCATCATGTGGGGGGAGATTCGTTCGAGTCAGCATTCCTCCTCTATAGACTCTTTTTCACCCCCTGCGGTGGCCGGGGAAGTTCATAGAGAGACGAATTTGCTGGAGATGCAAGACAAAGGAAAAGTTATGCAAGGTCTTCCACGCTGCACCTTTACATCGATGCGTGTGGAGCGACCTACACTTCTCCAGACATACGAATAGACATGACTGTACGGGCTATAATACATGTTTCCACTTGGCTACATATTTAACCCTAGATACAATGCTCCTTATAAATTAACATGGGATACCAAATACTATATCAAGTCCTAATCGGGTTAAGCGTCGGCTTGAGCCGGGTGTATGTCGGATGTCTTGGTGCCTTAATGCCTTACTGCCTAAGTGTCTCATTTACACTCTAACTCGTATAAAACCTTGAAAGATACATATCAGTCTCCTATACCGAATACTTCAATATATATATATGTATATAATAAATGCAATCTACTTTGTCAAACGGACCTCGAAACATGGGATTGTGGGGGTGGAGCCCCGATAATTCCGAGTTCACATCCCGAACTTCACCTCCGAGATACTCCCTCGGCCTGCCTATCTGTGACTTTTGCCGTGAAGGCTGATTTGGTTGCTCCTCCACTTTGCTCTTTGAGTCTTACTCTTCGTCCCCGTTCCGAGTCTCGGCCTGTCTGTTATACGAACCGCGCGACTTTACTTTCAACCTGCCCGATTGATTCACTGAACTTCAAATTGCGACAGAGCTGCTGGTCTCCTTATTTTCTCTCTACATGGCGTGTCGCCTGCGTTAATAACCCCTCTCTATGGATGAGGGATCGGATAAGGCCCCTCGCCGCAAGAGGGTCTCCCGAGCTTGCGATCGCTGTCGCACTAAGAAAGTGAGTCGCGTCTCGCCTTGTTCTTTCGTATTTTCCCATTCTAACATCTCTGGCGATCATAGGATAAATGCGACGGCATTCGTCCCACTTGTTCCGCCTGTCAGGTATCGGGCCAATCCTGCTCCTACGACCCCCATGCAAAGAAACGCGGTCTCCCCGAGGGCTACGTCCGTGGCTTGGAGAAGTTGTGGGCGCTGTCGATCTGCAACATTGACGGGTTCGAGGATACCATGCTGGCCATGCTAGGAAATACCGCCGAATCCGCTGATCGTCACGAGAAATTAATGTCCGTGTGGTCGGACGATAGTGCCTCGGAGAGTTTACACGAATCTTGGAAATCGAGTCGGCTATTCGGCGCGCTGGAGAAAATGTTGTCTAGTTCTGATGCGCCGGGCTCGGCGACCGGGAAGCGATCGCGTAACTCACACGATGATGGTCCCGACGGTCAATGGGGGTTCCGAGTAGCTCGCACTTCCACCCCGCTCGGTCCTGGTGCTCCGCGTATAGAGCTCCTTGCCGCATCGGGTGTAAAGCGGGCTCGATTGTCCAAAGAGCCGGATAGTTGGGGTATCGCTGGACCTAGTCCCCAAACGCTGCAGTTGCCGCCTCAAACGTCGCAGCTGCTCGATATCTACTTTGCGGTCACGCATTCATGGTTCCCCGTGGTCGCCAAGCATAACATTCTCCGCGCTTCGTACCTTTACGCCAACGCCCCTATATATGTTGCCACGACTTCACCTGGGTCCGGCGATCATGCCGCCCTGTGGGCAATCTTGAGTTACACTATCACTCAATCGCGAACAAATTCACGGGCTGGTCCCACTGGAACAGTCGCCCTGGTGAAGGAATATTATACCATCTCACGGAATCTCATCCCCACGGAGAAAGAGCGTTATGAGGCCGGCCATATTCAGGCTTTACTGCTGCTGGCCTTGGTGAACATGGGCCTTGAAGAATGGACCGCGGCTTGGCTGTTGAGCGGCCAAGCAGTGCGTATGGCGATTGCCATGGGCCTTGGAACTGTGTCCGACAACCGGCGGTCTGATGAACTCAGACAAGGTAAGGCGGTGTTCTTGGGATGCTTTGTAGTTGATTCTATGCTCTCTTTCCGTCTTTCGCGGAGCCCAGCCATGACTCCAAGCGACCTCACTGCGGTGGGACTTTTGGAAGAAGATGGACTGGAGGAGTGGAACTCCTGGGTGGACGTTTTACCACCCACAGGTGCTCCACAGAGCAGCAAGAACCCGCCACGCCGAGGACCACTCTTGGCCCTGAGCTGCTTCAACCGCTTAGTTGAGTTGGCGAGCGTTCTCAATAAAATCTCCCGTCACATGTCTTCGGGATACAATATGGCCACCTTTGCGCAGCAATTGGTCATGGAGCTTAAGCAATGGGATGACCGCCTACCTCTGGGATGCCGTCTGATTGGACCGGAAAGCATTTATCCAGAGCGGCATTCAGCTCTACTTCCCCATCAAAGCTACCTAGGGCTAACCTATGTGGCCACCCTACTTTGGCTCTATCTTCAATTGATATCGGGTGAGCAGGGGTTGCACCGCTCACAGCGCCCAGCTACGGAGGGGGCAAAGAAGCTCCTCTACCGAGGGCTCTCTATGGTCACCCAACACTTGGAAAACTTCTCCATGTGCTCTCTCCCACCGTTGTTCGAGCTAAGTCTTCGCACAATTGCGGAGCAAGCGTTCAGATTGCGCAACATCGCCGACTCATCGGACACCTTTCCCTTTGCCAGGTGGGCAGACGAGTTCCGACACAAAACGGCAGCTTTCGCCTCCACGTGGCCGGCATATGGATCTTTGGTTTCCACCATGGAGAGATGGCAGCACTCCAAAGATAGTGGGGGGGCGTCCACTTTCCCCGGGGCCGTTGGTCATCCATATTCAGGTGCACCCATGGCAGGCTCCATGCAACCCCCAGGCGGAGCTCGCAGCCTACCTCAAAATGGCGATGTAGATTACACCTCTTCTATCCTTGGCATCAGTATGCCAGCCGATGGGCAATCTTTGACCCCCAAAGACACAGTAATGGGAAACACAGAGCTAGGCATGATGGGCGTGTCACCACACCATCCAAGGGAAGTACAGTCGGTTCTATCAGATAAGATCACTCCACGCAGCAGAGCAGATTCCGTGTATGGCGCAACTAGCGCACATCATCAACAACCACAACCCCAAACTCCCGACTCGACAACCTCAAACCCAGTGATGCCTGCAAACCTGGCTTCCACCGGTGACATCGACGCCATCTTCAAAGACCTCGCATACCTCGATACCACTGAATGGTCCACGAACCGCGAGGCCGGTCTGAAAGACTTTGGGTTCTTGGACGATAGCACCTTCCAGGCTTTCTGTCATGACCCGGATCGCTTGAGCGGATCACAGCCACTGGTTCATCCACCTTCTATAGCGGATATCTGGCCACCGCCTGGGTTCTTCCCAGAGACCTTCCGGGAGGTCCCCGAGGAGTCTATGGGCAGCTGAGAGATCTCAATATGATCTCGCCAGCTAGCTTTTGTAGACCATGTTACTTTGGTCTACTCCATCTCCTTGAAAGGTCGTCGCCCATGGGCATCTCATCGGTCTCTTGTACTGTCTACGGATGTTCCTGTGCTTCCAGACACATTTGTCGTCTAAATGGGACGGGATCTGTTTGGACATACAATAGCCACCATCACAGTCTAAGTTTGAGGCTTAGTATCAACTCACCCGTGAGGTTCATCTCGTCGACTCATACTCCAACTGTCACACTCTCGGTGCAGGAAGAAGAGTATTGTCCGTCCCTCACGAGAGGCTGGATTCCATACCATGTACATACTATACCCGCGCTGTAGGGTACTTTAAAGTCCAGCGCATCTGCATAAATGTCAATGGCAGAAGCCACGCTACAAACGAAAGATTTCATTGAGTAGATATTTTCTATATAACTCCTGGCAGGCATAGTCGGCCGCTTATACCCCCTTGTCTTTTTTGATACTATTTTCGATGCCTTTCTAAAACTCATTGAGAAGTCTCAGAAATCTTTGAATATCTTTGAAATATCCATCCCGCTTAAACTCCCCCAAATCGCCTACCAAACATTCCCAGCGGTCTGCTCCCTCTCCAACTTCTTAACATTCACATTCCTCCAAAACCAAGTGCAAAGAATACAAAGTGGCACAAAACAAACCCCAACAATCGCCATCTTCCTCTGAACGTCAGCATAAGCCCCAACAACAGCATCTCGCTCCGCCGTCCCATCCGCATACGACATCTGCTTCACAATGTCCGCAAAGATGCTCGCCGAAAGGTGCTTACTCTCTTGCGGCAGGCGATTATACAACTCCTTTTCGAGGATATTATTCCACATCCCGCCGGCAATGGCAGATCCCACCGCCGCTCCAATCGACCCAAATAATCCCCAGACCGCGTTCACAACCGCGATTTCTTGGTGTGTTACCGGCGCCATAATCGCTAGCTGTCCACACACCGTGAACAGGCAGCTGCCGAGTCCCACCAGAATTTGGATCATTGTCAGTAGGCCCACGTGTGTGTCGGGTGCGCGGAACGGGACCAAGAGAGCTGTTCCTAGGAGGAAGATTGGGACGCCGGCCATGGCGGTCCATTTGAAGTCGCCAGTCCAGCTTATCACTCTGAGCAGGGGAATGTTTGTTAGACTTTGTATAGGAGGATTGCGCGGACTGGTGGAGTTTGCTTACAGGCCAAAGATAGGGCTGAAGATGAAAGAAGTCAGGGAGAAAGCATTGAGCACGTAGTTGGCTGTCGTGATGTCGAGTCTATTGACGACTTGTAGGTACGAGCTGAAGTAGCTGTTCCAAGTACTGGTTTGCGGGTGTTAGTATGTGTACGTGCTCGCTTTGATGGTAATTGCGGAAGAGGCTGGCACTTACAAGCAGGAGGTGAACATCACGCCGTACAGCATGCACGAGCCGATTATCGTGGGGTCTTTCAGGTATTTCCACGGGAGGAATTGCACCGGTGAACAGTATCGCTCCCAGATGTAAAATGCGGGCACGCATGCTACCCCGAGGACTTCCATTGCGATGATGTATCCAGTCGCCCATCCCTTGGGCCCATATGTGGCGATGCTAAATGGAATCAGGATTAGGGAGAAGGCGGCTGTGATCAAGATAATTCCAATAACTGGGTAAATTAAATATCGTTAGGTCACATTCCAAATGAAAAACAGGCTGTAGACATGGGGGTAAATACCATCGAATTCGATGAGATAGTGAGTGATAGTCTGCCACCAGACCCGTCCAGAACGAGTCTTCTCAAGAGTACCGCTCTTCTCAGCCCGACGTTGCATAAACAGCATCACCGCAGCGACGGGAATACAAACCCCAACTTGTATGATAGCGAATGAACCGAATGCCCAGTGGAAATCGAGGTTGGTGTAGAAGAGTCTGGCGATTTCGGGGCCTGCGAAGGTACTGGCGATACCAGGTGTACCGTTCAAGCCGAGCATGAGCATCCGGTTCTTGAGTGAGGTCATATCCGCTAGCATGATGTCCACAACATAGGTGAGACCGATGTGGCCTACCCAGTATAGAGTGTGTGCTGCGGTGTACATCTCCATGCTTTTGCATGTAGCTTTCATGATCAGACCGATGCTGACGAGAACGAGCATGATTAAGAATCCCTCCACACGACCCCAGATGTCGATAATCTTGGCTAGTGTTAGCTTCGATGAGCCGCCCAGGATGGTTGAGATGACGCTGACGACTGTCAAGAGGCCGTGCTTGTGGAATGAAGATGTTATGTAGGGGCTTAATGCGCTTTCGACTGAGCTTAGGAGTGCGTCTACAAATGACACGAGGTAAAGCCTGTGTTTCGGGGATGGTAGGTTTAGTTTCTGTTACTCTAAGCAGGAGGGTACAAGGGGACTTGTGGCGAGATCCAGACTTACAGAATGAACATGAGAATGAGCGTCTTGGCCGACCATGTTGATGTAATGGCTCTTACTCGCTGCACACCACCTTGGAATTCGCTTGAGTCTCGATCAGACAGGCTTGTCTTGTCGTCCGATGGGTGGTCCGTACCCTGATGAACTCTGAATTCTGCCATTTTCTCGGCATCACGACGAGTACTGGCTGGTGTGACCTGATCAGACACGGTTGTCTTTTCCATTGTAGTAGAATAGAGACAAGTGAGAGGTTCTCGCAGTTATCTTGTGAAGGAAAAGTATCCAAAGGGCACCGCGGGAAGACAGTCGATCATGTTATATAGGGGAATCTTCCCGGTTCAACTGCCCAAGCAAGTCCCAAGATTTCAATCAATCTCCTATCAGATCATCTGATAAAAATCCGCATCCTCGTCGTCCAATCAGCAAGGGATTGGAATTATTTAGCGCCACAGTAAGGTTTCGCCCCGTGGGTCTGGTCCGGGAGTGATTCAAGCCAGTATCGGACAAGGGTTTCAACTTCCATCTCGAGAGACTCTTTTAAGGCTGAAAGTTGTGTTTGCAGGGTCGTGCCGATACATAGATAGCCTTGCTGTCATTGCATACCGGAATGGGGAGAGAATCTCGAGTGGAATCATTCCAGATCGGCGAGGTAACGGTTAGCCTCGTTGCGTCGGAAATTATGCGAATATCGGAGCTAAACAAAGTCTTGGTCTTGAAAGACAGTGCATTCATCAATGGCAATTCACAGATGCGTGCATATCTCACGTCGCTTGAAATTGTGCCGTCTGTCCATATATACCCGATTCTCCACATTCACTGAAAAATATCCGATCTCCCACTATAGATTCGATGCCGGTGTGCCAACTCATCCTCCGATCTCAGCTCCGGTTAGGATGAGGCCAAGACAGACGCCAAGCAGGAGAGATCTGCAGTGTGGTCTGGTATTTGGACTTGGCCCTCGGGGTGGTCTCGCTCCGGGTAAGTGGATCTCTCATGTGGCGGTTCGTGCGGTATATCTTGCATGAATACAATATACTCATCTCCGATATCGAAGATGTCTCGCGATAAATGTCTGCCCTGACCAAGTTTTTGCTTGGTCTTGCTCGGATCAAGCATCGTTGTGTCTTGGCCGTATTTTCTGATGTCTAGAAATCTAGAGACGTTGACGGATGCAATATGGCTTTGGTCTAAAAGTCACTTTCTCTGGTTATCGTCCTTTTTGATGAACCAGGCAGTAAAACTACAGAATTATAAATGCTCACCAATTATGTCCATAGTATCTGAACCTATTTCCGGATTTTAAGACAAAATCTGTACACAGCAGTGATCGTCGCCAAGAGATCGGGAGGCCTTAACGCGAGGCTTCAGCACAAAGGGACACTGAAAATAGAAATTATATTTGCTTTTTTTCAATCGATCAAAGTTTTTTTTTACCAAATGTCCTTAGGGCGAGAGGTCTACATAGAGACGTCTAAATGTATGGCTTTGAGGGAGATGATATTGACTAAATTGCTAGAGGGTTTAGAGAGGAGCTCGCATACGGGCCGCATCCATGTACTTTCTGGCCGCGACGGTTTCTTCATGATCATGGCCTAGCGTTTTTTCTCGCCCACGAAGAACTCGTCGGAACGTGTTCTCTGCCTCGATGTACCGTTTCTGACGATAGAGCGAGAGACCAAGCCAGTATGCAGAATTGAGTGTTTCTTCATGGTCATAGTCCAACACCTTTTCTCGCCCCTGAAGAGCTTGTCGGAACACAGTTTTTGCCTCATTGTACTTTTTCTGGCGATGAAGTGAGAGACCAAGGTAGTGTGCAGAGTAGAGGGTCTCTTTAGAATCATGACCTAGCACCTGCTCTCGCCCTTGAAGAGTCTGTCGGAACATCGTTTCTGCCTCTTTGTACTGACCGTTATTGTAGAGTGAATGACCAAGCCAGTGTGCAGATCTGAGTGTTTCTTCATGATTATGGCCTAACACATTCTTTCGCCCCCGGAGAGCTCGTCGAGACATCCTTACTGCCTCGTTGTACCGTTTCTGGCGGAAGAGCGAGAGACCAAGCCAGTGTGCAGAACGAAGTGTTTCTTCATGATCCTCGCCTAGCACCTTCTCTCGCCCCTGAAGAGCTTGTCGTAATATGGTTTCTGCCTCTTTGTACTGTTTCTGACGATAGAGCGAGACACCAGCCCGATGCTGACTTTCGAATTCTGTCGGGCGGGGCTCAGGGATCTCGACTTGACCTTGACCTTGCATAACGACTGGTACTGTAGTCCCCGGAGAAGGATGTACCTTCTCTTTCTGTGTCCTAATGGTCTTCCCATGGGTAGGGTTTACCGGATCCACCATGGTAGTTGAACTAGACATACCATGAAAGGCACCCTCCGGTGGTTCTAAGGAGAGCTTCGTAGTCCATGACGCAAACTCTTCGGTCATTATGGTGACTGGATAGGGAATTTGTGGCTCGTCTTCGGTAGCTTTCGTGGGCTCATGTGGGTGAGGTATGAGCGATTGTATCCAGGCACTTGACAAAGCAGAGGTGGCCGTCATTCGATCATTAGGATAAGGAGACATAAGGGAAAGCACAAAGTCGACACCTGGTTGACCAACACCAGCATTGGTAAGCATGGTGACTGGGAAGTCCAGCTGGGATTTGTAATTTGAAAGCGATCCAAGAGTCGGAAACGCAAGTTTCTTGGTGAACATCTCAAATACAATCTCTCCAAGAGCCCAGATATCAACGGCATAGGCACTGCCTCGCTCAACAAGGCCCCAGACTTCAGGGGCAATGTATCTTGGAGTACCCGCTATCGTCGTCGGTTTCCCATGGTGTTCTTCGATGCGTTTGGCGATACCAAAATCCGCGAGCTTGATCCACCACTTGTCTGGAGGGTGTGATTTTATAAGGATATTCTAGGCATTCACTTTAGTGAATTCTCTTCCGCCTTTTGAAAAGTAGACCTACATTTGGTTTTAAGTCTCGGTGAGCAAACCCATTGTCATGCATCATAGTCAGACCCTCGAGGATCTGGTATGCAATTTCTTTCGCCTCGGCTTCTGGTACTGGTGGTCTTTTCTGTAGATATACGAAAAGGTCCCCGACTTCGAGGTATTCCATGGCTATGAAGAGCTGGCCGGGTGCTTCGTACCATCCGAATGACTTGACAAAGCATCGTTCATACTACTTGAATCAGCACATCCTCTTATCATGAACATTCTTTTCGAGACTAACGCGAGGGTGTGAGAACTTGGCAATTGCCTCCAACTCACGATTGTAGTCGATCGACCCGGGTCGCTGATCTGTGTCAATCTGCTTGACTGCTCGGACTGCACCGTCTTGAGCTGAGGCCCCTGGCCCACCTTTAATGCGTGTCTCTAGCCAGACGCAACCATATCCACCACTTCCGATCCTTTTTTGCCGCTGCCAATGCTCCAATCTAGTCACAAGGCGCTGCCCAGACGTCGGGTCTGACTCCTGGTACTTATGGACTGTCTCTACTCTACAGTCTGGGAGGAAATATGTTTCCAGCTTCGAATCTCGAATGAGATCTGAAATTCGCGCCATTCTGGACGTTCCTCTGAGCAGCTCATACGTTGGTGGGTGCTTTTCCCCCGCTGTGGCTGAAAAGCAACCTAAACGACCCATGTCACCTGACATAATCGTGGCGCCCAAAGTGTCCGGCCTTATTCTTATTATATATCATGATAGATCACACATATAAGGTATAGCTGATTGAGCGGCTCGTATTGAGCCTACATCAGATTACATGTGTCTTGCCTCAGCCACGAGTATTCGTAGTAGCGGTCTAAAACTTGACCAACTATGAACATGGATGGACATGTATGGACTTGGGGTATCTTCCTGCTGCGTGCAATGTTTCAGTCAGATTTGTATACTTCATTCAACATGCAGAAACATATAAATAATGTGTTCTCTCATTGTGAATCTTTTATTCAATATCCACATCTCACAGTATACCATACATCCTTCTATCAAGTCAATATGAAGTTCACCATCTCCCTTCTTCTGGCTGCCAGTGCAGCCCTCGCCGTCCCTATCGTCGAGCGAGACAGCTCTATCCAAATCAGTGACTTCTGGGCCAGAGCTAGCGTTGTCTCCGCTACGATGCATTTTGTCGTGACTGATCCAAACTACCCGGAGGACACCCCTACCGACTGCAACCTGATGTGGTGAGTTCAATTTATTGAACAAGGCTTCCTTAACAATGGCAGATGTTAACTAATACGGTTTTTGGTACTAGGACATATGGATCTTCGCCCGAGAAAAGAGCTCGATGCAACAACAGTCAATACTTTATCCATTTCCCTGATGGTGCCGTGGACTTCAACCAGTTTACACTGGGACTGGAGAGGGTCTCAGGCCCGATTGCCGAGAACGGGCAGGTTTCACTCAGCTCGGGCACGGAGTGGTCTTGTGTGGACAATCCAGAGAGCGGCGTTCAGCTGAGCTGCTCGTATGATGGCGTTCTTAACATGCCCGTGTGAGGACATGAGGTGTCGCCTAGCAGTCAAGTCTGTGTGTGTTGCAAATTGAGGCTTCGGCTATATTGGTAGATATTATCAGTGCAATTCATGGATAGTTTCATACTCAGTAGCATTCATATAGTTGTATCTAGTCAATCTCATTGTAGTCCATTATCCACTGCGTGTCCTAAAGACCCAGTGTCAGGTGACTCTAAAAGAGGAAGGACCAAGGTCCTTCCTAGGAAAACTCGTCATCCTAGTGTAGAGAAACGATGTTGAGTAAAGGGCATGTAGTGTCTCTCTGTGACCTTGAAACCCATATCCGGAGTGGCAGAGGACACTAAATCGAGCCTTCTCTATTACTTGTGATTATCAATATGACATCAAGTTGGATAATTCCAGTACACACTGCAGGAATGGGAATATATATGACATTGAGAACCAATCCCGATATTATTATGATACAACGTCACAGCGACAAAATCTCTTCTCCCTGGAAATCCAACTTATTTGATCTCAACATCATCACACTACCTACGAACATACCTCTCCCTCACTGGATCACCTTCATGCGAGTGGACAGCCCAATTCCCAATTCCGATAGCGCCACCCATATCTCCCTCCAGCCCCGAGGAACCAAAGATCAAATTATTAGGACGGTAAGACGGGTCTGACTTCATACGCTGGATAGCAGAAACATGAATTCGGGCATTCACAGGGATATCACGAGTCCGGCCACGCGGCGGCGGCCACCGCACAGCCTTCCACGCTCCATCCGGCTGCGGTTCCAACCGTCGCAGGGGAAGATACTCCATCAAACGCCAGGAAAGAACGGAAGTCAACGGTAGACCGTTACCATACGCAAGGAGATCATGAATATGTCCTTTTGTGCCGGCTATATGAAGCGCCTCTAGATACTCCCTATGGGCTTTCGGTAATTCCGAGCTCCAGAGGTCCCTCTTCGAGTTCGAGGCAGCTTGCGAATCAAAGCCAGGATCGAATTCCTCAATACACTCGTGCTGTTTTAGCTTTCTCGGATCCAGTCGTAGTCCCGCGCGTCGCGCTTCTTGTACCATCCACACGAGAGGTGTGTGCGTTAATGGCCATGCCTCGCTAGATCCGAGATTCCACCCTCCACCTATGTCTGCGTGTCCACCGGGAAACCACATTTCTTCAATGTCCTGCATTTCATCGTCGTCCAATTCTGTCTCCCGTTTCTTACTCGGTGTGCTGATGTTTGGAATTTCTGGCAGAACAGGAGGTCCCGATGTGTGTTCGGAGCCATTGGTCGAGGTCCCTTTCGCGGGGTTCTTTTCATCTGAGGTTGTTCCACAAGCCCATTCATCTTTATGTGACCGCAGCAAAACCGGCCGGAACTTGATACGCCGTTCGTCAATGCTAACCGCATGTCGAACTACCTTGGCTGACGTGCTCCCGTCAACATTAACCTCAAAGTCCGCGATGCTATTAACCGCATCGAACATGCCCAAGAATTGCACACGAGCCATAGGCCGTGATAGTATCTCCCGACTGTCTTTCATGACTTGAAATGCCTTTCGCTTCGCTTCTCTGTCATTATCCGTCCGGCCAAGCTTCCACGACACAAACGCATCCCAGATAAATGGGACTACTTCTTCATTATCAGGTCCAAGAAGTCCGACATAATCGAGCATCTCATTCAAGAACTGCGCCGTGTATGCACCCCGTGAGAAGCCGAGAATGTACACCTTGGCGCCGGCTTGGTAGTGCCGCATGAGGAAGCGGTACCCGCCCAGAATGTGCCGATCGAAGGAACGACCCAGTGCAAGATTTAACGCTTTGCTATTATTCAGTCTGCCCTTTTTTTGGATCGTTGTGCTGGCCAGGGATCCCGGGGTGATGTCGGTGCCGATTCCCGCTGCTTGGGTTAGTATCCTTGCGGTTATCTGGGGGATACGCTCATACGTTGGTAGTAACATACTGACTTGCAGTTAGAAGACTTGTTTCGATGTTAATAGATGGTTAACTCTTACATTGCTCGTCAGACTTTTCTAACATGCGACAGATTCTCAAGACGTTGGTGTCGGTGCCGTCCGTGCGAAAGGTGTTTCCTGTGCCATCAAAGCATAGGACAAGTTGTCGGTCTGACATTGTTCAGTCTGCTTCCAGAGCCTTGGAAGGGTTCTCTTAGCATGGTTGGGGAAACTCGCATTTATGTGCTCGAGGCATTGTTTAGTGTTTGATCTGCCTTGTATTTCCCCACCCATCGGCATAGTACGGCGACGATCGTGGCGATCTTCGTCAATTAAGGAACCATCAAGTTGGCAGAAATGGCAAGGGAGAGTCGGCGGCACTAGTTCGCCGAATTAGGTGCCGTGCAGCTGATCTACATGGCCATTGCTTGTCGAGCTTTGAGCTTCAATTGGTGGCGACTTGGCGTGTGATCAGTCTGGACTATACTATTACCGTATACGGAGTGATATACTCCGAAAAGCAGCTATGCATTTTCTTTGTTGGGCAGGCGGATACCAGTATATTGAATAAAAGTATACCAAAGGAGTTAAGGCCGAGTTCTAAAGATCTCAAGGTGGATTCTCTACTGTCAATCGAAACCCCTTTTAGGCAGACTAGGACAGATCTATTTCCTTGAGATTCTCAAAACTTCCTCCCAAACTTCGCTTCCCTATAACATATATCTTTGATCCTCATCTTATAAGGAAGCCTTTCCAGAATAGTGAGGATGATAGAGATGTGCAAATCTGGAATGAGCCATTCATGTTTGCTTGCCAGATGTGCATGATCAGTGGTCAACAAAGCCACGATCATTTGGGGCAGCCATCTATAAGGCTACGACGAGGAACTCCATATCGACCCAGTCTTGACTGATGTCGTTGCCTTATCCGGTGTTGGGGTGGGTAGAAGACAAGATTTAACGCGCAGGACCGGCAGGCAGAGATGGCCTTCCATCTCTGACCGAGGAAGCACAAGCTATATGGCCTGGGGTAACCACCAATGCTGCTCATTATGATAAATACCTTGAGGCCAAACGCGCTGCAACAAGGAGAATTAATGGCCGAGTATTAAAATAAGGCGAAACCCTGCGGATAGCCATTGCGTTGGCAGTTGTGCTGTTTCATGTCTCCTCTTGGTAGGTTATATTGGAGTGGTATGTGGGAATAAATACGGCGCATTGTGCCACTAGACCACAGCAAAAACCATGATTCTTCTATGTGGCCTAGAGGCGCCATATCTGACGTTTGACATGGTACTCTATGCATCTTACATCTCCTGTAAATATGATGATGCAGGTGGTTGCACGTGCATTTATATATCAATAGCGAGCTTCGGGAAGCGATTAGGGATCTTAAATTGCGATACCGGGGACTTCAGGTACAGGAAGCTTCTCGTGAGCGCGATATCTATAAATACTACCCTAAATTTTGCTACACAAATGATAATGTAGTCACATATTAGCCCATATCTACGTTGTTTTATCAGAGAAGCATGCCCCAGGTCCGAAAGGCACAGCATCCAGTGGCTATTTCCTGAACTCTCGGGTTCGTTTAGCTACCGAGCTACAACTGTTTCTTTTAAACTACCCAGATTCATCTATATAAGATGGTAATATAGGTCAGACACCATGTGGATCGGGGTTTCATCCAAATTGCAGACAAATCCAGGCCCGCATATGTATTTGAAAAGTTTTTTTTTTTCAAAAAAAAATTTGTTATGATTGAAATATTGGTATCGCTAGGGATCAGTAGATGTAATGGAAATGAGAAACCAAAATGCGAATGGTCCAGCGACCAAATGTGTCGTCGGCAGACAATGCCAACACAAGCGCCATAGAAAAACGCCTCGCCAATGACTCTGCTTTGAAAACATGGAATCACCTTGTCCTCAAATGGGAGAATGAATACAATACCGAGTAAGAATAAGAAAAAAGAAAAAAGTTGATATATGTACAAGACCAAGGAGTAAGAAAATGGCTGAAGAGCAAATGTGAAAAAAAAATCAATCAAAGATGTATTGCACCTCATTGCATGAAGACTGGAATGCTTGGAGAAGCTTCTTCACACGAGGTGTAATCCACCCAGATTGTGTGCCATTTCTGGCAACACCCGCAAAGGTAGTAGAAGCATGTTTACATACACCTTCGGAGTGGTCAAATGAATATTGCAAGCAATCCTCATTGCGCGCGCAGACCTCTGCGCAAATATCCACTGTAGGAATCGTGCCAGCTGCAAAATCAATTATGATCTGAGAGAGGTTATCCCAATCATCGCGGGCCGAGAAAGTCCCATCGTATACGAATTTCTGGTAAACGTCCGCATGCAGCATAAGCGCGTTCTTCCCACTAGCAAAGAATGTCTGGTCAAACTCCCACATCTCCTCGATATCCGTCGGCGCCATGTGATGATACGAGATCACAGGGTAACACCATGGCTGCCGCCCGTATCCTTCGGAGAAATGGTCGATTTCCCACGGCCGTGACGTCATCATCATTGGCCAAGCCCAGGTCAGATCGACGTGCACATCGTGCAGCGCTCGTGCCAGCGCGCAGTCGCCCGCCCACTCGTGTGCGGTCATCGCTTCAAGATCTTCCTTTGCCCGTGTCAGGTAATCGTGCAGGAGGTTCATGGTCCATCTTGAGAGGACGATGCCCGCTCCGCCGTAGCCAAAAAGTGTGTCGCCAATTTGCATGGGGCTTCCCAGGTAGTATTGTCGATCTGGGTCAAGATGGCCCAGCCAGCTGATCAGGTTCGGCCATACCACGTAGGTATCGGCTTCGAGGAAGACATACCACTTGGCGTCTGGCATTACTTCTAATGCTTCCTCGATCATTGGGAGGAATTTCCATTTGTCGAGTTTCCAGCCAGGGTTGTTGACTTTGCCTAGTGGACCGTTTGTGTCATCGCCCCATTCTGCATCTGTTAAGCCTTCGCGTCCGACTTCTTGTAGACGACGGTAGATGTTGAATTCGGGCTCTTTTTCCATTGTTGCGGCGCTGATGTTGCGGAGGACGTCATATGTACGGACGCCGTCGATGGTTTCTTCGTAGTCGGAGAAGATGGCGAAGTGTGGGACGCATTGCAGTGTGGTGCGGAGGTGGATGGGAACTTTTTCGAGGGATTCAGTGGCGCCGGTTTTGATTACGACCATGACATCGTCGAGTGTGTGTAATAAGTGGCCGCATTTCTCCTCCACTGTCTCCTGTTTAGGGGGGGGGGGGAGGAGTTGTCACCGGCTTCTCGTCCCCTACCACAATCGTTTCCTCTCCGGCTTGAGGGATTTGTTCTGAGTTGTTCACGACTGACGGGTTGGATTCAGGCAGTCGAAAAAGATTGTATATCATGCAAAATGTAAGGATCGGAAAGACGACGAAGAGCCATCGTCGCGGAGAACTAGACATGGTCGGGTTGGCGCTCAGAGAATCTAAAGATCAAACAAGAATCGAGGCCATTCGGTTAACGAGCGCAAGGACAAGAAAAGACTGAAAAGATTGAAACAAATGCTTCATAAAACATAGCAAAAGGAAAAGAAAAAAAAAGGGTCAGCGATCGCTGTCCCTGATCCAAACCAGTTCGACCTCGGCGTCAACGGACAATCCATGAGCCGGTAGAACAGGCTTCATGATTCGGTCGAACCTCTGAACGGGGTAAACGGGGAAGCTTTGATGGGCCAATCGACAGGTTCATTGGGGACTGATCAACAACCACGCGGCACAGGAGCCAACTAGGCTGTGGCGTCTTTCAGACCGCTGCCCCACGGGAAGCGTCATCGGTTGCGGGACTTTGCATAGCGAGGCAATGATCGACTATGTATGGAGTAGAGTGTGTATGATTAGTGGGAATATTCAGGAGGTGAAGGTCGCATCAGGGGTCAGGTATCAAGTTTGAGATTGATGTCTCTTAATCTGTACTTAAAGTACGTCTGTAGTCCAACAGCTAGTTATGGCGTTAAAATAAATTAAGCATGAAACAGGGGCGTCGGACACGGGCGTGTTCGGATCGACCTAAAGGTAGCCTGGGGGATAAGGCACAAATAATCACGTGTGTTTTAAGTTGAGCACGAACCAACTTGAGATTGACGAGGCTCGTGTTGATCAACTCATATTGTCTATGTTTCAAAATACATCCCAATCATCACTCGTATATACAATTTAACCTTCAGCTTCAGCATCAACTCTCAAACGCCTTTTCCGTTCCCACAAGAACACAGGAGTGATGGTCAAAGCAACAGCGACACACACAACAACAGCCTGAATGCCAAAAACCAGCCCGAGCCCATTGCGCTGAATCCACGCAGGCTGGAAGTATCCCACCGCGAACCCGCCACAGGTGCGCCACATATTCAAAATGGCCGAGACACAGGTCGCCTGCTCCGGGTATTTTTCCAATGCATAAGATGAGATAGCACTGTGCACATGATGTTAGAAATACGCCACAATCCAACACACCCAAGTTGGAACTTACACAACCGTGGCAACCATGCCGATGTTCACCAGGATCCATCCAATGGCTATCCCAATCCAGTGCTTACCAAAATGCATGGTTAATCCGTAGGTGAGCAGACCGATTGTCATGCTACCTATCGGGATCCAGACGCCGTGGAGGCGGAGCTCGGTTTGCCAAGTTGAGTTATGGCGCTTGAAGATCCAGCCGTTGAAGAAGTGGCCAACCGCCCAGCCTAGCAAAATAGTAAGAACCTGGAGAGATAGGGGGTCCTGTGAGGATGCATACCACATAAAGCCCCAATCACGCCGGCGAATCGCATCGATGATGCCTCAATCGTGTCAAACAAGTATGGAGGGCTGTGCAGGAAGCTATCGATGGTGGTTGTGATTCCTACAGAGTCAGCGGGCAAAGATGGCATAGTGATGGTGACTTACCAATTGGCCAGGTAAATGTTACCAAGATAGCGATACCTGTTGACAAAAATCCTAGTCAGTGAGTGACATCGCAAAGGAACTCGGCCATACCCACCCGTCATTAACAACGGGAACTTGAACACATAGACCACGACTGTTCGGCACCAGTATCTCAACGTCGATCCCTTGGGAAGCAGTGTATTGCCAATTCCAAAATAAGACGCGAGACGCGACTGCTTGGTCATTCTTCCAGGCTCATGGTATGTCTCATAGCCGAAGAGGACCACCATAGCCGTGGACGCGCCATAGATGGCTGTTAGGACTCCGAAGGAGGTGCGCCAGTCTGATCCGGCGCCGATGTATCCTGCGATCGCGGGACCGAGGAATGGTCCGACGAGGAAGGTGGTGCCCCTATACTCAGTCAGCGCTACTCCCGTTAGATTTGTGGGTGGCAAGTCTCCTACCAAATATTGATCATGCGCGGCCATTCTGTTATCGCATCAGCATAAGTACTATCGAGACAATCCCAGAGAAAGGACTTACCAGCCGATGTATACATATCATGAATGATCGGAAGTCCAATTACCTGGGGCACTGTCCCAAACAGACCCTGTAAAGAGCGGAAAGCCGTGAAGGTAGACCAATCATTGGAGAGAGTAGCACCCAGCACCATGAACATGGTGATTACCTGAGGCCACAACCAGATAGGCAACCTATAGCTGTCAGTGAGATAGCTAACGTGGGCGAAAAGAGAGAACCAACTTACCGACCGTATGCTTCAATAAGTGGAACAACAAAGATTCCTCCAAACCCTTGCAGCAGAATTCCATAATTCATACTCGTCGCCGAGTGAGTGATTGAAATATTCCAATCCATGGCCTGCTCCGTGACTAGCGTTCCACCCCAGACCATAGCCCTACAAGAAGCTCAGTCAGAAAAAATTATCTATGCATACCACATCTGAGCTGACAGCGGCTTTATCGACTGGCCATACATACCCATCTGCCAACAATGAGCTCGTCATCAGCGATACAAAGAGCATGGTCTTTCGCGACGAAGGCCAATTCCTTGGGTTCAAGGGATCCTTGGTTTCAACCTCTGAATTGGAATCGCATTCCTTCGATCCCTGTGTCTCAGGCGATGACAACTCACTAACTGTCATATCGTGTGTAGAGTAGACAGGGGAGGGTTTCTCCATGGAGGGGTTCACCATTGTGCCTGTATGTATAGGTTGTAGACCCGAAACAACTTGAGTCAGGTAAGGAGATGAAGATCCTTTTTCTTTTCTTTTTTTTTGTAACTAGGCATTGCATTTTTACACATGGAACTCGCGTGGCTTTTGTTTCATACCTTAGCTTGGAACTATAGTTTGGAGATATCCATATTTCCGACTTTGGACATGTTAGACAGTCTCCGGGATCTACTCCGTATGGATGTATCATAAAGGTAAATTAAGACACCCTTGACCCCTTCGCCTTTCGGTTCGAAATCCTTTTGTTTGCTAGTTCTTTTTAGTTCTTGTCTTGCCGTGTTTTGGGCGTAATAACCCTTGCGCATACCTAGCCTCATATTAGACCAATGAAAGCACATTAATCCTATATTAATTCTCCATCATGGATCATGCATTAGTGTATTGTAACCTACTAGTATTCCATAAAATATCTACGCATTTATTTTCATGCCGGAAATCGTGCCGGATCCATATGTCGTACATGTACATATCCGAATGTGGATATCTAGAAAGTATGGAGCATACAGAGTATACAAACATATAACACCTCCCCTAATTTTCCTATCACACTCTTCCAATCCCAATGTCTTTTCTAACCCGACTAGCCAGTCTATTGGGCCTATCATCCCCGGCCCCCGTTGCACCCCCAGGGGCCACCCTCGCAGCAACCGTTACAACAGTGAGTATGACAAACCCGGCAGGCAAGTTGTCTATCTAATTCGGTCACAGCCTGCCTCATTGGGTTTTGTTCCGGTCGCAATTCACTTTGATCTCTTTAATATCCTCGCGAGTCATGGCGGACCCGCGACGGCTGATGAAGTCTCGGTGACCTGCAATGCACGTATTAAAGCCCGAGCAAAGGATGAGCCTAGACTGAGTAGGTGTTTGAGCCCGAATGCCTAGCTGTTATATTGACAAATTAATATAGGTACCAGATTAGCCTGTAAGCATGCCTGATTTGCTATGGTTGCATAGCAAGCAGTATCCAAATATTAATTTCGCAGCGGACACCCTATACATCATGGCTGGACTCGGTCTAGTCGACCGCGTGGCCGAGGACTGCTTCATAGCAAATGCCATCACGAACCACATGGTCGCCATGCCATCCGCCCAGCATGGCGCACTACACTTGTCAGTTTCCCATGTCCTTCCATTCCGGAAACTAGTATAATCTTCCATACTAACCCCTCACCTAGCACCACGGAAGGCTTAATGGCCGGTGCATTCTTGATGAAAAAGCTCCAGGACACTCGCTTTGCCTACCCCTTCGCCGATGCAGACGGCCCCTTGCAATATGCCTATCGGCTAATGGGGCAGTCCGAGTTGGCAGAGAAGCACACATACTCGATCATGGAGACCCAGGGTCGCATGGATAGTTTCAATCATTTCATGGTCGGCAAATTCCTGAAATTCGGGACCTTTCCCGAACGGGTCAAGTCTATGGGCTATGATTTAGATGGTGCATTAGCGGGTGGCGCTACCACCGGCTCCCCTACGGTGGTCGATATTGGGGGCGGTCGTGGCGAGCTCCTCCTTGAGGTCCAGGCCGCGTACCCACATCTTGGCGCGGAGGATTTGATCGTACAAGAGTTCAACGCCGATATCGATGATGTTCCCGGTGTGGGTCTTATGAATTGGAATTACAAGGAGGCTGAACAGCCCGTTCATGGTGCCTGTGTTTACGCCCTGCAGCATATCTTGCATAATTTGCCTGATTTGGATGCCGTGGCATTGTTGCAGAAGATTTCGCGTGCCATGGCGCCTGGTTCGCGAATTTTGATCATTGAGTATGCGAAAAATTTGACCTATACTTCGCTCCATGCAAGTATGATTGCGTTGTATGGGGGCCGAGAGAGGAGTTCGGTGGAGTGGAAGCAGATGGCGGGTCTATCGGGGCTGCAAGTGACATTTGAGATTTATGTTAGGGCTGGGGAATCATTGGTTGAGATGAGAAAGGCAGATTGTTAGTTGATAGTGTTAATTCATTCATTGTGATATATCATTTTAGCCCCCATACACCTCACAAATCCCATCTCCCGAACACCCTTGACTTACCTGAATCTTATATTGTTTTTTAATCACGCAAACTGCTAGCGTCTTGAGATCCTTGTAAATCCTGATCTTAGAATGGAATCATTCCACATGGCGTATTTTCTTTTTCTAGATCCTTGTCATATCCCTTGTTACTCCGTACATGCATGGAAACTGCATGGCTTTCCCCCTTTCCCCAAGGGATATGACTGTGTCCAATCCACATGGCAATGCGAACCTGTCAATTGTCAGATCAACAGATCAAAATTTTCGAACACGCGGAGTAACCACGCGAGCTTGACTCCTGTCATAATACACGACCTCGGGTTTAATACAACATACGCCATATTCAAATGCACAGCTCGCTTCGCTTGACCTTGGTATTGTTCTCTCAATTCCCTTTACATTACATCCCTTGTTTCCTCTCGTTTCGTTCTTACTATCCGCATCCTTCCCAATAGGCGAGAGTTTAAGCAGAGTTCTGACCTGTAAATCGGTTCGAGGGATCTTGGGGGTTCGTTTCCGAGAACCTGCACAGGACTTGGAATGACTCGCATACTGCTAGTTATTTGGCTTCTGATCTATCTGATTGACTCCCCCTCCCCCGCACATCGATCTATGTCAATGAGGACTTGAAATACTTGAAATTGACACCCTCGCGCTGTAATAGAGAATCTAGTGAATACTAGGCTGCTTGCCACATCTAGTCCTTGTGTTTTATCCTCATCATGAATATTCCAAAACCTGTGGAGGGCGATGTGGACATTGGTATGTTTACCGCAGGGCAGCGCCAAACCAATGGACCTAGACGATCGTGTATTGACACAGATGTTTACAGGAACTGGCACATTTCAGGCTTGCTGGGTATACTGTCAATCCTTATAGATTACCTCTACATGTGTTGATACTAATTCTCGAGCAGGTCCTCACATCCATTGTCGGCGCGGCATTGTTGTTCCGCTATGCCGTCAAAGTCTGGGTGCGTTGGGCTTTGCCGCAGGTCACGGCACCCGAGCGAATCTGGGGTTTAGAGGATTTGTTCTTCCTCGTGGCTTGGGGTTTTGATATCACCCATATGATATTTATTCAGCTGAGGTGAGATCGACTTGTGTCGTTGCTTCCATGCCAGCCATTGACTCGGTCTAGTGCGAACTGGGGCCTCGGGAGGCATTTTTTCTACTTAACTGGTGAAGAGCGTCTTAATGCCATGAAATGGGACTTCATTTCACAGCCATTGGCTGTCACTTCGGCTATGATCTCCCGTGCAGGCATGATGTGGTTTCTTCTGACCTGCTTTGCAGCAAGTGACAAGAAGATTCGCAAATCTATTATCATCTGTGCTGTTGTTCAAGTCGTCGTCAATATGGTTACCATTGTCCAGATCATTGTCCAGTGCGGACCAAACCCATATCAAACGGTTAGTAATTCTTCTTGGTCCTCGATTCATTCTAATCCCCTCGCAGACTGATCGAGTACAATATTTCCACTATATGTGGACACCACTCCCTGAAGATGGCTCCGTCAAGTGCCAATCACCGGCTGTCCAGACAACTATCGGGTTTGTGCAAGGAGGTATGTTAAATTATAATACTTTCAGCTTAGATTGAGGCTAATCTTATTTCCTACAGGATTCAACACCGCCATCGATTTTTTTCTCGCCGTGCTCGCTGCCGTTGAACTGTGGCAATTCTTCTTACGAACACTCCACCGTAACCCAAACATGACATTCTGGTCCCAATTCTGCAAAATCAGTGGCACCGTCCGATCCCGCCGGGTCTGGCAGACCATCACTCTCAGCGGACCACTGATCCTCTCCGGCTGTGCTTCCATTGTAAAGACCTATGTGGGTAGACTGTCTATCTCCCTGGCTTATACGGATGCTAATATAATTTACCAGAAACTCAAATCCCTCGGTGACAGACAGGACTTCACGTATAACATCGTGACCTTTGTTCTCTGGGTAAAGTAAGCACAACTACCATCTCTCCACCCAGCCCCGAATACTTTTCACTAACAACCCCAGAATTGAAAACTACAGTATCCTTCTCGCCTCCTGCGCCCCAGTAGCCCGTCTCTTCCTCCGCTCCTTCGTTGACCGCAAACGCGAAGGCCGCACTCACGGCTACTGGTCTCGCACTCCGTCGAGTGGCAATGAGCCTAGCACGGAGCTGAAATGTCGCGCTAATTTGAAGGGCCAATGGCTAGATTCGAGGACAGGGACCAATATGACCAATGCCGGTATTCACGATGGGGAGAATTCAGCGACTCGGTGGAATGGGCATGAGCGCTCGAGCCATCAGGTTTCAGAGGCGGAGATGCTAAAGCAGCTTGAAGATGGATTTGTTACTATCAAGACAGATATTGTTATTCAGGTTGATGATAGGCGGTCGACTTCTTCGGGTGGGACGAGGTTGTTACCTGGTGGAGGTGAGGCCCATTCTGGGGGCTTTCATTGAGATACGGCATATAGATCTACGGTATATAACAAGTGCTTGAATAACTACCCTGATTGGTCAAGTCTTGTACTTTCAATCCCCAAAACTAGGGTATAGCGATACTTTATCTCGTACGCGGTAGCTCTGCCGAGGATCTGAGCCCGCGACTTGACTCACATTACCATATGCATGTGAATATAACATGCAAAGGGGCTTGGATTCAAATCAAATTCCATAAACAACCTTTATTCACCATGTATCTCCCAACAGAGATTCTGTTTGTAATAATCTAAGCCGTGGTAGATGCCCTCCCAATTCACAATGTAGTCAATCTGAGTCTCGTCAATAGGATGTCAAAAAGAAATATCCCTCTCCCTCTTCCCTCTTACACACGAACCATTAACCAAACCTACCAGGTGCATTCGACTCCGAGATAATGACCCAACCCATCCATAGCCCGCGCTTAGGAAGCGACGGCTTCGGATTCGGACGGCGCACTGAATGTTATTACGGCCATTCTCTCGGCGAGCGCAGCCTATGGTGGTTCAAGTTCCCGCGCCGCTTTCAACTCGAGTACCTGCGCGAGAAAGTCAATGAATACCCACGCGAAGAGTGTAGATTTTCCTTGTACGTGCAGAAGCTACTTGACCTGCACACTGTAGAGGAGGAATAGCTTCCCGTTGGTAAGGTGATTGAGGCTTGGCTGTGCGGGAAGTATTCCTGCATTGGCAATTACCTTGATCCGGCTAGTTATGAGGATCACCTGAATAATATGCTGGGTTGGGATTTTAGGGGTAAAGAGGAGTGGTTGGGGCATGTTGGGGAGCTGTTGCTGATTATTTTGGCGACTTGTGCTATTGTCGGGGATGATACGGTGAGGTTGCAGGCTGTTCTTGACCGGTGTGAGTGGTTGCAGCTTTCTCCTAATCACGTTTTGGGGACGAATGTGGACCGGTTTGGTGATATTTGCAGGCTGCATGTTGCTGCTAGGTATGCGTCGGCGGATATTGCTAGGGTGATGGTTAAAAATAATTGCGGTATGTATTTTAGGGCCTCTAGCTATAACACCATAAGTCTGTTGTCCATGGCGACGCGCAACGAGAATCGGGAGAGATTGGGGATTTGGATTAAATATATTTAAAGGTCTGACCCTGGTTGGATCCAGTGGTTGGGTGTGGCTGTCAGAGATGGGATTCGGAATCGGAAGTTTGATATGGTGGAGTTTATTGACCAGGAGTCTGGCCCTGACTTCGGAGAGCCCAAGACTAAGCTACCCTTTGAAAGTTTTTTCCAGGACGCCATTGCCAGGACGGATCTTGATACGGCACGAGAACTGCTTGACAGAGGTGGTTTCGATATCAATATGAAAACCGAACAGTGTCCCTACGGTGCATTCCTTACGACATTGTCTGACAAGCCTCCGAGCCTGCCGATTATCAACCTCCTTAGGGTCAATGGTGCTAATCCCAACGAGTACCACCCCAGAACAGACAGACTGCCGTTGCATGTTGCAGTCAGGGGTGCAGATGTTGAATTGGTGAAGCTGCTGGTGGAGTACGGTGCCGGTATCTACGAGGCATCTCTTTTTCCTACGAGGCGAGGTATGCTGCCTCTGCTATTTTCGGCAGCCCAGGCAGGATCTCTTCTATTGATCGAATTTCTTCTCGAGAATAGGGTAGATACTCCTTTTGTGTGGGAACGGAAAAGGTGGGAGCTGAGGGGAGTTACGGTGCCGGTGGCGAATGACGAGAGAGCCTTCATCTGATCCCACGTGGGGAGACACGTGGGTTGTATATCCTTGTCATACGGTTAGCTGGGAGGTCCATGGTATGCATGATATGAACAAATTGTACGATGTTGGGAGTATGTTGCTTCGAGTGATATATGGATATATATATACCTTGGACCCACGAGTGATGGTAACTAACTCCACATATATGATAACCTATGATTAAACTAGGTTAACCAGTGGTTTGAATGTACAAGAAAGAGGTGGAATAATGAAAATCAATACCACTACATACATTTGGAGAGAAAATGTACACATCATACGTAGCTTCTCATTAGGCTAAGCATTCCCAGATAATACCATTATTGCCAGCCTCATTCATCAATTGGCCCGAGTGGTCGAACAGTTTCCTGGTCTAGCGGTTATGATTTTCCGTTAACAAATGCGACTAGCAGATGTTCCGGAAAGGTTCTGGGTTCGATTCCCAGGGAAACTATTTTTTTCATATAAGATATTTTTGCATGTTAACTAACTAGTTACTAGCAAAGGTATTTTATCCTTTTTTTCCCCGTGCTGGGGCTAACGTTATTTGCTTAGTTACTTAACTAATCTACATTGGATAATGCCATGCTTTAAATCGATCCAATGGAACCGAATTCAAAAAGTACCGGACTACCATTACAGTAAAGGGGGTTAAAACAAGCAAACTCAGATAGCTTTGAAATAAGTACAAATTGTACTCTTAGAATTTGTAGATTTTGCCAAGTTTGCTTTATTCTTTCTATTCCTAGGTTATGTGTACTCTGATGAAAAAAAGAAACATAAAAAAGAAATGCTCACACTCGGAGTCGAACCGAGGATCTCATCATTACTAGTGATGCGCTTTACCACTAAGCCATGCGAGCAGTTGATGTATGTAGTTGGGTTATAAAAAATTATAGGCCAAAACCAAATTATCAACAAAGTGATCCCCACGGTTGATTCAACTGTAAAGAGAGGCCTGAATACACATTCTCCTGTGTGTAGACTTGTTTCAGTTTTCAACCTGCAAATACAAAATTCCCATTCACACCCAAATCTAACATGGATCAATGATATAACCATCACGTGCGCCTATCATACTCTCCACCGCGCGTTCAATAGCTTCCACCCTCCAACAATGCCGCCCAACAAACCATTCCCCTACCGACGGAGCTCCAATGCCTCGGAAGATGACTTTTTCGACATTCCCGACGAACCATGTCTCTCCATAGTCAAGCGCCAACTACGACATGTCCGAACATGGGTCACAGTCGCCATTATCGTCCTGTTTATCCTGTGGCAACGCCGTGAACGTCCTCCGCCACCGCCCCTACCGCATATCCACTACGACGAGGTCGACTGGTCGCGCTTTGCCTATACCCAGTACGCAACAAATGAAGTTTACATGTGTAATTGCCTGATGGTCTTCGAGGCCCTGGAAAGACTCGGCAGCAAGGCGGAACGCGTGCTGTTTTACCCCGAAGAGTGGGACCTCGTTGTCGAGGATGAGTTTGATCGTGTCAGCCAGTTACTACTCGACGCTAAACACAAGTACAAGGTGATGCTGATCCCGATCAAGATTGAGGGAATTCAGGATGGATCGGGTGAGTTGGCCTGGAACTGACTCGGCTGATTGAACACACCCACTTACACTCGTTTTCATAGGTTCCGGTTCCCAGGCTTCATGGGATACTAGTACCGCCAAGCTCATGGCCTTTGGCGAGCACGAATACGACCGCGTCATCCACCTCGACTCGGACGTGATCCTCCTCCAGACAATGGACGAGCTCTTCTTCCTCCCGCCTACCACTGCCGCCATGCCACGGGCCTACTGGCTTCTCCCGGACAAAATGCTCTCATCACTGTTGGTCGTCATTGAACCCTCTCTCCGCGAATACCTTGCCTTGACCGAGACTACCACGCTCGCTCAGAACGGTCAAGTCGATATAAACCTGACGGAACACCGGTATGATATGGAGCTGTTGAACGGGCGGTACGGGGACTCGGCGATGGTCCTCCCGCATCGGCAGTACGGTTTATTGACCGGCGAGTTCCGGAAGAAAGACCATCGCAATTTCCTGGGGAATGATGATGAGGTCTGGGATCCTGATCGTATCCTGGCGCAGGCTAAGTTTGTGCACTTTTCAGATTGGCCACTGCCGAAGCCGTGGATTATGTGGCCGCAGGAAATGTTGGCGGCCGAGCAGCCCAAGTGTGATAATAACCCTGGCACGCCGCAGGAGAGTGGATGCCGGGATCGGGAGATCTGGAAGATGCTCTATGATAAATATCGGAGACAACGAAAGGTATGTCTATCTATGGGGGATTGGGATGAATTGGCTTGCTAACTCGGTGTAGGATGTTTGCAAGCTGCTCAGTTATCCAGCGCCGATTTAGTGGAAACACTTTCCTAATTATATACATATGTAGCATAGGTAGATGGCGTTTGGGATATTAGTTCGGTACGGGAATGAATGACTTGATGACATAGTTCACGATTACTGTATCGGTATCAAAATTCAATTGGATATCTTAGGAAGTAGAAGTACAGAACACCCAAACACCACGAATGCCACTTCATTAAGACATCAAGCATACCCCATCCCCCTCCTCCACCAATTCCAGACCCCCCTCTTCGCCATGATGCCCCCAAACTCCTTGACACTCTCTACCTCATCCAATCCCAACGGGAGATCCAGCTCTTTCCCGTTTTTCTTCTCCCCATTCCCGTTCCCAGTCCCTTGTTTTCCACCTTCCCCCTCCTCCTCCACAACCCCGGGCCTTGTCACCAACTGGAAATCCTTATATCGTAGGCGGCGTACAACATCTACCCAGCTCTCCACCGGCTCCTTCCCGCCCTCCACGTACATGATCCCCGGACATCCGCCGGAGCGTAGGAGCACGGCGCATTGGTGTGTGTCTGCGGCGCGTTTGAGGGCGGCTACTTTTTTGCGGGAGGTTATGTGGTGGGTGCGGATTAAGGCGTTGTAGAGGATTTGCATTTTTGGGTAGGAAGAGGGAGAGAGAGGGGGAGGAAGTTGAGGCTGGAGTTAGGAGCTTGGCTGGAGCTTGTGGGGCGCTAGACTGGATTGGGAAATTGGAATGGGAATATGATTTTGGAGATGAAAGAGGTTGCTGGTACTAATCTTACGACAAAAGTTGATATTGTGCCTTTTGTGATCTTTGATCTGATCATTTACATTCTGTCAAAAATGAACATATTTTTAAACCAGACCCCTTAGGCAGTAATGCATACAATGTGAACTAATAACTATTGCCACGTGAGAAAATCTCCGAAAGTGCGGGGGACAATGGAGTCGTGGCAATGCATGTCTTGGACCTCGTATGATAGATGTGATTTGAATGTACATAGTCCAAAGCCCTAAACGTTTCTGTAGAGATAACCTGTATAGGGATTGCAGGCTATAATATAGCAACTATATTATAAAATAGGGTTAACGAGTTAGCCGTCGAAATGGATATTTCCATGGTTCTATGATCGCTCTAAAATGGTTCGGTGGATCCCCTTCTCGGCTTGGCTGCCTTTTTCTGCAAAACAATCGCGCGGTGGCCGCGGATACCGAATCCTTTTATTTTTCATATTCGGAAAGTTGATAGAGATCAGCCAAAAATGGTGAAAAGACTGAGAAAGAAACTTTCTTCGTATCCACTTGCCGCCTGTCATTGGTATGATATAATTCGAGATCCTCCAGGGCTCGGGACCCAATATCTTGCTGATTCTGTTCTTCATAGCCTTGGCTTCCTGTTCAAGGGTATATATCTATTCTTTCTTATTCTTCTTATAAACCAAGACACCAATTTCTTATATAATTCGATGAGTCCCGGATTTCTTTGCTTCTAAATAGGTCGGAGAGTATGCCCGCTCCTCTTCACCCCCACCTGAAGCATAGTTCTTCCTTTGCTACAGAAAAATACAACAATGATTCTCCTAGAGTGCAGGTCTCACATGAAGATGAGAATATCCTCGCCGATATCCATCACACATTAACCTCCCAAACTCACCCGGATCCCAAGTATCCGGAACCACATTCCTCCTTCGACAAGTTCCTAGAGGAACAAGCCCAGGGCAAGAAACCAGCCAATCTTGGCGTCTGTTTCCAATCCCTCTCAACGTGGGGCGATGGGGACTCCCACGCGGATGTAAAGACCCTCGGCACCGCCCTGTGGCGTACCCTCACCCTACAGGATATCTACGAGTGGACGATCCAGCCATGGATCGCAAAGAAGAAGCCCGAACATGGGCGTCCGCTGATCAGGGACTTTTCCGGCGTTGTGCAGAGCGGGGAGATCATGCTGTAAGCAGGAACCCAACACGGACCAATCCTTACCGAATTTAGCCTAATCGAAATATAGTATTCTGGGCCGTCCTGGTGCCGGCTGCTCGACCTTTCTCCGAACTATCGCGGGCGACCACTCTTCTTTTCTGGGGGTCACGGGCTCAATCGATTACTCTGGTCTCAGCCCGGATGAAGTCAGGAAGCACTACCGTGGTGCCGTAGCGTATGTCCCCGAGGACGATGTGCATTTCCCAACTTTGACCGTGCGTCAAACTCTCGAGTTTGCCCTGCAGAGTAAGACCCCCAAGCGTTACCGGGAGAGAATTCCCCGGTATCTGGAGATCTATGGGCGGGTTTTTGGTATGTCGCATACCATGAACACGTTGGTGGGAAATGAGTATATTCGCGGTGTCTCTGGAGGAGAGCGCAAACGTATCTCCATCATTGAATCTCTCGCTACCGATTCGTCAGTAGCATGCTGGGATAATTCCACGAGAGGACTGGATGCATCCTCTGCACTTGACTATGCACGCAGTCTGCGTATCATGACCGATACATGTGGCAAAGCAACCTTGCTCACCTTGTACCAGGCCTCAGATGCTATCTACGAGCTGGTGGATAAGGTGCTACTCATTGATGAGGGCCGCATGCTATACCAAGGGCCTGCCCATGAGGCAAAGGGCTACTTTGAAGATCTGGGCTACGAGTGCGCTGATATGCAGACGACGTCGGACTTCCTGACTAGCATCACCCTGCCTGAAAGACGGCGGTTCCGTGCCGGATGGGAACACCGCGCGCCCAAGGGCCCCATTGAACTTGAAGCTGCTTTCCGCCAGAGTGCTGCGTTCGCGAACATCGAGACGGCTGTCGAAACCTACGAAGACCAGAGGCTCACCGGTAGGTCTTCCAGTGCGTATTCGGCAGGTGTAGAGTGCGACAGCGTGGAGATATTCAAGAAGACTGTACAGAGTGACAAGTCGCGCTTCGTCTCGTCCAAGTCACCATATACGATCTCGCTCTTCCGACAGGTTGTTCTCTGCGCGAAGCGTCAGATGTGGCAGCTGAAAGGTCACATGGGCCCACTGTATATCAAGTTGATTTCTTGCGTGGTGTATGGGCTGCTGATTGGATCGATGTTCTACGATCAGCCCCAGACCACCGAGGGGTTGTACTCCCGTGGAGGTGTGCTTTTTTACTCTTCCATTCTGCTTGCCTGGCTGCAGATGTCGGAATTGGAAGACGCTATGCAGGGTCGTGATATTCTGAGCCGACAGAAGAAATTCGCTTTTGTGAGGCCCAGCGCCGTTTGTTTAGCCCGGGTGATCTCAGATATGCTGGTCACTACCCTTTTCACATTCTTTTATTTGATTGTCATGTACTTCCTGTCTGGTCTAAGGTCTGATGTGAGTAATTTCGGACTCTTGATGCAAATAGAGATGCTAACTCTCCTAGGCTGGTTCTTTTTTCATCGATTTCCTCTTTATTTACACGTGTACGGTCTGCCTCACGGCACAATTCCGTGTGTTCGCCGCCCTATCGCCGAACTTTGAAGTTGCCCTCCGCTACTGCGGAGTTTCTGTTCTGTTTTGTGTCGTCTTCGGTGGCTACGTTCTCTCCGTCGACAAGATGATTCAAGATGTTCCATGGGTTGGATGGCTTGCATATACAACTCCTGCTTTGTATACATACGAAGCAGTCATGGCGGCCGAATTCCACAACATTAACTTCACCTGCGCGGCCGCGTCCATTATCCCGTCCGGCTCGGAATATACGGATCTCGCATACCAGACCTGTGCTTATGCTGGAAGTCAGATCGGCAGCACTGTTGTAAACGGCGATGACTACCTGGCGGTGAAGTTTGGATTTTACTACAGCAACATCTGGCGTAATTTTGGGATTCTGTGTCTCTTCACCGTTACCTTTATTGGCATAACCTGCTGGTTGAGCGAAGTTCTTGAGTGGGAGCTGGACAGTGCTGGTCCTATCCAGTACAAGGGCTCGTGGAATATGTTCAAGCGGAAGAATAATGTCCAGTCTGATGAAGAGAAATCGCCGGTCTCGGTTGTTTCTGCTGCCCCCCCCGTTGGCCATGAAACAAGGCCCGATCAGACACTGACAGCTACCGAGTCTACCTTTTCCTGGTCTGACTTGGAGCTCAATGTGCAGATTGGCAAGGAGACCAGGAAGATTTTGAATGGCGTTTGCGGATACTGCAAGCCAGGATCTTTGACTGCCCTCGTTGGTGCCTCGGGTGCAGGCAAGTCTACATGTAAGATCCCCAATGAAATAAATTCACCGCTTGATTTCTGACAATTTTTAGTGTTGACTGCACTCACCCAAAGAGAGAGCCCCGGGACCTTATCTGGATCTCTTTTCGTGGACAACCGGTCAATTGACCAGTCCTTCAACCGACAGATCGGATATTGCCAGCAAATGGACATCCACGACGAAAGCAGCACAATCAAAGAAGCATTCGAGTTCTCTGCACTGCTCCGACAAAGTCACGAAGTCCCAACGGCGGAAAAGCTGGCATATGTGGAAACTGTGATTCACACATTGGAGCTGGTTGAACTGCAAGATGCGGTGATCGGTTCTTTGGACATCGAGAAGAAAAAGCGTGTTACTATTGGAGTGGAGCTGTGTGCTCGACCAAATCTGCTCCTTTTCCTGGATGAACCGACAAGTGGACTCGACAGCCAGGGTGCAACTAGTATCGTCGCTCTGCTGCGACGTCTCGCCAACCAGGGCATGGCTGTTCTCTGCACCATCCACCAAGCTAACCAACAACAATTCGAAGAGGTAAGTACCAACAATCCTGATCACGAGTCAATATTAACAAGACCCAGTTCGACCGCGTCCTAGCACTGAGTCCTGGCGGAAGCACATACTACTTCGGCCCAGTCGGCAAATCCGGCCACGCAATCTTCGAGTATTTCGCCAGACACGGTAACATCCCAGAAAAGGTCACCAACGCAGCCGACTTTCTCATCGAAGTAGTCGTCGGCGGCATGAAAGCCTCAGGAAACCAAACAGACTGGTCAGCCGTCTGGCGCAACTCAGAAGAATGCGCCGAGAGCATGAAGGAAATTGCCTCAATCCGCTCCGACGAGAATACCCGCTCCCCTTCCCTGCCTCCAGCCCTCCCTCCTCTCAGCCAGCAGATTAAACTCCTCACACAACGGACCTGTCGCCAGTTTTGGCGCACCGCTGAGTACCCGTACTCGCGTCTTTACTCTTCCTTCCTCCACGCTCTGATCAACGGCCTCACCTACCTCCAGGTCGGAAACAGTACCACGGATCTCCAGTCGAAGGCTTTCTCCTGTTTCCTTGTTCTGATGCTTGTCCCCGAGCTTATCAACGCTATATCCATGCGCTTCATCCTGAACCGCGACATCTGGTTAGCCAGAGAAGGCCCGAGTGGTGTATACGGCTGGGTAGCATTCTGCACAGCCCAGATCATCTCTGAGATCCCTTATTCCGTCATCGGCAGCGTGGTCTTCTTCGTCCTATACTATTTCATGGTGGGACTACCACTCGGCTTTGCAGCGGGATACTGTTTCCTGATGTTCTTCCTTTTCTTCCTATTCGCGACTTCATGGGGACAGTGGATTGCGGCTATGAGGTGAGTTTAATATAACCAAGCACCGATTCTTTCATGCAATGGTCAGCTAACATGTCCTGTCAATCTATAGTGCTGACTCAATGGTCGCCGCTACCCTCATGCCCTTCTTCATTATCATGTGTGAGCTCTTCAACGGCATCCTCCGTCCGCAATCCCAGATGCCTGTCTTCTGGAAGTATACAATGTACTATGTCGCGCCATTTACGTACTGGATAGGTGGAGTGCTCACTTCTGTCCTCCGTGGTACCGCTGTGGTTTGCTCCCAGACTGAATTGACCATCTTTGAGAGTCCGCCCAACACTACTTGCAGTGAGTACGCGGGCGCGTGGCTTGATGCGAAGGGTGTTGGGTATCTCTCGAACCCGGATGGGATGGGCAAGTGTGGATATTGTGAATATAGCTTTGGTGATGATGTAAGTTTGTTCCCTGGAACATGTTTTCTGGAACTGATGCTAATCTATGGTAGTACTTATCTGGAATTGGTCTTGATTCTTCGAAGATCTGGCCATATTTCGGCATCTTCCTTGCTTTCACCGTTACTAATTACTTGATGGTTTATTTGCTGGTTTACATGCGGTCTGTGATGAAGCCGCTTTGGCGATCGAAGTAGCTTTTTTTTGGCATTCTATTTATTTTTCGGATGTACATTCGGTATAGCGTTGCTTATATATCAAAAGTGAAGCTTGTCATTTGGCTGCTATGCAGTTTGACCTTGAGTTCTTCTAGAGAATAAGATATTAGGAATGAGCTGGAATATCCTTGATTTTACCTGTTTCATATGCAACTTGTCAAATATCGTTCCCTCTGATTTCATAGTTTCAATATTAGAGATATTGCGCTGAAATTCTTTGCTGGTTTTTACTCTCTGGAGGTATACCGAGCATACTAAAACGGAAAGGGAAGTGCCAAGAAATAGCCCCAGCCCCGTTAACCTGATATATCCTGTCGGAATAGTTACACCGGCATACCGGAGGATTTATTAATCCTAAATATGCAGTAATATTTCTTATATAATGAGGATAGTATAAATTGCCAATACAGAGAGTTGAATACCATTGATTGGACCCATACATTTTCACAATACAGATTACTCCGACAGTTATGAGCCCGGTTCGCACTGAATAAGACTACTATATCGGTACATAGTATCTAGCACGTTGCTAGAAGCTGTCTTATAAACCTCCCCGAAGCTATGGGTAAATGGGTTAGAAGCAGACAAATTAATGGGTGTAATGGAATTGGAATATTATTTGTTTGATCTAATCTATGTGACAAAAGTGACTTAATTTTATATGGGGTTTGCATACAAATTGTAGGTATCTGCAGTCTTGCTACTATTATATGGAGCGTTTGCTACGAAGGCGGTGTATAAATTTAGAAGGCGGTGTGGAGAGCGGTAGGCAGATCTAGGTGTTGAGGCAAAAGCGGTACCCAATTAGGAAATCGAGCATGAAATTACAGGCAGGGGGTGTGATCATCCAAAGGGGGGGCGAGTATCAATTTCCTGAATATATCCTCACCTATCTTGACCCAATACACCACCTCGCTCTGACCACATATCGTACACCGTATGATAGAATTATGTATCTGAAGTCTCGGTTCGCCCGGTCGACCGCGTACGAGGAGGAAATCCGAATGAACTGGAAGGTCTTTGCAATGCAGAAGCCGACGGGGGATATTGAGAAATGGCTCCAAAAGTGGAACTCGCTAAGGGAGCAAGCGATTAGCCTCGGTATCAATGATGGAGATGCTAATAGGGACTTCCTACACGCTGTGAAAGAAGTGCTGCCTATCTGGTGGCAGGGTAAATACCAGGAAATTGTGATGGAAAAGAAGCCGTATGACACCCGAGATCTCCTTGAATCGTTCCGCACAATAAATCGTGAGATAGGAGTACAAGTGGTATCATCAACCACTCCTCCAAAAGGCGCTTTCTCCACCTGGCAAGGGCACCAGGAAGCGAAGCCAGAAGCGAAGCAGGAGAACACACCAGTCGAAAAGAGGAAATGCCCCTGTGGTAATACTCATTCGAAGCATAAAGTTGCCACTTGCTGGCTTCTAAATGAAGCCATTCGGCCAGAAGGATACGTGCTGAATGAGAAGAAGCTAGAAAAGGCAAAGCAGAAGTTAGCGAAGGACCATGCTTGGAAGCAATGGGTGGATAAAGTGGTAGCTGAGGCCCAGCAAGCCCAGTTGAAACCAGTCGAGACCGCCAACCAAGTCAGATTTGCAACAACCAGTCGAAGCCTAAGCAAGCCTATACAAGTCAGTAGGCATGTGCTATCTGTGGCAAAAGCAGGCGAACTCTCTCTTCAAGATCGATGGATTCTTGACACCGGATCAAACGCGCACGTCTGTAATAATCGAGATCTATTTATCGACTTTAGGGCAGAGACGATGGACCTAACAACTGGGGATAGCACCACGCAAGTGCTAGGGAGAGGCAAGGTCCGCCTAATTGGAAGGCACCCGGTGAAAGGAAGGATGGAGATCACTTTAAGTGATGCTCTATATTCACCCAGCTTCCACACGAACCTTGTGTCGTATGCGATGTTAAAGAAGAAAGGCGGGATCTGGTGCGAACGTACGAACTGTATACGGGATCCAAATGACCGACCTGTCGTCTGCGTTAACCTATGGGATCAATTTAATCTCTGGATCTTTGATAAACCCGGAGAAAAGGAGCCTCCCCAGCAAGCCTATGTGACACTGAGAAAGTCAGTGAAGCTACAGGAATCGAAGGCCTCCTCCGAGATCTGGCATCGGCGCCTAGCTCACATTGAACCACGAACTATAGCAAAACTTGCTAGCATGGCGGAAGACGTCGTTCTCGACGATAAAGGAGAAAAGAAGCATGAGAACTTCGACTGCTCAAAATGGTGGATATAGGCTATCTTATAGTCTAGAAAGTGAAGGGTACAGCGATCTCAGTAGGCATACTGGGACCGCTAGGGGGGGGGGGTGTCGGAGTAGTTACACCGGCATACCGGAGGATTTATTAATCCTAAATATGCAGTAATATTTCTTATATAATGAGGATAGTATAAATTGCCAATACAGAGAGTTGAATACCATTGATTGGACCCATACATTTTCACCATACGGATTACTCCGACAAAACACAGGCCAACTACCACGTGATTCTCGAATTCTAAAGTAATTTGTGCCTTTTACCCGATTATTCTGATTTGTTTCAATGAAAACACCTGGGCATGCAGGTCTCAAGCCGAATGAGTCACATTGGCAAAGCTTGACTTAGTTATCAATCAGCTCTCGGAGATAACCTTTTCACATTACTAGAACGGGTATCTCCGAAACCGGACATACCGTTTCGAGTGAGCAGCTTCATCTGTGTCATCAATATAACTACGTCAAATAAGCCCTGTTACTTAAGCCCTGTTGTTGTTTCAAAGGCCATCTGTCACTCAACAATTGTCACACAGGACACATTTTCTCCGTAGAGACGTGGAATATCCAGGGAATCCGGAAAGACGCGCTCATCTCCGGCAAGGCACCGACATCTCACCCATGTCTAGCGCCGTCGCAACTTCCTGCGAAGGAAAATCAATCTGAAGTCAGAATCACTTGACAGCCCCTGAAAATGGAAAACCATCACGACCGCTTCTCTACAGAGCAGGAAGAGATTGAAGATCAATCTCGCGCTCCACAACGTCGCCGTCGGCCGCCCCTGTCCTGTACAGTCTGTCGCAAACGCAAATTAAAATGTGATCGCTCTCTGCCCTGCGGGCAATGTGTGCGCTCCAAAACAACAGCTCAATGCGTTTTTGTCGGAGCCCAGCCCGGTCTTGGATCGGAATCTCACCAACGCATGTCACCCCCGCAATTACCAAATGGTGGCGTGGAAGAGCAATCCGGCCGAAAAAGCGGGATGTTCGTCTTCGACTCGAAATTGGGACCGAATTTGACCTCAAATCGCGTATCGAAGCGTGGTCGTTCGGATGAGTTGCACGAGCTCCGGAGTCGGCTGCGAGTTTTGGAGAATTCGCTTGGCAAATCGTCCCATCTCCAGACGCCTGAGACCTCGATTTGTGATGTTTTCTCTGAAGTTGATACTACCAATAGTTGTGAGAATGTTGGCGTTGATGACCGCGTACGATTCTTGCCAGATTCGAGTTTCCGTGGGAAGAAGGTCAAGACTCGTTATTTCGGTCGCAGTCATTATACCACTACTGTTTCTTTTGTGAGTATCCTGAATTGTATTGTGTGGTGTAGATTTGCTGATTGGGCGTAGTTCCAAGATATTGGTACCTTTATACGCCGTGGTCGTTGCCGCGGAGAGGGAAAGGATAAAGAGTACTGTGATATGAAACAGTTCAAGACAGAACTTTGGTCGCGCGAGACAGAGGATCATCAGCGAAATTTCCGCGAGCAGGCTTTCAAGCTGAATGAAATGGTTCCACAGAGAAACGTGGCAGACCATCTGCTCCAGCTGTATCTTGACACTTTCGAGACGACATATCGAATCTTGCACACACCGACCTTCTTCAGACAATATGCTGATTATTGGGCCAACACCCAGCCAACCGATATGGCTTTTGTCGCTCAGTTACTCGCTGTGATGGCTGCTGGTAGTTGCTTCTATGTCCCACCCCCAGGCCAAGACGACCGTGACACATTCCAGAAACCGGCCATGAAGTGGATTATGGCTGTCCAGTCATATATTTCGTGCACATTTGTGAGCCCGGATATTGACTTCCAAATGCTCCAGACCCAATCTCTTCTTCTGGTAGCGCGTCTCGGAGTCGCCAGTGACGGGGATGTTGCCTGGGCCTCCGCCGGGTCGCTGATTCGGTCTGCGACGACAATGGGTCTGCACCGCGATCCGACTCGCTTCCGCAAGGTTGGGCCATTCTACTCCGAGCTGCGCCGTCGCCTTTGGGCAACTATTGTCGAGCTGGACCTCAAGATCTCTCTCGACCGCGGCGTTCCGCCATCAGTTGACCTAGATGAATGCGACTGCAATCCACCGTCCAATTGGGACGACACAGAATTGACACAGGACATGCAGAATGACCCTGCTTCACTCAGTACTGCCCTTTATACCCAAAACTTCTACCAAACTCTTCTCACCAAGACATTATCACTACGTTATCGAATCGCCAAGAAAATCAATAGCCTTCGATTTAATCTATCTTACGACGACGCCCTGAGAATGGGCGATGAACTCTCTCGCTCCATGCAACATGCGTCCTCCTTATTTGAGGACAATGCCCTGAGTATCGGCCCGGGAGAATCAGGCCGTCACCGTTTTGCCCAATCCCTATATCTCTTCATAATGCGCAAATTCCTCCTCGCCCTCCATCGTCCCTTCTCACTCAGTGTTGTCCGCCTACCCAAATGCTCCTACTCCCGCAAAGTTTGTCTCGAAGAATCCCTTGGAATTCTCTCCCAGATGGAACTTCCTCTCTCGAAAGAGGACATCCTCTACCCGAACATCACCCAGTTAGGCAGCGGTATGTTCCGCGATGAAACCTTCCATGCCGCAATCACCGCCTGCGTGGAGCTCTCCCTCCAAGCCAATGAAATGAGTACGTCTGCTACCTCTGGGATGGATGGCGTCAACTCGAGCGTGCTCATGAGCATGATCCAGTCCCAGCAAGGCGTGATGTTGCAGGCCGTCGAGCGTACCGCTGATAATTTCGGAAGACGCATTGACCCTGGTGGGAAGGGGTGCAAGCCTTTCTTCTTTCTGAATATTATCCTCGCTTCGGTCAAATCCCGCATCAAGGGTGAAGATCCTTTGCGTAATGTTGATACGGCCTCGAAGAGATCCGTTCGCATTTGCAGGGCGATTCTGAATGGGCTTACATACCAGGAGGCGAAGATTAGCGTTGATAATGGCCCCGTTCAGGTTGGTATCCCCGTTTACAGCTGTGTGGCTACCATATCTAACGTTCCTGTTCAGCCTTCCATTCCTTCTGGGACAACCCCGGCCTCTGCTACACCGAGTGATATTGATCCTGCATCGCTTCTGTCGATTGACTTTAGTAATTTGACGGTAAGTTATAATTCGCCGGGTGATGTTTGGGGCTATGCTGACCTTTTACAGCCAATGGATCTAGGTGGCTGGTTTGATGGATTGGATTACACGGGGCCAGAGTTGTGGGATTGGGATACCGACTTGTCTGCCAATCTTCCGACATTCCCATGAATTATGTAACGATTCCTCAACACTAATGACAACCCTTGATGCCCTGTGATATCTCTATTCAATGTCCTTCTCACACTCCACTCTCATGACCAAATAGATATTCTTACACACTTAATTTAGAAACAGGAGTAATCATTTGCAACCTATATCACTCTATAGAACAAGCCATCCAAACCCTCAAACTCTCAAATCATCTCTATCTCTTTCCCGATTTCCCGATTGATAACCCGCGAACAAGTCCGATCAACAAAACTCTTTCTCGAAATCTTGACATAACTCTGAACCAACCTACCCAAAAACAAAAATTAGCAAAATACATTTATAGACTAAAAGAAGTGTACTCACGCTTGATACCGTTGAATATTCCGAATCTCCATACCTGCCAAATCCCCCAATGCATCCTGCAAATCGCGCACCAGACTTATACAACGTCCCATACTGAAATCCGTCCTGACAACAGCCCGCATCATGCCCATGGTCTCACAATCAGCAGCCATGGTGTAAGCAGGCACAATCCATCCTTTTTCGCGCAGTTTCCGGGCCAGCGCCCATTCATCGAAGAAGACGTTTTGCGTGGCACTCAACCTGAACGCAACAACTGGTAGGCCCCGCCCACCCCCTTCACTCATGATGATGAAGCCCATTTCTTGCAGTTGGCTGGTCAGGTAGTCGGCTGTTTTCGTGAGGTTCATCATGATGTTTGTGTACCCACTTCGGCCCAGTCGTATTAGTTGGTAGTACTGGGCTATGATGTGCGATGCTGGTTTGGAGAAGTTCATAGTGAAGTTGAGTTGCTCGGCGCCTAGATAGTCGATGTTGAAGACGAGCTCTTCGGGGAGGTACTCTGGTGATCGCCAGAGGGCCCAGCCGATGCCGGGGTAGACCTGTGGGTATTAGAATATTGAGCTGTATTGGACTTGGGTGGTGAATGAATGTACTTACCAGTCCGTATTTATGCCCAGAGACATTGATCGAGACGACATTGGGTAGTTTGAAATCCCACACTAGATCCGGGTTCACGAATGGAGCCACGAATCCCCCGCTGGCGGCATCTACGTGGATGGGTGTATTCAAACCTTTCTCGATGAGAAGCTCACTGATGGCTTGTACATCTTCGTACTGGCCCGTGTATGTCGTACCAAGAATCGCGCAGATTCCGATGGTGTTCTCGTCGACCATGTCGACGGCTTGAACTGGGTCAATCACGTATCGTGTCTCGGTACATGGGACTAGCTTCTCGGCGATCTCAAAGTATCTGGCTGCCTTTTCCCAGCAGACCTGTACTCCGCTACTCATGACGATGTTTGGATTGGAGACATCTTTCCCTTGGGCTTTGCGGTTGATTTGCCAGCGCTTCTTCATTGCTAGAGTTGCGATCATGATAGCTTCCGAAGACCCAATACATGATGTGCCAAAGGCGGTTGGATGTCCGTCAGCAACTGGAGAGTGGAATAGGTCGGCGAGGATGTTTAGACAGCGGTGCTCGATTTCGACGGATTTGGGGTATTCTTCGTGGTCGATGATGTTCTTGTTTGATGATTCGGCGAGTAGTTTGAGGGCTTCGTCTTCCTGTTGTCTTGTTAGCGTCGGTCAATGATAAGGCGAAAACTTTGAAATACCATGTACGTGGTCACAAAACTGGCGAGACTATATTGAACAGCATACGTCAGTTTAGCTTTTTGAATACTTAACAAGTATGCTTACTTCAATATTGGCTGGCCATCCAGGGCCAAGTCATCTTTGATTAGCTGGTAAGCTACCTCTTTTGGCATCTCACCGTCCGGTAGTTGATGCGATGGCATAGGCATGGCAGCGAATCTGGAGCCATAGACATAAGTGCAGTCGTTCTGCTCAGAAAGCTGCCCGGATAATTCCTCTATAGAACCCATTATGCAATGAAAATATGTAGATTCAAATTGAGATTCAAATTGGAATACTGCTAAACTAGCAAGACTGTCTTGAATTTATATTCTTTCTCACAAGTTGATTGTTCAAAAATCTCTCATAGCTAAATCGTGTGATAGAGTTCTGCGGCATTTATTTACACAGGAGACATCATGATCAGCGCTATGATAAAAAGGGGGCTTTCACGCCGTTTCACGTTGGGTAAGTTGGGCATTGCGTTCTTTTCTCTAGTTTAAGGTATATAGATGACAACGTGATGGACATCACAGCACCTATCTGATGCTACATGTTGTACATGATACTATTTATCGTTGGTTATCAAGGGAATCTAAATGCTCCACTATAGACAAGCCAAGACCTTCTAGAAAACATTAGTATAGTCCTATTACAACAGTTTTGAACTCCTTACAAACTGGTGGAATTGGGGATGCCCCCTTGCTATTCCTTGTTTTAAATTGGAACATTCTGGCCCTGGGTTGTAGGGTCAATGCGTTATACGGAGTACCCCGTGCTTCGTATAGAGAATGCGAATACCATGCAATTTACTCTGCTTTGCCACATTGATAAAGGCGAGCAGGTTTCCCTTCGGCCCCTGAATCGGAGATATTCCCCTCCCTTCTCGGGTGCATCCGGTCCGAAGGCCGAGATTGGTGGCGCAGCACATATTGAATGCTTCATTAGGCAGATATTGAATTGTGGCGAGGCCATAGGGCTCGGTCTATTTATATTCATCGTACTCCGTACTGCTGTCATTGGATATATACTCCGTAGAAGTCGCATATCCTACTAGTATCCCTTATTTTTTGTAACCTTTCTAAAATTGAAACTAATATTTATTTCACAGTTTGAGGTTCCTGAGCAAAAGTAATTGTCCTTGATATATGACACGTAACCAGAGCATATCCCTTGCTGAATTTATGCAAGTCGCGGATGAGGTCAACAAGATAACAGACATCGAATAGTAGACTTCGACACGAAGGGAGCATTCTTCAATGAAATTGTCGTACATTTGAGCGATTTGGATAGACCTGTATCACCATTTTGTGTTTTGTTCATAATAGCATCAGTTCTTCGCTTGCAAGAATAGGATGCTGCACCCAATTCTGGACCTTAGTATAGTCAATGTTGTCCTTTCCTTATCGGGTAAGACCTGCTTTCCCATGTCTAATATTTCCTCTGATTAATAGTTTTAGGAATATACGTTTTGGTTTTCGGGTTTATCGCTGTGAAAATCAAGCAGAGATGGTATCTCGGTGAAGCTTGTATGTCGTCCTTCAATCTCATGGAACATCGGTCGCTGATAATATTCAGTACCCTCTTTCATAGTCGGGGCAGTCATAGGGCCCTTTGGTGCGAAGTTGATTAATGTTAGCCAGTGGGAAGACAATGACAGCGACAGTGGTGATATCGCCTATGTAGGTTAGACTTTTCACCGCAAAGGAAAACATCATACTAATTGACCAGGGGCTAACTCGATTGGTTATTGGTATTGCGATGGTCAAAGTCGGCTATGAGCTACCAAAACGATATCTTCGGCTTCATCTGGTCGAACTCACCATTTGCCTACTGCCGCTGATGACGATCCAGTGGCTGACGACGTCGGCGTGTATCAAATTAATGATCCCTAATCTGTCGTTTGTGCGTTTATCTCTTCTGGGATTTGATACACAACCCCACTAACCTTCATGTAGTTGACTTCTCTCATCATCGGATCTTGTGTCATATGCATCGACCCGGTTCTCTCACAAGCTATCGCCAAGGGCCCTTTCGCTGATCAATATGTCCGACGACATCTTCGGGAATTTATTTCAGCCGAGGCAGGTGGGAATGACGGATTCGGATTTCCGTTCTTGCTCCTCTCTATTGCCATTCTTCGTTATGCCGATACCCCGGGCACGGAGACAGTAAAAGCTGGTCTTGGGAAACAGAGTCGAGATTGGATTGGCGAGCCGGATATCGGTCGATTGGGTGGAGATGTCGGTCGAGCTTTGGCACATTGGGCTGTTGAAGGAGTGCTGTACATGCTGGTCATGGGTGCTGGGTATGGTGTGCTGGTCGGGTTCCTAAGCCGGAAAGCCTTGAACTTGGCCTCAAAAAGGTATACATATATTCTATCGGTTTAGCACATCGGCTAATGATATATGTAGGCGTTGGATTGACAAGGAGAGTTTCTTCTCATATCCTGTCGCGATGGGTGTAAGTCGTTCTTGAGAAACAGTAGAGTATATGCTAAGATGACTTGCAGTTGTTTATCGTCGGTACCTGCGGTTGCTTTGGCTCCGATGAAACTCTCGCCTGTTTTGTTGCCGGCTGTGCATTGAACTGGGATGGGTCTTACCACTTCGAAGTCGAAGAGAGACATGACTCCTTCAATTCCACGATCGAAAACATCTTGAATATTGGAACCTTCTTGTTTCTCGGTGCTATCATGCCTTGGAATCAACTTAGCATGCCTAGTCAGAACGGAATCACTATCGCTCGACTAGTCGGGCTCGGATTTTTGATTCTGATATTCCGTCGGATCCCGGCGATCATGATGGGATATCGATTCATGCCCAAGGTTTGTGAAAATTGGAAAGAGGCCTTGTTCATGGGGTACTTTGCCCCAATTGGTACGTCATCCAGATAATGTGTTAAAGTGCCGTGCTTACCGGGTTTAGGAGTTGGCGCTATCTCGTATGTAGAATATGCGAGACGATTGTTACCAGATCCTGGAGAGAGCGATACAGAGATCAACAACTTGACTGCAGCTATGATTCCGGGTACGATATTCTTCTATTAAATGATAATAATATATGCTGACCATGGATTTTAGTGGTATATTGGCTTGTTTTCTTTTCCATCGTCATCCACAGTCTGTCTATACCAGTCCTGAACGGTCTCTATAAGTGGTTCAAGGTCCCTACTATCCGAGACCATCCGGTAGAAATCATTCTTCTGTCCGAAAGTGAGCCTGTTCCTAACAACAGCGTGGTGGATCGCCGCGGCCACTCTGTTATACTAAACAACCGGTTTTCCCGTGCCTCGAACCGGCGCCCCCATTCTGATTGTGATCCACACCGCGAGGGAACAGCCACGACGGTGTTACGTCGCAGTGGGGAAACTAGCTATAGGAGCTCATTGGAAAGGGTATTGACGAAAGGTTCTGCGCACGAACTGGAGCAGACTATACCTGCCAGAAATGTAGTCTAAATGGCCGATAATGGGATTTTTATATCAAGTGAAAATCAACGTCCTTTGATATCCTCATTCAAATTCCAGGGTTCCTATAAAATAGGGAAGGTGGGAAACTATTTAGATGTATAGAAGCCACATATTACAAAATGTACTGCAATGGATAACTAGCATGTTTGATAGTAACTGTAGCCTTGCACATCAAGCAGTACCACTCTTATAGATAGCTCCATGTAGATATCTGTTGAAATCCAACCTTCCCTTCTCGCCTCTTTCCTTCATCATTTTTCATTCCCGATAGCCTAGAAGTGTTCTGAAAGGTATTTTTCTATCGAGGAAGTAAGATAAATCTTTATCCATAGGCTACGAAAGCTGGTATATTATATAAACCATGCCATAATTGTCCGCCCGAGTCCCTAAGCGCGTTGCGCTCAATCTCAACCATTTCGAGATGTGCTAAAAACCGCCCATACGACTATGATGTTAACCTAGTGTCGTTTCTACTCTTGTATATACTATTCGAAAACTTATTAGTTGAATGCACTCTTTTAGTTCAAAGAACTGGCTGGTCACACTCATCAAAACATGTGGTGAGTGTTAAACCTTGGGCTCTTAGCCCTACTCATCATGAGAAACTACTACTATTACTGGTTCTGAGCTTTACCTAGAAGGAAGATGGCCTGAGCCATATCGACGTTCTCTTGAATCGGCCTCACTATATCCTCAACGACTCTAGCTGGGCCAAGCATATTAGCGACTGACAGATCCTAACCCCCCGAGATCATAGTAGCTGTCAAAGAGAAGTTATCACCGCACAATCTTTGTTTCTTTTTTTCCTTTTGCCAAAAGAAGATTTACGACGCTCAAAGTGTGCATACATGGAATACCAAGGCAATGGAGGTTGTTCCTTCTAACCCACCTAAGCGCGTATGGCTTTTGGAAAAAATTGGAGGTCACTCATGATTGGGCTTTGGAATGGTTCTGCTCTGGCGAAGGAGCAAGGGAATACTGCCTACTAAGGCCAGGCAGTGATCTTTGCTCGACTCCCCTCCCTGTGTGAGATGCTTGTCAAATGGAACCGCCTTGTCTCAAATCATCATCCTGAGTTCAGTGACTAGGCAGGAAGTACACTGGGAGTCTCCAATTCTCATAAACACAATATTCTAATATCAAAACACAGAATAAATGAGGTCTCGGACGTCTGGAAAAGAAAAACACACAATCATCATGGGATTGTTGCATGAGATTTCCTGATTGGTGGAAGAACCTCAACGCTTCAAGGGCATAGATTAACCACACGGGGGAATGAATCCCCGTCATAACAATGAATTACACAATTTCGATTAAGACCGTTTGGACAATATTACGCCTCTCGCTCAAGGATCTCCCAACAAAAGTCCCCCGCAAAGTCCTTGGCGAAATGCGGAGAAATGAATCCATTCACCTTGTCTATACACACCGGCTAACTCTACATTCTACAGGCCGTGCCGGCTACCCCAGTCTGTAATGTAATGGAATTTGTTTTAACAGGCGGAGAAATCTCTTTCCTCCCGTGCCGCTCCCCAGACATTGGTAATCTGGGGAAAGGGACGAGTCTCCATTTCTTAGAGCTGACATTCCGGGGTATTCTTATAAATGAACAGGAATGCCTGCTCTCTTCCATCAAGTATCAATTGATCTCACCTCGCTATAATGAAGTTCCTCGCTGTCGGTGCACTCCTGCTTAGCACAGTTAGTGCTCTTGCCACAGAGCATATTATCCAAGGCGCCCAGATCATCCCAGCCAGCGATAAGTCGGCATTGAAGAAGATCGGTGCTCATGGCCATCACAAGCACCACGACCGTCGGACTGTGACTATCCGGTCATCCAGGAGCGACACCGATGATGTTTCGGAAGATTTCCTTTGGGGTATCAAGGCTGCCAATCACGGTGGTAGACTTCTCTTGAAAAAGGGAAAGAAGTACGTCATTGGCAAGAAGCTTGATCTCAGCTTCTTGGATAATATCGAAGTGCAGCTTGAGGGTGAAATCAAGGTAAATAGCCCCCGATACTATGAGATTGAACTGCTCTAACAAGAAACAGTTCACCGATGATATCGACTACTGGCAAGCAAACCACTTCTACTACTCTTTCCAGAAATCTATCACTTTCTGGGTCTGGGGTGGTCAGGACATCAAGATCTTCGGAAAGGGTACTCTCAATGGTAATGGCCAGGAGTGGTACAATGCCTTTGCTGGCCGGGAAATTCTGGTGAGCATGATTCCAAAAGAGTTGGGAGTGATTGCTAATGGAGGATTCAGGACCCATCCAATGTTTTCTACCGTCCCATTCTATTTATGACTGACAACGCCACCCGTGTGTCTGTTGAGGGTATCACTCAACTCAACTCCCCCTGCTGGACCAACTTCTTTGTCCGTACCAAGGATGTCTCTTTCGACGATGTTTTCATCAACGCTTATTCCACCAACGCATCTGTAAGTCGTGTATCTGATACCATAACCGATCAAATCTAATCCCCTTGATAGGCTTTGCCCAAGAACACCGACGGATTTGACTCCTTGAACGTGGACGGTCTCAGTGTGACTAACACCCGTGTCGATATCGGCGATGACTGCTTCTCTCCCAAGCCCAACACCACCAACATTTTCGTGCAGAACCTGTGGTGCAACAACACCCATGGTGTCAGCATGGGAAGTATTGGACAGTACTCGGGAGTCGAGGACATCATTGAGAATGCCTGGATTGAGAACGTGACTCTGTTGAACGGTGAGGTAAGATAACTCCCGATACCCCCATCTTTGAGCGATTGATCCTAACCGGCATTATAGAATGGCGTCCGTCTTAAGGCCTGGGCTGGAGAGAACGTCGGCTTCGGTCGCATCAATAACATTACCTACAAGGATGTTCACATCGAAAACACCGACGCCCCTATTGTATTGGATCAGTGCTACTTCAACGTTGACGATGCCACGTGTGCCAAGTACCCGTCATCAGTCAACTTCACCAACGTTAACTTTGAGAACATCTATGGCACTTCGTCGGGCAAGAATGGTAAGGTGATCGGGGACTTGACCTGCTCGCCCAATGCTGTGTGCTCGGGTATTCAACTCTCTGAGATTGATATCACCAGCCCGGCGGGCGGTCCTCCCGTCATTACCTGCGATGGAATTTCTGGAGATATTGGCGTGGAATGCCAGTCGAGCTCGGCTTAACTGATAGTGTGAGAGAATAGTTTTGGAAATAGTCAAATAGTGATAAACCAAAAGTAATGGAAGAAAAATCCCATGTTTGATTAGGAAATGTAGTCCGAGACATGTATGCCCGAGGACACGGAGTGAGTAGTCATCTCCGAACCTCCCACCGGATAGCAACCATCTCTCCACAGGACTTGCCAGTGTTCTTCACAGCGAATTGATTTGAACCGGTCGCTTATTCTGCTTATTCTGCTTATTCTGCTTATTCTGCTAGTCTCGCAATCCTGCACAATGGGAATACGGAGATTTGACCCGGCACTTTCGGCCCCCCATCGCAGCCAAGCACCAAGCGAATGTGGATTGTCAAGGCTCCCCTCCATCTTGGCCTCCCAGCCAATGAAAATGAAAACAAGCATCGTCAACTCTTCCCCGAGAGAAAATAGATGTTGATATCCGACCGGCCCGACATCCCCTAAAAACAACAACGGAGAAGATTCAAAACCAAGCCGTCATCCTCGATGACATTTCATCATGGAACAGGGTCACCCTCAATACTGGCTTATTCTCTCTCCCCACACTCCCACAATCTGAGTGGCATGCCGGCTGAGAACATATCCGCCCCCTGTCTTTGGTCAAATGTATCATGACTTGTTAGGAATGGCCCCGGATTCAGAATCCTAGTGTCCTGCTTCCAATGCTTGTAACACTTGCAAAATGCCTCCAATCTGGGGAAGATGAATCCACACCCCGTTCCCCCCACACCCCAGATCCCCGGAAGGGCGGAGTACGGGGAAAGGACGGGATCCCAGATTTTACGGGGTCTCTGCTATAAGAACGACTTATAGTTTTTCGACTTTTTCTTCTTTCTTCTTCTTTTCGTCTGTGCTATTATCTTCCCACAGATCCTAGCTTTCATATTCAACATGGAGAAGATGGATAGTCAACATCAGCACATTGAAGGTGCAAATGCTAGCCAAGTGATGGAGTCTGCAAAGAAATGCGATTTCTACGTAGAAGATCGAGTCGCTCATCTATCCGAGGAACATCGCAATTATCTTCTTGCAAAGCACGGAACGCTGGATTTGGATCCTATCCCTGATATGACCGATGCCGATCCATACAATTGGCCGAGATGGAGGGTGAGAGACCATTCAGCCCCTATCATCAATTTACACTTGGTCCATGTTTCTAATGTGATGGTTCGATAGAAAAACTTGAATTTAACCCTAGTGGCCTTCCACGCCATGATGGGTACATTCACTGCCTCGTCAATCCAATCTGCGTTCGAAAATATCTCCGAAGATCTCGACATCAGTATGCAGCGAACTAGCTACCTCGTCTCCCTCTTCATTGCCGTGCTAGGTGGTGCGCCTCTTTTCTGGCGTCCGCTGTGTAATCGCTATGGTCGCCGCCCCATTTTTCTGATCTCGTTGATCTGTAGCTTGATTGGAAATATTGGCTGTGCGAAGAGTCCTTCCTATGCAACCATGGCTCTCTCCCGCGCAATTTGTGCCTTCTTTATCAGCCCTGCAGCTGCTATTGGCAGTGCCGTTGTCGCGGAGACTTTCTTCCGGAAAGATCGTGCTCGCTGCATGGGTGCGTGGACGCTAATGGTTACTCTGGGTGTCCCTGCTGCTCCGTTTATCTTTGGTTTCGTTGCTTTGCGTGTGGGTTATCGCTGGATTTACTATATCCTTGCAATTGTGAGTATTCAACCCCCGTCCCCGGGAGATCGGCCCGTCTAACCATTCACTTCAAACAGGTCAACGCAATCCAATTCGCCACCTACTTCTTATTCGGATCGGAATCCCTCTACGTTCGCGACAATGTCCCTGCCAATAATGTCACTGCCGCCAAACAGAGCTTATTCAAATTCAGCCGCATCGACCCTGCACCGCTGAGACTCTGGGACTTCGTCCAGCCCCTGAGCTATGTGATGAAGCCATGTGTGATCATCCCAGCCGCCGCCTACGCAATGGTCTTCCTCTGGGGCAGTATCGCACTCACAATCGAGATCTCCCAGGTCTACCCTTCCAAATTTGGCCTGAACACCCAGCAGGTCGGTTTGCAATTTCTCGCTATTATCATCGGGTCTGTCATTGGTGAACAGATTGGCGGGTTTATTTCCGATCGCTGGATGCTTATGCGCCAAAGGCGGACCGGAGAACCATCCCCGCCGGAACACCGTCTTTGGTTGAGTTATATTGGCCATGCTTTGACGATTTGTGGTATTGTGGTTTTTGCTATCGAGATCCGGGATTCGGGCGGTGTATGGAATATCGCTCCCATCATGGGCGCTGCTATTGCCGCTGGTGGTAATCAAATCGTTACTACGGTTGATATTACTTATGCGGTTGATTGTTACCGCGAGGATGCTGCCAGTGTGGGTGTTTTCATTACCTTTGTTCGGCAAACTTGGGGCTTCATTGGCCCTTTCTGGTTCCCAGAGATGTTCGAGGTTGTTGGCTGGGCTGGTGGTGCCGGTATTGCCGTTGCGCTCATGGTTGGTGTCAGTGTTATTCCGACTATCTTGGTGCAATGGCGAGGAGCTTCCTGGCGTTGATTGCGGAGGACATATAATTGCTCTTTTTATCAACTAAACAAGAGGATGTAGATGCTCACACAGTAGAAAGTGGCACTGCCCACGTTTCAATCTACTCAATAGTATTTGAATATGGAATACTCTATATTGGTGGTACTGTGTAATACTATATTGTCACAATTCTGCTTAAATCGAGTACACTCTATGCCGAATCCTAGTTTTTCTATTGTTTTCGGCACAGAAGCCCCCCTATACCGGTGAACATCTTGGTAATGGCTGTCAATTTTCTGCTCGGGGCTAGGTCGGGGATAAACAAATAGCTAGGAACCGTTAAGAAGATGCGGAGATATGCATTATGCATCCTACCATCAAGTGGAGTGTCAAATGAGCTGCATACCCTGAACTGGCCTGGATATGTAGACCGCCATAGAATACTAGAGATAATAGCCGTGGACTGCTATCATCCAGCGCCCCCTGCTTTACCCGTGTCTGAATTCCTACCAATTTACATATAACAAATCGTAAATCATCAACTCAATATCACTACCACCCATCAACCCTCCGCATCCTCAAATGCATCCCTTCAACCGGCTTAATAGTAACAGCCCCGGCAACATGAATCGCTTGCTTGGGATCCTGCATTTCAAACGAAAACCGTCCAACAACACCGGCAACCGCACACCGCAACTCTGCACGCGCAAAGTCCTTTCCAATACAAGATCTCTGTCCATGTAGGAACGTAATCTGTGCAAAATTCGTCGATGCCCCGCCATTATTGTTCGGGATACAGTGTCCGTTCTTGTCCGTGTCGATCCATCGCTCGGGCACAAACTCTTCCCCGTTTTCGCCCCAGAAGAGTGGGCTCCGGTTTATCGCCCACGGGCACAAAATCACCCGTGTCCCCTTTGGGATGTACTTTCCCGCTACAACGGTGTTGCGGACTGCTTCGCGGATTGTTGTTGGGACTGTCGGGTACAGGCGGAGGACTTCTTGGCAGACGCCGTTTAGCAGAGGAAGGGATTCGAGGTCTTGGTAGGCTATCGGGCTGTTGCCTGATGGGACCTTGGAGCGGATTTCATCGCGGAGGCGAGTCTGGTATTCTGGATGGAGATGGAGGAGGTAGCAGGCCCAGGTCAAGGCACTGGCCGTGGTTTCGTGCTGTAAGGGTCAGCTATTCGCTCATCTAGTAATGCAGTTGCATTGGATTACTCACCCCGGCAGCCAAAAATGTCAACATTTGATCCACCAACTCCGTATCCGAGAAATCCCCACCAAGCATCATCGTCCCCAGAATATCAGCCTCGAGATCTTGAGCAGAAACCTTTGATCCAGCAAGACTAGCTCGCTTCTCACGTACAATCTCATCGCATGTACTGCGCAGGTATGCCGTCTCGGCAGTCAGTACGTCGTTCATCCGCCACGGCACACGTCTCGCCATCCACTGCGGTAGTGCAAAGTTCATTACCAGGAACGCCATCTTCTCCTTGGTTGGCTCGAGGATCTTTGCGAAGCTGTCGGCCACTTTGTTTCGTTTGTTATGTAACGAGCCAAAGTCACGCCCCATTGCTATAGGCCCGATTATGTCGAGTGTGAGACGACTGCATACTTGTTAGTATATAATGCGATGTTTGAATGCGATGTTCGATATGTACCTCGCCCACTCGGCCATTTCAACCTTGCCCTCTCGGTCCTCTGGACTTGTTCCATCCATCGGATGCACCGTGATTTCTTTCTCTAGTTCATCCAGTAACTGTCCCGTCTTGCTCCACATGAGCGAATACATCGAGCGGATATTCTTAATATTGAACGCGGGTGTGAGCGCTTTGCGCTGCTTCTTGTGTGCTACACCCTCCGAGGTAATCATTCCGAAGCCGATGATCCGCGCGAGGAAGTTGCGCATGCGCCATGGCTTCTCAAAGTCGTATGTGTTTGTGCTCATCACATCTAACAGGGCCTGGTGGTTAGTTGGGATCACATAGCTTTGATTGAATGTGTCGCGCATGTGAATGAGGCCTTCATTTGGGACGGCTTTCATCCACCGGAGGGGTTTTGTTCCTCGTGGTGAGTCGAAGATGAGTTCTATATGCGAGCCCTGTGTGCGCTTAGTACTGGTATATTTTTATCCTTGCTTTTGTTCCTACCTGGACTTTCGGTAGATGCCGCACCGGGCTTAGTATGAATGGCCATATTATTACACCGTAGAAGACTTTTAGGAGGATGTTTACTGCGAGTGCGACGAGACAGATTCTTTGGAAGGTATTGTCGGTGAAGACAGTGCGTTGGAGGAAATATGCCTCGGCAAAGGTGAATACACCCACTGCCAGCATACTGTCGCCGGCCATGTTTGGTTTCTTTGAATCGAGTTGAAAGAGATACAAGCCTCGGATCCAGTCGAGGCTCATATACCCCCATTTTCGGCATCGGAAATGCCCCACAGAGATCGGCACTCCCTGTTGGGGTGACCAATGCGAGACCTCGGCTCTATGAACTACCATTATTTGGATCTGCATGTTAGCGTGTAGATTTGTCATATGAATGGGAAGCTTTCACTAGGCATATACGCAATGCTTGTGAAATTAGGCTTAACTAGTCCATTGAGAAACAGCCGAGTCATGCATGTCATCGAAAGTGCAACCTAGAATCTATCTGCCCAGACTACATCAAGGAAAATAGGAGAACGAAGTTGTAATTAGGGCTGGAATAATGCGGGGATGCCAAGAGACATGTGAAAAAGAGATGCGAGATGTCAACGACATTTCAAAGACATTTCTCAACAGTATTCAAAGTCTAAATGAAGATGTTGTCGATCTCTTGTCGATCTCTGTTCATCTCTCGCATTAATTTCCTTGGTGGGAAACCGTTGGAATGTGAAGCCTCGGCTAGATACGATGCTAAATGTACTATCCTTAATAGCCTTATTATCCTGAATATTATCCGATCGTTTGTACCTTCCCCAAACTTCAACCTCACTTCATACTCAAACCGCAATAATGTCGACCCTTGACCTTATCACCAAATACGCCGAAACAGCTCTATCCCACCTCCCAGAGCCCACCCAACTTTTTTTCCGCAATCCAACAGCCCAAAAGGCTCTGGGCGTTATCGCCGGCCTCGTCCTGCTCCGCGCTACAAACCGCTTCTTTTCAAAACGCAGTCTGCAAAACTGGACCTCCAACCACCCATGGATTCCAGCCCGCGAGCTCATCTTGCTCACCGGCGGCTGCAGCGGAATCGGCAAGCAAGTCATGGAAGACCTAGCGCGCACAGGCGTGCGCGTAATCATCCTCGATATTAATGAGCCAACATTCACACTCCCCGCCAACGTCACCTTCTACAAGGCGAATATCACTTCCTCGGCTGATATCGCCGATGTGGCGCGCACAATCCGTGATAACCACGGCGAGCCCACAGTTTTGATTAATAACGCGGGCGTGGGACATGAGGGGACCATCCTCGAGGAGCCCGAGGAGAAGATTCGCCAGACTTTCGAGGTGAACACCATTTCCCATTTCCTGATGGTTAAGGAGTTCTTGCCGGCTATGGTCAAGGCGAATCATGGTCATGTTGTTACGGTTGCTAGTATGGCGAGCTTTGTGGTGCTCGGTGAGATAGTGGATTATTGTTGCACCAAGGCTAGTGCGCTTGCTTTCCACGAGGGACTGCGTCAGGAATTGAAGCATTGGTATAATGCGCCTAACGTGCGCACTAGGTGAGTTGCTGAGTTATTGGATGGTACCTGTGGAGTTTCTGCTGATTGTTTCAAGTGTGATTCACCCCTTGTGGGTGCGTACGCCCATGATCAAGATGCTCACGGATCACGAGGCGCATTTAAGACAGCCTATCATGACCCCCCAGGTCGTATCGGAGGCTATCTGTAAGCAGATCTTGACTCAGACCAGTGGCCAGGTTATCTTGCCTGCTAGTCAGTCGATGGCTAGTTTGGTGCGTGCTATGCCGGCTTGGATGCAGGAGGGAGTGCGCACTTTCGCGTCGAACGCGTTGATTAAGATGCGTGTTGCGCAGCAAGCGGAGGAGAAGGCCCAGTAAATTCTTCTTCTTTTTTTTTGGGAAAAGATGGACGATATGATTATAATCCCTATTTCGAATGGGGCTAATGTACATGGTATTGAAAGTTAAAGAAATATCACAGGCTGGTCCATGGAGTTATAATGTTTTCAAGTCATAGCCGTGGACATAATATTTGAATATTACTGTATAAAACATTCTGGCCATGTCTTCGATATGTACTCAATCCATTCCAGTATGTGCTCAATGTATTATGTACTCAATCAGTATGTACATCATTGCTATATACAAAATTACATCAACTCGGCCAAAAATGCCTCCACCTTCTTCCCCTGCTCCGTCTTGGTGTTAACTCTCATCTCCAAATGATAAACCGGCGCAACATGACACTCTCCTTGGCCGACAAACAACTCCACATTCTCAAAGCCCGCTTTAAATTTCCCCGCGAAGTCCTGAATCAAAGGCAACATGATCTCATTCCCGCCTCCCGTAATCAAAACTGAATTCACTGGGAAAGTGGTAAACCAATCTGCGGGTGCAGTCGACAGATCAGTGTAATAGTCTCGCTTGCCAGATCCAATATAGGCTGTCGCCCAGGGTCTCGCAACTGCCTGGGTGATGATATCACCGCCGTCATAGACCTTGACACCCGGGAATTCTGTATCGAGAAGTGTCCAGGGGGCGATCATTACTGCGCCACCCAGGTTGCTGTGCAGCGGCAGAACATCGATCTCTGCATGTGGGTGGGCCAGGTGAGAGAGGACTCCACCAACCAGGTTCCCGCCTGCAGAGTCGCCACCCAGGAACACCGTGGACGGGTCGCGGTTTGGTTGCGAGAGAATGTATCGTAGACAGTCCACGGCTTGTCGCAGTTGTGTCGGGTAGACTGCGATTGGGGCTAGCGTGTAGGTCAGACTGAAGACCGCGACGCTTTTGCCTGCTGCTTTGAGATCGCGCACCAGCTGGGCATAGAATTTGAAATAGCCCATATTGGCGGGGAGTCCGAACCCACCCCCTGAATGATGTGGTCAGCTTGGTTTTCTTTGTGCTAGCTTTGTGTACATACCGTGATACCAGATGATCACGTTGTCGGCATTTCGATCGCCCACCCAGTGGCCCAATGCGCCATCGCCCAATTGAACAGACTCGGGCACTCCGCCTGTCGACTTGGAGTATTGTTCATAGATCTTGAGGTCTGGGGGGAGGAGGTATTGCATCTGACTGGCAGTCATCCGCGCGCTCGTCTTGCGGAATATCGCATATCCCAAATGAAGAGACAAAGTCTTGGCTTGGCGCTCGGTGCGCCAGAAACCAGTTAGAATAGCATAGATGCAAGCGACCAGGATGGAGCCCACGGCTGGGAAGAAGTCCAGTTTCTCCTTTAGGGAGAGCTTCACTTTGGCGAGAGACATTGTTGAACATTGATGAGTGTGCCAGGCCATCAGTATATAGAGGAACTGTCGATCTTTCGCAAGGTTATCCTAATTGGGATATTGCCGAGGTTCGGTATGGTAAATATCTTCATTGCTCTGATTTTGTATATAGATGTATGGGATATATAGATGTATTCTGTCCATGTATATATTTCTATATAGATCTTATATTCAATCTGTGTAACTTTTATAACCATATTTTTATTCTTATATAAATATATACATAATATATATACATGAATACAAAGAACATGCATGGAATTCTCCCCGATCTCCCCGTGAAGATTAAGTTCCGTGCTGTTTACCCCAAGTAGTTACGATCTGCTGACAGCGTGAAGCCGAGGTGTCGACTTCTCATATAACTTCAATGCTCGTGCTGTCTACTCACTGGAATTCCCACTGGCATCCATCATGGACAAAATGAATGAAAAACAATTCGATGTTATCATCGTGGGTGCTGGTATCTCCGGCATCAACGCCGCCTATCGCGTCCAAACACAACTTCCCGGCTACACCTACACCATCCTTGAAGCTCGCACCGAACTAGGGGGTACTTGGGATCTTTTCAAGTATCCTGGGATTCGTTCTGACTCTGATCTTTTCACCTTTGGCTTCCAATTCAACCCTTGGTCCCGTGATAACCCCATCGCCGAGGGTTCTGCCATCAAGGAGTACGTGCGCGACACAACAACCAAATATGGCATCGACAAACACATCCTCTATAACCATCGCCTGTCATCAGCAGACTGGTCCTCCGATGAAAACACCTGGTCGCTCGCCGTCGAGCATAATGACTCTGAGCAAATCTACACCGCCCGCTACGTGATCTTCGGCACGGGCTACTACAACTACAAGGATCCCCTGAATCCCGACATTCCTGGCCTGGACGCCTTCCAGGGCCAGATTGTCCACCCACAGTTCTGGCCCGAGGACCTCCAGTACAAGGACAAGAAGATCGTGATCATCGGATCCGGCGCGACCGCCATCACTCTCCTCCCCAATCTCGCCGACCATGCCGCCCGTGTCACAATGCTTCAGCGCAGCCCAACCTACATTCTCTCCCTCCCAAACCGCTCAAGCAGCCGCTGGCTCTCCTACATCCTCCCCAATGCCCTGTATACCAGGTTGCAGCGCATGATCTACATCTACACTAATCGCATCTTCTTCCTCTTCTGCCAGCGCTTCCCGAATTTCTCCCGCTGGCTGCTCAAATTGAATGTGCGCAAGCAATTGCCCAGTCATATCCCCCACGACCCACATTTCAAGCCCCAATACAACCCCTGGGAGCAGCGATTGTGTGTTTGTCCCGACGGTGATCTGTTCCGCAGTCTCCGACAGGGCAAGGCGGATATCAAGACTGACACGATTCGGGAAGTGACAAAGAATAGCATCATCTTGAATTCGGGCGAGCAGCTCGACGCAGATATTATCATCACTGCCACTGGCTTGCGCTTGCAGATCGCAGGTGGTTCGGCGCTGTCTGTGGATGGGAAGAAAGTTGATGCGGGTGACAAGTATCTGTGGAATGGAGTCATGCTCCAGGATCTGCCCAATGCCGCTTTCGTGATTGGGTATACTAATGCCTCATGGACTCTCGGTGCGGATGCTACAGCGCAGTTTGTCTGTCGCTTGCTCAAGGAGCTGGAGTCGCGCAAGTTGATCGCTGCCGTTCCCCGTCTGAAGGAAAAGGATGCTGCCACGCTCCAGGACCGTCCTCTCTTGAACCTCAAGTCGACTTATATATCGGTCGCTGAGAGCGTCTTACCCAAGGCTGCAGACCGTGGTCCGTGGAAGCCGCGTGATCACTACTTGAAGGACATCAAGTTTGCTCAGAGTGGTGATATCGACACCGGACTGGAGTTTGTGCCAGGGCCGAGTCTGCGTCTGCGCCCCAAGATGTCGTGATGTACGTTTATGATATGATACCGCGCTAACTATGATTTGGGTTCTCTGATTCGGTGCATGGCGTCTGAGGAGGCTTAGTATTCAGTACACAATATATTCATTCCTGTTCTTTGTACAATCTCCCCTCGATCCTAGTTCAGCAGGACCATGCTGTCTGCGAAGTAAATAAGTGCAGGGCCCTCTCCTACGGTATTGCCCGATCGGCTTATGACGATGCATCTATCGGAGCCGCGCAGACACTCATATTCCCAAAATACCACCCATGTTCAGGATTCGGCCACCTCAAATCCCGAGCTGAACCAGCATTCCCCGCCCTGCTATTGATCCCTTCAACATACTGCACCCCATCAGCGGTGGTCTGCACCTCAGTCTCCTGAGTAATCCAGTATTCAGGCGAAGGCTGGCTCCAATCCAAGAACGGCAGATTGATCGGCACTTTCGGTACGGGGTCTGTAGTATGCGTGGCTCGGTAGATGCTGTTTGGCTGTTGCTGGTTTGTGATGAACTCAGCCAGTTTCATATTGCCTGGTTTGGGGGCTCCGAATGTCCACTGGTTTTTAGACGTTAGCTGGAATCTACATTCATTTCTTGATCTTCAACTTGACTTACAACGTCCAGACTGAACCCTTGCTTTCGAAGAACAGTCCCTGCCAGCGTTGCAATCCCCCCACCCAGACTGTGTCCGACAACGGTCAATCTATACCCCGGATATGCACTGGTTGCATCGTGAAGCTGGGCCGTCGCCTGGCTCGCTATTGCAGTCCAGTATACCCAGAACCCATGATGGGCTTTGCATCCGGTGCACACCTCACCAATCGGGGTGAGAGCGAGGTCAAGATCTGTCTTGCCGTCGCTTTCAGATACGGTTCCGCGGAACGTTATGAGTATCAGTTTCCGCGTGTGGTCTAGGGCGATGTAGCCGGTCGGCCCGTGGTCGCTATGGAATGTGTTGATTACCGTTGTGTTATCGGCTTCTACTAGTCCGCAAGTGCCGTAGTCGCAGGTTAGACGTTGGCCCGTGTGGTTGATGTTTTGGTCACAGGCCGATAGGGTGGCGAATTGGGAGAATAGGGTAAATCTTTCCAGTAGCTCAGTTGAGATTGCTGGTACATTTTCATCGTTAGATTGGACATGTGCTTTGTGCTTTTTGTATGTGAAACTTACCTCGGCGTGCTAATTGGGTAGGAGATGCAATGGCCATCATGCCAAGTGATAACATTGCTAGTATAGATGTTCTTGACCCAACCATATTGGATAAACTGGATATACAAATGGAGCATATATGCAGCTTGTATTGGACTGGTATATCCTGCAAGTGTGATTATTTGTCTATTTTTTTCCTGAGAGAGGAGCCCATATTTATAGACTTCCTTTTCCATCAACAATGCCAGCTCGCTCATGGAATGATAGTGGCTGTGGGGCTTAATAGTTCAATGCTATGCACTGTGATACATTTCTGTAGAGCTGACCGTAAAATCGCTAGCTGACTTGGCAGCGTTAATCCGTCTTGCACCCGGAGGATAACTCGATCTCAAGGTGGAACAGCCAATTAGGGTTATTGAAACAACCTCAATTCCCTGATACACCGAGGATGCCGTCGGGTAGCACCGGGAAAGCTTGCACTGCATTCTCATATATGCATCATTTATAGCTGTAGTAGATGCATTGTGATTAATGGCCCCCCTTACATTTTCGTGGTGTGTGACCTCCAATTCTTGGACATGGCGTAGCTGGACATTCTTGCACGTGTGACTGCAAAGTATGTACTAGGACGGCTAGATGCAAATCGTGTCGATCCTCTAGGACATGCAGCCTCGTTTTGGCTTCGTATGATTAAATCTGCATTTACTAGTAAATATCCTCCAATTGTATGCAATCGCTGGTTTTATTTGAATCTGCGTGCATATTATCACATCTCTATGCATGAATATGGAGTATCCTGTAACCTGGCCATCCTCCCCATGTAGATGCTTGATCTATTGGTAATGTAACATGACCGTCGATAATTGCTTTTCTGCACTTTTAAGCTGAGGAGAAGGTCCTCCAGCCCCTCATTGTTCCCATTATTGTGATATCAGAACGGACACGCGGAATTCTCAAGGTAACAACTTTCTAGGTATGTAGACATTACTTGACCTTTTGGTCTTGCTCTATACAACCACAAAATTTATCCATCTGCCTGCATTCTCGAACTGCAAAAGTCTTACCTCTGCAATTTGAAAAAATCACACGATGACTTGCCCTTCTCTTCATGCAGGCCTTCGTTCTATATCGCGATCAAGGCTAGTTCTTGTCCCAATATCCGACCATATGAAAATCAACAACCTATATGGACACGGTTTGACTTGGATGGTTATCCTGATTTATATCTTCAAAGCTATCCCCTTAACATGACCAGCGTGACTGAAACCATCTACCACTTCAACTTTGGCCCACTCCAATGAGAGCAGCGATGATGCGCACGGCTACCTCGCCGAGGGTTAAGCTGCCGCTCTCGTTCAGGGTATCACTGGCGGGTTGATCTTAGCCGATCCAGGGCGGACAGCGACTCATTGCCTGGGGGTCTTCCCCGGGGGAGTTTCGGGCGTGTAGTTTCGAAAGGATCAGGATTATATGAAAGAACGAGGTATATGAGATGTCTGCCATATGCGGGAGTTTCCTTGAGATTTGGTGTAAACCTCGCTATGAAGTGAGTATGGCTATAGCTACTTTCAGAAATAGAGTTAAAATCATACTTTCGAGGAAACGATAAGGTTAAACTTAAAAACTTGGGGAAATTAGAGGTTCCGGATGATGTAAATCAACACTTTATGTTATGCCGTTTTCTTATTACTTTCGAACACCTGGAAACTGGCGTTGGATATCCATAGTTGAAGGTTGACGTGAGGTGAAGCAGCAGTATTTGAGAGGAGAAGGGATAGGAGCAAGAAGAGAAGTAACCAAGTTCGCGAGGCGCAGGGACATAATCAATTATGACTGGTTCAATTGGCTATACTACTTTGGGCTGTACAGCCTACGAAAGAAAATAAATTGATGAAAATGAAATATCATTTCAATGGGTATCCATGGTCTTAAAGCCCAGCTTTTAGCTAATCATGCCAAGATATTAACCCTAAACCATCCATATGTACCATTACTTCATCCTGACATATCTCGTGCGATACTCTTTACTTCCGCTCCTCATCCACTTGCGCCCGGGGGTGAATTCACTGTCTGGCAACATGTTCATGGCATCCTCCTGTGCATCCAACTTGTAGTTGGTGGCCCAGAAGCCAATACCACCGATGAAGGCGAGGATAGCAACCACCGTGTAGTTCCAAACCAAGAGGGGATCATCCGCCAGACCAATGAAAGCCTGACCAATGGCAGATGAGAAGGCGGTCATCAAGAGGGACACAGCCTGCACGAGAGATCGCATGTTCTTGGGGGCCTTGGTGTAGGCATACTCCAAGGAAGTCACGGAGGCAAAGATCTCGGAAATACCACCCATGATATAGGTCAGGGCTTGGACCCAGACGGAGATATTGGTGTGCTCGTGCTTCACCTCGAGACAGAAGTTGGCCTCTTTCCCGCAGGGTCCCATCTCGTAGATGTAGTGTTGGGTGACGGCGGCAACGACCATACTGAGGGCGGCCATCATGAAACCGGCCGTGATACGCTTCAAGGGGGTGAAATGGAAACCCATCTTGCGAATACCAGGGTAGACAAACTGATCAAAGATGGGAATGAAGATGATCAGGGAAATGGGGTTGAGGTTGTTGATGACATCGTTGGGGACACCTCCAAGCTTCATGGTGGCAGCTTGAGATGTCAAGTTGTTCAACATCTGGTTGTAGGCGAGCCCTAAAAAATGATCAGCATATGCAAATTCAGGAGGAGTTTTGGTCACGTACAGTAAAGAGGGTACCACAAGAACACTCTGCAGGCCATCAGTCCACGTCGAACTTCATCAACCCAGGCATCATCAAAGTCCATCCACACGGGCTTGCTGGCTCCGAGGTAGCTGGGCTTCACGACGGCCCAAATATCGGTGTCAGAGGACTTGAACCTATACAAAAGGTTAGGCAGGTGTAACAATCGGGGACCGGGTATAGCTTACCACCGCACGGGGTTCAGGGACCAGTGGCCCTTCATCGCTAACATCCACAGCTTGAAACCCTTGGCGTAGATTGATCCACTGGGAGGAGCGAGAACGTACTGCTTCTTGCAAAGGAGCAATACTATAGGGCACAAACAGAACATGGCAGTGGGGAGAAGGTAAGAGAGCCAGAAACCAACATATCGCTCGGCGTAGACCATGGCGATCTGACCGATGAAAGAACCGGTGTTGACCATCATGTAGAAGTACATGTAGATACGGGAAACAGTGGCAGACGGGTCCACGATGACACGCTCACCGGACTCCAGGGTCATGACATAGGGCTTGTCATCACGATATTGTTCTGCGATCAGGGGGGAGATATTGGCCTTGAAACCACCGGTTCCAATACCCATGATAATGAGACCAAGCGAGAAGCATCCGATGGCACCGTTGGGGTTTTGAATAACTTGGGGAATGGCGGAAACGATAAGAATGATGTGTCCAACGAGTGCGCAGGCAATAGCGGACATGATGGTACGGTAACGACCCCAGTATTGATCGGCAACCATGGCACCGAAGAGGGGCATGATGTAGGACCAGAACGAGTTGACTTTGCGTAAGTTAACCAGATTAGCCAAATGAACTGAACCCTCGAGAGAACCACATCACTTACACAATGTCAATCCGGTGGAGGCCTGTTGGCCCATACCCAGAGCTCCGGGGGAGTCGTTGCTCCAGTCAGAGAGACCTGGCACCAGGGCACCGGTGGAGGATCCATCGGGCAAAGGTCGCTGAATGAAATTGACGACTATAATTCATATGGTTAGCCGACCTATATCCTCCCAAAGATGTGATAGTCCTTACAAACAGCAGTGGTACCGTAGTACGAGAAACGCTCGCACAGTTCCACAAAGGCAACACTGTATGCAGCGATGGGCAGCTTGCCGGCAACACGGCGCAGATTGGCTAGTTCATCGGCGGTAGGAGTGGCCTTCTCCATAGAATTATCGATTGACACATCTCGCAGGGGAGGGGCATTGTCGATGGTCATCTCATCAACTACAGGGGCCTTCTCATCCACACCGATATCGTGTGCAATTGCCCTTGATTTGGCAATCTCAGCCACATCGACCGGGTCGCTGGCATTCATGGTGGCAGTTCTTGGGGGGGATCCAAAAGATATGGGAGATGAAACACACAAGAAGAGAAAAAAAAAAAGAAAGTCGTGGGACAGCGAGATGAAGCAATTATATGGACATCGCGTGATTTAGCGTAACGATTTACCTGGACCTTCTTACTTCACTCCCACTTGAGAAATCCCGGGGCATTATCTGCATTAGGACGTGGCGGACGGCGCGTGGCAAAAACCGTCAATAGCCGGGAAACTAAAATAAAAGACCCTGCATCTAGTACTTTCCTAGATTAAGCCTGTGGACTTGGCTCCAATGGGTTGAACTTCGGCATCATCCGGTTTCACCAATTCCTGATAAGAGAAAAGAATGGAAAAAGATTGAGAGATATCCGGAATGCTAATCAATGCCAAGACTTTCATCATCCAATCAATCAGCTGTTGTGGGCTTAGACCCCCCCCAGCTTTGGTGGTATAGGGACCCACTTAGCGTCTACTTTAGCGTGCACTGGCGCACCTTGGCGTAACTTGACACGGCTAGGCCCGACTATCTCCCCGCGCCATGCCGCTTGGCTGGTAGGTTCCATTGTAACCCTGTCTGCTTGGCTACCTCCTTGACCCTATCACAGTCAAGAAAAGAAATAACCGAGGTGAGATAGCTGGTATCTCTCATATTACTATCTCCCACACATGGTCTTGGTCCAATGACAGATGCTTGAACCCCCCTTGACGGCAAATATGCGGGACCCTCCACTGATTAGGCTCAAGGTCAAAATTATCATCCCCCCTGGGGAAGTGAGACATATTGTGATTGGACTATGAGGCCCATGTGATGTTGCCATATTACCAATTACCCGAGTCCTTTACACAATCACTTCATTGGCACTGTCTTGGTCCGTCGGGGTCCCGGAATCGGCCTCGTATAAACTCATGACTGTTAAACTTGACTACCGACTTATTGGGAGTTATCGGGTTTCGCCCCCTTGGCCTCACGCGATTAGGCCTCGAGATCTTACTGTGTACTTTCAGACACTTTCGAGGGGTGTTCTGTCACCCTGCTGGTAGCAATCATTTCGAGTTTTGTCAATATCCCGTTTACCATCCCCTCCGTCTTTGCTGCGATCGGCCGGGTGATCGCCACTCACCACATCCACCGTGTGTGCATCGGTGGGTTACCACCTGGTGGAGTGATACTGTTGCACATCGTGCTTGATTCCTAAACTAACACGTTCATCGAGATCGCTAGCTCTTTGCCCACGGCGCCATCAAACTCATCCCTGTCGGTTGGGGCCAGATTCAAGACCTAGCCCCCATACTTTGCAGTTGACCGTATCCTTGCGCACCCCCTTGACTTTTTGATTGGACGATAAAATCTACAGGTCGAACGTCTGAACTGCAAGTACCGAGGAGTTGGCTTGGCTTGCCTTGTTTTGAGTGGCGATCCGATCGCGTGACTACATAGTGCACTGTCAAATTATATTGGCCTGTACGAAACAAGGTACTAACCCTGTCATTCAGGGTGTTTTGTATGCCTTGCTCACCCCGCTTTATCGCGTTCGAGTTTCCCCGTTGCCAAGGGTCGGAATTTATACATTCACATGCGGCGTAAAAGGTAATTCGATAGACAACTCTTGATGTACCTCAATCTACCTCAGTTTTTCCATTCTGATGATTTTCAATGTAATCCGTCTCAATGCCTCCTAGGCCTTTGTTTTCAACCAACAAGCTCTCAAAGCCAAAGGTTGAGTTAATCCACCCCGTCGATATGGGGCCACTTGTCATGCGAGAGCTCCTGACGTCCCCTCTACAATCCCAGCCCTCGACATGCTTTCGGCATCTTTGGTGCTGTCTCGAATCACCTGAGAGGTATTGCTAGTCGGCACATCATCCCACCTTCCTACTGAGATCTCTACCCCGATTGCACCTTTTGGTTCGCAACGACGGTCCCTTCCCGACCTTCCTTGCATATCGGTCCAGCTTCCTTCTAGCAAGGAGGGTAAAGTCGGATCAGGCTCTTGGTCAGATTGACCTAGCTTGACGAAGATTTCCAGTCCAATCACACCCGGATCGTACTGATCACTTCGGCATTAATAAATTCTTGGGAGAAATCTAGATCAACCTACCCCATCCCAGCCCAGATGTCATCCCGATCGCACCGACAGGTCCTGCCGAAAATCCTTTGGAAGAGAGGCGAATCTTATTCTCTTTGAGATTGAACTTGCAGATTTTCCTTGAATCCGGATCAATCTGATCAAGATTCCGACCCAGCCTAGTCTCATCCCAGATCGCCTCGACGATATTGAGACTTCTTAGGAGGCCAGGTCAACATAATCAAAGTTTCAGTCTCTCCCACCAACCGTGCCAACAGCCAGGGCGCAGAGAACTTGCTACCCTGATCCCATTCCGATCGTGTCGACCAGCACTTGCCCAGTTCACTTCTTAGAATAGAATCTGATTGTGTATCCGCGTTGGGTCCACTGGAGACTTCATGGACCGCCTGTTGGATACGGATGACGTAAATGAAAGGAGAGAAATGAGACATCCCCATGTGAGAAGGGAGGGGATTTGCAATGGCCCATTTTCATGGTGGGAATCGGATAAATTGCCCACATCCAGCAGGAGCTTGGAGTGTTTTGTATAATGATATATGCTAAAATAGTGTAAAATCAAGTTTTGGTCAAGTTGAATCATATCCCACTCTGACATTTACCATATATGTCATGATTGCAGTATAGTGTATATGAGACACCAGGGGGCAAACTCACGAGACGAGTTGAGCTGCATATAGTACTTCCGGAAATCGGTGTCACCACCTTTCATTGTTTCTCGAACCCTAGTGCCAAGAAAGGATAGACTACCTATTGATAGGCAATGAACATCCTCGGTTTCTAGGCATTGTACCGTAAAACAACGTTACCCGATTATTTTATTAGCCTTGCCTGGTTCACTGCTGAAACTGAAGACAAGGGTACTAGACCCAGCGGGGCATTTTTTGAGGCGCGTGGGGTGAAACGCGATATACAGCAACTAGTTTTGCTAACTGACTGGCGTATAGCTTAAGTACGACTGAGAGGACGGGTACCTCTGTTCTACACCCCTTATGGATTGCATGTGCTATATTTTGTTGGACAAAAAGCTATCTAACGTGATAGGAGCGGTGCGTGTTTCGTAGCTCTCTCTTCATATGGCCGTAATTGGATCCCCATGAATACCACTGAATTTACAGGTCGTCCAGCTGAAATATGGCCAAGGAGATAGCTCATGCCTTTAACAATTGCCTGTGACCATGTAGTGAATCCATCCGAAAAATCGTCCTCCTTGGTTCTGTGATTCTAGTTTCGCCTGTTGCATTTTGTGGTCCAAATTTACCATCTGGTTCGATGTGAATACCTTGTTGAGCAATTCTCGGGCTGGTGCTTGTCTCCTTTCAATAGTGACTTGAGTCTTATATCGCGCGGTTGTCCCCAGGTAAGTCTCCATTGTTGGGAAGCGCACCACATGATCTAAGTTCGCATTGTGTTGGACTAACAAGCCGGCGACCTCGAAATATGGATTTTGGTCTTCTGGCAAATGCTTGCATCGTTCGTAACAAAACAAGACAAATAACTCCCACGGTGTTTGGCCGCCATAGGTGTAGATGTGCTCATTTGGATCAGCTCCGCGGACAAGCAGCGCAGTCACAAGGTCTGCATCGATACCTGCGTATTCTCGCTCATGGTTGTAAGGAAGGTCGCTCGGCGTGACTCTGGTAGGCCGAAGGGCATAGTCTAGTAACGGGCGACCATTCTTCTTCAACCAGGATGGGTTGAGATCTAGGACATGCTCGACATATCGTCGTAAGCGGGCCTGCACCGCAAGCGCGATATAGGAGCACTGGCCTCGTTCAATCCATTGAACATATCTGGTGTTGGTGGGCGAATCCCGTCCATTGGTCCAGTGATTGTGTTCTGCTGCCGAATAGTTCGACATGACATCATCAATCTCGTCCAGAATAGGGAACTGGGAACCCGCTTGATCTAATAGCTCCAGCTCACAAGCATAGTACAGAATTTCATCGACCAAGCCAAACAATCCATTTGAAGCCTGTCGAAAGGTTTCAATTGGATAGGTTTTTAGCATGGCGAGGAGCATCCTGCAGAGTGTTTTCTTGCCATTAAAACTCTCTGGAACGAACCTTTGTAACATGGTGTGGTGATTATCCCGAAGGAAATCTCGTGCAGACCTATGAATGAAGTCCACAGTTGTTTTGAAAAATGCATCTTCAGAGTTATCCTTATGAATAATCAAAAGATCTCCACATCGGTTCTGAAGTCGTGGTCGCCAGTCCTCGCACACAACAGAAAGCTCATCGACGGTGATTCCTTCCAATTGAAGATCGAGGGCGTAGTCCTCATATCTTGAATCTCTCTCCAAAAACTTCATTGCATATAATGGGAATGGCCTAACCGAATCCACGGCGATGAGAAAGATACGAGCGGTATCTTGCCGGAAGAACGGATCAATCCGTTCCATTATGCGAGAAAAATACTTATTTAACTCTTGGGGCAGGCTATTGAGACGGGCCTCTAATGTGCTATACGTTTCTCTGGCAGTAATGTCCCTCATGAGATCTCGGACAACCAGAAAAACCCAGAGCCAAACCCCGTTCGCTCTCCGGGAAATCTCAGAAACAAGATTGTGGCAGCGAAGATCAGTTGCCGCCAGTGCTTTGAATATATCATTCTCAACGAGCATTGCCTCGACGTAGTTCTCCATGTCCTGTCCAGTGAAGTCCTGTAGAACAAACATCCGTCCCGAATTGCTAAGCTCTTTTTCAAAAGCTACCCAGGGCCGACTGGACGCGCAAATTTTGACACTTGCTGATCGAGCGAGTTCCTTTAAGACGCAAACGATCTCAAAGTCATTTCCATCGTACTCGTCAAGACCGTCAATAAAGAAGCAAAATCTAGCCGATGATGTAGTGTCAGCTAGGAGAGAAAATGCTTCCATCAATTCGGTGATATCCCACGGCTCTGATCCCTCGTGGCTATGACAAACCTTGGGAACCAGGCATGGCTCAGCTCTTAGGATCTGATAAAGTATGCTCTGCAAGAGACCAAGTTGGGACTTTTGCATATCCACACCTGCATTCCAAAAGTAAAAGCTGGCAATGAACAGCTTTTGTTCTCCAGCCCAGCAACTCAATGCGTCTCTGGTCTTATCATGATCGGATATAAACTTCATGAGTGTGGATTTCCCGCTGCCCGCCTGAAACCAGTATTAGGAACAGTCTTGCCTCAAGCATGGTCTGGTGTAAGGACCGATTATTCTTACCAGTCCGTTCACCCAATATATTCCCCCCTGCTCTTCCAGCCATCGCCCAAAAGTTGTTTTGGAATGATCGAAAACCCAATCTAGTGTTTTGAAATGTGCAGTATTGATCTGGTCATGTCGTCGTTTCATAGCCTTGAAGGTCAAGCTTTGAATGACCATTTTCCGGTGACTTTGCGCTCTCCCTTCGTCCAATAGGGATAAAAGGTTTGAACAAAGATCACTCAAGGTCATGTCATATCTGCCATCCGTCCCCCCACACGAGGATGAAGCGAGAACGAGGGAGGTTTGAAAGCCATTCAAGTTGCTGGAAACAGGAGACTTAGCGTCTTCTTTTTCGTGGCGGAGGCTGTCCAATATTAACGTGATGCTTGAGCGCTGGTCTTGCCGTGCTGCACGTGCGACCCTCTCTCGGAGCTGATTCTCCACTAAACTCAGTCGCGCCCGCAGGCTTAAGATCTCTCTCCGTCGCATATAATGTGTCATCGACACTCGGAAACTTTCTAATATACGATGCGTTGCGTCTGCTCGCAACGACAATGGTCTTAGCTGCATTAACAAGGTATCTGCCAGCGAGTCGCACTGCTCGGCAAGGGCTCGAATCGCAAGGTCATCCTTTGATAGAGGCTGCTCGGTTTGACTCGTGAGATCCTGGTTCAGATTTTTGATATCCTCCACAACCAACTGGAGCTCCGCCACTTCCTGGCTTACTCCTTGAGTGGATTCATGAATCTCTTTGGCGCCTTGGATCAGTCGGAACCCAATATCAAGAAACTGAGCGATCGAGGCTGCCAAACCAACGATAGATAGAGGGTCGGGCATTGGGTTCTTTGACTGACTGATTGCAAGTGTATATTGACCTTCGTGTCATCAACAGGTAAGGGGGTTTCCCCCGCAGAGGGCCGTGCAGGGAGGCTGATGTTCACGTGAATTACGCGCTGAAGATGGTTGCTCGAAGGCGATTTGACAGAGCAGACGGGTTGAAGGGAGTATAGGAATACCACGATACCACGCACATTACTGACTAGTAAAGCCCTATCAATCCCCTGTTCCTAGTAAAATGTGTGGTGTTACTAGTTGTCAATTTCCCCCTCATGTCGAGTCGATTACCTAATTTCGAAGGCCAATGTTAGCTTAGGTAGTAAACACGGTGTGTAATATCGCCCGCCCTGTTTGGCCCAGCTGGCAAGCTGTCATGAAATAGGCTTCTGGTTGATACTTATCTATTTATCTATAGTACACCATGCGACTAACTTCTGTTCTGGAACACCCTGTCGAGTTCAACTTTGAAGGCAATGAGTATCGACCACTGCTCGGGGAGAATCTTAGTAGCTCAGTTCCATGGTCTGAAGACCACCGCTGGTGGGTACGCCTGCCGGCACAGAATTTGCTTACGCTACAAACGATTGTCCGAAACTTAGTCCATACGCTCTGGAAGGACTACACCTGGACACTCCTTATACTCTTGCCGCTTGCGCTGCTAGCAAGTTCACAAAATTGGGGAGTTAAATGGGTGTTTGCGCTCAACCTTTTTGCGCTGTTAGCTCTCGAGACAAGATTTATTTCCACTGCGGAGTGGCTTTGGCTATTTTCTGGCTCCACGGTGACAAATATTCTCACTGAAGTTCTACCAAATATCTTTCCCTTTTTAGTAAGTACTGTTGAATGACGGCCTGAGAGGACACAGGCTAATCAATCACCAGATAGGAATAACTGGTATTCTTTATCACGAGAATAGACTTATTGAATCATTCATTGTCGGTAGCTTGATAGCCGACCTGCTCGTGGTGAGTGACCAGCCTAGGATGTTCGGTAGCATTGACTGATATTTGATTTGTTTAGGGTGCAGGACTTAGCTTTCTCATTGGGGGCCTTTCGCATGGCGAACAAAGAATAGATGCCAGGGGTGTAAAGAATGTGTCTGCACTCACTCTGTTCACTGCATTCCCCTTTATCGTGCACATCTCTGTTAGCATGACAAATCAAGAACCGTACCATAGCATCCTCAGCATACTGGCTGCTGTGGAGGCCGGCGTGCTGTTGCTCTTCTATGTAATGTGGCTTTGTTTTAGGTACAAAACCCATGTCCTCCTCTTTCAGGGGCGGAGGGACCTCGACACTAGTCCAGCCATCGGTAGCGGGCTCAGGTCTTCCAGTCCCGGTTCCGATATATCAGAGGAGGGAATGTTTCAACTTCCCTCTCGTTCATGGCATCTCTTGTGGCTGGCTTATTGTCATGTTTGCGGTTGCGGTACAATGCTCCGTAAACCTGATTCAACATGTCCCAGAATTAGTGCAACTCACTTCCTTGTCGCGGCCTTTTATTGGGGCTGTGCTTCTGCCAGTCATAACCAGTCTATCCAACTGTGCCAAAACATGCCTGATCGCAAAGACCAACAGGGTGGAACTGGTTCTGCATTTGACCGTTGAGACGGCCCTTGCAATGGTCCTTCTCATTCTTCCTGGTCTGACCTTTGCAAGCATGATACTTGGTCATGGCCCACTACTCAACCTCAACGTCTTTCAAAATGTATCATTGTTTATCAGTGTTTTGTCGACTGCATTTTTGATCAAAGATGGAGTTTTTCACTATATGAAAGGCTGCATGGCCCTGGCACTGTATGTTACGGTACCTATGTTTAAGATGGCCGAAGATCTTGGACTAATGTCATTTTAGATACCTCATCATCATATTGGGGTTGTATGTGTATCCCAGTGACATCGTGGGGGTGACAATGCATCAGGTAAGACAATTCTGTTGCTGATTTTGTAACACTGAAACGTGGTGTTAATCACAGTCCGTGCAGTCTGGTTCCGAGTAAGCGCCCAGATTGCCACTGGGACGACGCATCATAGGAGGAAGATGATCGGTGGTCAAGCCCGCATAATCAGCCCTGTCTATTTTTGAATGGGTTGCAATACAATTCTATGGAAGATTCTGGCAACCATTGATTACGCATACAATTACGGGACAAGAGGCTCAGAGACTACGCATAAGTCGTAACACCCTTAGCCACACACTTAAATATTACATATGTCTGTCGGAATATCCGTCCATGATTAGCCAGGAAGCCATTATACCATGCCTATCATGTATGAAATTTACCTTTTGACTAGATACTTTCCCATAAAATTCTATATTAGATTTTCAACAGGTGCTTCACCTACTTTAAGCGCCTTATACCATGACTTGGTGAGCGGTTTGATAGTTTTGCCGGGTAATTCTCGTCAGGATACCTATGACTTTATGATGGCGGATCTTACTGCGTGCCATATTTGAGTGGGAGTGCGACTTTTCACGGATTAACTTTGCATGAATTACGTGTCATGAAATATAACTTAGCTAGCACAACCTTTTGGGATTTGGTCTGCAGGGCTGTAGTCATAGGAAATAGGTAGCTACCAATGATATTTGCAAATTTCAGACGTGAATCCATCTCCAAGCAGAACTTGTCAAGATCACCAATTCCCAGTTCATTTCCAGCTAGCCGTCACGGTGGCTGTACTTCCAGTACATCCAGTTGGCACTGTATATGACCGATTAGGATCGCTTTCCCATGTCAAAGCTCCGTTTGTCTTCTTGATGAATTTATACTGGAAGGTTGTTCCGACGGGGAGTGTAATAGTCGCCTGCCACAAGGGATTGGAAGAAGTGTAGCTGTCTGCAGACAGTGCGACGGCTTTACTCGTGTCCCAGGTGCCCAGTTGACTGATTGAGCCTGAAATGTAGATATCCTGGCCAAGAGAAGTAGTCACAAGCTCCTTGAATAAGACCGGGAGGGCAGTGGCTTGGGTGCAACCCCCCGCTGTAGTGGTTATCGTAGCGGTCTGAGTCGCTGTGGTGGGTGTGGTGGCCGTGGTAATGGGGACAGTTGAGCCACATAGCCCGCTGTTGCTCAAGGAGGATGCGAGAATAAACACCCGTGGTAATCCAGATGCCATTGGCACTGCAATTTTGCTGCTGGAATCCACTGTTACAGATGTGCAGGTGTACAGCTCCATTAGCTTGGTGCCGGATGAATACCCGCTCCCACCCAAATACAATGTGTAGGAAGATCCAGATGACCCGGCATTGGAAAGGACCGTGATGACGGGTGAACTGCCCGATCCCTTCTTCATGGCTATTGTATGACTGTCTTGATAGAAGGCGACATTCTTATGACTGGTTAGTTTTTTTTACACCAGCATGGGTTTGAAAATACGTACCTTGCTCGTGATATAACTAGAATCTGCTGCGACGGCCGCTTTACGAATCTTGTTTGTAGTCGCAATATGTTGGTATAACTCTGCTGTGGTAGAGTATTTTGACAGCCAGATAGCCTCGCGATTGGCTGGGTCATTTCCTCCAGCATAGTGTTGTTCCTGGCCGGAATACACGATGGGAATACCATCAGATAAAAAGAGGAACGAGAGCACATTCTTGGCCTGTGAGTAGTCGCTTGTGTAGCTATGATGAAGGCAGTTAGTGTCGGATAGCCCTAAGAACTTTAGATTGCCTCACCTTGGGAAACGTGGGTTGTCGTGATTTTCAATGAAGTTGCCCAGTAGGGTAGAATCTGCGCAAGCGGATGACATAGTGCCGATCATATTATACAAATCGCTAATGCTGCCGCTGGTAGTTTGGAACGCACGCAGCAATGGGTAATACCTGGACGGTTAGTTTTTCTCTGGGAAACCGGATGGCAGTCATCTCACATTGGATAATTCAAAACACCATCCATGTAGTTCTGATAATCGCAGGTGTACGCTGGATCCCCATCAAAGATCTCTCCGACACTGTAGACGCCTGCTGCGCTGTTAAAGTCAGGCCAGAAAGACTTCTGGACATGCTTTACGGTATCGATACGCAATCCATCAACTGACAAAGTTAGATTGGCCTTTAGCATAACTCATTTGACTTACTAGAGTACTTGGACACTAAACCAGAAATCCAATTGTTCCAGAGGGTCTTCACTGAGCTCTGGGTTGTATCAAGATCTGGCAACGAGACAATGGTGTCGCCAAGCCAACAATTCTCGACATTGGACTGGTCATTGTAGTTACTGATCGAGCAGTAGGAGTGGAAGTAAGATGCAGAGTTGAATGGGGTGAAAACACTGTAATCCACATTATTTCCAGCCCCAGCGTAGCCCTATTGTGTTGTTAGAAAGGCCCCCATACTATATCATTCAAGATAACACACCATATGGTTTGCCACGACATCAACCATGAGATACATGCCCCGAGCATGTAGTGCCTTGGAGAGTGCCAAGAGATCATCGGACGTGCCATGATTTGGATTAACATTGTATCTAGTGAAGCCTTTGAGCAGTATTCTAGGATCAATGGTTGAAGAACCTTACATATCTTGCTGCCAGTACCCATGGTAGGACGAGCCATCGCCAGTGTTTTGCGAGAGCTGTTTTGTCACCGGAGTAATCCAAATAGCAGTAAAGCCCATTCCCTGGATATAATCCAACTGAAAGTCAAGTTAGTATAGGAAATGCGAAGGGAGAGATTTGATGCAAACCTGGTTGATAATTCCCTGCCAAGTGCCACCACAGTAAATCTAACACGCATGATTAGTCTATAGATTGAGACTCGAGGACAAAACAGCATGCATACTCTGTCGTTAGTGTTACAGTTAGCAGTGACCGAATTATCGCTGCGTCCGAAGCGATCCGTCAGCAGGAAATAGATCGATTGACTGCGCCATTCGGCAGGACTCAGACCCATCACCGCCTGCCATAGCAGCATGGTTGCTGTGAATATAAGTTTCTTCATGTTTGCACCACGAGTAAGATGTGATGTGATGTTGAGGTTTGGGCTCTCAGAGAGACCAACAGGGGCAGCAGTCAGACCCAATTTATATCTTTGACTTGTGTGCTAGGCATTATAGTCAGGCCATCCATGCCAAATACGAGACGGACTTTTGCTGACAGCAATATACACTCATGAATAAGCCTTGCGTAGTCCCAGTCCAATCGGTTAAATGCAAAAGACACAAAAGTTCCAAATTGCTTCAAGTCCGCTCCTCCGGGCCGAGATGTAGAGTGATTGTGCTGAGGGGAAAGTGAGATTACTTCGGAAAGTTAGGTAGTTTCGAAGTTGCAAGATACTAGCGGTACTTAGGCTTCTGCACCAGGCTTGAAGAAGTCCATATCTCCGGATCTTAGCCCACCTGCGGGATTCTTTAAGACTCCACATCTTCGGGACATCATCAAAGTCAAGAAATGTCGCATCAAATTCACGTGGATGGCATTCCTCACCAAAGCGCTAGCTCCTAGGTAGGTATAGCGTGCTGGCGGCGGCGCTAATCCAACCGGCTGGTTGGTGGCCACCACCCCGGATTATCCGCTGAAGATGACAGGGGGCGGAGATTCAGCGGGATCAAATATCGAAGATAATGACGCGGCATCTGTTTGACGGTAATTAACGCTTGATTTGAAAATGGTCGATCTAAGCGATTGGAATGGAGATCAACGATCGGACAGTAAGATATTGCATGTGCCTCGGGAGATATTCGATCCGCCTACCGAAGAGAGTAATGATAAACCTGACACTTGCAGACCCAGAAATGAAGCTCTTGACTAATGCTGGAAGTGAATTAGGGAATGTCGATCTTTGCCTAATGGCAGCTCTCTGGAGCTCTGAGTTCATTGCTGTAGTGTGCGATTATACACCATGCAATGCGCATGGAAGCCCATCAGTGGAATTGCGACCGAATGGAATTTACCCGCATGTCCTATAAAAACGAAATCTGGCCCCCACGATTCTAAACCAACTCACCTTCAGATCTCATGATGGCTCCTCGTTTTTGGACTGCGCTTTGGGCGCTTACTCTTGGCCATGCAGCCATCGCCGCCCCGCAAGCACCGTTGACCTCTCGTGCGACGGGTGATTTGGGTACCTGGTTGGCGTCTGAGGTCACAGTGGCAAGACAGGGTATCCTGGATAACATTGGATCCGCTGGTGCCCATGCTGCAAATGCAAAGCCGGGCATTGTAGTAGCCAGCCCGAGCACCTCTGATCCCGACTGTAAGTCATTCCACGGCGATTCATTGACGCGAGAACTAACTGGTTCTGTAGACTATTACACCTGGACTCGGGACTCGGCCCTGGTGTTCAAAACTTTGGTCGATATGTTCAAAAACGGCGACAGCGCGTTGTTGAATGTCATTGAAGAATATATCAATGCGCAGGCCTATATCCAGACAGTATCGAATCCATCTGGGAATCTTTTCAGCGGTGGACTGGCAGAGCCCAAGTTTAACGCCGATGAGACAGCTTTCACTGGCTCTTGGGGTCGCCCTCAGCGTGACGGACCGGCCTTGCGAGCCACTGCATTGATTTCATTTGGTCAATGGCTTATTGTATGCATTTGGATTCCCTTTACTATTGCATTGCTAACCAATTCAGGGTAACGGGTACACCAACTATGCGACCAACATTGTCTGGCCCGTTGTGCGCAACGATCTGTCCTATGTTTCGCAATACTGGAATCAGACCGGATTTGGTTAGTATACCTCAAACTACCTCAAATTATAGTTATGCAAATTCCTGATATCCTTCAGATCTCTGGGAAGAAGTTTCTGGCTCATCGTTCTTTACCATCGCGGCTCAGCACCGCGCCTTGGTAGAGGGAAGCACGTTTGCGAAACAAGTCGGTTCCTCATGTTCGTATTGTGACTCTCAGGCTCCGCAGGTCCTGTGCTTCCTACAGTCTTTCTGGACTGGATCTTACACTTTGGCCAACTTTGGTGGTGGACGCTCGGGCAAAGACGCCAACACCCTGCTCGGTAGCATTCAAACTTTCGACCCGGAGGCAGGATGTGATGACACCACATTCCAGCCCTGCTCGGCTCGAGCCCTCGCAAACCACAAAGCTGTGACTGATTCGTTCCGATCGATCTACTCTGTCAACTCAGGTATCGCGGCCGGTAAGGCTGTTGCTGTTGGTCGATACCCAGAGGACTCATACTACAATGGTAACCCATGGTATCTCTGCACTTTGGCTGCCGCCGAGCAGCTGTATGATGCTATATACACGTGGAACCGTATCGGCTCTTTGACAATTACCTCTGTGTCTTTGAACTTCTTCAAGGATCTGTACAGCTCTGCTGCGACCGGTACCTACTCTTCGTCCAGTGATACATACTCCGCGATCGTGAGTGCGGTCAAAGCATATGCGGATGGATATGTTGGTGTTGTGGTATGTTGTATACTACTGTCGGTGGTTGACTACTACGATTAACAAATATCCCAGGAAAAATACGCACCGTCCAGTGGCTCCTTGGCCGAGCAATTCTCCAGGTCCGATGGCTCCCCACTTTCAGCTCGTGACCTGACTTGGTCCTACGCAGCCTTGCTTACCGCCAATGAGCGTCGAAATGCCATAGTTCCCGCACCATGGGGCGAGACCTCTGCCAGCAGTGTCCCTGCCCAATGTCAGCATACTTCAGCTATTGGTACTTTCAGCAGTGCAACAAATACCGCTTGGCCTAGCACTTTGACTAGTGTGTCAGGTGGTGTAACTACTACTGGATCAGGTGGAACTGCCACTACGACCACGACGACTACGACCACAGCATGCACCGCTCCGACTTCCGTTGCAGTGACATTCAACGTGATTGCCACTACCGCATATGGCCAGAATATCAAACTTGTTGGATCTATTTCCCAGCTTGGCTCCTGGTCCCCAAGTAGTGCTATCGCGCTGAGCGCTTCCTCGTACACTTCGAGCAACCATTTGTGGTTTGTGACTGTGCCACTTACACCGGGTACTAGCTTCACCTACAAGTATATCCAGGTGGCAAGTGATGGTACTGTTACGTGGGAGAGCGACCCAAACCTCTCGTACACTGTTCCCGCCCAGTGCGGCACCAATGCTGCCACGATTAGTGATAACTGGAGGTGATGACATCCAGGGAAAAGAAGTTGGAATTAGAAGTATCTATCTCGATATTTCAGCTAATCTTTTATTCTGGCGAGATCTTGGATACCTCGGATAGATTGTGTTTTGTTCGCTCTGTTTCCAGAGAATAGCAAGATGACAACGAAGACTGATTTAACATTAGCTTCACGACTATAACTATCAATTAAATGAACCCTACTGTTGAGACATGGATGCCTAGGATGAGACATAAATTGTTATCTTCGATTTCCTGGCCGATTCGTAATGTTTGCCGTTGGGAGGGATGGTTAACTTCATCTTTTTGATTATCGGCTTTTTCTATATTTTTGGAACAGCAAATCCCCTAGTTCTTGGATATGCCTTACCAAAGATCTGGCATATATACGAAATCTATACATCCATTATCAGAACACGAAATCCGAGCATATCCAACATCCACTGTACATTGCAATGGATAGTGTCCGACAACCACACCGGCAGCCTGGGAGTAATCAACCCAACGAGATCATAGCGAGGCGTTCTTTACGAGTTTCACTGAATGACCAGCCCGATTCACATCCCTTATATATACTGCCTATGCAGTTGCCGAGAAGTGAAATCCAATTATCATACTGACCTTCTGCTGTCACAATCGCCGCTGAAACCGAAGTGAATAGCACGTGCTGGTCGATCAGGTGGTGATGCATTCTAAGATCTGTGGGAGAATATAAATTGGGTTGAAACCCGATCGCGGGGTTTATAAAGGGGCACGATAGTGGTTAAAAGCAAGTCAGTTTGTACGTACGATTTGTTTCATAGTACGGAGTAGAGCGATACTACCGAACACATCTAGCTTATTATGAACTAGTGTAAACAGTTGGGGCCAATGACAAGCAATCGGTATCAATGACCCCTGCTTAGCCCTCGGCTGCCCCTGAACTTGGTTGGCCGAGAAAGCCGGCTGTGTACCAAATGGCCGTTACTAGTCGCATTTAATGAGCAGGTTATGTATTTGGTGGCTGTAGCTGAGTCAGACGATGCGAAGCTTCTGCACATATTAATGATAAATTGAGCTACTGGGACTGTCGATGATGGCGCACTTGCCAGTTATATCACAAGAAATGTCATTTTCAGGTTCCTGTTATCTTTAATCCAATATAGTAATGCAGTTCCGATAGACGGAGTCTATATTTGATGGCGCGCAATAAACAACCCACTGAATGACGCCAAAAGCGAACAACCAAGGGAAAGAACTATACGATGTTAGTGGGAGATACCAAATATAGCAGAATCTATCAACTCACGATATGTATGCTTAAGTCCAGAGATATAACAACCCACCACAATCTCCCGCAGGTGGCCACTTAGGTGCGCGATATAACTCGTATCAGCCATCGCACGTTGAATAACCTTACACAATTAGCACCACGACGAAATATCACCATGACAGTACTTACCTTCTCAGAGCCAGGTCCATGAAGATTCAGCTTGAGCTGCCGCTGGAACTCCATCCCCAGAACGGAATTGGACGTAGTCACACCAGCCGTCATGGAGAATCCCACAATCAGCATATATCCCGCTGTCGCCATGGCAGTTTCTTCACCCGGTAGCATGGAGGACATGGCAATAAACGATGACGCCCCTGCAATTCCCGTGCCAAGTCCGCCGGGCAGGATAAATAGCGATTCCCAGAAGCCGCTGTGTCCGTCCCAACGGAGGTAGAGGAGGAGGTAGGAAATGCCGGCAACCAGGCCGGCGACAACGAGAAGGGGTTTGAACTGCCCTGTGCGTTGGATGAATATTCCTGCTAGCAATCCACCGAGGGTATTTCCTATCACTGCTGGAATGAGATGCATGCCCGCCGCCGTCGTTGATGCGCGCTGTGTTACTTGGAAATACAGTGGGACGGAAAACATCATGCCCAGCTGTGCGGTGATCTGAAGCGCACCGATTATGTATGCCGTTGAGACGTTTGTGCGCCGGAGAATGCGCAGGTTGAAGATTGGGTCGCGGGCGACGTAGGCTTCGACGAGCACGAAAGCGATTAGGAGTGATACTCCGCTGCTTGCTAGGAGGGCTGTCCACCACGAGCTCCACGGGAAGGACTTCCCGCCTTGGTCGAGGAGTGTGATCATCGCGACAATAGACGAGCCCAGCAGTGCTGTTCCGAGGAAATCGACCTTGGCGAGTTTGTTTCCTTTGGTGGAGTGTGTCTTCTCTCCGACGTTCAGTTTCACAATCACGAGAGCTGCAGCCAGAGCGAGAAACGGGGCTTGCAGGAGGAACAGCCTGTAATGTGGTTAGAAGATAGATGCAGCTGTCAGATTCGGGGAAACTCACCATCTCCATCCGATAGTATCGCTCAGCCAACCACCCAGCGGACCTCCGAGACTACGCCCAAGTGTCATGGCGATATTCACATATGCCCTCCAAGTAGCGACCTCGCGCTTAGGCACGATGTCTGTAATTATAATGGAGCTGATGGTCATGATTCCCGCACCACCCATTCCGCTGGTCGCGCGACCAAAAATAACCACCCACATCTGAGATCCGATGCCACTATACACGGTCAGAATTGTATCTCGGCTGTTGGGTGCAGTTTTTGCCTACCTCGTTATACAACCCACTGCGAATAACAAATATGAGAGCAGCAACATTGGCTTGCGACCGTAGATATCACTCAATTTTCCATACTGGACGACAGTTAGACCTTGGGATATACGCGGTGCGGGTTGTACTCACCATCGGTTGTGCAGCACAGACACCTAATGTATATCCTGTTGAGAGCCAACTCGCATCGCGTAGACGATTAAATTCGGAGGAGATGCGGCCTGCTGCCGCCATCACTAGTGTCGCATCGGCATTGGAAATGAATTCGCCTATATTGGATTAGATCTCCAATCTTGCTTTCTTGTTTTCCTGTAAATTCTCCTACCGAGTAGAAGCACCGCGATAATTGTCCCCACCCCCGTCAAGGCCTTGAGCTTAGTGTCTGTGTCAGACTGCGGGATTAATGGACTCTCTTCATCTACATGGCCATTCGCATCGATGCCGGTTCCGATAATACCCGGAGGTACCGACCCAACCGCGTCACTTTCTATGTGAGCCATGCTGTGAAATGAAAAAAAAAGTCAAAGAAAAGAAAAAGGTATTGAGAAGGTGGATTGGCGGCAAGTCTGGACTCTATTGCCGATAAATATTCCAGGCCATTGAAGCCGAGTTGTCATCGGAGTTATAAAGCACGCAATATATCCACTTTATACTTCATGCATTTTCCACATTATGTACATAATAAAAATCGAACTGATATACATGAGAATACATCTGTAAGCTAGGAGTATTGGTTATTTCACCTCCCTTCCATTTATTACTTGAGAGGTGCGATCATTATCTTGAAAAGGTCAGGGTACATTTTCTACGGATATTGCAGTTCCAATTTCCATACAATTGTCACGTATTCATATATAGGCCTATCGGTCAATGGCACACCGCAATAATCATGGCCAGAGCAACCGTAGAGAATCCCTGCATACTAGTCGCGCTATCCAACAGTCATGGGCCGTATTGAGTCATGCGCAATAAGCTGTCCTTGAGCAAGCGAGGAGGACGCTTGCCTTTAAAACAGTACAAGTAGATGTCATCAAAACGGGCAACAGTGAAATAGCTTAACACCGTCTTGATATATCAGAAGGCGATGGCTATAGAAAATACTGCTAGCATTTCTAACGTATAAGTAAATGAACGGGACTTCTACCAGTGGGGGATGGCATTGCGCCATGGATCGTCTTCACGGACTCTTGAATCGACACAGCTAGCTCATGGAGTACGCGTAATGACATTTTTCTTTCCAGGATGTTCATGGATCCGTCACTCGCCGCAAAGTACCCGTCCACCTTTAGCATTGCAGCAATTTTTGTTTGACTCTTGGCCGACAAGATCTGAAGTTGCTCATTGGCCGCGGCTCTATTATTCCGAGGTCGCTTCTCTGAATCCATTATCCTTCACAGCAACTGGTACTCATGTCCTGACTAGAACGCACAAGGTTGGATCGCTTTCGTTATCGCTCCGAGAGGGGACTGTGTTGGGGTCATGGGCTGGCATAGTCGTGTTGGAATGTATGGACTAGGAGAGTGGGTGAGGTGAGCTTGGAGTGATGGGGGGCGATGGGGAGTTTAGAGTGAGTAATATGCACATTCTGATGTTGAATGTATCAAAAGTGCAAGTGCGTAGTACAAAGTGCAGGGACAACAGTTATATCAGATACCCTCGGAAATTGACATTTATATCATCCAGATACAAATTCCGAGCACGGCACTAATAAAACCGACGGTAATCGGTACATGAACACGAATAGCGCCGCTCGCAAGGTACGGGTCGTAGCAAACGAACTTGTATCCATCGCTCGGCAAACGACCCATGCCCTTGAGCTTACGGAAGGTTGTGCAGTTGAAAGTAGTAGAATTCGCGGATGGAGAAATTCTGAAATCGCTCAAAACCGAAGGAGGGAAATCCTTGTCCAGGCCCATTTGTTGGGTGACAAAGGGGTCGCTATTCTCTTAGGTAAGCCTTTGTGACTAGTTACTGCGAGGGAGAGATACATACAAGAAGGTATTTCCTACAGTGGCGTCGGAAATATCAACCAACGAGACATTCTTTGGCCAGTACCAAGTCTGAATGCGTTTGCCTTGGTCGTCGGCACCGTATATCGAGGTCAAATTCAGATCGGGGCCACCGGTGATGACGAGTCCAAAGCCACCGGTCCAATTCACGGCCTTGGGAGGAAGAGTGATAGATTTCAGGGGATTTTCCTCTCGCTGCAAGACTTGAAGTTCGCGCAGATTATCGAATGGAATATCTAGATGAGTGATATGAATGGGAGCTGAAAGCTTCATAAGATCTACCTCGAGTGTCTTCAGCGTTACGCTACGCTTAAGATCCGTAATACTGTCGAGGTCGAGTTGTTTGATGGTCATTTCCTTTGTCGAAGGCCCTCCTAGCGTGAGAGACGAGTTGTCCGATACTTGGATGTAGTCGACAGACTTGAATCCAATAGCGATGTTGCCAACGTTTGGGAATGGACCATTGATGTAAAGCTCTTCCAGATTGAGCTCATTGTCAGACAAACTGTCCAGCGAGTCGATCTGCATCGGCTCAATACTTAGGGATGTTACATTACGTAACTTTGTGTGGTGGAGCGTGTGCAGATTGGGGGGGGCCAAGCGTAATGCTATCCGCGGAATGCAGACTCGTAAGATCTAGGTCGACGAGATCATAAGCATGTATCCCTATGGAAACGTAGTTATTCACGGATGTGAGACTAGGAAGTGTGAGGTTCACTATGCGAGTGTCGTAGTTTCCAAATTCCACTGCGTCGGCTTTCTTTAAAGAGGAACTGGAGAGAGTATACGAGGGCTGAGTGAGATAGTCACGCTGGGTATAAGGATATTCCCCGAGGGTGCCTTCAATCACTTCAACACCGTCGAGATTAATGTGAACTGTGACGTTGCCGGAAAATGGACCGATACCGACGTGGCCTGTGACCACTCGACAGTTCTGACGAAGGGTATCTGCATCAGCCACGGAGGTGATCCAGGTTGAGCTGCAATTGGCAGCGAAGGTATCTAGCAATGTAAGTCTAGACACGGGGTACTAGGTGAGGAGTTCGTAGCAACATTTTACTCACTGGAGCAGCATAGCACGACTAGCACTGCGATCACCGCGCGGTAAAAACCGAGCATATTGGACATATTGGACCTTGAAATTGCAGATCGGAATTAAAAGTTGCGCGTATCGCCATATATAGAAATGTTGAAGCCCCTGAAAAAAGAACACAGCGCCACTCCGGGATTGCCTTGGCTCATAGACCCAGCCAAGCCAATACTAGTGCATACTAGTAGAGACTCATGTGACATCGGGGCGCTGTCGGGGAGATCTGATTGGGGTAGGATTATGGAGTGGCTGTTCCTCTGGAGTCCCCGAATGTCGCGTGGCAACAATGGCTTGTGCGTCTCTGCTTCCACCGTCTTCTGCAACGCCAAGAGGCTTGCTCCATACTGAATAAACACACCCCATCTTACCAAACCAAATGGACCATAACGACCAACCAAATTGACTAGATCCACAGCCCTATGCACAGCAGCTAATTATTAGGAAGCACATTAATATCAATGCCTCGAATCATTTCTACTAACCCTTTCCGTTGGTCGTTGCCCTGACATCATATAGATAGAACAGATCTCTGTTTCCTCATGGAAAAAAACCACCTATCGCTACCATTGGTATCGACCTCGGTTATCCTGTGCAGAAAAACCCCCCAAGAGCGTTAAAGGACAATCTAATACTGCACGTTGATCGCAAATACAAATTACATGTTCACTCGATCGAAACTTCCTCATCAAAAGCAGACATTGAAAGCTACGTAGATATGTACATGCCAATCACTTTGCCCCGAACGTCGCATTAATAGGGCCATCATTCCTACCAACCTGAAAGCCGGAGTTGTGACTCCCGAAAGTAATGCTTGTATAGTGATCTCCTTCCTTCAGAGAATTAACAATTCTTGCCTCCTGTTCCACCTGCTGGGGAGCAATTCGATACAAAAGGTCTTTGGTATATGCAGCGGCAACCATGGCCGCATACCCCTGCCAGGCTTTGTTCTTATGCGAGTCAGCATAGTCGCAGATGCCTCGGATCACTAAGCAAGGAAAGTGGTTCATCAATCCAGCTGCTTCCATCTCAAAGCACAAAACGTCTTTTTGCGCAGCTAATTTATCTCGAATCAAAGCATCTTTCATGAGTTGATTGGCTGAGGCAATGAGGCCGTAATGAATTGCCGGATCATCATCATCTTTGGTGCGGGGAGATCGCGGAACTAGGCAGGATGGATCCTCACCGCAACTCAAAGTGCAAGTTAAATCACCGTCCACGGGATGAACAACCTGACTTCGGTATAACCGATCACTAGCTAGATCTGGGCGCTGGTATTTCCTTTGTAGTCGCGGTTTCTTCTCGAGGATCTCACGGACCATGTGATCGAGTTGGTTTCCTTCGCTCTCATACTGGGCTTCGAGTCCATTTACTGCGGCGCGTAGGACAGTGGGTGGCTGGTCTAAAAACCCCGTGGGCTGGAAGGCTTGACCCTGGATCGTCTTGCCAAAGTCGTACTGAAGGACACCGCCCTGGCCATTGCGGGGAATGCTAATCACGACATCTCCAAGACGGATATCATGCTTTTGGCTTGGCGCGCCGCCGCCGATGCCGACCATGAGGCCGATACGGATATTCGGAAAGCTGTGCATCATGTCTTCTGCCACCCGAGCTGCCGAGCTTGTGCCGTATTCTCCCATGGGTAAAACGGAAATAACCACGTTGTGGTTCCAAACCCTTCCCAGCGTGTAGTCGGTTTTGTTATGAGGTGGCAGGTACGCGGGGCGGTCATGCTTTTCGTCGAGGAATGCTTGGGCGGCAACATATTCAGTGGTTATAGCGCAAATCCAACCGACGGTGTAGTCTTCCGGGTTAGACATCACGAAGGCATAGGTGGAAGTGGAGAAATCACCAACGTAGTTTTAGGAAGCGAAAGGGAGGAAGGGAAGAGGTTAATCGCTATTCAGCCTCACCTACTGCCTTATTTAACACGTGAAATTTTTGCATACATATCAAGGCATAATACCGGCCTAGTCTAGGTTAGGATTGGGCAGGGCGGTACCCGATGGTGACTGGTTGAAGGACAGGCGCGTCGGTGTTTTGTGGGTTTGGAAATGTACGCGACACCGTTCATTTGACCAGGTCTATGTTGTCACTTAGAAGACCTCGCTCTCATAGGTTCGATAGGTGAGGGGAAGAAAGCCCCAGACTGACTTGGTGCCCCACTAAACGCCTGGCGTCTAAGAAGTCACCTGAGAGTGAGGCTAAACGGGGACCCGTCACCTTTCTTTTACCAGAAAATTGAACATCGTCTGCATCGTATATCCATAATGACCTCTATAGTGTTTGGCGACCAGAATCAGGGGTTACAGGTGGGTGCCAGCCACGGGCCCATATACTATACGTCTGGTGAGTGTCGAATCAAAAAATGGGTTAAGACCATCAACTAATACTTTCTCCTAGAGCAACCGGAGCCCCGCCCTGAGCCACTGTCGACCGTGCCATTCCCGCATGATCCAGATTTTGTCAGCCGCGAGGAACTCGATCAAATCCACGAAAAATGCTCGATCCCGGGGTCTAGAATAGTTCTCGTTGGCCTAGGGGGTGTTGGGTGAGGTCAAGCGAGCCCTTAGCGGTGTGTTCAAGACTGACTTTACAGAAAATCTCGACTCGCTATCGAATACTGCCATAGAGTCCGGCAGCAATCGCCTGACACTTGGGTTTTCTGGGTTCACGCGAGTAATGCCGCGCGCTGCGAGGAAAGTCTCCGTAACCTTGCCGACCGTACTAAGATTCCCGGGCGCCAGGATCGCAACTCTAATATTTTCCAACTCTTCGGGAACTGGTTACAAGATGGGGAGATCGGAAATTGGATTCTTGTCCTTGATAATGTCGATGATGATGAGCTCCTTCGCAAACCATTATCTACTCAGATGGAGGCCCAAGCAAACACGAGGCATGCTCCCACGCAGCCACCGCTAAGATACCTTTTGGGATGCTCAAATGGTTCCACCATCATAACAAGCCGGAATAGAGGGGTAGCGTTAGAGCTCGCCGGCCATAAGAAACATCTGATCGATGTACAACCTATGAACACAGCTGAGGCGCTAGTTCTATTGCGGAAGAAGCTAGATGATTGTACAGAGAGAGAGGAATTGGTTCGGCTAGTCAAGGAACTTGAGTTCATGCCTCTTGCGATTGTGCAAGCGGCTAGCTACATCAACCACCGTTCACCGCGTTGCTCGGCATCGCAATACCTAGAAAAGCTTCGGCGAAGTGAGCGACAAGCCGCAAATCTTCTTAACCAAGAGGGTTATAACGCGGACCGAGACTGGGAAGCAAAGAACTCGATTCTACTAACATGGCAAATATCGTTCGACCATATCCGACGGATCAGGCAATCTGCGGCTGACTTACTATCTCTCATGAGCTTTTTCGACTGGCAGGGAATCCCAGAGGATCTTCTCCGGGTACAAGACATAGACAGAAACTGTGGAACTTTAGGTTCTCCGCAAGATATTAGAGATATGTCAAGCGATGAGGATACGGATTACTCGTCTGAACCCGACGTAGATGACGATTTTGAGAGCGATATTGCGATTCTCAGAGACTATTCCTTTATTACTTCAGGTGGAGATATCATGATGTTCACGATGCATCGGCTTGTGCAGCTAACAGTACGCACATGGTTAAGAACCTATGGCCAGGAGGAGGAGTGGAAGGAATGTTTCATTAAGAACCTATATGGTGAATTCCCGACCGGTCAATATGAAAATTGGGGGAGATGCCGGTCACTGTTTCCGCATGTTAGGTCAGCTATGTTACATCAACCGAAATCGCAAGACTCACTCCGGAACTGGGCCGCGCTACTCTATAAAGGGGCGTGGTATGCGACAGAATGTGGCAGTATTTCGGTTGCAGAGGATATGGCGGCAATGTCAAGGAAGCAAAGAATGAAGATTTGCGGCGCCGAAGATGAAGACACCCTTCATAGCACTGCGATGTTAGGAGTAGCCTATCGACTACAGGGGCGGTGGGAAGAGGCGGAGCAGCTCGAGCTACAGGTCATGGAGACGAGTAAGACGAAACTCGGCGAGGACCATCCCGACACGCTGACCAGCATGGCCAACCTGGCGTCGACGTTATGGAACCAGGGTCGATGGGAAGAGGCGGAGCAGCTCTTTATACAGGTCATGGAGACGAGTAAGACGAAACTCGGCGCGGCCCATCCCGACATGCTGACCAGCATGGCCAACCTAGCGTCGACGTTATGGAACCAGGGTCGATGGGAAGAGGCGGAGCAGCTCGAGCTACAGGTCATGGAGACGAGTAGGACGAAACTCGGCGCGGACCATCCCGACACGCTGACCAGCATGGCCAACCTAGCGTCGACGTATAGGAACCAGGGCCGATGGGAAGAGGCGGAGGAGCTCGAGCTAGAGGTCATGGAGACGAGTAGGACGAAACTCGGCGCGGACCATCCCGACACGCTGACCAGCATGGCCAACCTAGCGTCGACGTATAGGAACCAGGGCCGATGGGAAGAGGCGGAGGAGCTCGAGCTAGAGGTCATGGAGACGAGTAGGACGAAACTCGGCGCGGACCATCCCGACACGCTGACCAGCATGGCCAACCTAGCGTCGACGTTATGGAACCAGGGTCGATGGGACGAGGCCGAGCAGCTCTTTATACAGGTCATAGAGACTCGTAAGATGAAACTTGGCGCGGACCATCCCTCCACGCTGATAAGCATGGCCAACCTAGCGTCGACGTTATGGAACCAGGGTCGATGGGACGAGGCCGAGCAGGTCTTTATACAGGTCATAGAGACTCGTAAGATGAAACTTGGCGCGGACCATCCCTCCACGCTGATAAGCATGGCCAACCTAGCGTCGACGTATAGGAACCAGGGTCGATGGGAAGAGGCGGAGGAGCTCGAGCTACAGGTCATGGAGACGAGTAAGACGAAACTCGGCGCGGATCATCCTAACACGCTGACCAGCATGGCCAACCTGGCGTCGACGTATAGGAACCAGGGCCGATGGGAAGAGGCGGAGCAACTCTTTATACAGGTCATAGAGACTCGTAAGACGAAACTCGGCGCGGACCATCCCTCCACGCTGACAAGCATGGCCAACCTAGCGTCGACATATAGGAACCAGGGCCGATGGGAAGAGGCGGAGGAGCTCGAGCTACAGGTCATGGAAACGAGTAAGACGAAACTCGGCGCGGACCATCCCGACACACTGACCAGCATGGCCAACCTGGCGTCGACGTTATGGAACCAGGGTCGATGGGAAGAGGCGGAGCAGGTCTTTATACAGGTCATGGAGACGAGTCGGATGAAACTCGGCGCGGACCATCCCTCCACGCTGACAAGCATGACCAACCTAGCTTTCACGTGGGAATCTACAGGCCAGCATGCCAAAGCAGTTGATTTGCTTCAAACCTGCGTAGTCAAGCAACAACGAGTTTTAGGCCCATCCCATCCTCATACTGTGTCGAATGACAATACGCTGCTGGAATGGAAAACTGCGCATCTTACTATGAAGGCGTGAACTGTTCATCCTCCCTCTGCTTTTCTCTCATCGAGTTCCTCTCACTATATTGTATTTCAGTGTCTGATTTTGTTTACGATTCACTACGATTCTCCCTAACTAGCAACCATGCATTTGACAATCCATTTGACAATCCATTGTTTCTTACAAGTGCAAAGTACACTGGTCGTAATGGTGGTTTGAAACAACAGTACTGCGTGATTTTGACGTAACAGCCCCTACGTCGATACTATCCGTGTTAGGGCTAGCACGTTTTAGGCTAGGGTTCCAGAAACGACCTTCGTGCGCAAAGCATGGAGGCCAATTTCGAATATAGCTGTATACTAGGAAGTGTGGATACCATAGGTTTCACTTCCAGTGTAAAGACCAGTAGGCAACTGGTACTTCGATCTACGTACTCCCCGAACATCGTATTTATTGCTTGTAAGAGGGAGGAAATCCAGGCCCGTGATAGTAACCCAAAATGACGATTTAGATAGCCACTTGCTCTAGATGTATAGGAGGTGTTATTTTATTCAAATGAACTGTCGGTCAGGACCTATCCTAGTAACTAGAGTGACACCTTCATAGTATTGGAGGCGAAAAGAAGGGGTGCTCAAGGCACAAAGAAAAAGCAGAAAGGGCATCGGCGTCTTCATCTCGTCGCCGCGTCCATATCTTAGTTTCCCTTGGCTGCATCGATGATATCCTTGAAACATTCCTGGCTCCGTCGGATTTGCCGGTGTAGGTGACGATAGGGGGGCACAGAGATCACCGACTGTCTGTTGAAGCAGCCGACCCCCCGTGCGTGGGGTTCGAATTGAATACGCATGATCATGGAGGGCCTTGAGTTGGGATCGTTCGTACCGGCTGCACTCTAGGGCCTGTAAGGCCTGGCCTAGGGCTTTCAGGTGTCGTAGCATGGCGAGTCGGCGGGGGATCTGCTTAGACGCACGGGCATCGATACGAGACTTGCAGGATATTGAGCAAGAATCGGGAGCGGCTCTTGTAGTGGCTTGGTCATAGCCAGGGCTTCATGGAGTCACCGGAGCTTGAGACAAAACAGCCTTAAATTGATGTCTGTATCTGCAGCTATTATCCCGGCCTAATGGTAGTTCGCATATGCTGTCAGTCCAGGCAAGTCCCGTATAGTGATGCAGTGAGAGAATGCACCTTGGCCCGATGTGAAGGGCGAAGAAGATTTCGATAGAAAGGCAAGGCCTAATGAAATGGCAATACGGTGGTGATAGAAAGCAGGAGAGCAGAGCGATGAGAAAAAACTCAAGGAAAGATGAGAAAGAGATGGGAGATGAAATAAAATACTGATGTAACACCATGCATGTTCTTTCTTTAAACCTACGTCTTCCCTATAGTATATAAACTTATATGTAAATGGATCATATTAGTGCACCGCCTGGATCAATCTGAGTCACTGGTAGTTTGAAGGCTCTTAATCCTTTCTCCCGTTTTCTGCTGCCTCCTTGTCTCCAATCTGCGATTCCAGCACCAAAATAGCAGTTTACACGATATACCCTCTTTGCTAGCTAGGATCACCACACATCCCCCCTAAACTGGCCGAGCCCTTCTGGCGTTGTATGCATTTTCAGGATGTCGCCAACCGTCTGAGCGTATAGTTCTGATGTGTTTGATGTGTTTGATATTTTTTCATATGTCCAATAATCCTTTATTAGTAACCGGGAATAATTGGCGGAAAACTTATGATACAGCCCATTTATATATAACTATATATAAGAACTGCTTGATCTCTAATATATATTGATCCAATAGTCTAGTTCTCAAATGACATGGCCATGAAAAAAGATACCGATGTGAATTGCCGATTCGTATTGGCTTCAAGTGCTCATTGTGCGGGTAAAGCACGCAATCCTTTATACTTCACTCTTATTGTATTATAGGTATCAAAAAAGCGAAGTGATACACTCTCCGTTAATATATCCTGTATAATATGTAATATACACTACGTACACGATATATACACGATATACCTCAATGGAAGTGTATAACTATATCTCCCGCCATTGCGACCGTTTATGGCATCATCGCATCCACATTTGCCAAGGCCATTTATATCCATCCACGGACTGTCCAACAGCTTCATCTACTAAATATGAAATTAATCACTGCTCTCGGTCTCATCACCAATGGGGTTATCGCCATTGATTTACAATTTAACCTCCAATCCCTCCAATCCGTACTCAAGCACGAGACACAATCGGCCAAACCAAATATCCTCTTCGTCATCACTGATGACCAAGACCTTCAACTCGACTCTATATCCTACACGCCCCTGATCTCAAAACACATCCGCGACCAGGGTACCTTTTTCCGCAACCATTTCGTCACCACAGCCCTATGCTGTCCGTCGCGCGTGAGTTTATGGACCGGTCGCCAGGCACATAATACAAATGTAACGGACGTCAGTCCACCCTACGGCGGATATCCCAAATTCGTCGAACGAGGCTTCAATGATGATTTCCTCCCGCTTTGGCTACAAGATGCGGGCTATGATACGTATTACACCGGCAAAATGTTTAACGCCCATACCGTGGACAATTACCACAGCCCCCACATCAATGGATTTAACGGATCGGATTTCCTTCTCGATCCGTATACTTATTCTTACCTCAATTCGACTTACCAGCGAGACCATGAACCACCGGTCAGCCATGAGGGTGAACACACCATCGATGTGATCACGGGGAAAGCACTGGGTTTCCTCGACGATGCTTTGGCTGGAGAGAGACCGTTCTTCCTGGCTGTATCGCCCGTCGCGCCACACTCGAATATCGATCTGGGCGATGTGGCGGCGGGCAAGATTTACATGTCTGCTCCCATCCCCCTGGAACGACACGAACATTTGTTCCAGGACGTCACGGTACCTCGCACCGCGAACTTCAATCCGGACCAGGTAAGCGCGGCCTTGATTACGAGTAACGTGTTTGTGACCCATTCTGACTAATCTGATCTTGCACAGCCAAGTGGGGTGAGTTGGATTCACGACCTGCCCTTGCAGAACCAGTCGGTAATCGACTATAACGATCACTTTTATCGGTCGCGTCTGCGCGCTTTGCAGGGTGTTGATGAATTAGTAGATGGGCTTGTCACCCGGCTGGAGGAGAGCGGCCAGCTGGATAATACTTATATCATCTATACCTCGGATAATGGGTTCCATATTGGCCAGCACAGACTCCCGCCCGGGAAGACTTGCGGGTTTGAGGAGGATATTCGTGTTCCCTTGTTCATTCGTGGACCGGGTGTAGCCAAGGGAGATGTGCAGGATGCCGTGACTACTCATGTAGACTTGGCGCCGACCTTTTTCCATCTTGCGGGGATTCCAGCCAGGGACGATTTTGATGGTACTGCGATTCCTGTGACGCCTGCGTTTGATGGTGAGCGGCATGAACATGTTACAGTGGAATACTGGGGTTCTGCTGTTATGGAAGGTGTTTATAGTGGTATTGGTAAGTCCAGATATTTTCAAGGTTAGGATGATGCTAATTCCAAGGCAGGCCCCGAAGGCTCAACCTTGATCCCGAACAACACCTACAAATCCGTCCGCTTACTGGGAGAGGGCTACAATCTGTACTACTCGGTCTGGTGCAACAACGAACATGAGCTGTACGATTTGTCGGTGAGTAAATAGTATCTTGGTTCTATATCACAGCAACTAATCTTTCTCTAGACCGACCCGTACCAGCTTAATAATCTGTACCCGACAAGCTCCCAAGCTAATCCCAATGAACCTCGAATTCTCGGTCGCAGCTTGACACAAGCTATCAATCGACTCGACGCTATTTTGATGGTCCTCAAATCTTGCCAGGGTGTGACTTGCATCCGGCCTTGGGATGTCCTGCAACCGGTAGACCCAGTTAGCACTCTTCAAGATGCCTTGGACGAGCAGTATGATGGCTTCTATGGTGCACAGCCTCAGGTCTTGTTTGACTGGTGTGATGCGGGATATATCGTTGCCGCTGAAGGTCCTCAGGTGCCTTTGACTAGTCGACACGGCGTGTCTTGGGATGTGTGGGTGTAATGAGATCCATTTAGTTTTAGATAAGAAATCAAAATTGGATATGTAGTCAATCTATTCACTACATATGCTAGGTGGAAAGTCTTCGTGCAAGGCAATGTATATAGGGAGGTAAGTATGAGCAACCGTATCAACATAAGACATTCGGATAAACAGTCAAAGTTCCCGATCCGATAGAAAGAATACTCTTCATTTAGGCCAATACTGTCGTAAGATCGACAGTGATTGCGCCATATCTCCTTGTGTCGCGACATCAAAAAGTTCACACTGGCACGCATTCTAGATCTCTTCTAGTACACTTTTAGTAAATAGACCTACGCAATCATTCATTACCATGTATTTTCCTTTTTCTATAAGAGTGATCGATCGGCCGCATTTGTTTCTATAAATCACCAGTCTAGGTATTTTCTCCACATACTTGCCTTTTTGTTTCTTGTGATTTTTTCAAGCTCTATATTGCAAGATGTCAGAACAAGGCATCTTTGACGAGAAATACAAAATAAATGAGCAGGTCATCGACTCACCTCCAAGTGAGCTGGACCATAGTATTGTTAAAGACTGGGATACTGAAGAGTCGGCCGTTCGGCGGAAGTAAGTACATACATTTTCGATCACACATCATCTATAAATATATCACTAACAAGCTTATCCCAGAGTCGACTTTATTCTCCTTCCAATTCTTGCAGTCGCCTTCTTCGCCTTGCAAATGGATCGTGGAAACATCAGCGCTGTCTTGACATCGAGTATCACTAAAGACCTCAATATCACCACAAATCAAATCAATATCGGATCGCAACTGCTCTCTGCTGGCATTGTTCTCTCTGAAATCCCGTCGAATATTATTATGCAGCGAATTGGGCCCCGTATCTGGTTATCGGGTCAGTTATTCGCGTGGGGGTTGGTTGCGACCTTCCAGGCTTTTGTCAAATCGTATCCTGCGTACCTGGTGACGAGAATTTTGCTGGGACTCTGCGAGGGTGGTTTTATTCCTGGTAGGTCCATCTAAATTTTCTGCTTAGAGCATCCGGCTGACTCCACGAAGGCGCTTTATATTATCTCTCCACATGGTATAAGAAAGATGAGACAAGTCTGCGCACCAGCCTGTTCTTCTATGGACAGATGTTTGCATCGGCTACATCGAGCTTGATATCCGCCGGTCTGCTTCAGCTGCATGACACCCATGGTATGGAGGGATGGAGATGGATCTTCCTGGGTAAGTGCAAATCCAACATAGATACATTCGACCAGCCCGAGCTCTGCTAATTGACAATCTAGTCGAGGGCCTGATAACCCTTTTCATCGCAATCGTATTCACGCTTCTCGTACCTGCATCGGTCGGAGACGGCCGTCCATTGCTTGCCTTTGGCCGCTGGAGTTACTTCACCGAACGCGAGTCGCACATCATTCGCAACCGCGTTCTGCTAGATGACCCCCTGAAAGCCACAGGTCATATCCGGATTTCAGGCTCTGATATCTGTCAGACCATCAAGCAGCCTCGCATCCTGCAACACGTTTTCGTGACTTTGGTGTCCATGTCTGGTTTCTCGGGTTTGACCCAATACACACCTAGCATGATCAAAGGGCTGGGTTTCGGTGCCGTCAAGGCGAACGCCCTGGCATCGGTTCCAGTCTACTGTAGCATGATCTGGCTGGTAGTTCTGTCTTTTGCTGCGTGAGTGCTTATAATCATTACAATGAAACGAATTCTAACTCTTGACAGCGACAAAACGAGACATCGCGGACCCTTTGTGCTCTTGGCTATCACTTGGAATGTTATTTCCTACGCTTGTCTTCGTACAAGTAACCCTCACACTTCGCAATGGCACCGGTATGGAGTTATTGCCGCTGCTAATATCTCCTATTGCAGCATGCAGTGAGTTCCCTGCTCCAGATGTGTATAACTCGATCTAATCCTATGACAGCATTCTGAACGTTGGCTGGCTGTCATTCTACTGTCGCACACCACAGGAACGAAGCGTTGCTATGGCATTAGTGGTCATGGCTGCTAACTGTGCTGGCATTGCTGGCTCGCAGATCTTCCGCACTTCCGATGCCCCGAAGTACTTGCATGGTCTCACCGCAATCAGCTGTCTTGCTGGTGCCTCATGGGTTCTCACTGCTGTCCTTTGTATTCAATATTACTCCCGGCGGCAAAGGGCGGTTCCTTCGGTCCAAGAGGCGAAAGCTTAACAATAGCGACAGACGGATATTGATGAATAATCACGATTCTCCACTACGGATTATCCAAAAGGCGACCCAATCGATCATAATTTCTTAACTCCGGGAAGTAAGCACCTTGAATCACGAGGTGGATTTCTATGATCTGAGCTCCATTGTTGCTTGCTGGTTTAGAAATCTCCTCGGATATAACATTAAGACCGTGATGACAACCCACTCGATGACAATCCACCCGATGAAGAATCCACCCGATGAAGAATCCAATCGATGAAGAATCTACTCGACGGGTCAAGTGGGCCTTTTTTTTCCTTCACGATGACCATGGCACCACGAACCGAGATTTCCAAGAATAACTCCGAGACGGACATCGATCTCTCCGCGTGGATAATTTAAAAGGAGGACCCTGCCGGAATATCTTGTAGATCATAACCATTGAATCGCAATTTTATACACGTTTTATACACTATAATCATGTCCACCGATTACAAGTTCGAAGGATGGGTAGCTCTCGGGCCGGACGCGGCCGAAGGAAAGATGGTCTGGCAGGAATTCGAGCCTAAGCCATGGGAGGAAACCGATGTTGATATCAAGGTCACTCACTGTGGTATCTGTGGCTCGGATATTCACACTTTGCGCAGTGGATGGGTATGGCACTTCTTGAACATGATCAGAATTGAATCGTTGCTAATACCAGTCTCCGTTTCCATAGGGCCCCACCGACTACCCTTGCTGCGTTGGCCACGAAATTGTCGGAACAGCTGTCCGGGTCGGATCCCAGGTTGAGGGAGATATCAAGGTCGGCGACCGTGTCGGTGTTGGTGCGCAGAGCGGCTCGTGCCAGAACAAGGATGGCGACTGTGACGCCTGTGCGTCTGGCATCGAACAGCACTGCACTAAGATGGTCGGCACGTACAACGGTACTTATGCCAACGGTGGCAAGTCGTATGGTGGCTACTCCACGTACAACCGCTCTCCTTCACACTTCGTTATCAAGATCCCCGACGCCATCTCCTCTGCCGATGCGGCGCCTATGCTCTGCGGTGGTATCACTACCTACTCGCCTCTTAAACGGAATGGCTGTGGGCCCGGAAAGACCGTTGGTATTGTTGGTGTTGGCGGTCTTGGCCACTTTGCTATTTTGTTCGCCAAAGCACTCGGTGCTGACCGCGTCGTGGCTATCTCCCGCAAGTCCGATAAGAAGGCTGATGCGCTTAAGCTCGGTGCGGATGACTTCATCGCCACCGGTGAGGAAGAGGACTGGGCTACCAACCACGCTAGCTCTCTCGACTTGATCATCTCCACTGCCTCTTCTTCCAAGATGCCAATTGTCCAGTACTGTGGACTTTTGCGTGTTCACGGTACTTTCATCCAGCTCGGTGCCCCCGAAGATGGCAGCCTCGAGATCCCAGCTTTCGTGCTTATCCTCAAGGGCATCAAGCTTGGTGGCTCATTGATCGGTAGCCCCGGTGAGATTCGGGAGATGTTGGAGTTGGCTGCTGCCAAGGGTGTCAAGCCTTGGATTCAGGAGCGCCCAATGACGGATGCCAATCAGGCAATCGTGGATATGGACAATGGTGATGCTCGTTACCGCTATGTTCTCACGAACGAGCAGTAAATTGACGATCAATTATGAGTGGTCTATATGTGAGAGAAGTTTATTTTCAAGCGGCGTTTGCAATGTATACAAGTTAGATTTAAGAGCCAAGTTAGAATACCAACACATTTATTATATGCACATTCTGGCCATTGATAATATGTAAAGCAGTCTAAAGGTTCTAGGAATGCTCATGCTAGAAATTTATCAATGTGTTTAGTTGTAAGGTCGTCGATTTACAGTGGGGCGGTCATCGCTTACCAACTTGTTTGAATTATCCAGGGCCCCTTCTTGACGCAATCGCATTTCTTTCACTCTCACAGTTTCCTGGATGAACTCTCAGAGTAATTTCTCCTAGATCCTTCTCAATAGCCTCTATGAAGCCCCAGTCAGCCTCTCATTCAGCAAGGGCGTTAGTTCATTGTGTATGGATACTGGCTACAGATTGGCTAGGAACTCCTGTTCAACGAACTACATGTTGCTCCTTCACTGACTATATCCATAGGCAACCAGTTAAGTAATGTTCTACTGAAATATTGCTCAATACGTTGCGATTTCCCGCATTTGATGAATTCCGCCAAGAGTTTCACAGCATCGTTCATGGCTTCAAGGATGTGATAAAACATTTGATCATTTCGAGCTGACTATCTATGACGCAACGAGATACATACCGATCACTCCTAGTCTCAGTTCTACGCAGTTTCAACATCCTTCTATCACTTGTATACAGCCCGATGTGTTGGTTGAGCAGCAGAAACACAGCAGGTTCACCCAAGTGCGAGGTATGAGCAGGGTTCAGTTCGAATAATATGTTGCGACCTTGCCCATTGCGATGGTTTCTGAAAGTTTCACAACCTCATAGCTTTCAGGATCAGATCAAAAAGGCATAATTCGAACGGATGATCTGCGGGCGCAACGAGATATACGCTGTGGTTTGGGCAAGGTAGTTCGAACCCTTGATCTTTCCCAAAATACAAAGGACATAGACCAATTTATGTTCAAAATGGCATGAGATGAACAGTGATTCAGAAAAGGAATGGCTTCGTTTTCGATTCTCCCAAGGCAGTCTCTCATTGATCCATCCCCTTTCCGTCTCGCTTTCATTCATCTCGCTTGCATTCTTTGTGACCACCCCCCCTCAAAGGCTGCAAATCCCAGCTCTTCTATTGCCTCAGAATCCCTACTCTACAAATCTTCAAGAGGCAGTGTCGGGACTGTGGTCAATTTCCCGATGCCAAAATTTAAACAAACACATTCTCTACAGGTATATTCTCTTCTTCCACCCAAGATACGTATACGACCTAACAAGTCGTCATTTGCTAGCTTGCAGCACGAGGGAACTCGCCCAAAATATCTACTCTTGTCGAAGATATTGACCATCAGCAGCACTCAACCGCAATTATTTTGTCTCTTCTCCCAAAATGAGCGCCGTGCATTGCCTCATCGATGACGAGGGTCACTACATCAAGGCTCATACAATCCTCGCAACTGGTGATGCAGCAGTGGTTGTCCAGCGAGGCGACGTGGCAATCAAAATGGCGATTGTGTATAAGAATTACACGCTGGAGATGGTGGAAGGAAATCGCCACAGGATTCGACGGGAGCAAGAGGTCTGGCGGCGCATTCAGCCCAACTTCGATACCCCAGTGGAAGGTATCGTCCGTTGTCTCGATCTTCCTGGGGACACCATCGAGCTGAGGTACATGCCCGGAGGTACACTTTCAAAGTGGCTGAAGCACCGAGCGCGGCCCAGCATAGAGCTTCAGAAGCGTTGGTTCCGCCAGCTTACCATCGGTCTCCACAATCTTCATCAACGTCGTATCATCCACAGTGATATCCTCAGCCGCAACATTCTGCTAGATGGTTCCTTGAACGTCGTGATTGCTGATCTCGGTGCCTCGACTATTATGCCCATCGACACTGTTATGGCGGATGCAGTGGATGATTACAATTGCTCCATCTGGACGGATCTTTGTCAACTAGGCCTCGTGTTCTATGAGATCGCCACTGGGATACAAACCGGTATCAGCCTATATAATAGCAGTGACAGTAGCAATTCGGTCGCTGCCTTTCCATCTGGGGATATGCTCCCTTCCCTAGGCAAACGAATCTGGGCCCGAGATATTATCGAGACCTGCTGGAGGGAGGGCGGATACGGGGCTGCAGGTGCGGCGGGGATTCTGGCGAAGCTGGATAAAATGCAAGGCCTGCGCCGACGATGAAATATATCTTTAATTCCGTTTTACGTGAGAGTATGGGAGTATGTACCTCGAGGGCTTCTTGGAATAAGAAGAGTATTGACCTGACAGATTCACTTTTGTATGATTTGACTCTCTTTTATAACGCGTTATAATAACTATCCGCCCGCAAAGTAGATATCCTGTATAAATAGCTTGCTGGTAATACCCCTCGTCGAATTTTGGTGTGTTTTATACTTGAAGTACATGTATAGGAATGTAGACAGAAATGAATTATCGGAGCCAACAAAAAGGCCTGTGAAGGTAGTAGTCTGAACTCAAGACCCCAGAGACTGCCAGTATGGACCTTCTACTATGGTTTGACTGAACGCGAATATCGTCCATGTGAGTGTGAATTGCGTATACTTCTCAGAAATGGGCTTGGGTTGGCCTCCTGGTCGCCTCATATGTGTTTATAATATTTAACTTGCTCAATGAATCAGGAGTCCGTTGGAGAGAACTACCAGATTTATCCGGAATACCCACTGACCGAGAATCCAGGAGACAAAAGTGCTCTCTACTCTCCATAGTTCTTGATTTCTCTTTTCAACTTTGCTTGAAGTGTTAGAATGTCAAAAATCGGTTCACCAGGATGTTGGTTGCTGACTTAGTTGGGGCTGACTGCTATCCTTGCACGCTCCCCTTCTCTCTTCTCTCTCCATCATTCCAAAGCCCACCACTCCCCTCAGATGAGGTCTCGAATTATCTAGTCCTTTTTTCCTTTTTGAGAAGATGCCCTTATCCAAACCCCGTCATATCAAAAAACCCCGGTTATCCCTCAGTTGCATCGTCTGTCGACGACGCAAGGTTCGCTGCGGTCGCGAACAGCCAGAATGTGCCAACTGCGTGCGCATGAAAGAGAATTGTGTCTACAGGGCCATGATCCGAGATGAGTCTACCGGCCGAGTACGACCAGTATCATCCCAGGACAGAGACGCCAGAGACTCCGATGCTCGCCCAGATCTCCCTTCGGCCCATTGGGGCCCAACCGCCAATGCGCCATGTTCGGAGAAACCGTCTAGACCTCCTTCTCGTGCTCAATTATCCAATGCCAATCCTTTCCTAGATCGACAAGAGCTATATCCAACAGTTCCTTCGAGGGAAGAGGCCATGCAGCTCCCTCAGATTAGAAGTAACTCCACAACTAACCGGGATCTCTCCCCTGTGCCATCAACCTCTTTTCCGACCCTTAGCGACCACTTCTGCCGTAATTATTTGAGTATACGACGAGGTGGCCACGTGCGATATGTTGGTCGGACTTTCTGGGGTCTCGTTGCCGGAAAGGTGAGTCTGACTCGGGAAACCAAAACAAACCCAAGAAGATGCAACCTGCGACGGGATGTATCGCCTAGCAAAACCCCGACTGACCTCGGTTAATCTTCATGCAGGAGAGCCTGAGCGATGATTTCTTTGACGAAAACCGACATGCTCACCCCGATCTCCCCCTTCCACATATTTCCTCCATGGGCATGTTTAATCTCCTGCGGTCGCTGCCCACCAAGCCCGTGTGTGATGCCCTGCTCGAGATCTTCTTTCTCGCCGTGTGGCCGCTTGTTCCTCTCCTGCACCCGCCTTTCCTGCAGGCAGATTACGACGAGTTCTGGGATTGGTGCCGGAACAGTGAGAGTTCTTTACCGTCGGACAAACTCCGCGATGACCCTACCTTTATATGCCTCCTCTTTGCAGTCCTATATTGTGGCGCATCCGCCGCACCGGTGGCCAGCTGGATGTACACCACCCTCCAGGGTTTACAGAAAGAGACGACAGTGAGCCACCTCAGGTCGGCATATACGACAAGCCTTTCTTTATGTCAGCATCTGGAGCATCCAACATTCAATACACTAGTTTCAACTTTGCTGACGGGGCCATTCCTGGGCCGGCCCTTCGAGTCCATGCGTGATATGGTTCATATGAGCACCACGGTGCGCATTGCTCAGACTATGGGTTTACATCGAGAAGGAACATGGTCTGCGATGAGTTGCGTTGATAAAGAAATCCGCCGTCGCATCTGGTGGCATATCGTTTGGCTTGACGTGCAGTCGAGCATCTCCACGGGGCTGACCCCCTGTTGTGGAAACGAGGCCTTGGAGACCATGAGTATGGTTGACACTCACGATGAGGAGCCCAACGATATCCCTGCCGGGCTTTCCCAACGCACCGACTCTATAGCCAATGGAAAATCGGTGGCCGTACTTTACGCTATCGGACGCGTCCAGACTGCTCACTTACAAGCGAGGATTGTGGGGCATCTGCAGAGCGCGCAAGGTCCGACCCACGATGGATTTAGGGAGCTGGTCAAAGATGCCAAGGGGCTTCTGCAGAGGATAGACTCAATTATTGCACGCGTTCCTACGCAGGGAATCCCTGACAGTGGTTACATCCCATCCCGTCTGGCTAATGCATCTCTGTCCACGCATTCCTCGTTGTACAAGGATGATGCAAAGCAGCCAACCGTCTTTGCAACTTGGACGCGAATTATGTTAACATTACTGAAATCTGAAGTGGTCATTTTACTGCAGAAACCATTCCTACCACCCCCAGACAAGACAAATGCGCAATCACGCAAGTCATGGACCAGGTACGAATCCTTTCCCCCTGCATCTCATTCCTGTCCAGTATAATCCAGTGCATCTCCCATTGCATGCCCATCTTCATACAGCGAATCCTGTCCAGCTTGAGGATTTATCCGTTTACATTGATCGTTCATCACGATATTGATATGACAGACTTATTGACAAACGATTTGACCGTCCAGTATGGCGCAGCTTTGCGTGAATTACTTGCGTATCTACCTGCAGCTGTATCGAACTCCTGCATTCTCCCCGTACGCGTGGTTCTTCTGCAGCTATTTTGGGCCTCTACAATGTGTATTCATCACCCTAACATATCTCCATTCCTTCCAGGACTCTGGAGAGACCTTGCTGGCCCGATACTGCGTTGATGAGGTTATAAATTACTACGTGGCCCATTACCAAGCTCCAAATAGCTATTCGATGAGGACCAGCTCCGGCGATACTAATGCAGCCAAGACGCAGATCCCATTGGCCATTCAGGTTCTCGTTGACCTTCACAGACGCCTCGACTCATCTCTCGGAGCTGAAGACCGGCCCCAGCTGCCATTAGACCTGGTCGAGCGTCAAGCCCACTTTCCTGCGTCGCACCTTGCTACCAAGTCGGCCGAGTTACGCGCGGCATCCATTTATCTCTCTTCCGATGAATCCTCTACCACTCGCACCAACCGCAATTGTGAGACCCCATCTATGACCACAGGACCTCCTCCAGTGGTCGTTGGTGACAAAACAAGTCCGCCAAACAGCGTTTTGGTAGCCAAGAGTGACTCGGGCTTCGATATAGACTTCCTTGCTATAATTTCGGATCTAGAAGCCTGGTCTTCATCCTTGGTTCTGGAATCCGACAACCTCCTCGCACATTCTGATAATATAACGCGGGAGAGGCGTACCTGAGGCCCTCTTTGTCACTGCTGTCTGTATCATATGGCGTTAAATGGAGTGCCTTTTGTAATATGCCCTCATTGAAGTGAGAAAGTGGATGGAAAACACGAACCAGATCTGGGAGCGCTTCGAACTGAAGATACGAGAGATGGGAATTAGGCGTCGACATGAAAGCTTTTAGCTCTGCTAGAAGATGGTTATGGATTTCACGGTCATTGAAGATATTGAAAAGGGTGACTGTATTGGCAATTCCGGTGGTGTCGTCCCCGGCGGAGATCACGGTAAGAAGCTTATCACGAAGACCCTGTTTGTCCGGGACTGCATAGCCCTTCTCGGGAAGCGGAACGAGCAGACGCTCCATGATGGTAGGGGATTTTCCCCGCTGCTGCTGCTGCCACGGCGATATACTCATCGATGCGGCGAGCGGCAAACTAGATAGAATGAGTTAGTACATATGGATTCGCTAGAGAAATATATAGATCGAACTCACCTGTTCCAACTCGTGGCCCATCTCAACGGAATGTGAAATGCGCTTTGCAATCCACAGTGACAGTTAATTGAGCAGTCGGACAAAGGGAAAATCTTTGATGACATGTAGACTGGCTACCGAATTTCGCTAGCATGAGAGAAGCATGGGCATTCATCATGAGGGGGGGGGGACTACTTGTTGGCTGCGTTGGACCACGTTCGACAGTCTGCCGCAGCGGTGCCAGGCAATTTCGTGGCGAGGGAGTGGGAGCTTATTCGACGATTGTCAGTGTGAATAAATATAGTACGGAAAGTGTAGAAGGTAGGAGACCGTAGATGAGATATCCCACCCATATGTAACGTTGGAATGGTTAGGATGAATTCGTGCTAGATACTAAAGCCTTAGGGGCTTCCACTTGGATGAGGTAGACATCGACCAGGACCAGCGACCTCTCTGGAGCATAAAGAACACTCCCCGAATAGTCTATTTGAACTCAGTAGGAAGTGCCGTCAATTTGCCGATCTCGGCAATTGTCTCCTTCCACAGTTTCTTCTGAATTTCCTGCCCTGCTGGTGATTGGATGAATGCCCCTTTCCTATAGGGAAGTTGGATTAGCATGGCAAAATTCTTTGGAAAAGGGGTCAAGATCACTTACTCAACAATTTCCTTGTCGCCCAAGAACTTACCGTGAGACTCAGGGCCTGCCACCAGTGCACTATGCAAGATGATCCAACCACCCACCTCGACGGACCTGGCGCGGAGTGACTTGACAACATTCACAATCAATCGCAAATGCAGGGGGAGAACGTCGCTCATGCTGGTATTTACCATGCCAGGACACATCATGTTGATGATGACCTTCTTGGGATCCAGCCGCGGCGCCAGACTGTACATGAACAAGGCGCAAAGTAGCTTCGTGTCCCCATAGCGCCGAAACGGAACAAAGGCCTCTTCTTTGTCCATATGCGCAAGCACACCTTCACCGGGCTTGATGGGAGCTTTCTTCGCGAGGCTTGTGCTCTCCTGTGCGCGGCTGCCAACCCAGCTAATGCGTGCAGGAGAGCCGGTCTTCTCTGCACCCGCCTCGAGATAAGGTAGGAGCTCAGCAATCAACAAAACGTTGGAGTAGTAGTTGACTTGGGTGGTTCGGTCATGGCCGCTCGGGCTACGTTCCAGCTTCACCAGACCAATACCCGCATTGAGAATGAGGAGATGGACCACCGGAATGTCTTCGCGGAGCTGCTTCGTGAACTGCTGTACGCTGACATAGTCATCCACATCAAGTGCCATGACCTTGATGGTTGGATTGAGATTGTGGGTCTGGATGTGGTGATCCTGTCGAAGGGAAGTTGCGCAGGCCTCGCCCTTGGCGACATTGCGTACGGCGAGAATCACAGTCGAGGCACGCAGTCGCAGTAGCTGTTTGGTTGTTTCCAGACCAATTCCAGCACTGGCACCGGTAATGACAACGGTTTTACCCGTCAGGTCAACGCTGGTAGGTAGGGGATCGACCTTTGGCTGGATGATGTTGAACATGATGGGAGTTGGATGAGCAGTGGAGATGCGAGACTTGGGGTCACCAATGTGAAGCGCACAATAGATGGTAGAAGAGAAGAAGAGGTATCGAGGTAGTCATCCTTAAATTATTTTTCCACAAGCTACCCTGCTGTCCTCCCTGTAGTTCTTTGTTGGATTGTTCAGCTGAGCTGACAAACAGCGGCTAGGTGATAGGTGACTCAGCATTCGGCCGACGTCCCAAAAGGGGATGTTCACAGGATCGAGATTGTGTCGCCCGAACGAACACAAAATATCTTTCTTAATTGATATTCAGTCGAGCTTGAAGCCTGATACATTCTCCTCTGGAATATGACTAGGATATGAGAAAGGAACACCAAGTATACATTTTTTAGAGAATTAGTATGGGTATCAGGAGAATGTTTTCAACGGGGGCAGAAATTGGATTTCGTGCACATTCTCTCGGTGAGGCAAGAATCTTTCTCCCTATGAGATACCCGAAATTCAATGAAGTATAGATGTGGACATCACCAGCAATGTAGAGATCCAGACGAACCTCAACTATACCTTGGCCTTCTATGGATATCTCGACCATGTATCCACGCCCGCAGCCTTTGATCCATTGTCTGACATCCCCGTGGCCTCTACATTGTACCCACCAACAAATGGGTCACCCAGTGAGCTTCTCCTCGCGATTGGCTCTGCCGGACTGACTACCGAGGGTGTGTCCTACGACGGTACGTTCACATTCAAGGTGACAGTGCTGCCGTTCTGCAGGAACGTACTCGACCTATCTCAAGGCCGCTGCCTCTGTGTTCGGAGGCGGTACTTTGTTATGTGCCTCAAGGTATCATTCCGAACTTAGTGACCAAAGGCAAATCACAAAATGGAGGGAATATGCTAGGTCTGGAGGCCACACCTCAACTCTGTACGTATCCCCGTGTGCCTATATCTCCATCTGGTAAACATTTCTGATCAATATCTCATACAGGGCTTAATATATTTGCTCAATTCCCAGCGACACTCAGCCAATCGGTGGTGACGAGTACGGTGGACTCATTGCTTGCCAGTCTCACCTCCAGCGCAAAGTCGCAGGGTCTTTTCTCCCTTATATCTCTGTCAACGACGCTGGTCCCAACTAAATGCCGCTACAGTCTTTTGGGGAAAGGAGTCTCAAATATATCAATAGCGTAGTGAAAAGGTATGTCCCTAAAAGAGTCATGCAAAAGCTGCAGAATCAAGCATACTTTGTTTCGGGGTTGTAAAATATCACTATAGCATTATATATATCCTTTTGGTTTCCAACGTTATCACACCTGAGGTATCTCCCATTTCGAAAGATTTGTGCGTCTATCTACTCAGACCTAGTATATTTTCTTGGTAGTCTCCTCTGTTTGTATTATTTTATAATATAAAGGCCTTAAAGTCCCCCGTCCCCTGTCATTTCCAAGCAATGAAGTCATAAGCCCGACCACATGGGTCACCAAACCACATTAACCCAATTAGTCCATCGCCGTCCAACTCTACTCTGTTCATACTTGCAACGAGCAAAAACTATATATCATGCAACGACGTACGATGAGGACTTTCTTACCTTTTTTCCAAAGAGAGGGACTGTCAAAATGTACAAACACACAACTGCACCGAGTCCATCGCCTTTCCGGCCCTCTCCGTATGAAACAGCCCAAGATCCAGAATATCCCCCGCAGACGGGGAATCATCACGCTGCCCAATAAATCCCATCATGTGATACATGAGCATGACATGGAAAAGGAAGCTTCTTTTAATCAAAACGTCTTCAACTTGTCTCTTGCTCTGTCGCAAAGCCGCATAAATGATGCGACGGAGTTGCGCTGCATGGTCTTGAGTGTTGATGGGTCTGTCACAGAACCTGAAGTTCGAGCAACTAGGGATGATCTTGCTAAAAGGTGGGGATTGGATGGCCGCGATTTGCGTAACGTGGATCTTGTCTCAGAGGGAATCCCCCATTTGATGGTCCGTCCATCAGTCATCTTTATCAGCATGTTCACTTTACGACTCCTGGTCCGCGCAGATGGAGTTCTTCTTTTTCTTCTCCCAATTGAGGATTGCCACGTGAAGGTGCAGGATGTTTTTATGACAGACCTGCAGGGTCGGCTCAAACCCAGTCCTGGCTCTGGCCTTTTGACAAAACTCCCATATGAGCTACGTGTGGTAGATGCAGCGCTTGCCTCTGTGATTGCAACACTTGAAGCCGAGCATGTTCTCATCCGCCGCGAAGTCGAAGACAGCTTGCGTGATTCAACAAGAGAAGATGTTGTTTACTCCGTTCTCCGCGGTTTGCAGGATCACAGGAAAAGGCTCGTGGCCATTGAACAGCGTGCCCACCAATTCCGCTCGGCGCTACGGGAAATCCTCGAAACTGATGAAGATATGGCGAGCATGTACTTGACGGATAAGTGTACAGGTTACCCACATGAGGTAGAAGATCACCTAGAAGTGGAATATCTCCTCGAGGCATATTACAAGAACACAGACGCGATCGCGCAGTCTGCCGGTGCTTTGCTGGGCGATTTGGAGCGCACGACAGAAACCATTCAGTCGATCTTGGATGTGCGACGAAATCAGATCCTGGTCTTCGAGGCTCAACTGGAGATCTGTATGTTGGGATTTGCTGTGTCAACTTTTGTGGCGGGTCTGTTTGGAATGAACGTGGCGAACTTCTTTGAAGAGAGTACATCGGCATTTGCAATCCTTGTTGGAGCGTGTGTGATGGGAACGGTCACCATCGCGAAGTATGGCCTGTGGAAACTCAATAAATTCCGGAAATTGCGGTTTTAGAGCTTAATGGTAGTGAAAAAGATTCCAAATCAAAAGGTCATCACCCGTAGGCGACCCAAACGGCAATGATGGGGATAAAGCAGTGCGCCAAATGTTGCGCGCCTGCCAAACTTGAGATCTCTCAGGTCGAACTTGCCCCCATAAAATACCTCCTGCCCTTACTTCTTCTTCCTCTTCTTCTTCTTCTTCTTTTCTCTCCTCACCTCGCACATCATTCATCAACTGATCATACACATTTATTTTAAAACCAAACTTGAACAACTGTCATCATGCCTGAAGATAACCGTGGCAACGAGTACTCTTACAAGAGCTCTGGTGAAAACAGCCAGGTGAGACAATAACGAGAAATACCAGTTCAACTCGACTCTGACTGATCCACAGGGTAATCACTACTGCTCGCGTGACTACGGCTCTACGGCATCGAACTCCAACTCTTACCATTACTCCAACCAGTATGTGACAACTGATCCCCTGGTATCTCTTCTCATCTCTGCATTTGACTGACATTGATTTTCTACCAATAAGGGATGGTTCCTACTACTATTCGAACTCCGATGGTAGCAAGTACTACAACACCGGCAAGGGTGAAGCTTCGTACACCCCTCCCTCTGCCCCAGCCGGGTCTTCTCAGAACTCGGGCAAGTCTGGCAACTCTGGAAAGTCTGGAAAGTAAGCTGGTCATACAACATGCGTACAAAGAAGTGGGTTGATATACTTCTTTCGGCGAGGATACGCTGCTTTGCGTGGAAATGAAACTCTTGTGGATGACATGGAGACTTGGCTTTGGTCTGGCGATGGACAACTGGATATGAAATCCTAGGATGAAAAACGACAAAAAATTGAGAAAAAAAAATACATTTGCCCTAGGTTTACGTTGAACAAAATTTTCGCTGTTGCATTCATTATAGTAAATTATCAGACCATTATCTTCAAGCCCCTAACGACATACCTTGTGGTGTGGGACTCGACTGCCATCAGATTCAAAGCAACGAAGGCGTTTTGGTCGTTCTCACTTCCAACCTTCCACGGATCCTCCCTGAGCACGACAATCTTACCTTGAGTCTTTCCACCCTGAAGTGAGGTCAAGTTGTCCACAGCAGTGGGGTAATCAACATTTGAGAGGATTTGGGATGTATAGGTACTACAGATTCACGTATACATTGATTTGTCCGATTATCATTCCGTGGTATAATCTTGGGAGGGAATACTGATTCTGGTATTATAGATTTTCTTCCACATACAATTTCTTTTGGACACAACCAGGTTGATGACATCTCTACTCCAAGTCATTAAAACACCAATATCCTTTACAAATACACGGTCCAAGGATTGCCTACTATAATGCATTACCCAGCTTAGTTCACAGAAATTCCACTCTGCTGTCGACCTTCCTTCAACGCAACTTCCAACCCATCAATCACCTTATCTGGCATGCTCAGGAATGCCGAGTGAGACGCATTAACATGGTAAGTTACTGGGTTGCCCAAAGTTTCAGCAAATATTTCTTGCACAGGCAAAGGGATAGCTGCATCCTGGTCGCAAAAGAGATACATGCTAGGCATCACATGCCAAGGTTCATGCATCGCCGGCTCATGGAATGCCTTCAGCGTGTGCGGCTTCAATTTGGAAATCGCCTTCTGCTGCTCTTCCGGAGACATGTCATTATAGAACACGGTGTCTTCTTCGGAGCTCCAGCAGTAGCCATCATCAGGGCTCTATATGTTTGGTCAATGGCGAACAAAACGCGGAACAAACCAAAGATACGCCACTCACCTTGGTGATCATCCAGGGAAGCAAGTTTCCGCCCAGCATGTCTATTACAGTTTTGCCGCTTGGCGTCACAAATGCAGCCAGCCATACTACCATGAGCACGCCGCCAGGTAGACCGGCTTTGCAACGCTGCACGTACCCCAGGCCCTCGACAGCTCCGGCACCAACTATCCCGCCATAGGAATGGTTCACCACCACAATTTGGCGGCCAGCTTCTACCATCTCCTTGAGGACGGCATGAGTGTGTTCGATATCCGCGTGCAGTCCCTTATCTGGAGAGGATGCGCCCACGGAAGGAGTGGAGATAGCTTCGGTGGCAAGCCCGCGCTTGTGCATCAAATCCCGCACGACATCAAATGTGTCTGCCGCATGCCATGCGCCTGGAACGAAGACAAAACTGGGGTTCTCGGCCATGGTCACCTTGTGTATCTACCTTGCAGTTGTTTGTTTTGAGAGGGATCGCACCTCGGGGACTAGGGAATAAGCAAATGCCGCCGAAAAGATCATCCTCTCCTTACATCTCCTTACACTAAATTGGACATGCCATCGGTGGACCCGCAATTTCTTGACACGTGGGACGATTGGCTCTTTTGATCTATTAATAAATAATTGAATGAGCAACCGGAGAAATAAGATGAATCCCCCGCCAAACGCTAACAGGCCGAGTCCTATTTCATGGTCAGCCAAAACATTTCGAATATCGTTAGAGACTAGGTCAATGGTAAGGGATTTGATTCCTCACACCAACCTATTGCCCATTTTGGGTAACGGCCTGTCGCTCAATTGTGGATAGGCATGAATCCTTCTGAGGGTCAAAGGTGAACCTTCTCCCTGTTTGGGGGCCACGGGAGGAATTCATTCTGTTTAAATACACCAATGTCGCTCCATCGCCAAAAGGTATCTTGATCCGTTTTCCATGTCCAAATACGATGGCCACAACCAATGCCCGGGATAGCCAAGGGTCCTATCGGGCCGGGATAATCTCGATGACTGTCCTGGACGTTCTGTTCGTCATTTTACGGCTTTTGGCATGATGCAAGAAGCCATTGAAGCCAGGCTGGGATTATTGTATGATCGTGGCCTCTTTGCTTCCTTTATTAACTCTCGTTGGTTTGATGCTAGCATGTACGATATATTATTTCCCTTGGGTTCTCGATTCTGGCGCTAATCGTTAATAGTAACTAACTATGGCATGGGATTGCATTCCGAGATCTTGCCGATGGAAAATAACATGATGATTGCAAGGATTCGATTCCAATATCAGAAGATCAACTTGACGCCTCCGCTGATATCCATATACTAGCTCCTGGTGGTGTTCGAGTGCATCTCTATGTCACAACGATAGTAGTCACCAAACTTTCTATCCTGCTCATGTACTGTCGCATCTTTCCCACAAAGGAAATACGGACTGCCTCCATGATCCTGGGTGGGATATCGCTCGCGTGGGCTGTTGCTATCATTATCGTGAGTATCTTCCAATGCACTCCGATTGCACGAGCCTGGGACACGCGAATTCCTGGCACCTGTATCGACCTCAAAGCCTCGTTTTGGAGACGCAGCACCCAACATTGTCGCCGATATTTTCATTCTATCTCTACCGGTACGAGTGGTGTGGGACCTACACGCAAGCCCCACGCATTGACTGTCCATAATTGGAATCTTTCTGTTGGGTAGTTTGTTAGTACACGGTCTGGTACCCAAAGAACACGAACGACAGACCTCAAGAACTCAAAAGGTTATGAATTGGACAACTCTGCACTACGACCAGCTGATGAGCCACGTGATAAACCTAAAACACATCTGGATGTGTCCCAGGCCGATGATGCGTCTGGGGCTGAGGTGCCGTTGGATTCCATTCTAGTTCAGCGAGATATGACATGGCAAGAGTCGAGTGGTAATTCATTTCTATTTAAATAGATATCTCACCAAATTAAATACATAAATCTCGATCATCCTCTCTTTCTGGTAAACAACTATGCGGTCTCTGGACTGAAGCAGCCGACCTGCGACACCTCAGCACTGTTGCAAGCCCAGAATAATAGGACCAATGTCAGTTGTGTACTCTGGGTTACTCCTTGGGGGAGCCCTAAAGTCAACTTGGCAACGTTGGCCAAGCTTGAGACGATCCAAGACTGGTAGCGCCATGGTCATCTGAGCTATTTACGGAGATTCGGGAGAAGTCAGACCGAGAAAAGTCAGGGGTCGAGGCCGTTTAGTCCACATCCGGGATTACTATGTGTAGGCCTTTAGACATATGAGCCACTCAGGCGCCAGGTTTGCACTCGATAGCAACCTGGAGGTCATTGATTCACAAGTGCAAATAGGACAGATTCAATGAGGGCAAGTGAAAGTCTTCTACCAAAGGGGTATCTTCGAAGAATCGGCACACTACCAACGATCTGCACTAGAAGGATGTACGGCATCTGTCCAGGAATAGTCTGCGGTATGCATATCTACTATCTTATGATAATGATGATTGTTTCGCGACCGTTAAATTATAGATTGAAAAAAATGCAAATTGCTCAAAAGAAAGGTCGAAATCCGCGAACATATGATATAGTATACAAAATTCAATAAAAATTCAATTTCTTTGAAGCAATAATAATCAAAGATGCGAGCAAGGCTATGTCCTCGCTATGTTGAATATGCCTTGCTCCGAGCTTTATGCTCAAAAATGTCGGAATAAAAAGGGAAAACAGACACATGGTCCAAATGCGAAGAATATACACGAATCAAGATGATCTCAATTACAGAGCGATCATTCCAACACCCGCCAGGAGTGCGGTGGCAATGTAGGCAGCCACCTGGAAAGAGCCGAAGGATGAACTGGAGTGCATGCTGATAGCACCACTGCTAGACGTGGTCGCCGAAGCCGACGAGGAAGCAGAACTAGAGTCAGAACCAGAGCTAGAGCCACCGGTGCCGGTGTTCTCGGTAGTAACAGTTCCGACTCCAGCAGTTCCAGCCTCCTTCATCTGTGTAGCGCAAGTGCCAGTGGCCTTGGTCACAGACTTGACGGTTGCAGATCCAGCGAACTTGCAAGCATCGTCAGCACGGCCTTGCTCAACGTAATACTTGTTCAGAGCAAAGGCAAGCTGCTGCTTGGTCGTGCACATGCTGTAGGCACCGTACTCGCCAGTGGTGGCGTTGGTTGTCAGCCCGCTGCAGTCGGTGTAGCCGCAGACGGTGCTGAACAGCTTGGCGTATCTTTTCGAGTCGAGGGACTCGGTGACCACGCAGGCGGAGGCATCGTACATGCATTCGCACAGCTGGCTATCGGCGACAGGGGGCAGAGGGGAGGCTTCGGCGGCCCACTTGGATCCGACGGTAGGGCAGCTTCGCAGGGCGGTGTTGGTGGGAGTGTAGGAGGCCTTGTTGACACCAGTCGGGCTGACTTTGGCGATCTGGCTGGAATAGTATTTGAAGTCGGACATGGTGCTGACACTGGTGCTATCGACGACGGAAACCAGACCTACAAGTCTGATCAGTTATGTCCACATATATGCGGGAAAAGGGACGGGGTTTCTTACCGAAGTTGTTGGCCTCCTGGAAGTACATGTACACAATACCACCGGACCAGACCTCGGCCATAGTATCGCCATACAGGGCCTTCACCTCGGTGAACTCGCGGGGTTGGACCTCGTTGCAACCGTACTCGGCGAAAAAGACAGGGACGGCGTAGTTGGCAAACTCTTCGGTGCGATCCTTGTATTTAGATTTCGCGTAGGTCGACTCGCCGCACCACGAGTAAATGTTGTATCCCCAGAAGTCAATAATATCGTCGGAGTCGCCGCAGTCGAAGTAGTCGGCCATATTCGCACGGATATCGGTCACATCGGCGGTAGCATATCCAACACCCATAGAGCGGTAGCCCTTCTTCTTGATATACTTCTTGGTGTCACGAACAGCAGCCTTGACGAAAGCACTGGCGTCGGAGGTATTGACGGTGTTGGAAACCTCATTTCCAGCGAAGAAACCAATAGTGTTGTTGTACTGGGCCAGTTCGTCGACAACGCTGGTGTATCGGGCGAAGACCTCGGTATCCCATGAAGGATCACTGCGATCAATTGATAGCGTGGGATTGGACAGATCGGAGATCACGTAGATTCCAGCATCCGACAGGAGCTTCATACACGCGGAGTGATCAGCAGAGGCGTTGATGGCGTAGGTACGAATAACGTTGGTACGCAACTTGGCCATGATAGGAACATCACGCGCACAAGCGACAGGATCAGCTAGCGGGTCAGTGTAGCTACTGCTACCTGTAGCTTCTTCTACGAAAGGTTAGGCGAGGCGTTTGAAGTGATGGCATATACAACCTACGCTGGTACGCGATTCCACGCATAAAGCTGTTCTTATCAGTCACTGAATTCACGAAAGCACGGAATAGTCGGACTTACAACTGAGTGTCATTGCTGGAATAGAAGAACTTGGAGCCCTATTGACAGTCTCAGTACCCAAGATACAGGGACTCTGTATAGATGTATCGAGATCATACCTTGATGACGATGGGATCCAAATCGGCAACAGCAACCCCGGCCAGGGTTGCCAGTGTCACCAAGGAAAACTTCATGATTGGTTTTGCGGATATTCCCGCAAGGATAGCGAGTGTATATAGTTGGGATGATTGAAAAAGACAGAGAATAAAGAAGTCAAACGAGTGAACGGGGAAATGAGAACAAGATCAAAGATGGGGGGATTCACGGCTTCAAATCCATGAGATTACTAGTAAGATCAGTCTTAAAATAGACCCATTCTATTTCTTTAAAATCACAAAAAGGACGCGTATAGCCGAGCGAACAGCCCCAATATGGTCAAGTGCTTTGAAGCCATCGTTCAATAGGTTTAGCTCAACTGGCGCCATGTTTTGGGCTCGGGGCTGGGTGCTCAAAAAAGCATTATTAGGGCTCGAAAGGGGAACCGTTCATGTATCCCGAGCGAATCATAATAGAGAGATGAACAGACTCCACGCACTTAATGGAACTTGGCTTTTTACTCGGTTCTTTGATCTGCAAAAAATATATACAGTTCTTCAATTCCCTAAAATAGGTAGCTGTCAAAAGACTTATGTACATACATTAATAGTATACTCTCTAACTCCTTAAAAAAAGAGGTGAACGCATCCGGCTGACGCGGTGGGTGGGGTTTAGGATGGCGCCGGCATTTGGTGGCTTTTTTTTTTTTTTTTCGCGAACACGTTTTCTATTGTATCTAAGTTTGTTAGGCGCTAGCTCTTTTCTTTTTTGGATTATAGTGAGTTATAGTGTCTCTGCGGCATTGCTTGGTAGGAGTGTAGCCACTCAGATTACCTCGATGATTTCTCTGGTTCACAAGTCTATTTATGTATCTATGCACGGAGCACATGTATATGTGCATTGTTCATTTTGTGATTTGCATCTGTAATCAATATGAATATGGAAAATAGTAGGCCAACAATAACTTAATTGTACAGTACTTCCGGAAATCGGTGTCGCCACCCACACTCTTTGATTGTTTCTGCAACGTCGAGCGGGCAATCTTGCCTGATCCATGCCTACTCGCTTTCTTACCTTTTTACATGGCTATTATTGTCTATATCAACATACATGACAAAGACCCCGTCGAGAACAAACCTTATTAGGCTAGTTTGATTCCTGTTTATGCTCCCCATGGCACTCGTTCCCTATCGCAACTTTCATTCGTCATTAGGCTTCTTGCGAAAACTGGCACCGCCTAGTCATGTGGGTAGACCCCCAGAGCTTTGATCGTGCGTATATATAAACGGCAGCCCATACCACGACCATTATCACTCTCAGCCCCATGGATACGAACCATGAGAACTGAACCCACAGTATTCGCCCCCTGCCCCGAGATATGGACATGAAAGAGCCTACAATAATGATAGAATCGCCTTAGCGCATCACTTTTTTGATATTGGTCATTACAGTGACGCTTTGAACGGTCAGCAACAAATTGCGGAAGATATTGAGTCAAAGGGTTATTCGTATTCAATCGAAAAATGAGTTGGAGTATTGAGGATGCAGTACCGTAGTAATCCATCAGGAATATTTGTTTCTGGTTTATTGATTGGATATGACAATCTCGGGTTGTTTATGCTGTGTGGGCTCGCTTATTGTTATTTCTACCATCGACGGCTGCTGTCGGCTAATACCTCGATTAGCATTAACTCCCCACCATGCATCTAGGCACCTGGTCTGTTTTACATCTCAACCAGCGGTACAGTATTGTCGTTCTCGAAATCGGCTTGGCAGGTATAATCTTCGTCACTCTTTCCGGCCCACCACGAAGGCATTAATGCAGATCAATCATTGGGCCGCATTAAATTGATGGATACCGTAAAATGCCTGAGCATGCTAGTTACTAGTTAACTATTGCTCGTAAATTACATAATGCATACGAGGAATCAACGGAGTTCCATGGAAGCTGATAGCGGGCCAATACCTCACAGGCCCGCCGACCGATCTACTCTCTCAAGTGTCCCTTATTCGTAACATTCTATTGATGCCATTTCGAACCTAGTTGTTCCGGGCGCAGCCAATGGTTGCAAAAGTTTCCTCTTGGACAGAAATGAACGCCCCCTTGTGGCTTAATCGGTCGGATAAGCGCCAATCAGGGTCTTGTTTTGCTCTTAGCCTCACTTTGACGCCCCCTCTTTTGAGGGGCGTAAGCTCCATTTTTGTCTATCATCCTTTACATGTTACTTGTTACTTTTGATATCATTAATATCGTGGAAGGCTTGTCAACAATGGATCCTCTTTCGGGTGTAGCAAGTGTTATCGCAGTTATCCAGTTAACCGGAGGTATCTTACAAATATGTGGAAAATATCTCAATAACGTCAAGAACGCGAAGCAGGATATTCAGCGTTTCCAAGAGAAGGTCGCCGCCCTTTCCCAAGTCCTTCACTCTCTCGATGGGCTGATCCGTGGATCTGATGGCAACAAACTTACTGCTACGCAAGACCTGGTCGATAATATTGCCAAATGCTCCTCAGCACTTACAAATTTGAAAGAGAAAATCAATCCGGAAACGACGCAGAGAAAGATGAGGAAATGGGGCCTTCGAGCCTTAAAATGGCCACTGGCACGGTCGGAGGTAGATTCTGCTATCATGGAGCTTGAGTCGTATAAAACAACATTTACTTTATCCTTGCAGGTTGATCAAACGTAGGCTCCGGTCCATAATCCGATCTCTTAATTATTGATATCAAAGGCCAATTCTGACGCTGATCTAGGAGATTTACCAACTCGATACACAAAAAGATAGACCTTAGCAGGTTACAGATTGCAAAACAAGCAGCATTCGACTCCTACGATAACCAACATAGTGAATGTCTCCCGGGGACCCGGATTGACCTGCTTCGAGATATCGAAGAGTGGGCAAAATCGCCACACGGAAAATGCATATTTTGGTTACACGGCATGGCAGGGACTGGGAAATCAACAATCTCCCAAACAGTTGCAAGCCGTCTTCAAGAGCAGCAGCTTCTTGGGGCCAGCTTCTTCTTTCGGAGAGGTGAAGAGGACAGAGGGACAGCAAAAAAGCTTTTCCCGACATTGACCGAGCAAATGGTCATCAGAGTACCTCAAATGCTGCCTCGAGTTCAAAAGGCAATTGATGATGACCCTAATATTTCGGAAAAAGTGTTGAGAGAACAATTTGAAAAGCTTCTACTGGAACCACTGTGTGGAATTGAGCAGCGCGAAGAGACCACAAGAAGAGTGATCGTGATTGATGCTCTAGATGAATGCGATTCAGAAGATGATATTGGGATTATTCTCCGGCTCTTGCCACAAGTTCGAAAGTCAACTTCTGTGCAACTACGGATTTTATTGACAAGCAGACCTGAGTTGCCGATCAGGCTAGGCTTCGAAAGGATCACCGATGCCCACCAGGATTTAGTCCTCCATGAGATCGAAAAGCCTGTGATAGAGCATGATATATCCTTGTATTTTGAGGATCAGTTCCTACGCCTAAAACAGAGGCGCTCATTTCCACCAGACTGGCCCGGAGCCGCAGCTACCAAGATATTGGTTGATAGGGCCGTCCCTTTGTTCATTGCAGCTGCTACCATATGTCGTTTTATCAGTGATGTAAAATGGAACCCTCAAAAGCGACTTAAGGCGATATTGACAGACCAATCAACCTATGTGTCTAAGATGGACAGCACCTATGTTCCCGTGCTAAAGCAACTTCTCACTGGCCAGAATGAAACAGAGTCACGGAAATTACTCGAAGAGTTCAAGGAGATAGTCGGGGTGATCATTATTCTTGTCACTCCGCTCTCGATCAACTCCCTTAGCCACCTAATAGACAGAGAGTCAGATGATGTCAAATGTCGATTAGACCAGCTCCACTCAGTGCTCAGTGTACCAAACAATTTCGACACACCAGTTAGGATCCTCCATCTGTCATTCCGAGATTTTCTCTTGGATCACCGTGAAGACGAAAGCAAATTTTGGATCGATAAAAAGTATGCAAACCAGCGTCTTGCAGAACGATGCTGTCAGATCATGCAGGACAGTCTGGAGAAAAACATCTGCAAACTGCAAAGCGAAGGCATACAAAGGAATGAAATTACCAATGATTCGATTCAGCATTATATACCTCCCGAACTGAAATACGCCTGTCGATACTGGGCACATCATCTGGTACAATGCACGGACTTGCCTAGTATGATGCACAATGCTTATTTATTTCTCCAGGTGCACTTTTTGCACTGGGTGGAAGCAATGAGCCTGCTCGGCCTTACGTCAGTAGTATCAGCAATTCTTGATATCCTCCAAACGGCCGTATCGGTAAGTTCCGAAGATAATCATAGATGATATGCACTAACGGCTTTAGGGTAACAACTCTTCCCTGATTTCGGATTTCCTTCACGATGCAAAGCGCTTTATTCTGAAAAATCGCCAAGTAGTTGATCAAGCCCCCCTGCAGGTTTATTGTGCAGGACTTATATTTGCACCCCGAACGGGGATAATCCGTAGAGAGTTCAAGCAAGAGCTTCCCACTTGGATATGTCAGTTACCACAAGTTGAGGAAGGATGGAGCGCGCTCACTCAGACCCTCGAAGGCCATTCAAGTTCGGTTGAATCAGTGGCCTTCTCGCTCGACGGCCGCCTGCTAGCGTCCGGCTCTTGGGATAACACAGTGCGACTCTGGGACCCGGCGACGGGCGCGCTCACTCAGACCCTCGAAGGCCATTCAAATATAATTCGATCAGTGGCCTTCTCGCCCGACGGTCGCCTGCTAGCGTCCGGCTCTTGGGATAACACAGTGCGGCTCTGGGACCCAGCGACGGGCGCGCTCACTCAGACTCTCGAAGGCCATTCAGATTGGGTTGAATCAGTGGCCTTCTCGCCCGACGGCCGCCTGCTAGCGTCCAGCTCTGGGGATAACACAGTGCGGCTCTGGGACCCGGCGACGGGCGCGCTCACTGAGACCCTTAAAGGCCATTTAAGTATAGTTAGATCAGTGGCCTTCTCGCCCGACGGCCGCCTGCTAGCGTCCGGCTCTGGAGATAAGACAGTGCGGCTCTGGGACCCAGCGACGGGCGCGCTCACTCAGACCCTCGAAGGCCATTCAGATTGGGTTAAATCAGTGGCCTTCTCGCCCGACGGCCGCCTGCTAGCGTCCGGCTCTCGGGATAACACAGTGCGACACTGGGACCCGGCGACGGGCGCGCTCACCCAGACCCTCGAAGGCCATTCAAGTTCGGTTGAATCAGTGGCCTTCTCGCCCGACGGCCGCCTGCTAGCGTCCGGCTCTTGGGATAACACAGTGCGGCTCTGGGACCCAGCGACGGGCGCGCTCACTCAGACCCTCGAAGGCCATTCAGGATGGGTTGAATCAGTGGCCTTCTCGCCCGACGGCCGCCTGCTAGCGTCCGGCTCTGGGGATAAGACAGTGCGGCTCTGGGACCCGGCGACGGGCGCGCCGCTCACTCAGACTCTTAAAGGCCATTCAAGTATAGTTGGATCAGTGGCCTTCTCACCCGACGGCCGCCTGCTAGCGTCCGGCTCTTGGGATAACACAGTGCGGCTCTGGGACCCGGCGACGGGCGCGCCGCTCACTCAGACTCTTAAAGGCCATTCAAGTGTAGTTGGATCAGTGGCCTTCTCACCCGACGGCCGCCTACTAGTGTCCAGCTCTTGGGATAAGACAGTGCGGCTCTGGGACCCGGCAACGGGCGCGCTCACTCAGACCCTCGAAGGCCATTCAGAATGGGTTGGATCAGTGGCCTTCTCGCCCGACGGCCGCCTGCTAGCGTCCGGCTCTCGGGATAACACAGTGCGGCTCTGGGACCCGGCGACGGGCGCGCTCACTCAGACCCTCGAAGGTCATTCAGATTGGGTTGAATCAGTGGCCTTCTCGCCCGACGGCCGCCTGCTAGCGTCCAGCTCTCGGGATAACACAGTGCGGCTCTGGGACCCGGCGACGGGCGCGCTCACTCAGACCCTTAAAGGCCATTTAAGTATAGTTGGATCAGTGGCCTTCTCGCCCGACGGCCGCCTGCTAGCGTCCGGCTCTGGGGATAACACAGTGCGGCTCTGGGACCCGGCGACGGGCGCGCTCACTCAGACCCTTAAAGGCCATTTAAGTATAGTTAGATCAGTGGCCTTCTCGCCCGACGGCCGCCTGCTAGCGTCCGGCTCTTGGGATAACACAGTGCGGCTCTGGGACCCAGCGACGGGCGCACTCACCCAGACCCTCGAAGGTCATTCAGATTCGGTTGAATCAGTGGCCTTCTCCTCTATGCCCCATCAATCTCACGCGGCTCCAAGCATCTCTATTGAGCACAGCCAGTGGATAGCATTGAATGGCAAAAGGGTTCTGTGGCTTCCTATCGAGTCTCGACCTAGCACTTTCAAGATAAAAGCCAATGTACTTGCCCTAGGACATGCATCAGGGCAGGTTTCCTTTGTTAGATTTCGTATGTAATACTCAATGATTTTTGGTTTTTCTCTTTCCTCTATTTTTTAATCCCTTTATAGAAGGGCCTGAGAGAAGGGGATACTTTATACGGCTCTATTCTGCTTGCAAAATATTCCATAACATTCCAGTAGTAACCAATAGAGCCGCTATTCCATGTGAATAGCTAGCTTTTGCCACAGAGGCTGCTTAGTGAAGAAATCGCTACGTAATGGAACCACAGAGGACTTCTGAGATCCAAACTGTGATCCCCTAGTTAGTTAACGTATTTCACATGCGAGTGGTCCACACAAGCGAGTGGTCCACGCAAAAACACATAGTAAAAGCGATATAGTTGTCACTTATATTTCAACAACTAACGTTTTTATCTAGCTTCATAACTTGCCGATAATGATTGATAAGCATTTTTAATATAATATATCAATCTTAAACGAATTGAATACTTCCATTGTTGTGGTATTAAAAATTACGCCGCTGGATTCTACAAATATATATATCTCAATTACCAGCCTATTAAATTCCCTCAAAATATATAAAGTAACTAGATATCATATAAGCAGCATTAGGCTGTAAGAGCCAGTTTATATACAAAACCGTTGTTGCACTAACATGTTGTAATTTATCGCTTTTACTATGTGTTTTGGCGTGGACCACTGGCTTGTGTGGACCACTCGCATGTGAAATACGTTAACTAACGTATTCGGCAAGCGAGCGGCGCACGCAAGCGAGTGGCGCACCCAACCCAAAACGCGTCCATGAATTAGCACTTAGTCAATTCAACCACCCACCATGCCACCAATTCGCTCCCAATCCTCTAGCAATTCAGCAGAGCAAGAGGGTAGGGTCTTATTAGCTATCCAGGCTTTTAAGGATAAAGAAATCTCTTCAGTTCGTGAAGTGGCGCGCCGTTTTAACGTACCCGAAACTACCCTTCGCCGCCGCCTCAGTGGTACACAAAACCGCGCGAATTCTCGCGCAAATTCGTCTAAATTAACACAAATTGAAGAGGAGTCTCTTCAAAAATGGATTCTCTCTATGGATTCTCGTGGAGCAGCCCCCCGGCCCTCTATGGTACGAGAAATGGCGGATCTTCTTCTTCAAAAGCGTGGAACTACCCCGATTCTTTCGGTCGGCGAAAAATGGGTATATAACTTTGTGAAACGGCGTCCTCTCCTCTCCTCTCGATTCTTAAAACGGTATACCTATGAGCGCGCGAAATGTGAAGACCCTAGAATCATCAATGAGTGGTTTGATCTAGTTCAAAAGATAATCATTCAATTCGGAATCGACCCCGATGACGTTTATAACTTCGACGAGACCGGTTTCGCGATGGGGTTAATCGCTACAGCGAAGGTGATTTCGAGGAGTGATCTCTCTGGCCGGCGCTCCCTTTTACAGCCTGGAAATCGTGAATGGGTGACTATTATCGAATGTATAAATGCATCGGGGTGGGCGCTCCCTCCGTGTGTGATTTTTAAAGGCAAAATCTTCCTCGAATCTTGGTTTAAGGGCCTTCCGGATAACTGGCGATTTGAAGTTAGTCCGAACGGCTGGACCTCTGATGAAATTGGAGTTCGCTGGCTCGAAAAGCTCTTTATTCCGACGACTTCTTCGCGTACGAAGGGGGGGTATCGACTTTTGATACTTGACGGACACGGAAGCCATTTAACCCCAAAATTCGACGAGATTTGTGAGCAAAATAAGGTGATACCGATCTGTATGCCACCTCACTCCTCTCACCTTTTACAGCCTCTCGATATTGGCTGTTTTGCGGTGTTAAAACGATCATATGGTCGGCTGGTCGAGACGAAAATGCGGACCGGAATTAACCATATCGATAAACTTGATTTCCTCGAAGCATACCCCCTCGCACGAACTGAGGCCTTTAAATCGGAGACTATTAAAAATAGCTTCGGAGCAGCTGGTTTAGTGCCTTTTTCACCTGATAGAGTGCTTTCGAAGCTTAATATTCAGCTTCGAACCCCGACCCCCCTCCGAGTAGAGGAAGCGATTAGGACCCAAAAACGCCCTCGAACTACGTGCAATTACAAAAGCAAGCTTTGTCAATTAAAGCTTTACTTCGTGCTAGATCGAGGAGCCCTCCGAGCCCGCTAAATTGCGCGATAAATCAGGTTTTAAAGGCATGCCAGATCACTATGCAATCCGCCGCACTTCTTGAGAAAGAAGTAAGCGAATTACGCGCCGCCAACGAGAAGCAGAAGCAAAAGCGCACTCGATCCCGAAGGCAGATACCTGCCGAAGAAGGCCTCTCAGTTTAAGAAGCTTCTCAATTGATTACTGAGCTGGTGGAAGTAGTTAAAGCACCTCCCTCCCCTCCACGAAGAAGCCTATCGCCGGCTTTACAACCACGTTCGCGGGCCTCCCCAAAGTGTAGTGGTTGTGGAGAAATAGGGCATAAAATCAATAGATGCCTAGCTAGATAAATCAATTTGGTTGAATTAATTTAATGATGTTTTGGTTGAGATAAATATAGTTGAATCCAATGGTTTGGGTTAGGTGCGCCACTCGCTTGCGTGCGCCGCTCGCTTGCCGAATACGTTACATAATCATGTGATTATATAATATAATTGTCATGTGACTATCAACCTCATCTATCAATCACCTATAACTAGCAAACATAGTAGCAAATAGCAAACATAGTCAGCTATATAAACCCCCTCCCTACCCCCTCTCTTTCTTCCTCTTATTTCTCCTCTCTGCATATATCTGCATCTCTGAATCTCTATTTCATCACCTGACCTACCAAACCCTGCAAAATGGCTGATATTACTGCTATTTCTACCGATCTGACCTCTGTGTCCATGGGTAAGCTTTTTTACCTGCTTTTTACCTGCTTTTTATACTAATTTTATACTAGATTTGCTCCCTCCCCCGGAAGCGGTGTACGATACACGCGAGGAACTGCTTGAAGCGGTGAAACAGCATGCCCTCTCGCAGGGGTATTGCACTGCTATTAAAAGCGGTAACCCTATCAGAAACGTGGCTATCCACTGCGTCGAATCAGGTGAACCGAGATGGGACCAAAAGCCTACTATTGGCCCTAATCCTCGAATTAAAAGCTCAAAAAGGAAAGGTTGCCCTTTTTTACTATATGGAAGTGTAAAAAAGGGCAAATGGCACCTCCAAATCCGGAATCCAGATCATAATCACCCTGCTAATCCTCCAATAGTTTACCCCCAGGCACGGAAATTTACATCGAATCAGATTGATAAGATTCAAGAGCTATCAGATATAGCTATCGCCCCCCGGAAGATCTTATAAACTATCCGAAGCCAGTCCTCCCAGCCAATTAGAGGGCGCGATATTTACAATCAAATCGCCTTAATAAGGCGCGAAGAGAGGGGTTATCAATCCGAAACTGAGTATTTAATCACTCAGCTTAATCAAAAGCGGTATAAGTATCGAATTAAGCTTTCATCTAATAATAAAATTGAATTACTAGCGCTTGCTCACCCCGCTGCACTACTATTAGCTAATAAATATAATAGGGTTTTTATATTAGATTGCACCTATAAAACTAATCGATATCAAATGCCTTTTTTAGAGGTTATTGGTATTACTCCGACGAATCAAAGCTTCTTATTTGCTGTTTGCTTTATGCAAAATGAGCAAACGGAGGGCTATCAATGGGCCCTTAAAACCTTATTTCAACAATGGCTAAGTTTACCACAGAATTCAGTGCTTATTACTGACCGTGATCTTGCTTTTTTAGGAGCTATTAATGCTGTTCTTCCTAATCATGCTCATTTACTCTGTATTTGGCATATTAATAAAGCTGTTTTAGCAAAGGCTAAGTCTTTTATAGCTATATCAGATTCGGATAAATCAAAAAAAGCGGAATTTGATGATTTCATGAAGCAATGGTATGAATTATGCCAATCAAATACTAAAGATGAGTATACTTTAAGGTTAAATAACCTTAAAACCCAGTTTCAACATTACCCTAGTTTAATCCTTTATTTAATAGATATTTGGCTAATTTATAAAGAGAAATTCATCCGATTTTGGATCCAATATACTACCCATTTTGGAAATTTAGCATCCTCACGCTCAGAAGGAGCACACGTACAGCTAAAAAGGGAGCTAAATGGTTCAAATGGAGACCTTTTTACAGTATTTCTAGCTGTGGATAGGGTTATCGATCAGCAGCAAGATGATATCCAAGATAAGATCGAATCTGATAAGTGCTCTATTCCAAAAATAGCTGCTATAAATCGGTTATATGATCTAATTCGTGGATTTATATCTAATTATTCTATTAGATTAATTCATCGGCAGCGCGAATTAGCCCTACAAATAGGCCTAATTGGGGAATGTTCCGGTTATTTCACTCGCTCAATGGGGCTTCCGTGTAAGCATCGACTATTTAATCTTATCAGATTAAATCAGTCAATTCCATTAGATGAAATCTGTGACGATCCAGATGTGTAGGGATCTTTTTGGTAGAAAGGATTCTGCCATGCGTCGCCGCCTAGGTGTTTGTTGAAGTGAGATGACTAAGCGAGAAGGCTGGTGTTTGCAGTGTTTGCATTCAGAGAGAGAGATAATAGCTCTCTCAGTCTCGCAGGTCCTTCTCTCTCTTTCTTTCCTTTTCTCATGTTTAGAATTCTAGTTGAAATGCACTCTTTTTCCTAAAAGATCTGGCTGGTAACAAAATCGACCCGTTTTGGCATATAAAGCCTACTCTAGGCACCCAATCGGTTATAATCTTACCTCCCGATATACCACAAAAGGCAAAAAAGGGAGGGAAAAGGGGGCCAGATTGCCTAATTAGGAAGGAGGAGGGCCCAAAGAGGAAGCAAAAGGCGCCAGCTAGGTGCTCGGGGTGCGGGGAGGCCAACCATACGTTTAGAAGCTGCCCAATGCGGAAGAACTGAGGCTTTTTATACGATATTGATCTGATAGCAATATTAATCTGATAGATGAGGTTGATAGTCACATGACAATTATATTATGTAATTACATGATTATGTAAACTGGTGTGCAGGATTATGTAAGTTGGTGTGCAGGATTATGTAAGTTGGTGTGCACGTATCAATTCCCAAGCCTTAGGGGATCACATCTATGTGGCACCCGTACTACACCGTTCGAGAAAGGAGGCGAATTCTCAGTCTGGATCTTCTGCGTAGTAGCACCAATTGCGTCGTATAAAGCCTGTTGAGTTCAGCAAAAAAACTCTTCAATCGGGTTTAGATCTGGCGAGTATGGAGGCAAATAAACCAGTTTAACTCCCGCATTAGCACATATCTGCGAAATCCGCTCAGAGTGGTGAAACGATGCATTATCCATGACCAGAACAGATTTCGGCTCTGGCCATCTCCCACAATAACGAAGGAGCTCATCAATGAAGTCTTCAAACACAGCGGCATCCGTCGAGCCGCGAAAGACGCGACTCATCAAAATACCATCAATACCGGAAAACGATGATACACGATGCTTTTCAGTACAGCAAAATTGCCTTTGGTATCTATCACATGATATGATGTCAGAAAGGAGGCTGAGAATAATGTTTGTTTTGTTTGACATGTTTTGTTTGGTTATCAGATTGGTTATGAAACCTCTATAAATTGCTAGAACTCATGGGTATGTATAGCAGTTCAGAAAGCTTCATATTAATCTGAGGATCCTGTAACATCACCTTATCCGATCTCCCTCATATGAGTCCACAACGTAAGTGGGACAAGGCAATAGACAGCCGGCCAAAGTAATGAGAGGAAAGGTCTTGAATTTACTGAGTGATACAAAGGTTGATCGACTGAAAAGACGAAGTAGGTTTATTATTTGGTTTTAGTGCTTCTTATTCCATTATTGTTTAAATGGCCGGATCAACGATTATGGATCATGGATAAAGTATTTCAGTACTGAGAGCAAGGACCATAGCACAACTACCTAGGGAGAGAAAGCCAATCAGGATATCGGAGTAGAGAAAAAGGTTAGTTGGACATGGCAATGTGGGATCATGTTGAAACCTTAAGCCTCTTCGAAGGGGGAGGTTGGGAGGTCAACTGATCAGCAAACTGATGTCCCTGGAGAAATTTCACTATATGGTGGTATCCTCCCCGACGAGCAGCTTGAAGGGCATTTCCGTACTCTCCACCCTGGGCGTTGACATCGGCTCCGTGCTCTAACAGTGTCTGCACGATTCTGTCGTGTCCTCCCCAAGAAGCTGCCTGGAGCGCATTTCCGTAGTATCCACCTTGGGCGTTGACATCGGCTCCTCGTTCTAATAATGTGTGCACGATTTTATCGTATCCTCCCCAAGAAGCTGCCTGGAGCGCATTTCCGTACTCTCCACCTTGGGCGTTAACGTCAGCTCCGTGCTCTAACAGTGTTTGCACGATTTCGTCGTGCCCTTCAGAAGAGGCTGCCTGGAGCGCATTTCCGTAGTCTCCACCTTGGACGTTGACGTCGGCTCCTCGTTCTAACAGTGTCTGCACGATTTTATCGTACCCTTCAGAAGAAGCTGCCTGGAGCGCATTTCCGTAGTATCCACCTTGGGCGTTGACGTCAGCTCCGTGCTCTAACAGTGTCTGCACGATTCTGTCGTGTCCTCCCCAAGAAGCTGCCTGGAGCGCATTTCCGTAGTATCCACCTTGGGCGTTAACATCGGCTCCTCGTTCTAATAATGTGTGCACGATTTTATCGTATCCTCCCCAAGAAGCTGCCTGGAGCGCATTTCCGGACTCTCCACCTTGGGCGTTAACGTCAGCTCCGTGCTCTAACAGTGTCTGCACGATTCTGTCGTGTCCTCTCCAAGAAGCTGCCTGGAGCGCATTTCCGTAGTATCCACCTTGGGCGTTAACGTCAGCTCCGTGCTCTAACAGTGTGTGCACGATTTTATCGTATCCTCCCCAAGAAGCTGCCTGGAGCGCATTTCCGTACCCTCCACCTTGGGCGTTAACGTCAGCTCCGTGCTCTAACAGTGTCTGCACGATTCTGTCGTGTCCTCTCCAAGAAGCTGCCTGGAGCGCATTTCCGTAGTATCCACCTTGGGCGTTAACATCGGCTCCTCGTTCTAATAATGTGTGCACGATTTTATCGTATCCTCCCCAAGAAGCTGCCTGGAGCGCATTTCCGTACTCTCCACCTTGGGCGTTAACGTCAGCTCCGTGCTCTAACAGTGTGTGCACGATTCTGCCGTACCCTTCAGAAGAAGCTGCCTGGAGCGCATTTCCGTACTCTCCACCTTGGGCGTTGACGTCAGCTCCGTGCTCTAACAGTGTCTGCACGATTCTGTCGTGTCCTCCCCAAGAAGCTGCCTGGAGCGCATTTCCGTAGTATCCACCTTGGGCGTTGACATCGGCTCCTCGTTCTAATAATGTGTGCACGATTTTATCGTATCCTCCCCAAGAAGCTGCCTGGAGCGCATTTCCGTACTCTCCACCTTGGGCGTTGCCATCGGCTCCATGCTCTAGAAGAATCTGCACTATTTTGTAGTGTCCTCTAAAAGAAGCTTCCTGGAGCGCATTTCCGTAGTGTCCACCCTGGGCGTTAATATCGGCTCCTCGTTCTAACAGTGTTTGCACGATTTTGTCGTGCCCTTCAGAAGAAGCTGCCTGGAGCGCATTTCCGTAGTATCCACCCTGGGCGTTGACATCGGCTCCGTGCTCTAACAGTGTCTGCACGATTCTATCGTCTCCTCCAGAAGAAGCTGCATAGAGCGCATTTCCGTACTCTCCATCCTGGGCGTTAACGTCAGCTCCGTGCTCTAATAGTGTCTGCACGATTTTATCGTGCCCTTCAGAAGAAGCTGCATAGAGCGCATTTCCGTAGTATCCACCCAGGGCGTTAACATCGGCTCCGTGCTCTAACAGTGTCTGCACGATTTTATCGTCTCCTCTATAAGAAGCTGCATAGAGCGCATTTCCGTAGTATCCACCCTGGGCGTTGACGTCGGCTCTGTGCTCTAACAGTGTCTGCACGATTTTATCGTCTCCTCCAGAAGAAGCTGCCTGGAGCGCATTTCCGTACTCTCCACCTTGGGCGTTAACGTCAGCTCCGTGCTCTAACAGTGTCTGCACGATTTTGTCGTGTCCTCTCCAAGAAGCTGCCTGGAGCGCATTTCCGTAGTATCCACCTTGGGCATTGACATCGGCTCCTCGTTCTAATAATGTGTGCACGATTTTATCGTATCCTCCCCAAGAAGCTGCCTGGAGCGCATTTCCGTAGTATCCACCCTGGGCATTGACATCGGCTCCTCGTTCTAACAATGTCTGCACGATTTTATCGTGTCCTCCCCAAGAAGCTGCCTGGAGCGCATTTCCGTACTCTCCACCCTGGGCGTTTACATCGGCTCCGTCCTCTAGAAGAATCTGCACGATTTTGTCGTGCCCCTCCCGCGAGGCCCAAATCAATGGATTTCCTCTTATTTCGTCTGCCGCATTGATATCGTGTTTCTCAATAGCAAGTAGAAACAGAACCTCCTGCTCATGGCCGTTAAATGCTGCCAGACTGAGTGCATTCATTGATCGCACGTTTTGGTTTGGCATCACTGTCCTCCAAAAGATAGGAAACCATAGGGTAACCCGTTTTCTGCACATATCGTACACTGGATGTAGTCGATTCGGCACTTCCTGGTCTAACATCAAAGTCATTTTCCGTACGTGATCAGCCCAATGTACTGCTGAGTATTCTAAAAGGTCTCGGATGTTAAATCTCGGTTGGCCTTCGTCGTCTTCCAGGTCCTCCATCAAAAGGTACCGCAGACAGATCCCAGCCATCTGGTCTTCTGCGTTACTTAGGCTGCTCCAATACGTAAGATGGAGATTGTTCAGGTTTTCCTTTTGAATCAAAAACTCTCTGGCAGTCTGATGGATAAGATAGATTTTGGAGTTATTAGTAAAGACGAATAAGCCGCATAATTTTCGAATTTTTCTCTGTAGATGAGTTGGATCTAGGCCGGCCTCCATTGTTGTTCGTGCCTCGGGGTAGGTAGCAATACCTAGCGCCACAGCCATCTCTCGTATTGTTAGAGGACGTCGTGCAGCCACAATTATCTCTAAGATCTTTTTGACTATGTCCATTTCATCTGCTGGGACTCGACAGAGGATCTTCTCGTATGCTGCATCCACAGAAGGTGGTATAAGCGTGATCGAATTCTTTGCAGGTCGAAGGCTGTGCTTAAAGGTAGTACGGATATCATCAATGGCTAGGTGCAGCCAGAGATATGTACGGTGTTCCATTTGAAGCAGCTGCTGTTCGATTCGATGATGAAGTTCTGGCAACAGTGGTACTGTCTCGGCTAGTTCTCTCACTCGAATCCTGACCACCAGATCAATCTCCTCGTGGATTTGGTCATTCTGCTCTTCCCCCTTGATATGTATATGCGGAAACGAATCGGTGATTACTCGAAAGTGATCCTGTATATCATCGTAGGGACGACTGGTGACTAAGAATTTCAAATAGGTTTTCTCTGTTAATGAAGATAGACCGCGATGAAATGCTTGAAGCTTGTCAATTAATCGGCGTTGATCCGTTTCACGACATTCATCAAGTGCATCGAATATACAAATCGTCTTGCACGATATGTCAGCTGACGTTGCCGCTATCAAGATCCGCCAAAGCTCGTTAACTTCTTGTCGCAGCTTCTCCCCATTCTTTTCCCAGGCCGGAATGGCATGTTGTAATAGATGAGGCTGCTGGCTGAATAGCTGATGAAGTACCGAACAAAGGGCCGCAGCAAAATTGTTCTGTTCATCGTTGTCTTTAAAAAAGAAGTAACATATTGCCACTCCTTGACATGAAGCTTGCACGTAGTCATCGATAATCGATCTGGCTAGTACAGACTTCCCGCAGCCTGGATCGGCTGACACCCAAAGCAGGCCATTGCAGTTATTATCTAGCCAACGAATGTATTCCGAGCTCTGTAACGCCCATTGGCAAGTTCCTTCCGCTCGGCGTGGATTGATATCCTTTTGCTCCTCATAGTTCGATGTCTTGAAAACTTGGTGACAGCGTTGTTGCTGCTCCGTTAAAACTCTTATTTTCTGTTCATCTTGGTGTCGCTCCTGTTGACTGTATGCTTGATCTAAGCGATCTTGGATGCCTTTTAGCTCCTCTAAAAAGTGCCTAGGTCAATATTTGCTGATGTAATCATTATGAGATTATGCTAGACTAACCAGACACAACAGCACTTATCTTCTCTTCGGCTTCAATTCTGTTAAGAGGGATCCTCTGCAGAAGGTCTCTAGCGTAGGCAGCTGCCACCATCGCCGCATACCCTTGCCACTGTTTGTTCTTATGCGAGTCCGAGTAGTCGCAAACACCCCGGATAACCAAACAAGGGAAAGTGTTCATCAGCCCGGCAGCTTCCATTTCGAAACAGAGAACATCTTTCTCCGCCGCTAGTCTATCGCGAATCAAAGCATCCTTCATTAATTGATTGGCAGAAGCAATCAGACCATAGTGAATTGCAGGATTATCCTCGACTTCAGAACGTTCACGCCGCAAAACCAAGTTCGAAGCATCATTTACACAGGATGCATTACCGCAAGCTGATTCATGATTGACAGAGGGCTGGAAGAGCCTGTCTGTGCTGGATTCCGGACGTTCGTACTCGCTGCGTAACCGAAAGTTCGTGTTAAGGATAATGTTGATGGCCTCCATGAGCTTATGTCCCTTTCTCTTATATTGCGCCTGCATTCCCGTCATCGCAGTGCGAAGTGTAGTTGGTGGTTGATTCAAGAACCGCGTATGCTGAAACTTTTGGCCTTGTATCGACTTGCCAAAGTCGTACTGGAAGACACCACTCTCGCCAAAACGAGGCGCACTGACCACAACATCGCCTAAACGAATATCATGGGTCTCACTTGGTACACCCCCGCCAATCCCCACCATGAGGCCGATCCTGATGTTGTGAAAACTGTTAAGCATGTTCGTCGCTACACTAGCGGCGGAAGCTGTTCCATATTCACCATTGGGTAAAACGGCGATGACAACGTTGTGTTCTCCCATCTTGCCTAATGTATAATCGTTGGTATCATTTGGCGACACAAAGCGGGGTTTGTCGTGCTCTTCGTCGAGGAATTCTTGTGCGGCAACGTATTCTACGGGCAAGGCGCAGATCCAGCCCACAGTGTACCCCGCAGGATCTGACATGGCTTCAACGCGAGAGAAAAAGCCTCAAAGTCAGTTACTCGCGTGACCTTTCGAAAGTCTTGATGTCTGGTCTCACTCAAGGGGACAACATATGTCACTATGAGCAAAGGAGAACGGAGGAGGCTTGAGAGAAGGAAAGAAGCCCTGTAAGACAGAAAATGTTGCCAACCGGGGAGGCTCAGTTTCACGATGAACACGACGTGCAGTAGCGGGTTAGAGAAGAGATGCTATTGGCAGGAGCCGTCTTCTCCCCCCACCAAAGCAAAGAAATGCCAAGATCAGCCTTGAAATGGACTCAATCTTGTCCAATTTATGATGTGATGTAGGTGACGATTGTTGGCAGAGATATCTTGACCTTCCATGATGTCTTCCTGGGGAAGTCTGTTCTGCGGTATTGGCCACGGGGCGCGCTGCACCGAAACCCCCTCAAGGCCAGGTTTCGTGGACCCACTTCCCGCGAAAGGGACAGAACAAATCAACCCCGCCTTGACCTCCCTCAAGAGGCTGTGTTGTCGGATATGGAAATATTATGATCCGCGCCATCAAACCAGAATATCATATGATATCATCAGGGACAAGGACTATTTCGGGATTAAGGTAAACATCAGCATCTAATCTTCGAATCATGAGGGCGGTCACAACTCTGCGTCCTTGGCCTATGTCAAGACCCCACAGCGGGAATAAAAAAACCCCCTTCGAACTGGATGCAAGGGAGAAAATTATTTTTCTGTGATCGTAATCTGACATGTATTAGTTGATGTGGTTCAACGGACCATTATTCAAGCAGTGACTTGAGGGCAGCTATCGACGGATCTTTCCTGGCCAGTCGCCTTGCGAAAATAAGTGGTCACGTGATCATGCAATATTGAGCACAGTCCAACCAAAAACCATTTCAAATGTTGAGCTTATTTGAATTGGTAATTTCGCTGTGAATGACAACTCTAGACATTCAGGAGGGGTTTTATATTGATGCCCATTGAATAAATTGTAGCGCTAGTGCCTTGGCAGTGGGTCCCGAGAAAACAAAAGCAAGTGTGAGGGAGGAAGCTGATTTCGCTAGTGACTGTACACCGAGTGGTGTCCAACCCGTTCGTCGGAACCCAATGCGCTTATCGCATCCAGATTCATCAACATAGCAAGATGGTACGATTCAAAGTCAGAGAGGTTATGAAGATATATATCTCGTATTTCGGCGTTCTGCTCTTTCGCACTCTGCCAAGCAGTCTTTTTAGAACACCCTTTGGATACGAGAGACTTCCTAATGCTAGAGGTTGACGCTAGCATCTGGAATTCATCCCATAGAAAGATAACCATCTCTTCGAGGTAAAAAAAACAATCAAAGAGTGTAGGTGGTGACACCGATTTCCGGAAGTACTGTAATCAACACGATGGAGAGAGTATATTTTCAAGGATATAGTTCGGCTCACTGTAGTTTAACAAAGATCTGCATGTAGATCAAATCGATCTTGCGATGCTACGTTCGGTCATATCGGCAATTTCAACTTCCGATAATCTCCGTTCTACACTCCGTACAAGTTCACAAGATCAAAGCGAGGCTTGGACTACTGCACTTTGGGGATACACATGATACAGGATTATTCGATCTAGCTTTCTCTCCGGTTCACCCAAGTGATAATCATGCTTGTTTACCAAGGCTGTACCTGCATTTATCATGGATTTTTCTAGTAATCTCAACAGATGTATAGCCCAACCCCCGGTATCACATCTGCTGGCTCAATGGAAACGGCCATCTACATATACCAGAGACACCATTTCTAGCACAATCCCCTATCTTCATATACAAACTGCTACACTACCAGGATAGAAAAATAAAATGGTCTAACCAAAATAGCATCAAATTTGACCATCTCCCATATAACTCCGTTATACAAACAATAATTATACACACCCCGTGTTCGAATTGAGATTGGCATTAAAAAGCGTTCCTTCGTTTCGTTCTGGTGTAACCATTTGGTCTCGATCCGTCCTTCACATCCGTTGCTGTTTGCGATGTGCGTCGATGGCTGCATCAAACGATCGGATAGTATCGAGCGGGCGCTCAAGGCGGCTGCGTGTGGGGTTGGAGAGATCGGGATCGGCTATCGCTAGGTTAGTATGCAGTTTCCGAAAGTCATTGTGACTGGTAACTTACTGATGAGCTTTCCTTCCCGGTCCTTGTGCTGGATGCTTCGGAGTGAGAATGTATCACGAGATCCAGGTTGGAGGTTCACAGCGGCTGCTTGATTGTCAGTAGGTGTCCTTGATCAAGGCGGATCACTGTTGAGGGGATACATACTAGGTTCTTGTTCATGTAGGGCCATGTTGGGGTCGGCCTTGGTTTGAAGAGAATTCTTGGGGCTGTGGTGCGACTTGACCGAGCCAGAGCGCTCACTAGAGGCCAATGAAGACGGCATTATTGTGGATGTATCCTTGATTGTGGAATTTGATTTGCAAATGTGTACAAAGTATATGAAAGCAGTGTGGTGAGATTCTAGAGGTGATAGGGATATCTAACAAGGTGATCTCCAGCTGCGAGGTGAATTTGATGCTATATATATCCCTTGCCACTTTTGTCATGTGCAGCCGTTGAGAAGCTAAGAATAGACGGCCTTTCTCGAAACATCATTCATATCACGCAAGCTGTGGCGACACCTGTGGATCAGTTGAGATGTGATTGGGCCGATCGTGATCGGCATACGCGACTGGTCGCTACAGGCCAAGTTAGTATGACGTGGGGGGTCCATCCGCAACATTCCCAATGGCCAGCCAAGCTTCAATTAGTTGCCCACAGAATGCTTAGCATTCATTATGGCCAATCCCAATGACTAACCACCTGAGGGGCCATGCAAGCACGGTGGCTGGAATCTTGGCCCGCTCCAGCCGTTCAGGTACCCGTATAGGATTGCGTTCTCGCCTTTAGGAAGACGTGCCAAGTGGAATTATACATGAAAGCATAAGGGAGTGGTGTATCGTATGTAGGTACGGAGTACTTCACACACATGACGACTTGCCGGGGATGATCGCCGGTTCCGAAAATGTGACAGGAGCGCCCCAGCATTCTTCCTCCAGGAACAATCACACTATGCCATCCGGTTTTCACATGGTTTCACATGGTTTTACATGGGCAGTGTTGGCTAACATATCCGAGTATATTCCCCGTTCTACTCACCTGCATGACATGAAATGGATTCAAGTGCCGTAACATGTTAAGCCTATGCTGAATATTGTGCTCAGACCTTCAGAATGTAAGACACACGGGAAACCAGGCAACGCAATTAATATGGAAATTAAATCCGATCTAGTGGGGCAATTGAATAAAAAATAATATATGGTGTACATCTTTACTCCGTACATAAATGTACAAATGCATTACTTCAATGTCACGGCCCTCTTTTTCCGGTGATCGCCGGATTCGAAATACAAAGTACCCCCCCATTCCAGACACCGAACATTCTTTTCTTTTACTCCAGATTCATTTGTAAAAGTGGACCATCCCCCATGTGGACTGCCATAATGTCATTTCACGTCAAAAGGTGATAGGGTTCATCGCTGGCACATGACCGCATTCCCGTGGTCGCTCTCTTGTGCAAGAGCAAATGCGTGCAACGAAATAAACTAACCTGCAAGCGCATGAACGCAGTTCAGATCAAGGCCACAGATGGATTATGAGGTGGTTAACTATTGTCCGGCATGCCCATTGTCATGCCCATTGTCATGGCGATCCGGTCATGCCAGATCTTCGGGTTGCCCTGGTGCCGTGGACCTGTTGGGTGGAGTCGAGTACTTTCTTGAGCCAGCTGAGCAAGTTCACCGGTGTCTTTTATGACCTTTTGGCCATTCTTACATGGACCAAGTTTCAACCACGGTGTCACTGTATTTTCTCGGGCCCGGTCGGACACCAGCAAAACTGACAACTGTCGGAGAAGTGCGATGGCTGATTGAACACCCTCAAGTGTGTAGTTCGCCGATGCATCTTTGACAGAAAGGGGAATCAATCCAAAGAAAGCCTGGGACGCTTTCGTATTTCCTTCGTGATCGGCCTTAACACCAGCCATTATTTGGACTTCCACATCGTCGAGGATCTCTCGGCTGAGGTTGATTGCATCCATTAACTTGTCTCTCTCCGCATTGGTAGTTCGTGGGGAAGCGACTAGGGCTTTGGTCTTAGCAAGAAACCCCGGGCACTGAACTATCTCGTTGAATGCATAGTCCGTGAGTTGACCCAGACCGCAGCTTGTGCCACGCCGTTCCTCATCCTCTAACGTCAATGTAAGAGTTGACCTCCATTCCTCGTCTTCTAGGAAACATGCCTCGCCCCGAGTGAAGGCCTCATACACTAGGAGTCCCCGAAAGGATAAAATCAGGGTACGGCCAAACCCACTTGCGTGCCTCTTTGCTCCCCTGAGGCGCAATAGATGGGAGATCCCACTTGAATGCAGCAGCCATGAGTTCTCCTCTGTTGCATTCATCATCTCATAGACTCCTAGCAGGACCGCGGCTCCAAGGGTCTCATTATTGCTAACTGTGGCAGGATTCTTGATGGCTTTAACAAGCTGGCGCAACGCACAGCTGTACATTTCCTGACTAGCAAGAATCTGTCGTTGATTGCCATCTACTCTGCCTACTTGGAAGGCTCCAAGGCTGCGCAACGCCCACGCCAATGCATTTCCTGCACTTTGGTACTTATGAGCGATTTCGAACCAATTAAGCTCCACCCGAGTGCTGTAGCTGTAATAGATGCTCGGAAATACAGCGTCCACGAAATCGCAAAACTCTCTCCCGTATTGTCGGTCCATTGCCTTCGAAATCAATCCTGGCATCACGGCCTCGTCCATAGATGCATGGGGAAAGGTGTATTGCTCTGCTTGTGTAGTGACCAGTGCCGTATTTGATGATTGTGTCGGGGAGGATGTAGTTTTCGAGGGCTTGTTTTGACTGCTTGTCGAGAAATGGCAGAACTTCCGGCTCCTTGTGTAGCCAGGACACGGGTTCCCTCTTCT